GAGCAACGCGCTACCATTGCGCCAGCCGCCCAGCTTTTTGAAGTCTGCTAGTGACTCGTTGCGTTGGTGGACCTCGGATTGAGCTCAAAAACCAAGCAGCGTGAACCCATAATAATCTGCGTTGATGGTTGGACAGACAGACTCGCACAGAACGTCAAAAGCTATCAAGGTGGAACTGCCCGAGGGCGTGGTCAGGCCTGGCCCATCCCCAACTGGACTACATAGCTTCTGTGGTCGATTTGGACCGCAGATGCGTTCTTGGCAATCAATAGAAGTCGGATAAACATTCCGCACGCATCAATCAACCTTGGCATTCCTAACCGCGACCTTTCATATTATTATTATCCCGCACATCTCCTTCGGTCCCACCCCGATTAGGAAGTATGAAGCATCGTGAGGCGTTCTTCTGCCAGGAGTTCTCCACCGAGAAACGACTTGGGAGTGTAGAGCAGTCTTCGGCATAGTAGATTAGATTGCTATAGATGTGCAGAATGTACGAAGTAGGCAGGTTGCTATTTGTTCTCGAGGGAAAAACTATCTAAATGTATCCAAAAGACAAAACACAAAAAAGGTTGGGATAAGAAGCCCAGGCGATCATTAAATGCGCTTCATCCCCGTCTATATAACACATACCACCCACAGCCAGACCCGGTAGAGGTTCAAACCCGGATCAGATACCAACCCAAACGATCCATCGCCATTTCTAAGAAGAGGAAGGAAAACGAGCGAAGCATACCGCGCGAACGGCCGGTATTCTGCTCTTGACCTCCACCGCCCCCTTCCACTTAGAAAGTAAACTTCATCAACGCCGGGTTCAACAACACCGGCACGCAGAAATGCGTAACAATAACCGAACTAAGCGGATATATAGACGCGAAATACCGAATCTGCCATTCCCTCGGAAATACGTAGTACCCGCAGATGATGAGCGCCGTGCAGCCGATGCAAAAGATGAAGGTGCCGGCGAAGGTGCGCAGGATCTTGGGTACCTCCTCGAGGAAGTTGACGCGCTCGACTTCCTTGGCCGTGGCGCCCCATTGGATGTCGATCTCGAAGAAGTGGCTTAGAAGAGCTTTCGATACGTGGAGCGAGATGCCGCCGAGGAAGATGGTGAAGAGGGGCATCCACTTGAAGTTTGTCCACACTGATTTGCGCATTAATATGGGTCGGGAGACCGGAGGAAGGCCGGGGAGGAAGAGAGGAGGAGAGGGGCTGCCACTTACATGCTGAGAGAAGATCCTCCTCGCCAAGGCGGTACCTCAGGATGGAGAGCGCAAAGTTCCCCATGAGAGGGAACACCACAATAATCGACAAGTAAATGGCAAACGAATCAATGTAGTACTTGTCGTACAGACCGAAGAACCAGCCCGTGAGGAAGTAGTTCATCAGAGTCAACACCCAGCTCGCACCGATGGCGTAGTAAGTGCCAATGTACGCCATGATGGTGAGCTTGTGATAAAAGTGTATTTTCGACGTGATGAACTGCTTGAAGACGGGGGCGAAGGGTCCTCGGAATAGCCAGAACCGAAGAGGATGGAACAGCAATTCGTTGCAGCCGAAAGCGTACTTCTCCCATCGCGCAAGTTCGTCGTACACAGTGAGGGAGACACCTTCCTGGAATTCGCCGTTTGAGTATGCGGCGAAGCGGAGGACGTAGCCGGCGGACTGGAGGCGGAGGGCCATGTCGAAGTCTTCCGACACGTGGGACTCGGACCAGTACTTTTCGGTGTTGTCGTCGGGATCGATGTACGCGGCAGCGTCCTGGAGGGCTCGCCAGCGGAGAATGGCGTTGTGGCCGACAAAGGGACAGATGTCTCCGTTGGCTACGCAGAACTTGATGCTCGTGTAGATGAGGTTGGTAAACCATGTGACACTGCAAGGTATAGTTAGTCGGTACAGTTCGAGGAAAATCGAGAAGGAGAAAAGAGAAGTAAGCACTCAAGGTCGGCGAAACGGCGAAAACTCACGCTCTCTCGAAAAAGGATTCTGTGACGGTCATGACTCCCGAAGTATGCTGGATGATGGCAACCTCTGGCGACTGCTCCATCTCGCTAACGGCATCTAGGAGACAGTCTCGAGGCACACGCGTATCCGAGTCGACAAGCAAAATATAGTCGCCCATCCGAATATTTCCCCCTGCCCAAGTTCTGCCCTCCGACTCCTGGATAACCTCAGCCAAACACCTCTCGTACGCAGCTTCTTCGTCCTGTCGGGTCCACCCGGCCGGGCGCTGGATTTCCTGAAGCTTGTCCTCGACTTTGTTGCTCGTCGTAAGGCAATAGTTCATGTTGGACGCCTTCTTGAATTTGCCCTTGCGTATGAACGGCTTCTCCTTGCTCGGGTCCTCGGGCTTGGGGTTGTGTGCTGGCCGCGCCACCCATCCGATATTGTGCTCCTCGTAGAAGTCCCGACGTGCCCTCGCCAACGACTCGTCGATCAGTTGCATCCCGTCGTCGTTTACGAAAATGTTGGCGGTGCCTCCCTGCATCTCGTATGTTGAAATTGCCGCCTTGAGGGAAGCAATGGTAGGTCGGATGACGGCGTTGAGCCCTTCCTTGTAGACGGGCATCTGGATCGTGACATGAGGGAGCTCCGTGTCTCGTCCGAGGCGCCTCGGAGCTTTGCCCGAGTAGTGGCGCGAGTTCGAGTTGACCGCGGAGATCGGACCGAGGATTTGGAAAATGTTGCCAATAATTGTCTGGAAGAAGAACTGCACAGTCGTTGGGTTAGAGGATGCAGTGAGAAGATGCGGGCAGGACAGGTTGGGGACGACTTACCAGACTGACGAACAACTGGATCGGGGACGCCAGCAAGAGCAATAACCTGAGATAGTATCCGTCCAGCATGATCTCGAGCGCAAGGGCTCTCCAACCCAAGCCTAAGCAGACGAGAGCCAGAGCCAAAGACATGCCCACCATTGTTGCTCTCGTCAGACGGACAGGCCTCACCTCCATGGTTTCGCCCTCTTCTTCGTCGCCGTAATACTCCTTGGTGTCACTTGGGGGTTCTTCGTCATCGTCCTCCATCTCCGTCTTCCACACCAGCGAGACGATGTCGGCTTCGAGCCTCTCAATTCGTTTAATAATCTTGTTTGGATCGTCGTCCCAAACGACCAACAGCGGTGGTTCCACGACGAATGCGGCAAAGTGGTGCTTTTGACATCGAGGAAGATCCGTCATTCGCTGCAACACTTGCAGATTCAAGCCGCCGTGAAGCGGGATCGAGTCTATGTAAAAATCTCTCGCGCGTATGGTGGATACAATGGACTGAACCCACGGCGTGTTTACAGTCATGGCCACCTTTTGCGCGGACGCCTGTGTTAGCAAGAGAGCCGGCGGTATGTATCTGGCTTAAGAGGACCATCGAGAGCAGGACTTACGCTGACATTCAATTGAGATACACTGTCGAAAAAGCTATCGCGTATCTCTCGAAGTTGAGGAGGCTGGCACACAAAGTGATTCTTCGACCGCTTCAGCACGACGCCTTCGTTGATATTCCACCCGGAGACATATAGTCTCCGCCTTTGATCCTGGTACAGGCTTGCGACGACGACGTCTGCTTTCAAGTCCATAAAGGCGTCACGGTTGCTGTTAGTCCCATGGCTAACAAAGCTACTGGGAAGGCGGCTGGAATGGTTCGGGGTCCCCAAGCGAGAGTCGGACATGTTACGAGGGGTTATGGACGACCCAGCGTTGGTGGGAGGTTCATGAGCGCATCCAATTTCGCTTTGCTGCTCTCCGCGAGGCTTGTTATCAATCTCGCTGGTCGGCCGCTCATCAACGCCTTCCCGGCCCGTGGAAGACGTGGAAGATTTGGAAGATTTGGAAGACGTCATATTTGGAGACATAGAGAAGCAATAGAATGCGGGCTTAGGGATCAAGAGGTCCCGAGGGGCAAGCCTTGGAGCTTAACCTACTCGAAGGTGATCAACGGGACATGGGGAATCGGAGATGAACTGGAAATTTTCTTGTTACAAGAGATGCATACAATATAGAAGAAAGGATGAGAAGCATAATAAAGCAAGAATGCAAGTTCAAAGAGTTAATCCGTTCGAGAAACAGGGGAAACCAAGGACGGGGACCCAGTACGGGACGGGCCTGTTTGATGTAGTTACTAGACGAGCCCGCCGTGGACACCGTGATTTCCACATCTTCTCCATTCGAAGGCGCACTCTCTCTGAGCTGCAGACCAGGGGAGGCGGCCTTTCTGCAGCCACCTTCACCAAGCAGCATGGAACCGCGGTCCACATGTCTACTTTACTCGCCCAGCCTTCAGGGTTTCCTCCCTCCTTTTCTGGAAAGCATTTCCAGGAGGGGTGCCCGTCGTGCGTTTGACTATTGACGCCAGTGAATATTGTAATGGACCTTGCGCCCGGCAATGGGCAATACATTGCCGGGCGCAAGGTCAAGCGGTCTCGACATGTTGTGTCAAGGCTACTCAGCGCCAAGCCATCATCGATAAGAGTCAGTGAAGCATTCCAAGTAGCATAGACCTACACAGAACAATGTTGGTTCCCCCACTCCCGTTTTCACAGAACGCATCTGTGTGAGCTGGGAGACGTGGAGCAGCCTCTGGTGGTTGTAGGTATGCGCCGTCCTTTCAGCTATTCTTGGCATCATATTCTGCGATGCTTCTAAGTAGGCACGGCACTTACACCTTCTCTCTCAAGATCTTCTGTGAAGAGAGAGAGAAAAAAAAAAAAAAGGCACGGCTTGCAGGAGTGGATGGACACGTCACGGTGGACCACTACGAATTTTTTCATTATAGATAGTAATGTGGCGTTCGTTCGATGCCGCTACTGGACAGATGAGGACTAGGGGCCTATTATCTTGGCCTTCGGAATACGAGTCAAAGAAAGCTTCAGGCTTCAGGTAACACTGGCGGATGCGAGATGAGGTGGAGACGCCAAGCTCAGGGCGATAAAGATACGAGGAAAACTGCCATGAGCATTGAGCACCCACGATGGCTCAAAATGTTGTTCTTTGCCAGCAGAGGAAAAAGGAAATCTGTAACATCTCCATCGTTCTAGCCCCCTCGGCTCATCGCATGGGAGGTGAGACGACTGCCCTGGACTGGTAGCGACTTTGAGCCTTGTCGAGATCTTGCGGTTTCCATGAGTCGCAGAGGAGCGTTGTAGGAGTTGTGCTTGCAGAGCCTTATGCAAGCAGTAAACGAGGTTATCTGCATCTGGCCGTCCAACGACTAGGGGTGCCGAGTAAGGAACACCCACTTCTGCGATGCTATGTTGCTTAGCCGCCAATTGCTTGCTGATAAGAATCAAATGGGACAAGTCCCGAGCTGAGAAGGCGAAGATCAGTGGAAGATTAGGAGTTATGTTGCATCGATAGATCAGCGCCATGAACAAACGGGATCCTTTCCGTCCAAGATGACCACATGGACCAGGGTTTTCAGCCTGGTCTTGCGGAAGCATTGGCAGTCTGACCGGGGATCCGTAACCTTATTATTTGTCCAGGCCATTCAAATGTTGGCGCTCTTCTGCGTTTGAAGAAACAGATCTGCCCAAAAGAGCGTCCATGCCTAACACTGAGACCTATTGTCTTGTTCCCCGGGTTCCCAAAAATTCCCGTGGAGAACAGGATTGATTCTATTACTTCGTAAACTGCCATGCTTCTGGGATAGAAGTTGTCGTGGCTCCCCCATCACGCAATCGAGTTCCGACGGGTTTCGAGAGATGCAATTCTTCTTCTCTACTTCGTATTGATCTTCAAAATGCCAGTGCTCTTTGTCCCTTAAGCGTGGCATCGGCTATTACGGCCAAGACTGTTTGAAGCTGATGCAGTCAACACTACGAGTATGCTGCTTGCGTCTGGATTCGTGCTCTCGATCTTGGTATAATGCTCAGACGACCATTCCTAAGTTGTCCAGAGGCAAAATACCAGGCTATCGAAAGAAATCGTCATCCAAACTACTCTCTGAGCTGAGACCATTCGTTATCAGGCACCGCCGATTCCAACGTTATTATTTTTCAGTTGCTCAGAGATCAGCAAGCCTAAGGCCAGACTACAATGTAGATACCCTTATTGATTCGATATGCCGCTAAGATAAATAACCAGGCGATCGCATGGACCAATCTTGGGTATGGGAGAGTGCTTTGACGCGCCGAAGCGTGTGGGCATTTCTCCTTTCTGCATGACCCACAAAGACAGCGTCCCTGGCAATCACATCAACGCATTCCGAAGTATTGACCACATCTTCCATGCAGACCACTGTGCTGTTTTTCAGCTGTACAAGGAGCGCCCTCAACCCTTGAGGCAGATGGCCGTCCGGGACACTCGGAAGAAATTCGAATCTGTCCGGGTTTACGACTGCGCCGGCCAGTCGCAATCATGCACCCTGCAGCGCTGCGGCCGAGAGGCAAACATAGACCTGTTGGATTCTATTGCATCGTGCATCCATCGGTGGCTGGCTTCAGCCTGCTTGTGATTTTTCAAGATTTTGGGGGTCAATCCTTCCCCCTGAAAGCAGGCAGGCTGCCACGTCCAAGCCGGACCCAGTACAAAGTGGAGGATGCGACTGAGTCGGAAGAATGGAGCTTTTTTTTTTTTTTTTTTTTTCTTCCCTTCTTGTTTTTACATGTCCATGTTAGACGGACACCTCCTGTAGGCCATTCGGGGTTCTTTCAAACGATGAACCTACGCATGCCATTTCGTCTCCTCTACTGAGCGTGGTCCATGATACTTCCATATCTCCTTATCCTACTGTCCTGTGAGGTGTGACACGAGCCGGGCGCCTTCGGGTTGGGCGTTGTCTCATGCTGGCCTCGACAACGGTCCACTCGCCTACTCACCCGGAAACTTGAGTATTGTGACCGGACGATATCCTTTTAACTTCATCCCATGCCCCATGCTGGATTGCGCTCCGCTCCATGTGTAAGTACTAGGAGGAGAAGGTGCCAGAAAAGACAGCCATCTTCTCGCAGCAACCCTCGTCCGACCTGTGTATATATAGGGACGGTGCTCTGCGAGATTAACCTCTGACCTCTCCGCTGAAACTTGTCTTTTCTGCTGGGGGGATTTTGCATGGATTGGCTCTAGAATACTATGTGGGAGACATCTCAAACTCGAAAATATGATGATAGCCCAATATTTGAGGAGGGTTGAGATTGTCTTGAAGTTGAGCCTCGTTTTGAAAGCATCCAATTCCTGCGAAGAGGGGTAAGAGTGGAGGAAGCAGCGATTAGTGGACTTGCAATTGGATTTGAGGGGTTCATTGCTCTGGATGCGGAGAGGCAAAATTGTTGTGCAATTGTATTGATGCTATCACCAGTGGGTGGTTTGAGCATTGAATGAGTAATAACTCCCATGCCATACCGCCTGGGCTCAACTGGCAGTGGCCGTAGTGTAATAGTTGGTAGTGTACCTCAGTACCACTGTCCAGTACCCTACCTTAGTAGGGCACTGCAGGGCATTAGTCCTAGTCCCAGCGCCAAGACCAGTCTTCCTTATCGATAATGCGCAAACCCTTGCCGAATATTATCCAGATGCAGCAACTGGAGCAAAGCAGACAACTTCAAATGTCTCCATTTTGGTTTCGAGAGTGAATCGCTTTGTTCGCCTTGTTCGCCAGACTCCACAAAGCAGATTCCTGATTGCGCAAATGTAATATGGCAATTTCCTAATTTTCTGGGCATCTACATACCTCGGTACATTCCATCTCATATCGACTGTCCTGTTCCGTCGATCCCAGCGTACCTATTCCAGAGCAATCAACAATCATCTGCCATGATCCGTCACCAGCCGTGCTGCAAACGATTCTCCGCTCTGTCTTCACATACCAGTTTTCTCTGAGCCAAACATCCTCTTTGGGCTGTTTCCAGCCTCCCAACCTTGGGCACAACGCCTCGCATATCAGCTCGGCCGTTGGCCCGTCCCACAACGACCTACCTCCACTAGATCCTAGGTGGATGGAATGACGACGGACTGGCGGCTGAGGGCATCTCCTTTATCCAAGTTTCGATCCGTGCGACAGCTTTCTTTGGCCCATCCGCTACAATGTGCGTGTACATCTGCCTCGCCCTAGACTAGTCGATCTTGTTCTGAAACCCCATGCTTTGTAGGAACTATAGAAAAGGCGAGGTTCCCGCACCGAAGCCGGGTGCGATTCTAAAGAAACAGCGACAGTCTGGCAGCGAGCGGTTGGTAAGTGGCTTGGGAGAGTCCCCGCGCTAACAGGACGTCATATGGCACCAGAGTATAGACTGACACCACTCTTAAGAAAAAGTTGGACCATGCGAATGCTCCTCTGAATACTCTCGATCGTCGTCCTTCGAACAAGACTTCGCCTGCGCAAACACTCTACGTGGAGATAAGAGGGGCCCCCGTGAAATCTCAAACCACCCCAAAACGTCCGCCGCCTGCTCGGCCGATAGTCGAAGAGAGCCGGCCAGCCAAGCGCCCACGAACCAATCTAGAAGTGCCTAACGACGCTTCTAGCCACACGTCACAGGTACCTATTGAGATAGAATCGATCGCTGCCTCTAGCACGATGTCTTTTCCCGGACGCAGTCCTCGTAATCGAGACTCGAAAATGCAGCTGCGCCAGGAGGAATTTCGGAACATTTCCAGTTTGAGTACCTCACGGTCGAGGAGACGCCGGACCAGGATTCATAGGGGCTGGAAGCCCGCCAACCCTGAAGCTATTGAGGGGAGTGATCGCTCCTCAGTCATTTCAGCTTCCCCAAAACCTCCAAGCCTCGATGAGTTGAGAAACCACTCTCCGCCAGCCGACAGATCTGATGTCCCCCTATTCCCTAAACCGGTGATCAAGTCGGAAGTTCCCGGGACAGGAACTCCTCTAGAGGGACCTAAGAACCGGACGAACTCTGTTCCCCTCGATGACATCTCCGAGGATGAGCTTGCTATTAGCAGCGTCGGGAAGAAGCGCCCCTCTTCACAAGCGAAACGTCCTGCTACTAACAAAGCGAGTACGCAGGTTGGGCAGGGCTCCGGGTTCGCCTTGCGTCGAGCAGTCTCCGGAACACACGTCTACGAACCTGAGCAGGGATTTTCTCTCGCTCCTCTTCCCGGCAGCCAAGTTATACTCCAAGCAACTGCACTTGCCGGAGAAAGTCTCCATCTTCCCTGGTTGCGCATACACCTAGGACGCATTAACTCGGTTAAGTACGGCGGTGATGGGTGCGAAATTGTTCTTATCGATCGACCACAGAGCACCAGTGCGAACGACACTCCCTCGAAACTGGTCTTGGAATTTCAGGGAGAGGAACAATCGAAGCGATTTACTCAAATGCTCCGGCAAAGTACTGTGAATGTGACGATGAAATTTCTCCAAAAGCCCAAGTAAGAGAAGCTCCCGCCCTAGGGCCATGACGTGAGACTAACCGTGGGTTAGTCAATGGATGAATTTAGCTGCTCAACGACTATTTGACGAAGCCCGGAAGGGTACCTCGCTTGAGTCAAATGGCCATGATTCAACGCCTGATACCACGGATGATACTGGTGAGAACGACGGCTCTGGAATGACACAGAAATCTGCACCGGGGTCAGATACACCTAGTGCCAAGCCGAAGACAACACCTAAACGTCCCGTGAATAAGAAGACTAAGAAGGCCACTCCGAATACTGAATGGACCATACGCAACACAGACTGGGAGAAATCTTGGGATCGGTCGCTCATCTATCCACGGATAGGTAGAGATAGAGCAACTGTCGACAAACATGATATTGCCAGGCTTGATGAGGGAGGATATCTCAATGATAATCTCATCCTTTGCTACCTACGGTATCTTCAAGCGAGCGCCGAGGTTGAAGCCCCGGAGATTTCACGCCGTGTTTATTTCATGAACACATACTTCTATAGTACCCTATCGGTAGGATTGGGTACTTCGATCAACTATGATGGCGTTAAAAAGTGGACCGCGAAGGTCGACCTCTTCTCATACGACTACATCGTGGTCCCTGTGAACGAGAATTTTCACTGGTATGTCTTCATCGTTTGCAACCCCAGCAAATTGCTACCTCCAGGTATCGGCTCCGAGCAAGAACCTGTTCCGATAGACGTGGATGAAGGCTCCCAAGAGAATGAAGGAGTGTCATCCCTTCCCATGAAGGTCGACGATGACGCGCCACCTGACAACCAGGAGGCGAGCGGCAAGAAGTCCAACTCATCGACTTCGTCTCGAGGTCGGCGGAAATCCCAAAGGAGACATGTACAGCCCGATCGGAAATACGACCCCCAAGATTTCCTCGTTATCAGCCTTGACTCCCTTGACGCTACCCATGACCCAGGTTGTCAAATGCTCAGGGACTATTTACTCCAGGAGGTCAAATATCGGAAAAAGGTGAAGCCCCAACGCCCAGCATCAACTGGTCTGGCGGCCCAAAACATTCCCAAGCAGGGCAACCTTTGCGATTGTGGCGTGTATCTCCTTGGCTATATTAAGCATTTCCTCGCTGACCTAGACGGCTTCATCACAACCCTATTAAAGCAGGGGAAGCCGACGTGGAAAATTGACGCCCCGGGCTTGCGGACTGAAATCCGAGAGACAATTTTCGATCTCCACCGGCAACAGACGTTGGAGACGCAGGCCGAAAATGCGCAGAAGAAGAAAGAGAAGAAAGAGAAGAAAAGCCAGGATGCGGGGCATCAAACTACTACCCCATCTCCACCGGATTCAACCAATGACGGGCAAAAAACCCCTGGTCTAGAGCTCGAAACGTCGGCTGGGCCCTTTACTTCGAAGCAGAACTCGCCCGAACATGGGGGTGCTGTTTCCATGGTAGTACAAGCTACACCCGATCCTGGTTGTGAACCTTCATCTGCAGAAGCCATGGAGGAAGATGTTGCCTCCAAGTATGATCGTCCTTTTACCAGGCACAAAGTGTCAAGTCCCTTGACTACGAGTGGCGATAAGTTGGACAGGCCACCAGACATTAGGCCGTCCGTGGAAGACGATGCTCTCGAGACACCAAGCACGTCTGGAGAAACAACGTCGACTTCCGAGCAGGATATGGGCAGGGCGCATTTCGAGCAGGAAGATCAGCCATACCTTTCGCCGGTGACGCACTCACCCCACGAGACGTGGTCGTTTAAGAAACTTCCGCCCGAATCCGAAGCCGCGATCCGGCCGTCGATTGAGGCTCAAGACGGTGTAATCGGTGATGAGCCCGTCTTCATTGATACAATACCGTCGTCATCCCCGTCTCAACGAGTTATCGCTAGCCCTGCTGCAGATGTCAAGTTGCCTAGAAAGCGGCCAGTTAAGGTAATCGACGTCGACGGCGACGAACAACAGCCTCCTATGCAGCGTCAGCAGCGACGGAGGGAGACAGGTACCCGAAGCCAGTACTTTACATCTAACGATGCTGACCGTGACCCCATCTATGTCCCAAGGGAGACACGATCTGCCGGCACCGTTAAAATAGCCGTTGAAGATGATGGATCCCCACGCGCTAAGAGGAGACGAGTTAAGACCATCGATCTCTCGGACTAGCTGTGGTTTAGATCCCTCTTCGCTCCTCCGTCTGAGTGGAAAGAGAAGCCGGCATAGGTACAGAACAGGGCGGGTAGGGAGCTACCTGAGAGGGGAGGGGAGGGGAGGGACGAAGCGAATAGCATTTAGAACGGCGTTGTTTGTTGTTTATTGCGAAAGATACCAGAACGGTAGGCGTGTTATTCAGCGCATGATTTGTTTGACATGGCATTGTGCGATGAAGCCGCCTCTCAGCAGTTTTGTGCCGGGGGCTTGATAGATTCGGCCTGAGAAATGAAATTGAGCCTATCCGATTTATGATGTTGATGAACGAGTGTTAACCGACCGGTTTTTAAACCTGTTCCATCACTAGTATCTCTGGCTGAGGCCGTCCGTAAGAAGTGCTATAAATCTGTCTTAAATACCAGAGTGGTAGAATTCGGACATTTACATAAAAGACATCGATGCGAATCCTACAACGCGATGCTAGAAACGCCTCCCCATTTTACCACATTGGCTTCTTCTTTCAGTTCGAGAAGCGAAGTCTATCACCCAACCCCCAATCTATGTTTCTTCAGTCGGAATCATCGTCGGAAGAGTCCTGCTGCGCAACACCATTCTGCCGGGCGGATGCCCTCGGCACCTCGAAGACGACACCGCCATTCCTGCCTCCACCGGCCACCTTCCACCTTCCGAGCCGATGCTCTTTGCCCACGCCCGCAACGACGCAAAGGCCGTCCGATCCCCTGTCTCCTCTTTCAAATACAGCAATATCATTAATGACGCCCTTTATCGCCCAGCTATTGTCAGTCGTGTCCTCCTCACCATGACCACCCAGCACGCCAACGGGCTCGATCTTCTTCTTATCCTCGCTCAGACGCCAGACGCGCACGTAGCCATCCCAACTACCGGAAAGGATGACGTCCGAGTACGGTATCGTCTTCAGGGCGGTTATAAACCGGGGTGTCGCGACAGGCGTAGCCTCCGGCTTCGGCTCCTGCTCGGCGGAAAATTCTGACGGCGAGGGCGGCGGGTCGAGACCGTGGGCGATGGGCACGATGCAGACGGGCTTCTTCTTCTGCAGACTCCAGAGCTGTATGGAGCCGTTGTCGCTGCCAGTGACAAAGAGGTCGTCGTCGATCATGGCGACGCGGTCCATGCTGCCTTCGTGTCTGAGGGATCTGGGGTCGACGTCGAGTTGGGCTTTCTTGTCTACGGCGCCGCCGCGGAAGACTAGTTGGGATTCTTCCACGACTTTCCATAGACGAGCGGTTCTGTCCCGCGCACCGACGCTGACGCACCGTTCTTGGGCGAGGGCGTCGATGTCGACTACCTCGTCGCCGTGGCCGAACAAGGTCTGAACGTAGGCCATCTCATCCAGACTCCACACCTTGACCGTGCGGTCCTTTGAGCAGGAGTATAGCTGGTTCGTCCCCCTCCGGAAGGCTAGACCCGTCACGGCACCTCGGTGCTGCGTGAAGACTCGTCGAGGCGTCAAGGTCTCAGCATCGTAGATGATTAGACGCTTATCGGCACCGCCGGTCGCAACATACTTTCCGTCGGGAGATACGGCAACGCATAATATCTCCCCAACGTGCCTCTTGTAGTTTTTATCTGTCGCTTTTTGGAAGTTTCCTTTGAGGTAGTTTTCGAGCTCGGGCTTCTTCTTCGGAGGTGCGGGAGGTTTCTTGGGCTTCTTTTTCGGATTTTGGGGGTATTGGTTCTGGGGGAGATCTTGTATCCTCCACTTATGCAGGTGCAAATCTTTCGTCGTGGTGTAGGCGTATGGCTCCCTCGCCGCAATGGACGTTATGCTCAGCGTGTTGGCCTTGAACTGACAATGAGTGGCCTTGTCGAAGGCCAATTCCGCCGCAAGGTTGCGATAGACTTTTCCTTTCGACTCGGCAACGTCCTCCTCCAGCCTCGCGGCAATCAGGTCCCGGTCAAGATCGGCCGCGTCGAAGCCAACATCGTCGACCTGCTGCTTGACATTCTCGAGATATCGTTCGGCGAGTCTTAGACGGGCCTGGGCGGCGGTCTCTGCCTCCTCTTCAGATTCTGCAGAGGCGGCGTCGCTCGCACTCTCCACATCGCTTTCGAACTCGTCGGAGTCGCTGCCTGAAATCGACTCGTCTCGCTCTACTCGCTTCTTTGTCGCTCGTGGCGGGGCAGACTTCTTCGCGGCTTGGGCGGTCTTGCCATTGGTTTTGGACCCAGCAATTCGCTTCTTAGGTGCCTCTGGAGCGGAGGGTCGTTTCCTCTTCTTCAGGGAGCCCGGGACTGTGAAGAAGGAAGACATTGTTCGTGGTTTAGAGCGGCGAACGTCGAAACTCCGTGCCCTTCTGATCCCCACGTTAAGCAGTTACAATAATTTTTTTAAAGGGTCTACTGGATTCAGAAAAAAAAAAAAAGTTGTCCAGGCTCGATTTGCACTGGAAAAGAGTAGTGGGGCACATGCGACCAATGAAATCGATTTCTGGGTTATGGTCCGTGCAGTGGAAGAAGACCAAGGCGGTGAATCTAGGCAGAACTTCCAATACAATCCAGGCTGAAGCTGGTCTGCGCGTCGTGAGGTGAGATGGCTAGGTCGACCAGCACCTCCATCCCAAGCTCCAACCAAGCTCAACGACTCTCCGAACAGCCCAAACAACAATCACACATCCGCCCAAATTGACCCATCCTAACATCTTGAAAGGTCCATCACAGTGAATCACAGACACAATGTACGTTTCCATTGCCTAACCGGATTAATTTACTGATTGAGCAATGCTAACGCAAGTACGTCACTCGACAGGGAGGTACTCTTGGGCATAACTGGAAAGGACTTCACCATCATCGCGGCCTCGAAGGCGGCGATGCGCGGAGCGACGATCCTCAAGGCAGAGGATGACAAGACTCGGCAACTGAACAAGAGCACGCTTATGGCGTACTCTGGAGAGCCAGGCGACACAGGTTAGAGGGAACCCGGGGGCACACACCGTCTTCCAGCGGGCGATATGGTCAACCTAGCTAACGCCGAGCACTTATATAGTCCAATTCGCCGAATACATCCAGGCGAATGCCCAACTGTACTCGATGAGGAACGAGACCGATCTTTCTCCCTCCGCCCTCGCCCACTTCGTCCGCGGAGAGCTGGCCTCGAGCTTGAGGTCGCGCAAGCCCTACCACGTCAACCTCCTTCTCGGCGGTGTCGATCCCATCACCCACAAGCCCAGCCTGTACTGGCTCGACTACCTTGCGGCGCTTGCCCCCGTGCCATATGCGGCCCACGGATATGCGCAGTACGTGCCTCTTTGATTGTCTCATATATATTTTGCCAAGCACGGGCCAGCCAGCTAACGCGCTTGTGTGCGTCTAGATACTACTGTCTTTCAATCCTCGACAAGCACCATCATCCTGATATCACCCTTGGCCAAGGTATCAAAATCCTCAACATGTGTGCGGATGAGCTGAAAAGACGGTTACCCATCGATTTCAAGGGCTTGTTGGTCAAGGCCGTGACCAAGGATGGCATCCGGGATATCGAGTTCGACGATGACAAGGTGGTAAAGAGCGCGTAAAGAAGGATGGATGTGATGGAGGATAGGAAACGGGAATACTGTGTACCATTATTGCTGCTAGAGGGTCTACTTGGCCTGGATGCCAGAGGTAATTTGATAACGAAATACCTGAAAGGTCCATACTGGCCCGGTTTTCACATTGTTGCAGTTTCTTTGTCCGCGCCGACTGAGGGAGCACGGGAATGCGGCTGCAGCCAGTCTCTCTCTCTCTTCCCCCTAATTACCTAAAGCGGCAAATGATAGTAAATATCGGGTGGTATCCTGAGACTTAGCCTCTCGGAATTTATTTTTTGCCCTTAGTGCAGTCGATGGTGGAAGTCCCTACTTCTCTTACCCCAGACAACATACCCCGAACACATCACTCATTACGCAGTACACATGGCAGGAAAGCCTTGTCCGACATTTAAGAGGATCGGAGAGAAACCTGGGGTGCGTACCCTTCGCTTCTGGGCCATGTGACCCGTCTCTTCCACCCATTTTTAAGCCTGCATATCGTTAGGTTCGGAGGCATCCAGTCATCCTCAAGTTCCATGGCTCAACATCCAATGGCAGAGGGGGAAAGCCTGCATTGCATGAGCATCATGTATCTGCCCCTATGAGGTGAGACTATTATCATAAGACTTCAAAAGGAAATTGTTGGCGATATTCCAATTATTTTTCCCTTCTCAGTTCTTATGAGGACTAGATGGAAAAAGATGGATAGGAAGAAGGATATGCTGCGAGTCTCGACGCCTCTTTGCTTCGCATATGTTTAACCAATGACACAGCCAGCCAGCCGCCTTCTTTAGTCTGTCAATGATGTTAAGGGGGTGAAGGGACTCTACTCTGTACAATCCGTGCCTCCTGATAATTCCTAATTTGCTACTTCCTTCTGAGAGGGTATTGTACAATCAAAGCTGTAGAGTGAACCTGAAAGTTGAGATGTACAAAGCAAGAGATGGGAAGGAGCAATGTTGAAACTAGGCTAGGTATCACATCCAAATGAACAGGAAAGAACGATCTCATCTCACTATTTTCCCAAAGCAGGAGGAGAGCCAGCCCCAATCTTTCAGTGCAGTAAGGATTCCTCAACTCAGAGTTTGAAGTCTCAAATTCTTTCCCCCAACCATCTCTCTACATCTCACCCGACCACTCTTCTCACCACGCTTCCTCATCCTCTCATATCATCATCACCATAAGCAACAACCAACCATTTCTGCATCCAGCGAAAACCTTCCAGCCACACGAGGGTCCAGCCGAAACCTTATCATTACAGGCACAAAAAAAGCCTGGTTCCAAATACAAGTAAGTTGATCTGTTTCGGTTTTCTCCTCGCTATGACCTGACCCTTGCCACCCGCCACCCCCCATACATCGCCCAGTTGACGCTGGCGCCAATCATTGGCCTCCCGAAGACGAAGCGAACACCCTAGAAAAAACGTGGTGACTCGCTATTTTCTCGGAGAACCGGGCAAGTGCCTGGTGGTTCCAATGTCTGCGAGGTGCGAACTAGATTTACCCTCAAGAGTTAAACGTTCCCACGTCGCCAGCTGTTTCTTCGGATCCGCGAATGCACTGCCAGCGGGCAAGGCGTGTCGTGTCTTTGGCCAGGCAGCACAGGCCCTTGGCTCGGCGACCGCGAGAGGCAACTGGAGGACGCGCCTAACCCTTTTTGGCCAACCCCCAAACCCATCAAAAATTTGCACTGTTTCTGACTGGTCAAAAAAATTATCCCACCCTCGCCTTCCCTTTAACTATAACTATTTGGACCCAAATTTTTTCTCTACATATTTTTCTTTCCCTTCCTCAACCCTTACACACTCCTCTTCCCTCCCCCCAAATTTCTTCAAATTCAACGAACATCTCCCCTCTACGTTACGAGACGAGGTGATAGAGACACACGCGTCCCTGTTGCCACGAAGTTTTCAAATAGACTTTTTTTCGACCTCTTGTCTTTCCTTTGAAGATTGTTTCTTTTCGTTTCTTCCAGAGGAAATACAAGTTTTTCGGTTTTTTCTTGTTACTGATATAATCTCGTGTATCTATTTCAGCCGTACACGAAACGCCATCCAGACCTAATAGATTCGAGAAGAGTTGATAGAGCCTCACCCTCATCTTCCCTTCACCGAGACAGTCAAGTTTGGACCATTTTTGTGCTTTATTTCGCCGTCGAACGACCTTCGTTTCAGTTACGACGATCTGATTATTTCGTTTGACACTACGACAACAAACGAGATTCTCCTCAAAACGCGAACGCATCCATCCAACTCAATCAACTCGACACCCATCATGGCTGAACAGCTCAACATGGGAGGCTTGAGCCTCGATAACACCCAGGGTGGCGCGCCCTCTGGCGGTCGCTCCTACATTCCTCCTCATATGCGAGGCAAGGTTGCCGCTGCCAACCCCCAGAACGGCCCCGTTAACGGCAACGGTCCTGCCAACGGCCTGAACAACAGCGCCTGGGCCAAGTATGCTGCTCCCTTTTCTTCGCCACCCCGCCCCCTTGATGACACGTCGAATGCTAACATGACACGTCTTTCCAGCAATAACAACTACAATGCTCGTCCCTCCGGTGGTTGGGGCGGCATGGGAGGTGGCGGCTCCGGCCGCGGACGATCCTGGGCCGGCGATGGCGGCCAGCGCGGCGGTTATGGTGGTTCCCGTGGCTACGGCCATCAGGGCGGTGGTGGCGGCTACGCCCGAGGCGGATCTGGTGCTGGTCAGTGGGTCAACGGCAAGCACATCCCCGGTGCCAAGAACGCTCAGCTTGAGCGAGAACTCTTCGGAACTCCCGACGACCCTTCCAAGCAGCACACTGGCATCAACTTCGAGAAGTACAACGACATCCCTGTCGAGGCTTCCGGTGACAATGTTCCCGACCCGGTCGAGACCTTCACAAGCCCCCCTCTCGACGAACATCTCATTGAGAACATCAGCCTTGCTAGTTACAAGGTCCCGACTCCTGTCCAGAAGTACTCCATTCCCATTGTCATGGGCGGCCGTGATTTGATGGCTTGCGCCCAGACTGGTTCCGGAAAGACTGGTGGTTTCTTGTTCCCCATTCTCTCTCAGGCCTTTATTAACGGCCCCTCCAACCTTCCGGTTCAGGCTGGTCATCAGCGCAAGGCCTTCCCCACCTCTCTCATCCTCGCCCCGACCCGAGAGTTGGTTTCTCAGATTTACGACGAGGCTCGCAAGTTCGCCTATCGATCCTGGGTCCGACCTTGCGTCGTCTACGGTGGTGCTGACATTGGCGGTCAGCTTCGCCAGATCGAGCGTGGCTGCGATCTCCTTGTTGCCACCCCTGGTCGTCTTGTCGACCTGATCGAGCGCGGCAGGATCTCCCTTCAGAACATTAAGTATCTTGTGTTGGATGAGGCCGACCGAATGCTCGACATGGGTTTTGAACCCCAGATTCGCCGCATCGTTGAGGGTGAGGACATGCCTGGCGTCCACGACCGCCAGACCCTTATGTTCTCGGCCACTTTCCCCCGTGACATTCAGGTCCTCGCCCGTGACTTCTTGAAGGATTACGTCTTCCTTTCTGTTGGTCGCGTTGGTTCTACTTCTGAGAACATTACCCAGAAGATTGAATACGTCGAGGACGTTGACAAGCGATCCGTCCTTTTGGACATTCTTCACACCCATGGCAGCGGCTTGACGCTTATCTTCGTTGAGACCAAGCGCATGGCCGACTCTCTCTCGGATTTCCTGATCCAGCAGAACTTCCCTGCCACCTCCATTCATGGCGACCGAACCCAGCGTGAGCGTGAGCGAGCTCTCGAGTTCTTCAGGAATGGTCGCTGCCCCATCCTTGTCGCCACTGCTGTTGCCGCTCGTGGTCTCGATATTCCCAACGTCACCCACGTCATCAACTACGATCTCCCCACCGACATTGACGATTACGTTCATCGAATCGGCCGTACCGGTCGTGCTGGTAACACTGGTCTTTCGACAGCCTTCTTCAACCGAGGCAACCGAGGTGTTGTCCGCGGCCTCATTGAGCTACTCCGGGAAGCCAACCAGGAAATTCCCAGCTTCCTTGAGACCATTGCCCGCGAGTCCAGCTACGGCAGCAGCGGTCGCGGCCGTGGCGGTGGCCGAGGACGCGGCCATGGCGGCGCCAACCGTGACTACCGAAAGTATGGTGGTGGTGGCGGCGGCGGCGGCTTCGGTGGCTTCGGCGGTGGTCCCCAGGGAGGCTCCGGCTACGGCGGTGGCTATGGTGGCCCCCCTCCTGCCAGTTCCGGCTATGGCGGTGGCGGCTATGGCGGTGGTGGTTATGGCGGTGGTAGCTACGGCAACCCCGGTGGTCCTGGCGGCCAGTCTTCCTGGTGGTAAACACCAGGTTCCTTCTGTCTGCTCGGGGAGGTCGTATGAAACTGAGGTCATCAGCCTTGGACGAAACCCCCCTCCCCCTACACTGACCATGAAAATGGTCACCTCGAGAGCAAGAAGGGTTTGCCTTTGATCCACGCTTGACACCGCACCTGGCCTGATTGGCCCCGCGGTCGTCTCCTTTTCTTTTTCATTCAACGGAATAGTCCCGGTCGATACTGCTTTTTTTTCCCACTTTGATTCGTCTTTTTCTTTTGCGTCATTTCCGTCACGGCCAACCATGACCCAGACACGCGATTCGGATGCCCGTCAGGAGAAGGGTAAATCGTAGGATCATCCACGAGATGATCCTTTTTCTGATTTTGATTTGCTGGACCTCATTCGCATTTGATACCCTTGGTGATCGATTGGGAAACTGCGACGACAAAAAAGCATTTGGAACGCATTCACTGGCGTTCTAAGAGTGGTGCGCGACTTTTTCGATCTAGGGTCTCCAACACGGGGAGGGATCCCAGATCTTTCGAGAGTCATTGCATCACAACGATAATGTTTTTTCTGGTCTCATTTTTTTCTGTCATCGCGGTTTGTTTCCCAGACAGCCTTGAGGGCATTTTACTCGTTTTTCACGATAGACAAAAAGGGTCATGGCATCGGCCGCGCTTTTTTCACGACATTTTGTTTTTCTGTTATCCCCATAGACAAAAGTTGATTTCTCGGTTCACCAAGTCGAGGATGCTCGATCGGTCTCTCCTACGGCAACAGGAGCTTTGCACACAGATGCTAATAGAGAGGGACATGAGCATTAGACTGGTAATATTAGGACAACGGACGGATTTTCATTTTTTATTTCGGCCTCGTCGTTTCGAGACATGAGGGAGGGTCCTACGCGGAGGGCCTTTTTTCTTCAAGGACGCTCCACCCAAGGAAGGGAAACATGCGAAAGGAAAGAAAAATGGATGTTTTTGTTTTCTAGGTCTTTGGAGGAGGGACTGGTTGATTTGAGTGGAAACATGATACCCCCTTCCCACAATTACAGGGTCCTTTTTTGTTCTTTTGAACATTGCTCTCGAAAGCAACGACATAGACGAGGCGCTCGAACAGGCATGGAATGGATCTTTTTTTAGTCCCCGGCGGCAGGACCGGGTCCATGGTGAGAAGATGGACCTGGGGCTGCGCTGGGGCGGCGTCTTTCATGGACATAGGAACGGACATTACATGCACGGGGTGAAGGCTTTATTTTGAGTGCCTTATGAGTGCCCCCTCGTTTAACGAGCCAGTCTGGGCTGAGAAGTCAAGCAAAAAATAAAAATGCTCAATGATTTGAGTTTGCAGGCAATTCCTGACTTGTGCTCTCTTTTGGATAATTCGATGTGATTGATGTGCTCTCTTTGTTCACCCAAGTCTTGTAAATGGTCGACTCTATCTCGACGCAGCATCATGAAAATGAAAGTACTTTGTAGCGAGCGACCTCAGAGTTGATGATGAGGATGGTACCTTGACTGTGCTAATTCAATCCTGTAACTGTTTATTTTTAGTACCACTCCATATTTGGTTTCGAAGGAGTGTACAATAATGCCGTGAATATCCGCACTGTTCTGTATATGCCGATCCAGGAACCCGTTTCAAAGCTGCTCTGAACTGAGATTTGGTTGTTCCACGGTGAATCAACTTCAGCTCACTCATTGCGGCGCAGCCTATCACAGCCAGCAGATGCCCAACCCATACAGCCTCCTGCATTTCGCCAACGTGTATTATCGACAGCCGATGGTATCGGGGAATCTATTCCGACCCTTGCCTGACACTTTTTTATCTCCCAAATCCATCAACAGCTTCGCGAATCGATAAAGAAACGCACGACCGGAACTTAAGTTGCCTTACAGCAACATAATAATCCAGGGACGCATCCGAGAGAATAGATCCTCCGCCGCCGGACCAACCTCGGAATCGGAATCGGGCCACGCTGAACCCGTTACAGCGATCGGAAGACACGAGCAGTCCCCACGAAATAAACGAACGTTGCGACGTGCCCCGGTATTCGTCTCGTTTCTTTTCCTCCCGAAACCGACAAGATACTTTTACACAGAGAGAGGATAAAAAATGGGTGCATTCGATAATCTCTTGCTCGGCGTAGACGAAGGCGTCTCGGGCATCTTCTCGCAATGGAACGTCTACACAACAGCGCTAGCAGGCGTGCTTGCCGCGGGGGTGACGTACCACGTCGCGACATCAGTGGATCCCGATACGCATCCTCTGCGGTTGGCGAGGCAGTCTCTTCCGAACCTCGTAAGGCAGGAGGGCGAGAGCGCGCTCTATAGGTCTTCGGATCTCGGGGGCGGCGAGCTGAGGACCGGTCTGGAGGTTAGGAAGAAGGGAGCGCTGAAGTGGTCGAAGGGGAGTGATGGGGACTTGAGGGATGTATGGAGGCAGGTGGTGCAGGGGGCCGAGAAGAGGGAGGGTGTTGAGGCTGGTGCGAGGGGGAAGCTTCTTACAGTTCATGGGGCACAGAAGGTTACGGAGCACAAGATTGGTAAGGTTTCCTCTATTTTTTATTATTTTCTCATTTTCTTTTACGGAGAAGGAGAAGTGGAATCGGCAGTAGCTAACGTTTTTACTATCAGAGGAGATTACCAGGGCGATCAACCTTATCGGTCAACACATTTCCCAGCAGGGCGGCATCCGCGTGGCCATCTACCTCCCCAACAGCATCGAGCTCCTCGTCACGCTCTTCGCCTGCTCCTTCTACCCGAACCTCACGACCATCCTCATTCCCTTCGGTGCATCCCCCGATGAGCTGATCTCGATGCTCCGCCGCTCCGCCGCGGACACCGTAGTTGCTGCCCCCGGTACCTTCCCATTCGATGGCGTCGTCAAGGCGTACCCTTCCCTCAGGAACCTCATCTGGGTTGTTGACGAGGGCTCATCTCATATGGACTGGAACGAAATCCCCGAGGGTATGGGAGGCAGCGTCAACGTGGCCACGTGGCAGGAGATCGTCGACGAGAGCCCGCTCCAGGCTGGACTCGAGCTTCCTGAGGACGGACCCGAACCGGGGCCCGTGGTGGTCTTCTGGCAGGGGAAGCCGGGTACACTTGAGGAGATGGTCAAGTTTACGCAGAAGAACATTGTTGCCGGTATGGCTTCCATCTTAGGGAGCGTGCCTTCGAATGAGCGGATGGGACCTGCGGATGTGCTCCTGCCGGCGGACTCTCTGTCGAATATGTACACCCTCGTGGTGACCCTCTCCGCTCTCTACGCCAACGCCTCTGTAGCGTTTAACTCGGTCGCCGGGCGTGACACCGACCTCGTCCTCGCGACGCAAGGAGTCTCGCCAACGATCCTTGTCGCGGCACCCGAGACCTTGGCCCGCGTTCACGAGGAGTCATCCTCCAAGGTAACGTCAGCACTCCAGTCGGCCGCTCTCCGCTCCCAACTCCGCACGCTCAGCCAAAAGGGAGCATTCCCATCGCCTAACTCCTTCTGGGGCAACTTCCTCGCTCCCACACGTCCTATCGTCGGCTCGGGCGCTTCGAAGCTGCGGCTCGTGTTCGTCGGCGAGCGCGCGGACGGAGGAGCGCCACCGCTCTCGTCGAAGCAGCTCGCGGAGCTGAGGGTGTTCCTCGGCGCGCGTGTTTTGTATGCGCTCACGGCGGCGGGGGTGGCGGGCCCCGTGGCGCAGACTTGGTTGTATGATTATCGCGTCTTCGAGGAGGGGGCGTATTCGCACTTTGGACCGCCTAGTCTTAGTGTGGAGGTATTTTTGAGGGATAACGGCGAGTATAAGACTACGGATGACAAGGTTGAGGGAGAGGTAAGCGATCTAGACCCATCTTTGGCGCTACGATTTTTTTTTTTCTTTTTGGAGCAAAACGCTAACTTATTGGATGAAATAACAGATTGTTGCTCGTGGACCTAGTGTTGCACGTGGAGAGTTGGCGCTTGGGGTGAATGGTAGGATTAGGGAGGATAACACGCTGGCCTACGTATAACACAGAGGATCGATCTACAGTAGGATCCGTCGTGTACGTACTTGTACGTACTTCGTGGTATCTCCTGAGATTTAATGGTTATGTTGTTTTGGTTTACTAGTTTCTACTCTAGCTTGGCGATTTATGCTAGGATGATGCTCGACTCTCGTAATGAAGGCTTATGTCTCTCCATTTCTTCATGTTAATGGCTTTGTTCTACTATTGCAGGTTGCTATTGAGAGAGCTAGGGGCTTGAGTGGCCAGGCAGGTTGATGACCCCAGCTACTGGGTATTGGACAGAGCTGGTTTACTGGTTTACCGGTCCGCAAAGCTGAACCCCAATGCAGACACGGGGAAGCAGTAGCGGTGTGGGAGAGCTGTCAGGCACCGAGCTGCGTGGTCATGCTCTGCCGGTCACCAGACCAAGAGCGGCCTCTCTGTCAACTCTGCAAATATTTTTGCGAATATTTCCATTTTTGTAAGGTGTCGAATCGGGTTTAGATAGGCGAGAGTCTAGCTTAGTTGGACCACGTTTACTCCAGCTGCGGTATGATTCATTGCTGTCGCGGATCCGGCCCTGCCGTTGGTAACCGTAGCTGGTGATCTGGCGCTGCTCAAAAGGAGTGGTTCACTCTGAGGCAGACCGGTCGCTTTCACCGCAAGACAGACAGCTAATTGACGGGTAAGGCGGAATAAGAAATAAACGTCAATGCAGTTGGGCTGGGTCTGGTCGTCGTCTTCGCTGGCACTACTCCGTACGTTGTAAGTTATTTCGATTATTCTTGCCTCCGGAGGTCGGATGTCGGATGGCGAAGGGCGGGAAAGTACGACCCAGATAGAACAGATCCTGAGTTATCCATCCACATGGGATCGATCTATTTAATTGATCTTGTAAATACAAAGTGAAGCATAATGAGTATATGACTCTTACCGGCGAGTAAAACTCCTCGCATGGCTGCCCCGCCCATCGCCAGCAACGACGAGAGGCATTCCGAAGTAGGAATCCATCCCTTTGTTTCTTTGTTTCTCTGCCCCTCCACGTCAACGAAATCCGCCAAGTCTGCATCCGCAGTCAATTTTACGTTAGTTTTAACCCACCCTGAGATACTTCGTACCGGAGCAGTACATGTAAGACGACGTCAACCTCACCCCTCCTAGAAACAAATTGAACTCTACAACATAGACACATTGTGTGGCGTTGACCGTTCTTTTCCTCTTTTTTTTTAATGTTTCCTTTTGGTCTCTCCTAATTCTAGTCAATTGTTCTTTTTTCTGATCATTCAAACTGGAAACTAGCACAGGAATAAACACAGCAAATATGACGTCCGAAGCTACCAACTCGGCCCCCCAGACCAAGATCGCCGTTTACTGCGGTGCCTCCCCCGGCCACAACCCCAAGCATCTAGCCATGGCACGCGAGCTGGCTCATGCGATGGCGGAGAACAACATTGGCCTAGGTAAGTTTACTTCCGCCGTGTCTCTTCTTTTTTTGGGAGGGGGGTTGGGGGGGGGGGGGGGGGGGGGGGGGGGAGCACATGCAGCTCTCTCGTTCTCTGTGGAAGCTATTCTCGCCACCGAAGAACGGAGCTCCCCTCCAACCTTCGGTTTTCCTTTCCACCAGGCTAACTTCTTCTCTCCAGTATACGGAGGAGGCACCATCGGCATCATGGGTGAAATAGCACGCACCCTCGTCTCCCTCTCCGGCCCCTCCTCCGTCCACGGCGTGATCCCCGACCCCCTCATCCGCTACGAACGCAACCTCCCCACCAAAGCCTCCGACTTCTCGGGCACCGGCAACCCTGATCTCAACCCCGTGCTGCCTGACGAGGCCGTGTTCGGCCGCACCACCGTCGTCCCGGACATGCACACCCGCAAGAAGCTCATGGCGCAGGAAGTGTTCAACGGCGGGCCCGGCAGCGGCTTCATCGCCCTCTCGGGCGGCTACGGCACCATTGAGGAGATGTTCGAGACGGCTACCTGGAACCAGCTGGGTATTCACAAGAACGGCATCTGTCTGCTCAACGTCGATGGGTTCTTCGACGGTATTCTGCAGTGGATCGAGAAGTCGAGTAGCGAAGGATTCATCTCGCCTGCGAATAAGGGGATCGTCGTGACGGCTACGGATGCTAAGGGCGCTTTGAAGCAGTTGAGGGAGTATAAGCTCTCGGCGGATACGATGAAGCTTGAGTGGGGAGATCAGTGAGCTCCTTTTTTGGATGGGGGTGTTTTTGGAGCGGATTGCCTTCTGTTATTTGTTCTTTTCTTTTCTTTTTCTTTTTCTTTTTTTTTTTTTTTTTTTTTTTTTGTTGTTGTTGTTCACTTTTCCCACTCATTCATTTTTGATTCTTCATGTCCTCTTGATATTCGTCCGTTTGGAGTCATTAGAAGGGGAGGAGTTTCTTTTAGATCTCAGGTTCTCCTGCGGCGGGGGTAGGTAATGGAAAGATGGGGGGAAAAGGGCATCGAGGGCGTTGGTCTAGACGCTAGAGCGAGCTTTACAGCAACTCGTGACTTCACTCAATCCCAGTATTGACTCTTCTCACCACTATCTACTGAGTCGTCCAACCAAGCCCAACTGTGTTTTCCCAGGGCCATGGTCGAGGCGGGAGACGGATTACCCGAGGAATATGTTCTTTGCGTTGATTGCCTGGAACCTCTCGCGCCGTTCTAGTTGTACAAGTAGCTGTCCACAGACCCGTAGCCTCCTTATTCCACTATCGTCTCTCCCTCGTCGTTTATGTCGTTCCCCTTCATGCATCCCCAATAGACATGTCATTCGCACGCAGCTAAACTCAAGCATGTGAATCCCTACTCGCTCCCCCTTCAACCATCAACATCCATGCCCTCCGCCCTCTCAGTATTAGCGGCCTCGATCCAGTCCTTGACGTCTTGTCCGTCATACACCTTGAACACATCGGTAATCTTGCCATTAGGCCCCACACCAACATACGCCACCGAAGTGTTATCGACCGTAAGCTCCTTATCCTGAGCCAAACTCTCCTTGAGAGCATTAAGGCCGTGCGTGATGAGCTCCTCGCGATCACACTCAGCAAACTCCTCAATATGCTTCTCGAGATAAGTCCTCGCCATCTGCGACCGCGCACCAATGGCGAAAGCCACCACCTCCTCCGTCAAGCCCGAGGGCTGCGTCGTGAACAGATGGGGACCCTCGTTGTCGGCCCCCGCCACGAGGAGGCCGACGCCGTAGGGCCGACGGCCGTAGTGCTGGGTGTTGTACTGCTCCTTCTCGCCGATCATGTCGACGAGGTCGGAGATCTTGAGGGCGCGGGCCATGGTGAAGCGGTGGCTGAGGCACTGGTTCTTCATGAAGTTGGAGAGGACGCGGGCGTCGGAGGTGAGGCCTGCGATGCCGATGCCGACGTGCTCGTCGATGGCGAAGAGTTTCTTTTGGTACGAGGAGAGTTCTTCGGCGTTGCGCTGGGGAGATTGAGAATCGCGTTAGTTGGCGGCCGGGGAAAGGATGTGTTTGTGTGTGCAGAGACATAGAAGTGGTAGAAGCTAAGGAGGGCCATGTTTACCTTGATTGCGCAGAGGACGGCGTGTGTCTTGCCCGTGAGGCCGACGACTACTGAACCTTGCTTGACCGACTCGGTGGCATATTCGATCTGGAAGATGCGCCCTTGCGGCGAGCTGTTTGTTGCGAGTTAGTAATTGGCGGACAAAAGACGCCAGCTGGGGCCAGAAGAGACTAGGGTGGGGGGGAAGCGAAGCGGCCGGCGTACAAGGTGACAGTATCGTTATCGTAGTTGTTCCTAAACATATTGTATGTGTGTGGCGGCCAACAATTTCTCTACGATGGAGACAAAGAGAGGGAACGGATGGCGGTGCGATCCAGCTGTTTTCGAATTGAGGACGGCTATCCTCGAGACTTCGAATCGGGTATCACAACAGAGACGGAAAACTTAGTAAAGAGAAGGGGCCACAGGTTCGAAGAATAGTCCCAATGACTGGATACGTTGATTGTGCGTCGAGTTCGCGCCAAGGGCAGTGGTGGAGGGAAATTGAGAGGTGGTGATGGAGAGGATGGTTGATAGACGAGGCGCTGCAGCTAACACGCAAGAAGCAGCACTCAGCAAGGCCCAGGCAGCTCAAGCTGTCGTTGCTCGGGGCCTCCTCCGCTGGGCTGGCGAGGCGTGCATCAATCTTACTGGCTCGTCCACGAGGTGTGGCTCTAACCGCTATGTCGGCGATCGGCGATACCTTTATCCGTGGTTAGTCATCGGTTGACCTTGAGCAGACTGCTGACTGTATAGTGTACACGAGGACTTCCCCGTCTACAGCCGTTTTGGTGTCGCATCCAGCCTTGAATGACGGCAACATGCGATAGCTTCCTTCTAAAGCCTACGCCAGCTCCGACGTCGCCGTAACTCGACTGCTTGCCCGCCTTCTCCCTGCTATTTTCTCGCACCTATTTCTACCATCGCGGACTGATCTAGATCGACTCTCCCGCCTTTTCGAATAGAGTAATTCCACACGAATAGCCGATTTCCTATCTTGTCTGTGCCTTCCGCTCAAGTGTCCACCAGGCAGCCCCCTCAGCCGATTCTCCAACAACAAGCCCACTCCTGCAGACGAACCCGCCGAACAGAACACAAAACCTGTCCGGTCTTAGACCCGCCAACTACGCAACTACGCGAAACATACATTAACTCTATCCCCGAAACGAGCGAAAAACCCCCAAGCCCTCCTCTCCAAAATGACCGCCGGTCTCAAAACAATCATCGCCCTCTCCTTCGTCCTCGCCGTAGGCTTCCTCCTCGTCATCCTCTCCTGCGCCCTCTGGAAGGTCTACTACCCCCTCCTCGTCGTCGCCACCTACGTCCTCGCGCCAGTACCGAACTGGATCTGTAGTCACTGTGCGAATCCGGATGACTACGAGAGCTCGAGTTCGGCGATTCTCGATTTGGGGAAGTTTTGTACCGGCTTTTTGGTAGTGATGGGAATGGGTGAGTTTTTTTCGGTCCTTGAAGATATTTTTGAAGGAGGTGGGACAAGGTGCTAATGTTAGACTCGTGCAGCTCTTCCCGTCGTGTTGGCGCATGCGGGCTTGATTCAGGTTGAGGCTATGATCATGTCGATAACCGGCGGCCTGCTCATCTACGGTACCATTATCTCCTTCGGCATGTTCTTCCAAGAGGAACAGGACTTCTAAGGGAATCACGGGGAAGGCGGGAGCAATATGGAAGTAATAGTGAGAACCTGAAATGAACAAAACAAAGCATGGTTTGAGAAATTTGTTTCTTCGAGGGTCTGGATTTGGGAGGGGCTTAACTTTGTTTTCGTGGGATAGGACTGTACATCACATCCGGGAAAGGAACGTCTTTTATCTCTCTTTTATTGGCCGGTCAAGTCTGGGAGAGGTCAATGCCCATAAAGGCAAGATGAGCTGTTGGGCAGGCCGCAGACTACTATGAGCGAGCGATGGTAGATTCAGGGTCTAGCTATTTCTACTTTGTCTTACGGGTATGGCATTGCATTGATGTTGCTCTTCCGTCTGCTCTTCTTGTCGAGTGCTGTGCTTGGGGACTCTAACAATCAGTGTCAAAGATGATTAATGTTGAATTGATCGGAGATCTCTCTTCTATCTGTTAAATGAGTCTAAACATGTAAAAAGACGTCTACGTCTATCTCGGATTCCAAATCACACTGCGCCTTATCCTAATATCAACGCCCTACCCTACGCCTCGTGTGGCGTCCCCAGCTTTCTCAACGCAATCCCCCAAACAACCCCATCGAGCCCTCCAACTTCGTAAACATCTCATCGCATTCACCCTCCGCCGTGCTCAAAGTCGTGACGGCACCGCCCGCCCCAACATGCCACACCTCTCCACACTCACCTCCGCCACGCCCTGTGCACCCGGGTTGACCGCAGGCACATTCGTCATCGTACCTAAACAGACAGCGGATATTGACGCTCCAGTCCGACTTCCCAGTGACGTCCACGTAGCCCACGACGCCGGAGTATATCCCGCGTTCATGGAAGCGCTCGACGGCGCGAAGGATCTCGCAGCTCCGTTTCTTGGGCGCTCCAGTCATGCTTCCCGGCGGCAGGGATGCCGATAAAACGTCAATGGCTGTGTATCTTGCTCCTTCTTCTCCCTCTTCTCCTTCGGACTCGGGAAGCTGTCCTTTCACGACGGTGATCATTTGGAACACAGAAGCGTACTCCTCTATTTTCAAAAGATGCGGCACGGAGATTCTCCCCGGCCCGCACACGCCATGAAGATCGTGGCGGACAAGATCGACGATCATGAGGTTCTCCGCTTCTTCCTTGGGGATGCGCAGGAGCTTTTCGGCGTCGGCGAGGGTGCGCACGGTATCAGACTTCTTGGCCGTGCCTTTCATGGGGTGCATGGCGCAGACACCGTCGCGCGAGCAGCTCAGGAACCTCTCCGGGGAGCTGCTCACGAACGTGGCACCTTGTAACCGGATGTAAGAACCGAAGGGGGCGGGTTGTCTAGCGCGTAGACGTTTGTAGAGACTCCAGGGGCTCTCAAGTTCAGATGCCTGTGAGAGCCCGTTAAGCTTGGCACCAGTGATGACTCCGTTTCCGTTGGTAGCGGGAGTAGCACCGCTAATGGATGGAGAAGACTTCTTAAGTCGGCGAACAAAGACCTTGTCCGTGAGGCAGAGCTCGTAGGATTCGCCTTTGGCAATGTAGTCCTGGCATTCTTCCACCTTCGCCATGTACTTCGTCCTCGAGTGGAAACTGATCTGGGCATTCCCAGCGGAGCCATTCACAGTGGCGGGGACTTTAGGAGCGGAAACCCCGTTTTGCTTATCCGCCGACGCCTTCCACACAGACGAGGACTGTAGCCTGTGGATAACACTATCAATCCAGTCGCCATCCTGTGCATGCTTCGGTCTCAGTTCTTGCACGTAAACAGACCCGCTGACATGGTCAACAATAAGACTTCTCGTGACCCACACCCAATGAAAGTCCGGTCTGCTTGAGCTCCGATCCTTCGGTAAAGGGATGCCTATATCATGGAGACCCATCTCATATGAGACGTAGCCCATGAAGCCGCCCAAAAACGGTGATTCGTAGCCTTCGGGGGTGCGCACCCGACGATGACTGAGAAAATCCGAGACGAATTGCCAAACGCTCCCACCCCACAAAGTCTCGAGGTGAACGCTACTGAATACCTCCTCTTTTCCCGGAATCTTGGCTTCTAGCTGGCCATCACCCGCACGATATCGAACCTGGAGAGACCTGGCTACGTCGAGAGCGATGATGCTGTGTCGGCCCCTGACATCCGCTGTTCCCGGCGGGAGCTTGACATCGCAGTTCGAAGAGTCTAGTACGATCTGATCGCCATCGGGTCCGCCTAGAAGCTCAACGAGGTCGGGCACTGTGATGTGCGAGGGCAAGCTGATCGTGCGCCAAATGAAATCGAAGTCCAAGCCGACTCCCGCGAGAGCGCTAGCTCCATTCATATATCCTTGCCCTACGGACGTCTTGTTCCGAGAGTGTGCCTCTGCCATCATGCCAAGGTAACTTGGGGTCACGCAGAACCTAGCAAAAGGCTCACTAGAAGTGACGGTTCGTCGTCCGCGTTTCTCATTCCATTCCAGGGCCTCCTCAAACCAGTTCCGTATCACTTTTTGGCCGGCTGTTTCGGTACACACCGATTCGGGATGATACTGGACACCCCAGAACGGGCGCTCGGAATGCTTAGCAGCCATCAGAATCCTCTCAATCCCGTCTTCCCGCGCTTCCTCTACCCACGCCAGCGGAACCATGTCGGGGCACTTGTTGAAACGTCCCCACTTGGCAGTGGTCCATTCTGAAGGGGAAATGTCGTCCTGTCCAACATCGACGCACAAGCTGTGATATAGCGTAGCTTTAAAGGGAGACGCACCAGCGAAAATGTCGCTTTCCACGGATTCCGAAGCAGCCCTGTACTCGATTTGCCGAATCATACCGTGAAGCCCCTGTCTAAGCTGCCGGATCTCCGCTCCAAAAGTGCACAGCAGGCTCTGGAACCCCAGGCATACGCCCAGGACGGGAAGCACATGTTCCTCGTCCAAGTCCCAGACATGCCGCATCAGGCCAACATCCTTCTCGTTCACCGGAGATCCGGGCCCGGGACCGCAGACGACAGCATCGAAGTGAGCCAACTCTCGGTGCCAGTCATCCTTGAAATTCGCTGAGTGAGGATCAAATCGGGCCTCGTCTATCCGCAAAACTTTGACATCCACGTCGAGCAGCGTCGTTAATAGAGAGACGATATTATTGGAAAAAGAGTCATAGGCGTCTAAGAACAAAATCCGGCGGCGCGACATTTTGTGCATTAGGGACCTACAGCCCCCAGCGGTAAGGGACAGTAATTATGCCTAAGGAGAAGAGTATGAAAATTGGAAAGGGAAAATAAAATATAACGAAAAAAGAAATTGGTTGAGAAAACGTGCAATGACGTTTTTCAGCTGGAATTTCTGGGGAAGCTGCGAGTTTAAGAAATTCCTCGGTGAGCGGTGAAGTTTGTGGCGGCCAGACTCGGAAACCTTCGGAGCGGAAACGGTCAAGCCCGAATTTCAATAACGTTGAAGAGGCCCCCCTGTTTAGGGGCGGCAGTAACAATTAGCGCCACTAGCTAAATTGGACGACCCTGCGGAGCTATTCCGGAATGGTAAGAGAGAGAGAGAGACGAGAGAGAGACAGTGAGAGACTGACGAAGCATGCGAGAACTGAAGCCTCAACAGAGAGAGTCACACATTGGTCTTGTTGTCGTGTCCTAAGACATTGATCGATAGCCATAAAGCCTCTTCAGGCATTAATCGTAAACTATTACACGACCGCTAGATGCAGAAGCTCTCACCGCCGTAATGCTGCTACTTCATATCATCCATGCTACATACATACTACTTCGTAGAAAAAGAAGAACAACATCATGAACCTCCCCAATCATCATTCGTCTTACTCCTGATCCCGTACAGTAACCAGACAAGGCCTCCGAGCATGCCATATCCTCCTCTCTCTCTTCCCCAACACCGCATCGAGCATCGTCTGCGTGTCGGACCGTGCTCTCGCGCCGGATTTCTCCTTCTCGTCTGCTTCCTCCTCATCAGCGTCCCGCCATAAGACAGTCTCCTCTACTGAGGCCGTTATCTCGAACTGTCCTCGGCACAATACGGTCACCCCGAGGATGACGTCGGTGCTACTCTTGGCGTCCAAGAGAGGGAGGACCTGTTGTAACGTCCCGTTCCAGGCGAACTTTCTTGAGTAGTCTAGCGCGACGTTGCTAGGCCTGTTGCAGAGGGCCGGCATCAGCCGGAGGAGAGGGTATATTGGCCGGATCGTCCTGTTGGCGATGCGGACCCTCACCTGCGCAAAGTCATCCACAAACATAGCCTTGTGATGAGACGCCGGCTCGGATTCCTCCTCGTCATCTGGATTTTCGACAAAGATATCGATTCCAACATCCTCGACCTTAAGAGCATCGACCATTCTGCTGGCCAATCGGAGAGCGCGTAGCTCAACGGTTCCCGAGCGCTGTGGTCCGGAAAGTGTCTTCCATGTAGCCCTTAGAGAATCGAGGAGCTTCTCTCGATACCAGAATGCTTCTCGTACCCCACGCTCGAAGTCGGGAGTTGTCTTGCTAGTGCTGACGACAAACTGGCGATTGCGCTTGGGATTCAGAGCCGGGATCGAGGCGTGAGGGTCCTCAACGAAGATGCGTCTTATAGGGAAGACAACTCGGGATGTGTTGCCTGGCAAAATATATTCTTCCACGGAAACGTTATCCTCGCCTTCGATACGGAGGAGCATCGTGCTTGGCCAGGCGTTGATTAGATCCAACGACAACAGGCAATACCTGTCCGCTGAGAATGTAGGCTGGTCGTCCTCACCACCAGATTTCCTAACGCGGTTCCATAGAGATTCGGGCACCTCTCCAAGGATCGGGAGGATATCGTACCGGGAAACTTCAACGCTGGCGTTGACAGTGACGGTTAACTGCACACTCACCCGCCGGGTGTGGAACTGATCGACAATATCCTCCGGCGCCATGCCGAGGTGTGCATAGTCGATCTGGATGGTGCCACTCGTAAGTCCAGGCTTGCCTAGGACCTCAAACTCAAACGTTGCCTCGCCGCCAGGCGCGATGTACCTCTTGTCCTGCGCTTTCTTTCGCAACCTTAGGGATTGCTTCTTCATCAAGATAAGTTCGTATTCATACAGCTCAGCCGGAGTTGAGTCGCGGTTATTGAGGGCCGTCTGTAGCGGACCTTGGGTCGAATCCTCAAACGAGAAGAGCATAAAATCCACTGGCGTAGTTTTGCTAGTGTTCTTGAGCGTGACCGAGAACACCTGCCGCTCTCCTTCAAGTATCATCACACAAGACTGTGGGAGCGTGGTAGATTTCACAGCCACCAAAGGCTGCTCGGGTATTACTTTGAGAGGGAGTTCAGTAGGTATGAGAGACGGTGGCGCCGGTCCTTCAAGCGCTAGGTTCTTGTTGAGAGCCGCCAGACCAGTAGCTTTGTACTTGAGCACCCTCTCGGGAACCCAGGGCTGCGAGAAGATTGGGAAATGTTTCTCGCGGCAGCCGCGTATGCGGACCAGGGCCCCTGTTATTTTCAAGCTTCCCGATGACTTTGGAATACCAGGGACCTTGAGTACTTGTGTTCGGTAGGGCCCGATAATCGTACTTTCTGTAGCGGGCTCGAAGTCGGCCCCCTCGGCCACAATTTTAATGCTTTCGATGTCGAGGTCGATATCGTAGGGGTTTTGGAGCGTAACCCTAAAGGTAGCCGTCTCACCCACAACAAGAGTCTGATCTACCGCCGCCTTGTCGGGTTGTTTTAAGAACGGGTTGTAAATAAAAGGATCGACGTCTTGCGATGTGCGAGAGGTTGACACTCCGGGCAGTACATTCTTAGAATGAGCAACGGGCACTTTACTCCCCGGCAGGGGGTCGAGGATGATCCCCCGGACCAGAAGCTCATCCCAGTACTCGGCCGCAAGATGGTCAAGCCCTAATCTCTTCGACAAGGAATACGTCTTGGCGATATTTGTGACAAGCCTTACTTGCTCCTCCTTCGGGATCGTAGGTGCCGCATCCTCCCGTCTCGGCCCAGGGGCCACACCAGAGCCGGCGGTACGCATGAGGTCACTGGAGAACTTCAAGACACCGTTAAAATCGGGAAGTGCCTCTGAAAAGTTGATGCATGCGCGAAGCACGCTCAACTTGACGCTCGGAAACCCAAAGAACCTCGCGGCAGTTTGCTTCCGTATTCGGGAGACAGTCTCAGCACTAGAGGTAACATCCTCTTCCTTCGCAATGGAGCCGTTGCTCGGGTCATAGTCGACAATCCCATACGTCTTGCATAAAATTGCGAGAAATGACTCGATACCTTGTTCGATATCCCCTTCCTGAAGCTCAAGAGCCACCGATCCAGCTGGTTTCCTGTGTCCGTCCGCAGCTGCGAGCGCCACTAGACCGGCGGCCGGGTGTATTCCCACCTCGGCAGCGCCGCGGGTCCTTGCTTCGACCAGGCCACTAATCAAGACCGAAATCAACTCCTGGATTACCATGCCTTTTTTGCGGTGGTAACCTAGAGGACCTAGCACCGATGCTATCCCGCTTAATATTGTAACGCGGTCGACGACTGTAAGAAGTTCGGATGCTGAAGAGGGGAAAGCGCGGAATGCCATGCTAGCAATAAACTGGCGATTTGGTTTTACGGTGAGACGAGGAGAGGTAGTTAGAATTTTCGCGGGCGGGTCACCATGAACGATTGCCCGTATAGAATCCTCACTGAGGGTTCCATCCGCAAGATGGAGGAACGATAAGAGTTTGCAGAATCTTAGCGCAGCTTCTGAGAGAGGTAGAGGGGGTAAGTTTTCGGAGGAGATTCTCGAGTATGATCCCAGGATGCGGTCTAGAAGATCGGGCAGGATGACTTGAAGATTCCGAAAGCGCACCGGCTGTCTAGGGTCTAGATTGTCCACCTCCTTTAAGCCCCCGTCGCTTGGTTGCTTCTCTTGGGGCGGCAGGCAAACAATGGGGACTTGGAAGTCGATGCCCGCCCAGCCTAATAGGAGAAGGCAGATGACGATCAGCTCCAAAGCCTTCCCGTGCCAAATATGGTCGTTTACAGAGCGAGCCATCGTAGCACCCTCAACAAGGTCTTTCAGTGCATCAGGCCATCTGCCTGCTTGGAGATACATGGATCCGACAACTATGACACTCCGGGCTTTGCCTCTCAGCCTCCACCTCTCGTTCGCTCCACCAGACCCGAAACCTTGTACGGATACTCTGTCTTGACTCGACGGTCGGAAGCCTTCCGCAGTACCAGGGCGGGAGTGCCTCTGCTCTGGGCTTGACCTGCCACTGCCTTGATTGGAGACAAGCTCATCAAAGGTGGTGGGCGGGTTCGATAACGCACTCTTCCCCGGCGTCGACGACCGAGATGACGGGGTGGCGGAATGGAGGATAGAGGGTGAGGATTTAAAAGGTACCGGAGGCATCGACATACGCACATGGCTCCGATCGACTCTCTCGGCGAGCCCAGCTGACGAATTAGACCGCGTTCCAGAGACGAACTGGGAATTCCGCCTGCCATGACCGCCGAAATCCTCAGAACCGCCCCAAGACGACGACCCGTTGGCCCTCGAACCAGACATTTGCCCAGGAGAATCAATGAAATTTGTTCCCTCTATCGACTTGGCAAGTGTCGTCATCTCAGCTAGCAGCAACGACGAAATGTCGCACATAACACCCTTTATGGTTGTTCGCTTGCATTTCTCGGGGGTCGGGATCGTCGCAATGCCCTCGAAGGGCATGGGGATTTCAAGGCCCTCGGGAGGCTCATAATCAAAGATGAGCACCTGGTGTACCAAGGCTTTGGAGAAGTTATCGCGGAGATCCTCGAGCTCCTGGTAGAGGGATCGAATATTCTGCTCTATCAGGGTAGGAGCTCTCCCATTTATAGAGTTTCGTTTCCCGATTACCTCTCGGTCCAACTCTTTCCCATCAGCAATAGCTATTATAACCAAAGGTTCGCGATAGAGCTCAAACGGCGAGAGGGCCAGGTGGGAAGGCGGTGGCATGTGGGTGATGAGGTCGTAGAATATGGCACCGGACCGAAACGCAAGAGGTGAGAACATGCCTACTACTGTCAAAAACTGAATTCTTCATTCGCGAGGGGACATTCCGATGCTTTGGAGGGACATGAATGGGGGTCTGTTGCGTACTGCGATTCGGGCGGCCATCAGGGGTGATGTCCCGAAGGTGGACGACATGTTCCTCCTGGAGTCGCTCGATGAAGCCGGAGAATCGAGGGCCTCGGATCTGGCCTAAGGGAAGTAGAAGTGCCCTAACCCGCGCGGGGCCTATAGGCGACAAGGGATCTAAGCTCATTGTGAAGTAAAATGTGTATATTCGAACATCGTCGAGGTAGTTCCGTTAGGAAGGAAAGCGAGCTACCAGCCGGTGCGGTCTAGGGGGTTAGGTCGTGACTGGGAGACCGTGAAAAATCTCCTAATTCACGGGTCGTTTCCGGTCGGATTCGGCTATAGGAGAAAGGAGTCAGGCCGGTAGGTTATTGGAGGGCGATATTGTGCGCGATTCTGAGATTTTCAGATTCGTTGATGGACAATCCTGGATTCGAGTTCAACAAAGGCATCTCGACATTAGAGACAGTTCGTTGTATGGCTTAGTCAGCGTATTCGCCGCCATCATTTCTTTGAACCTCGATTCCTCGACATTCCCAAAGGTCACTCAATCCCCGGCTCGTCTTTTTTTGCTAAAAATGTAACTTGGTTTGCTTTTAGACTTAAATGAACCATCGAAGCCATGTACTACCATTACATTGAATCCTCTTCACAGTACGCGCTCAGGTACACGATCCGAACCAGACACCTTAACACCCAGGCAGACTCATGTCTTGCCACTTCCATTCAGCTAGGTGTCATTGATGCACGACCAGCAGTCGCTGGGGAATCCTTGCTCTTCTCCTCTTTAACTTCCGTACCATCTTGGGGTATATCCACAGCCATGCTAGCCTCGACAAAATCCTCCAGCTCCTCCGTCACCGTCTTAAGCTTGTCCTTGACGGCAATGGCCCCTTCAAAGCCTACAATATGTCTCGCGGGCGGGTTTTCATGTCCTCCAATCGCCGTAAGGGCATGCACAGTCTCCATGACGAGTTTATCGTAGGCCGAAGGCGGCAACTTGGGATACCGCGTGATGATTGACGTATCAGAAGACTCGAGTGACGTTTCGGGGTTCATATTCAGCACGTTGATGAGCATATCCCGCACGCTCGGGGCCATGTTGACCTCGTTCTCGGGAGGTGGGAGCGAAGGTGAGAAGATGATCTTGTTGGTCAGCGATTGGATCTCCTTGTTGGGCTGGACGATGGTGACTTTGATGTTGAAGGGCGCGATCTCGTAGGCGAGGGAGTCGCAGTATCCCTCGAGCGCCCAGGTGGCGGCCGTGTAGATGGACATGCCTGGCGTGCCGATGTGGCCGCCTATGCTTGTGAGGACGATGATGTGACCTGTGTGCTGCTCTCTAAGGATCGGTAAAGTTGCCTTGATGAAGTTGATCTGGGAAAAGAAGATGGACTCGAACTGGTCCCGGATGAGGTTCTGTGTGACTGGGGTGGTTGAAAGCTCCTCCACCGTCCCAATCACGGCTGCATCGATACACCTTTGCGTTAGTTCATATTCATATTCATCAACAAAATTTCAGTTTTTTAAGACACCTCGTCTTAAGATCTTCTTCTCCCACCCTCTGCATTTCACAGCCTGTCCGTGCCTCAAGAGATTCTCAATCCATCAACTCACCTTCAGACTTGCAACACAGCAAAATATCGATTCTCCCAAAAGCTTGAATCGCCTCAGCTATGGCAGCCGTACACTGACCCATGACCTTCCCATCGCATCTCACCCCCCTCAACCGATCCTTCCATCCCTCGCGGTCTTTCCTATTACTCTTGCACTCGTTGACGAGCTCTCGAAACTCGGCGCTGCGCTGCTCATCCTCGACTTCGTGAGGCGGTAAGCAGGCGACGACGTAATCTCCGTGAGTTAGGAGAAGACGGATGAGGCGGATCTGGAGTGGCGAAAGGGCTGAAGTTAAGAGCCATGTCCTCGGGGAGTTGTGAGTGGCTTTCAAGCGACGTTAGCCATGCATGACATATAAGGAGTTGAGAAACCGTATGAAAGGGGCTATTCTTTTTTTCTTTTTTTTTTTTTTTTTTCCTTTTTTTGAGTTGCGAAGAGTAAGATGCTTGGCCGAGTCACTTACGAAAGGATGGGGGCGGGATGGCTTGGGTTTGTCTGGGCGGCGCAGACTCGGACGCTTTTCGATCCGACATGGCGGCCGAAGGGTCCGAGAGTGAAGGACTTTATAGCGGCGAATACAACGGGTCACTTGAAGGGTCTACCAAACATGGGCAGCAGGTATTCAGGATAAAATATATCGATCTTTCGCGAGTGTTTCTCGGTGAATGAGATAGATTGTGGAGGATTTTCCGGATCCAAGCGGGGTTGAAAAAAAGTACGAAGTAGCTTAAACTGAACTTAATGATTCTCACTTTCAGCTCGGGCTTAAATTTGACTTGTCTGAAGGTTGAACTCGAGTCCTTGTTTCAGGTCAGTACAAGTACTTCGTCGATTCGCCGAAAATAAAATAATAAAAAAGCAGCATTCAAGGTGGACTCATCAATGTCGATCTTGGTGACATTGAATTGGCATTAATACCACCAACAGAGGTGGGAATTAGCTCCAGCTCTCACTCTCATCCTTCCAACCCATAGACTCTCAGTCCCTCCATTTTCACAGGGAACAACTAATATATGCTTGGCCCATTACTAGCAACTCCGCCATCGTTCCAAAGTCATTATTATTAACACTTTTAGAGAATAAAACAGACAAGCTGCGAATACTCACTTCGCCTTCATTATATACGCCTTATTCTGGATATCACAATGATGGCCGTTGCAACTTATAGCCCTCTTCCCCGACCATCCAGGTCTCGCCTCATCCCCTCACAGTCTCAGCTACCCGATAAAATGAACTAAACGGAAATTTCTTCGATTGCAAGCATCCTTCGCCCTTTTCCGCAAGTGAAAGAAACAGAGGGAGAAGCAGGAGAAGGGGCAAATGCCAGGGCAATGACAACCAACCAACTACCCGAGCTTGGCAGCCGGAGCTTCGTGAGTGCTTCCATTGCCGTCCCGCTCGAGCTCGACCCTCTTCTCGTGGTCCTGTGGGGCTCCAAAGAGCTCGTCCATCTTTTCAAGACTGAGACCCTTGGTCTCGGGAATGAAGAACCAGACAAAGACACCCATGAGGGCGCAGAAGCATCCGAAGAGGAAGAACATGCCCTATATGATTAGAGATCTCATTAACAAACTAATTTACCATAAAATGTATGACTGTGAATTCAGAAGATCGACTTACATATCCTGCAGTCCCCATAGTTCGCTTCATCTCCAAGACAGTTCGGGCAATGATGAAGTTGAAGAGCCACTGTACGGCAGCACCAAGGGCGACATTGAGGGCTCGAAGGCGGGCAGTTGGGATCTCACTGTTTTCCATCCCTATTATTAGCCTTGGAGGATTCCTGATAAACGCGTCTTGAGGGAGGGAGAGTCCGCATACCTAACTAGGATCCAGCAGACGGGTCCCCAACCGAATTGGAAGAAGGTGGCCCAGAGGTAGATACATGCGATGGCGAAGATACCGAATCCGCTAATCTACAACCAGAAATAGAAAGTCAGCCCCTGTAAAAACCTGGCTGGGATAGGACGAAGTCAGGGAGAATTGGCGGCAAGCGATGATACGTACAGGCTTGCCCTCGACGGGAGGTTCAACTCGGCCATAGATACCGACGAGGAACATGACAATAGCCTGGGCGGCGCTAGTCCACAAAAGACTGCGTCTACGCCCGAGAGAGTCGGCAAAAAATGTAAGGAAGATCAAGCAGCCGACGACTTTGACAATACCGTAGACCCCAGTCGCGAGGAGGGAGACCAGGTCACCGCTCAAACCGAGAGACTTGAAGATTTGCGGAGCGTAGTAGTTCTGGCGCAGGGATGAGCATTTTTGATAAGGGTATTATAGGTTACTATCAGTGAGGTGTGAAACTTACAACAGCGTTGACGCCGGTCATCTGCTGGCAGACCATAAGCATGGCGGAGATGAGAGCTCGCTTTCGGTTGGAGGGGATGAGCCACATCTCCTTGAGGAGTACTTTGGTCGTGGCATCGCCGACAAGGAGTCTCTCCTGTTCGAGCTGTTCGGCCATATCCTGCAATTCTCGCTGTACGTAGTCGTGGTCACTAGGGAGACTGAAAGAGAGTATCGTGTTAGACTCTAGAGTGACATGGCCCACGCCGGGGGAGGGGTGGATGTCATGATTGACTTACTGCCGAAGCCGGCTAAGAATGGAAGAACTCCTCTCCCAGTCGTCTTGCTTCGCACACCAACGGGGACTGCGAAGGTACTGTTAGATTACCCTCCGACCAAAGTGATTTCGCAGCGAAATCCTGCTTTTCGAATGATTGTTGACTTGCCTCTCGGGGACGAGGAACATTCCGATAGAAAGAAGACTAGTAAAATGAAGGTCAGCTTTATGCGGTGCCCAGGATTTACATGTTATCCTTGGCGAGGACTTACAGAGCGGGGAGAGACTGCAAGATCAGGGGAACGACAAAGATGGAAATTCCCTTGAAATGAGCCTTCGACCCGTAGTTGATCCTACCGTGGTAATGATGAGCTTTAGACGGCTATCTCTTCTCGTGGAGATTCTGTGACCAATACTTTCTTACCAGAACGAGATCATAACACCGCTGACAATGAAGAGTTGGTAAAGGGCTACGCATCCAGTCAGCTGCCACCCAATCGCTAGTTCTGTTGTGATAGTGTTCAGGAGTTCGTTTCTTACAAGTCAAGCCACCTCGAATGGCACGGGGGGCACATTCGGAGACGTAAAGGGGAGTCAACATCGAGGCGGCGCCCACACCGAGACCAGCGATAAATCGACCGACGAACATAAGAGGGAGATTTCCGCTAGCGGCGGAGGCAGTCTGCATAACTACGCCCACGCAGGCGATCATGCCAGTAACAATGAGGGACCATCGACGACCGTATCGATCCGCGAGCCAGGGGGTGATGAAACATGCGAAGAAACAGCCTCCCTGAAGAGTAGAGACAACTAGCGCCATTGAGGTCAGATATGGGGTGTGGATTGGGATTTTTAAGTTTAGGAACTTACTGTCCTGGTCGTGCTTGTCCTTTATTGCCTGCTCTGCCTCGGCATATCCGTATTGTCTAGTTACGACGTCTTAGTTTCCACTTATACAGGCTGGCGGGAAGTGCGAATCCGAACTTCGTCACTCACACTTGGGTCTCCTTCATGGCCAATACACCACCGATGGCACCAATGCTACAAACATAATGTTAGCCAATTTAGATTAACTCTGTAGGTGGAGCTTCTATAAAGAATGGAAAAAGAGAGAGAAAAATGAGAGGAGAGAAGAAGAAGAAGAAGAAGAAGAGAAGAAACAAAGGGACCTCCGATTACTTACTCCCAGCCGAAAAGCATACCTCCGAAACTAGAAAATACACAAGCGTGTTAGCTATTGGAGGGGCAGATTCGGTCTCTATGAAGCCGTCCAGATCATGCATACCAAGCTGCGTTCAAGAACCAGATTAGTCGTTGTACTGAAGATTTGCAGAGGCGTTCTCAGGGCGATCATTGATTCACTTACAAGCGCAAACCAACGCGAAGACCCTCCAGTTGTAGATTTCTACAGGGCTAGAGGCCGAGAGTTAATTTCTTGTCCTCACGACTCAAATTGGAGCTCGGGATAGACTAGACCTACTCTTCGCGCATGGCATCGTTTCTAACGATGGCGCGCAAGACCTTTGCTGCGGCGCCCATTTCAGCGGTATTGAGAGCGGCCGATCGGTATCAAGGTGTCGGATTCGAAATCGGTTGAAGTCGTAGAAGAACAAGGTTGCGATGGGCCTAAACACTCTTCTCGAAGCAGCACGTCCTGTTCTTTTTCTTTTTCTTTTCCGAAAATCGAAACAAGCCGTCTCCTGTTCCTTCGAGAATCCGAGGAATTGGGGGATGAGCAGTGAGGAGAGTGGGAATAAAAGAGGAGAGTTAAGTGTAGCCGGAACCCAGAGAACCGGGTGCTGCAGGATATAATATTGCGAGCATACCGCAATCTGGGTCGTAACCGGAGCTTCTCATGGTCGTTAAAGCGAAGGAATATCAATGTACTTCGTACTCTCACCCTACCCTACTCCAACCCGCCCGACAGCACGGGCAGTGAATTAACTCCGGAGGGCAGACGAGAGGGAGATGAAGGAGGGTTGAACACGGGAGTCTGTTCGGTCCATGGTCACTCTCGAGTAGAGTTCCGCAGTCTCTACAGCTGTAGGGTACCTTGGCCGAGGGATATGGACGGGAAGATTGAAAGCGAGAACTGTATGATGACGATGATGATAAAACAATACATCCGCAAGCAAAATCATGTCTTGGTTGCATCTAACCACTTCGTTTGTGCCGCTTGGTGCATGCGTATCCAGAGTGCTACTCTACGAGTCAATCCACTCAGACGGGCGATGGGTTCATCCTGGGTTCTGGCCGAGTACATTTGAATCTGGTCGCCGGCGTTCTCGCACCGAGAACCCAATGTACAAAGTATTAAGGCCCAGCTGGTCAGAACCATATATTCCAAGCGAGAACGTCACAGTCGCACCCAGTAAATGGCGGGAACCAAGCGGAGCTTGTGCTGATCTTCTCCGCATGGTCCCGGATTAGTTGGGGTCATCAGAGCGGGAGGATCGTCTTTTCTTGCCTTTGTAAAGGGTAGAATGGAGACGTCTCAGCGGAATTGGAGGGAAAGTACAAAGTAATATCGCCGCGATGTGCCAGAATATCAGCCAGAATAATCGTCACTTCCAAGTTTGTGACTCGCGTTCGGCTGTCCACCGGGGATAAAGCGGCGACACAACCCTCCGAGTTCGTCGATCCATTTGAGAACCATCTTTGACTGGTCTGGCCCACATGGCGAGTTTCGAGTTGTTTTTTTAAACGTTGACATTGCCTACCAGGAAGCAGCAGGATTCGAATGACACCATTGGACTCTCCATCGTTTGTTGCTACGGATGAGCTTCCGTCCCCACTTACAATGAGACCAACCTCTGCCGGAGGTGAGCGAGGCCCGAAGCCCAGTCGGGAAAGGAAAAAAAATCTGATAAGAGGATGGGAGGTTCCATGAAGTACATAAAATAGCTAGGGCTTATACGCGTCAGGCAGGTATACCTTCGTCAACCTTACCGAGGACAAATCGCGGGAGACTTGAGATGCGATACTCCAGTCTTCCAAAGTCGCCTGCCCTTCTCCCATAAGCCATTCGAGCATGGCGGATAATTTGATCCCACCAATGAAGGCTATGCGGCGACCGCAGGTTTTGATATGTGGTCCAGCGCTGGCGCTAAAACCGGGCAGGCAGTGATGCGCGGTCGAGATCTCAAGACATCATGGGCGGTGTTATTGGAGCTCAGAGAATCGGAATAACAGCACGGGCGGTTGGAGCTTGGAAGATCAATGGGTAAGATGGGGGGTGCGCGGCACCCTTCGCGCATCATTCCTGTCTGTGGGCGGCCATTGTGATGGGCAGATGAGGGGAGATCCTTGTGTGCTTTTAATATTAGCCGTTTGGTTTGCCTTCACATCCAATATTAGCCAAAATGCGGGGAATGGAAGGGTGCATACGGAGTAGCGACGCGGACATCGAGTGCACGTTCTTATTTACATTCAAACGTAGATTCCGGCCGTCAATTTGGCCGAGTTGTATCCAACGTGGGTTTCCAGAAGCGGTTTCTGGAGGGTTGACGAACGCCGCCGGGCAGGGTATATTATCCTCAAGCCTAAGCTGGCGGCATGTTAAAAATCCCAGCATTGAGAATAGCTTAATGCACTAGGTAAATAGACTTCCCTCTTGGCAAGATTCTGGCACTCTATCCGGGGAATGTTGGATCTTGCAAGCATCGTTCATTCAAGCACACCCTTCATTGAGCCGACACTCTGAGAAGACACCAAACTGATCTTCAGAAAAAAAAAAAAAAAAAAGAAAAAAAAAAAAAAGTAAGTGTTAGGCTGGAAGCATCAAATCCGAGCTGCCGTGCTGTTGGGGGCGCGGCAGCTAGAGGCGTAAGTTGAAAGAGGATTCTTCTCCCGAGTTCAAGCCGCACACGTGGGACTATCTACCGATGCGACGGCGGGGTGCGGAGAGGTTGTGGTGGAGGGTTCCTGGATGCAGTTAGCCACTCGCTGCGCTACTCCGCAATCTGGACTCCCGTAAGAACCAACTAAAGTAAGCAAAGCGGGGGACCCAAGACTCTGGGGAGCCGTTGTTAGCGGGAAACTTGGTCAACCCTACAGTACACCAGTGATGTGGGCCTGGTCAACAGACAGAGAATGGGGGACCTGAGGAAAGCTAGCCTTCCCTAACCCTAGCTAGAAGATCAGTTCGTCGCGAAGTAGTGCTGGTAGAGATCAATGCCAAATCCCTCAAAGTTTATGAATGATGTCAATTTACTATCAGTTAGGTGTCTTCGTTGAAGCACCCAATTCTTGTAACACTAATACACTCTCCCAAGCTACGAGGAGGCTATCTCGGCCTTGAGCCAGTCCGGAATCGCTGGCGGGGAGTTCCAACCGTCCAGGTATGTATTCTTTGGTACACCTTCTCCGGAAGGCTTGGCATAAATTGCCGATATGTACCAGACCGACTCACCCTTCTTGACGGTGTGTTGAAGGGTGGGGATGGTGGTCCGGTTCTCGACCAGGTTGGAGTTGGGATCCGCATTGACAAGGTTCGCAGATCTCTCCAAACCGTCCTCCAGCGCCTTGATTCCAACAGCTCCCTTCGACACAGCGAACGCCCCGTCCTTTCCAGTCGCCCAACCGGCAGGGGTATTGAGGTCGTAGTTGCCAATAATCTTCGGCGATGTTCCCTCGCAGGTTTCGGCGTCGTAGAGATCTAGGTACCTGCCATCCTTGGTATTCTCATTGCAGATGGCGAACGAGCCGTCTGCCGTCATAACCTCCCTACCTGCCTCGATGTGGTGGATTCTTAGATGCCAGTTGGGAGTCGCCTCCTCGGGCGGGACAAGAATTGTCTTGATCTTAACATCCGGGAAGGGCTTCCAGACGGACACGAGCACAGGTTTCCCATCGCGCTCCTCGAGACCGGAGTACTCGGTTAGTCGACGCGTCTTCCAGTACTCACCACCGTCGTCTGACAGGCCGAGCTGCGATGCAAGAGCATACTGTTCCAAGGTGAAGAGGCCCGGTGGGACTGAATATGCATAGGCACTGCTGTAGGCAAAGCAGCCGTACTTGGCATGCGTTCCCTTCATGGGATAGCTGCAGGCCTGGCCAGAGGAAAGAAGCATACAATGACCGCCAAGGTTGCTGAAAAGATGTAGTTACAAGATTAGAAACCGCTTTTTCTTACATTTGATGTTTTCCCTTGGTTGACGTTGTTGGTTTAAAGGGAGTAGATACCTTGTAATGTGTTTGGGGTGCTTGAGAGCCTTGACTCGAGGAATCTTTGTCCACTGCGACTCCTCCTTAGATGTCCAGAACGCGTGTTCAGGAGGAACAGCTAAGCAGATGAAAGAAAGGCAAGCCCAATACTGGCGGGTTAAACACGGATTAGTTTGCATGTCGTGGAACAACGAAAAGAAACCAGAAGGTTATAATTCCACTTACCGGACTGCCAGGGCTGTTGTAATTCTCGGCCATCTGATAGAATTGTGAGACGCAATATCTGAACGGTTCGGATTGGAGGATACACTTACATACATATTCGGGTACGAGTAACCGATGGTCAAGGTTCCGCTAGGACTCCAAATCGCATGCTGCGTTTGCCACCAGCGAAGGTGTCGAAGGACGATGCCTTTAACCATGCCCCATGTAAGCGGGGCTGGCAGCTCTACGTCGGCGTAGGCTAATGCACCCCAGAAGGAAACCATGGCAAAACGATAGCCAACGCTTCGTCCAAACGGAATAGAGCGGCCTTCCTCATCGTAGTAATGGGCAAGATCGAGGACGACTTGCTGAGCACGATGCTTGAACTCGGCGGCTCTCTCGGGATCCTCGTCGCCGGCAAGTTTAGCGTAGAGGAGCTGAAGGAAGTGAATGGCGAAGCTAGAAGAGTAATAATCCATCTCTAAAAGACCAGTTAGCCATCCTGTATCCTATTATCGCAGTGGGATATTTCATGTAGCGGCCTACGATGAATGCCTTCTGGTCCATCATTCGACCAACCATCACCCCGGTAGAATGTGTTTAGATGCTCGATATCGGAATCCAGACGATCCTGTGAGAACTTTCCACCATTCTTCTTGAGGCCCAAGTTGGCAAATACGCGGAACCACAGCCAATTGGTGTTTGGCATGCTAGATTCCGGTTAGCATATTTGTATCCGCGCAGAGGGCCCCTATTTAAGGAAGGAAAAGTTGGCACGAACTTCTTTTCGTTGATGGAATTGCCTAGCCATGTTTCGACGTTCTCTTTCTCCTTTTCGGTCATGCTGTTCCAGAATACGGGAGCAACGGCGAGGGCGAATCCTTTGGAAGCGGAATTATTAGGCACCTTTCACTGTGTATTTTCGCATGTAGACAAATCAAGAAACGGACTTACCAAGGGGACACATCTCCACCATTCGCTGGTCATTATCGCGAGGATATCCCCAGTATTCCGGGTTCTCGGGGTCCGTTCCTGACTTGATGCCCTCAACCCACCAGTTCGTACCATGATACTCTCCACCACCGGCAAGAAGACAAGCCAATCCCCAGAGCGGTCTGCATATTCCCTCTACATCAGACGCGGTCAAATCGAATCGAACCGCAGTGCCACCGGGACACCTAACCCTAGCCTTGTTGGGCGAAAAGAAAGGCTCCAGGGGGTCAAGAAGGGTTCGAAGGAGCTCCTGCACAGATGCCCGGTCGCTTAGCTTGACCTTGGAAAATGGATGGACTCCATTGAAGCCGAGGACTAGACCGGTAGTAGTCATAATTTGAAGTATCGATAGAATACGAGTGTACTAAACTTGGTTCTTGATTATAGTTTTGACTATTGCAGAAAATGAGTCGGAAGCACCAGATGGGGCAGATACAGATGAGCTTCATGGAACGAAAGCCGAGACGCGTGAAGAGGGGAACCGGAGGATATTAACTTGGAGATCTGGGCCGTCTGTCTGTTGTCGGACACTACCGTCCCAGCAATGCTCGTTGCAAGTTTCGCAACGCTATGGACCCCGAGCCGTCACAGAAGACATGCTGCGTGCTGCTATCCGAGTGCATTATTGCCTGGACGGGATCTGCCTCGCATTCAATGTAGTATACCCCCCAAAGCAGCTTCAATTCAATGTGAATGAGGGGTTGTATTGAGGTCATGGTCATAGTGGGGAATCAAGGAGTATGGCCCGATCAGACACGGCTAAATCTGAGGGTGATAGAGGAGAGAGTCCTTGCGCAGCAGCACATGTGAGAAGAATTGAGAGTTGGACGGAAAGTTGGCCCATCGACAACAGGAGATATGAGAGAGGGCATCTTGATTAACCAAGCGGAATTATGACCACACTACCTTTGTAGAAGTCCAATTGTGAAATATTTCGGTGGGGGTTCAGATCGGGTAACATTTGGACAATTGGAAGAATGTTACTTCGGCGTGGAATCTGACACATTGAAAATGATTCCTTCCAAGTGACGAGTTCGACGATGATGTTGATCTTGTTCTTGGGAAGGTGGGAGTGAGCCGACCCTGGCTTTTTGGGCGGTCTCTGCAGCTGGTAACAGTTGATTGATCTCAAGCTCTTTCACCCCCACCAAAGCTGTCCCCTGAAACCATGGGCGGAATCTAATTACGAAGTACCACTGTGCTTCATTCCAGGTGCTGACCTCGAGCTACGTGTCTCTTCTTTTTTGTTGAGTCGGAGCTTCAGATTCAACCATTGAATGGTGTTACCTTCTCATTTCTGCAATTTGTGATCATTTAAATGCTGCCAGAGCTCATTTGAGCACTGGTCTGCATAAACTCTACCTCTATGATGGCCAATCTCTCACCATTCTTCACTCTTCTTATCGCGATCTGCTGCAGCCTCCTCGGTTTGCCAGCTCTAGCAGCTGCAGATGATGGCGAATCTGTCCTCCACAGCGAGGTGAGCCGGGCTCACAATCAGAGTCTCTTCTGGGGACCTTATAAGCCCAATCTCTATTTTGGTGTCAGACCTCGGGTGCCGCAGGGTCTCTGGACCGGCCTCATGTGGGGCAAGGTTAATGATTTCGACACCCTCCGGAGCTGTACGACATTCCTTCTCTCTAGCCTTGAAATTTGCTATTCTGTCATATACCCGATGATGCTAATGTTCGGCCGAATATAGCTTTCCGATATACCTGCGAGCAACACGAGGGCCTAGCAGGCTATGGATGGGACGAGTACGACGTCCGGCGCGGCGGCATCGAGACAATCCACGACGTTGCCAACCAGGTTGATATCACTGTGTCTTTTGTGAAGGTTCCTGGAGGTGCCCACGGTGGCAGTTGGGCTGCCAGGATCAAGGGCGTACCTCGACCCGACGCCCCGGCAGACCTACAAACGATGCTCACCTACTACATTGCACAAGAAGGCGGCGGCGAACTCGAAATCAAGACCGACGGAACAGATTCTGGCTTCGAAGGAGATATTACCTTTGCCGGAAGGTCAGGAACTCTTGGTGACTACAAACTCGTCGTCTCGAAAGGGATTGGCAACCATCCCACTAGCGACCACGACCTCGCGGCACGTCGACAGCCTGGCAAGACTACGATTCGGTCAGTTCAGATGCCCGACGAAGTTCTGTGGCAGGCAAAGGGTGTCGTCTTCAACCAGCTGTCTGAGGGCATCACCAACGTCGCCAACACGTACACCACCGAAGATGGCCCTCCGGCCTTCCTTGTTTACCAGCTGGAGAACAACCCCGGCAAAGGCAATTTGCACATTGTGCAGAAAATCTTCGAGGGGCCTTTTGAGTTTGACGTACTCTTCTCGTCGAGCTCAGCTGGAAAGGAGCTTACCGAGGCTGACGTCACCGCTCAGATCAAGAGCAACAGCGACGCCTTTAGCGACAAGTTCTCCAAGATCTTCGAGCTTCAGGCCCCCTTCAAGGATGACAAGTACAAATCGTTCGCCAAGAACATGTTTTCCAACCTCGTGGGCGGTATCGGTTATTTTAACGGCCATCAACTCGTCGACCGCTCATATGCGCCCGAGTACGAGGAGTACAACGAGGGGTTCTGGGAGGAAACCGCAGAAGCCAGGGCGAGGCGGCAGGAGAAACTCGAGGGCCCATATGAGTTGTTTACTAGTGTTCCATCGCGGCCATTCTTCCCTCGAGGTTTCCTTTGGGACGAAGGCTTCCACTTGATCCCAATTCTCGAATGGGATAACGATCTGGCTCTGGAAATTGTGAAGAGTTGGTTCAACACAATGGATGACGATGGCTGGATTGCGCGTGAGCAGATCTTGGGTGCTGAGCCCCGTAGTAAAGTCCCGGAAGCCTTCCAGGTCCAATACCCCCATTACGCAAACCCTCCGACCCTCTTCCTTATCATTGAGAACTTCATGAACAACCTGCGGAAGATGAACGGCACCCTTCCGGAACGTAGAGAAACTTTGGCGTTCCCCGAAAGCCCTCTCGAGAGTGCCCACTTGGACTTCCCCGAATTGGGAGAGGCGTATCTACGCTCCATTTACCCACTCCTGCGCCTTCACTACGATTGGTTCCGCAAGACGCAGCGTGGAGACATAAAGTCCTACGACAGAGAGGCATTTTCGACCAAAGAGGCCTACCGATGGCGAGGCCGCAGCGAAGCGCACTGTTTAACCAGTGGACTGGATGATTATCCTCGTCCGCAGCCCCCCCACCCTGCTGAGCTTCATGTCGATTTGATGTCTTGGGTTGGCTTCATGACCAAATCCCTCTTGAACATTGCCGACGCCCTGGGCATGACTGAAGAGGTCGAAGAGTACAAGAAAATAAAGAATGCCATTGAGCGTAATCTTAACGACCTCCATTGGTCTGAGGAGGAAGGGTGTTTCTGCGACGCCACAGTTGACGATTTCGAAGAGCACACCCTCGTGTGCCACAAGGGCTATATTTCCCTCTTCCCCTTCCTCGTCGGACTCATGAAGCCGGATGATCCCAAGCTTGGGAAGATTCTGGATCTTATCGGCGATGAGAAGCATCTGTTCAGCAAGCATGGACTTCGAAGCTTGAGCGCCCAGGATGAGCTCTACGGAACGGCCGAGAACTATTGGAGGAGCCCTGTCTGGATTAACATAAACTACCTGGCAATCGTCCAGCTGCACGTAAGTAACGATGAATACCCCATTCGACATACGTCACGATGACGGCTAACAGTTTCTACAGGATGTCGCTGTGCAGGAGGGTCCCTTCAAGGCCAAGGCCACAGACCTGTATAGAAGGCTACGGAAGAACGTAGTCGACACAATATACAAATCCTGGGTCGACACAGGCTTCGCCTGGGAGCAGTATAACCCCGAAACTGGGCAGGGTCAGCGCACCCAACACTTCACGGGTTGGACAAGCTTGGTCGTCCAGATTATGGCCATGGACGATGTTCCCGCGGTAGGCCACGTCAGAGACGAGCTGTGACGTCTTTGATACGCTCCAGCCGGGCGGGAGAGATGAGAAGAGCTCTCCTTTCTCTCCGTGTATTTGTACATAACTCAGCTTTAGATAATGATTGATGGACATACCAAGAAATGGAATGGATTGAAACTTGGATCCTACTACGACGTCGTTTACGCATGGCCATCCTTCCCGGACGAAGCCACATTTGTAAGCTGGGGTCCGAGATATGGAAACCAACAGCTACATCGTGGTATTTATAGGCTCATTCGGATGCATTCAAGTCCGGGTGGGGTGCTACAACTAACGAGTCATGTTACACATACAACATTCTCTCGCACGTGAACCCTTAGGCAGGACGCTCGGAAGAGAAACCCTCTCCCCCTGGGCGAAGGAAGGAGTGCATTGCAGCATGGGTTGATGCATGAGGAAAGCGGCCGTTCTAGTGACCCACATCTCTCGGTCCCGTCGTGTTGGTAGAGGTATGTGTGGGGATTTATTGGTGGCGCGTAATTTTTCGAGGTTGCAAACGCTTCTCAGAGGACCTTTTGCTTTTGGGGGCCGGATCCTGTGGCATCATGAAAAAAAGTTGACACTACAGAAAGGGAAACGATTGGCGATTCATTGACTGACATCGCCCCCTGCTAGGATGGGTACGAGATTGGAGCTGGTTGGTGAACAACTTGTACCCAGAAGATGGTGGGATTGGGACGAAGTTCCTGAGGGATTGGCACAATCATTGATAGGAAACAGCGGTCTGAAGGACCGCGTGAGTGGAAGAAACTTGGATGCTTAGGAACTTTGGGTCGGCTCAATGTCGGCCAGCCTTCGGAGCTGGTTCACGACAACAAGGCGTAGCAAGGGGCTTTTGTGAGAGGCTGGATGGGAAACAGAGGGTTGCGGGAAGTTGATAGGGCAGAGACGCACGAAAACGAGAGACGGATGGGGTTGTATTGGGAGGGGGTCTTCGTTACTTCGTAGTTTGTCTTCATAGGGCTGATTCCTTGGCAACATCTCCTATGCAGCAAAGATGACCAGTTGTCGTTCCATTGCATTATAAAACCCGAATTTGGAATCGCTGTGAGGCCACGTTGAATGTCGAGGTTGGTATAACACGCTTTTTGGCCCCCAGATTCAGCAAGCCACTCTGGACGAGAATATGACGGAATTCCTTCTGCCGGGATATCCGCCAGTCGTTAGGAGAATCATGAAGAACCGGCAAGAAGATTGCTCTGCATCCTGATGGGGGCGAGGAGCAGAGAGCGGTGGAGTGTCGCGTCTGTCAGGTTGACATTCCAAATGTGGTTCCGGCCCCCAATTCTGAGGCTGTGCCGCCAAGTGCTCAGAAACCTCGTAAACTAGTAAAGCTGTGGTGGTGGTTCAGTCAATGAATCTAGGAGTGATAGATTGATACCACCCGAATGGTGATGGTGTAAGTGTTGGAAGAGGAAAGCGCCATGCATTGTTTATTGACTGGGCTGAAATACATTGGGAAATTGTAGCTGTTCATGCCTCAAACGGTGAAATTGTGATGCGGAAGACATATCTGGCCGATGGAACGAAGAGGCTTCCGTTTCCCGGTCAAATATCCAGTAATTTCTGCCAAACCTTTTGTTTCTTCCTCGTTCCATTCTCAACCGGTCTAGTGAACCCTACTTTGACCATGCTTGGTTGGGTTGAGCCGTTTGACCTGCAGGTGTCCTGTCGGTCGACATGTTAGTTCACTCCCCGCCCTATTCCCGAACGCATGTGGCTGACCAAGAGCCCATCTTCACAAGTGTTGCTATTCGCCAGAACAGTGCTCGGGACCGCGTGATCCGTGTCGGCGGTTCCTTGCTCAGCCTGGCTTAGACTGCGTCACAGCGGACGATATCAGCCTTCAAGAATGGCGGGAGGGTTGGCATGAGAGAAGTTCCTTCCAGAAACAGTCGACCACATTTCTCAACGAAATCGACACCAGCCCCAGAGCAGCGTCATCATAATTTCTGGTTGTGGCAGGCGGCTGGTGAGAGACGGGCCTTCTTATCCATTCCATCCACGAGTAGAAGCAATAATTTGCGGTGGTTATTTGTTCAGAAGCTGCTCTATGATGTCATTCTATCCTCAGCCATGCGACAGTCGCAGAACAGACTTCAATGTTATATTCACCCAGGCTCTCAGAATTCCAGCTCTCCGAGGGCTGGAAACGTGAGGCATTACTGGAATGGCGATGGTTGGCCGTAAAATCCTAAAAAATCTATTCTAGCCTCTGAGAAACGAGATTTACTTTGTATACTCAACTTGAAGTTGGCTGATAGAGGAAAGGAGATGGCCTTCAGCAGTTTAATTGCTTCTTCGTGTTAGTGTATCAACTCTGTGCGCTTCTTCCGACGCTCTGGCTTGACCCTCCCCACACACCCTCGCTTTGCTCCGTGCGTCCCGCCTCAGCCCACCTCAGCCCTACGGGGCAGGTCTCGCAGGATCAATCAAATTGGGCCCTCTCAGATGGAGACTGTTGGAGTGTCAATCTGCTAGTGCTGAGCTGATGCGGCCGGAAAGCTATCAAATTGATCAATCAATTTTTACCAATTTCAACTCAAATAATATTCCCATTCGTCCATCGGCCGAACGCGACGCCATTCCTGCATGTTGTCCTTCGTACCAGGGCTTAATCCAACTAGAGTTCTCGGGACCTCACGTCGCCCAGGATACGCAGCACTGGTACCGCCCCTGTCGCTAAACTTCATTCCATGACTCTATTCGCACCCGTCAATATCTTCTAGAATGTCACATCCCAAAGCAGGAATGCCTCTTACTACACACCACAGGCCACACCCACCTTGCCTGCCTGCCTGCCTAATGCCTGGTCCCGAGTGCCCACCAAGTCCCTCCTTGGAGGATTCGATCCTCATGATGAGCCACGAGGAAGGGCCGAAAAAAACATCTATATAAACCTCGAGAGTTTCCTCCCTTCTCGAGAGTTCAAGACACCTCATCATCACTCCCAACAACAAGAGCACTTCTGATCCCACTCTCAAAGCAACTTAAACCTTCCAATCCATCACCAACCTCCAAAGCTCTCCTGTCTCCCTTATATCCTCACCTCTAATAACACTCCATATCCACCACAAAACAACACTTACAATGGCTGCCATCATTTCTGCCACAACCCCCGTCGTCTATGGACGATCCGGATACAACAAGGACGACAAAGATGACAAGCCTACGAACAAGGGCCGTAGCGGCTACAATAGGACCGGAGAGGAGGACGAAGACGCCGACCCCAATGCTGGTCGCAGCGGATACAACTAAACCGGCTACCCAAATGAGCTCCATCTCGACCCCACGACTAGAACAAATATAGAACGCACTGCTTTTCTTTTGCTCGACAAGCCCCTTCCCTTGTCAAGTTTCCCTGCCCTGACAACTCACGGAGTTCGGGCACACACCTACACAAAACACCGTCTTCAGAGTCTCGTGTTCTAAGGCAATGGAGTTTCTTTTTCCAGGCTCTTCGTCTCCTCGCTCCCCACTCTTCCGATTCATCTCGACTTTTCATTCTTTTCACCCAGTCTTGAAGTGGGGGAAAAGGACCATTGCCATTGTACCATCCTCTCTAGAACGAGGCTGGATCCGGTTTTAGACTTTTAATTGCTTGAAGGAGATGGGAAGATTGTTTCAACGGGTGGCTTATGCACTATTACCATTAGAGGATAGGGGAATCTAGTTTCTATAATACATCTCTACCTTGAGCCTTATTTACCTACGCAGAACCTATAGTCTCTTGTTAGTCCATGTACACCGTAAACCACGTGTAGACGAGAAAAAGAACTCACTTTTCAAAGATGACACCCAACACATCCTCCACGTCGGGCACCTCGCCTCGCCCAGTAATCTTTGCCAGAGCATTGCCCGCGTACCTCAAGTGTTCAGCTGCCAAGACGATATCAGCTTCGCACTCATCGCTGGGCTGGGCCTCGACCATAAAATTCTCCAAATGGCCTCGACACTCGTCCAGTAGCTGCCGATGTCGCTCGGTTACTCCAAGAAGGTCCTGCATATCGGCAGGCATGGATGTCATATTCTTAAACAGATCCAGGAGGTGGTCTGTCAGCATATGCACGCCGCCAGGATCTTTGATTCCTAGAGACCCTGAAGAACCCTCAGATGCTTCCTTGCAGGAGATAGGTATGGGCGCAGAAGCGTCTCCCAAGCCAGGCATGGTCTTGATAGACCTATGGAAGTCAGCCAGTAGCGAATTAATACTCGCTTCGTTAGCAATATCCGTCTTGTTTACGGCGATTATGGTAGGCTTTTCGTTTTCTCCAACAAGGCGTAAGATCTCTTCGTCGAACAGGATTTGGAATTTTCCATTTGGGTCTGAAGTGACCGCCCCGAGGACGATCACCACGTCTGATGATAGGGCTGTTGCTCTCGCGCGACGTATTCCCTCCCTTTCAACGTGTCCGATGTCCGCGGCTTCACCAGGCAGACTCGAGCCCTCCCCGCGAAATCCAGCTGTATCGGCAAAGGAGCATAGGTAACCCCTCATATCGAGGCTGACCTCAACAATGTCACGAGTCGTGCCGGCCTCGGGTGATACGATTGATGCCTCCTTGCCGACAATGTGGTTCATGAGTGAGCTTTTCCCGACATTGGGCGGGCCCAGAAGCGCGATTCGGATTCCGCTCCGTAGAAGCTGGCTCTTTTGACTCCCCAGGTCGTGAAGACGAATGCTGCCGAGGATTTCCGTAGCTAGCCTCGTCACGTTACCCAGAAGCTCAGAAGGAGACTCGTCAAAATGCTGATCCTCAGAAAAGTCGATAAGGGCTTCAATTTCACCGCGCGCGAGGAGAAGCTGCTCTCGCCAAGACTCATATCTCTGGCTGAGCACGCGAGAGTTGCCTCGCTCCGCTGCTCGGCGTTGTTGCTCAGTCTCGGCCGAGAGTGTGTCTCCAAGAGCATCGATTTGAGTGAGATCGAGACGATCGTTGAGGAAGGCACGTTTTGTGAACTCCCCGGGCTCCGCATACCGGATACGTCCGGTATCAGTCTGGGAAAAGGGGATAGCTGACAAGATTGACTTGACAGTTGCACGCCCGCCATGGACATGTAACTCTAGTAGGTCTTCTCCAGTCGCCGTGCGCGGACCTGGAAAGTAAAGTACCAATGCACTTGAGTCGAGAACATTGGCAGGCTGTTCGGTAGGATGAACCAATGTTCGAACCGCCGCACGCCGTGGCTCCGGTAATGCCTTTTTGGGACATAGAGCGCTATAAATATCCCTGGATGCTGGACCTGATATTCGGATGACGGATATCGCCGCCCTACCTGGGGCAGAGGAGAGAGCATAGATGGTATCCTCACCCACAGAGAATGGCGAGCTTATGGCTAAAGTATAAGTTGACCTCCAATAGCAACCATGTAGAGGCGACCCCTTCCTGGTTTGAGAAGCACTCCAGGGCCTACCTTGGGCTCGCCGGCATTGGTGATATAGAAGCTGAGGCCCTGCTCCAACGTTCCTCTGGTGAGGAAAGACACCAACAAGCCTCCCCCATCTCCTACCCACTAACAGTGGTCTCATTCCGCCGTTCACTCCATACAGCCCGGGCAGGTGGAGTCCTCAAATTGAGAATTTACTCGAAGGGGAAGAGATGCTCGTTTGGGTGGCGTTTATGAACAGTTTTAAAGATCAATGAGTTTTTGTTACAAGAAGTGTTCTCCAAGCCAAGTTCAATGCTCGCTCTCATCTCAAGCTGATCTCCCTTGGAGAGTTCAATGAAATGTTCTGCTGCACCTAAATTTTACAGTTTGGGCCGTAACCAGTCCTGGACCTCGCAGTAATCCAATCATTTCTGCTACTGTAATTGGCTGCTGGAGCCCTAGAGCCAAGGACCAAGTCCATTGATGGAGGACGAAGTATGGTTATCCGGCTGATCATCGGGTATTGATAAGCCCAAATTTCAAAAGATCCTGCAACTTTTTGGTGGTGTCTTTCTGCATTTCAACAGAAAAGGAAAAAAAAAAAAAAAAATCTGGACGCCCCGCCAACGCAAATTCTCTACCTCGAGAATCTTGTTCATCCCCAGAAAAGTCCACGAGACCAGAGAACAAGTATTCTCTCTCAAAGGCAATCATCATGGCGTCAGACGAGATTGTCTGGCAGGTCATCAACCAGCAATTCTGCTCCTTCAAATTAAAGTAAGAATGCTCAACTTAGTTGGCATGGCGCTTGCTAACCCCAAACAAGAACGGACAAGAAGCAAACCTTTTGCCGCAACGAGTACAACGTCACCGGTCTTTGCAACAGGCAATCCTGCCCATTGGCCAACTCTCGATATGCCACAGTCCGACAGCATCCCGAGAAGGAGACGGTTTACCTCTACATCAAGACAATCGAGCGAGCCCACCTGCCCTCCAAGCTATGGCAGCGGATAAAACTATCCAACAACTACCAGAAGGCCCTCGAGCAGATCGACCAGCAGCTCATATACTGGCCCAAATTCATGATCCACAAGTGCAAGCAGCGCCTTACACGACTCATCCAGGTGCAGATTCGGTCGCGAAGGATAGCGGCTGAGCAGGAGCGTCTCGGCGAGAGGCTGGTTCCCAAGCTGGCGCCCAAGATCAGGACCCGTGAAGCTGCGAGAGAGCGGAAAGCCGAGTCCGCGGCTAGACTCGAGCGAACGATCGAGCGCGAGCTGCTCAAGAGGTTACGATCCGGAAACTATGGCGAACAACCCCTCAACGTCAGCGAGGCTATTTGGAAGAAGGTCCTCAATGCCATGGAGCGCGAGGGCGAGGCTGAGCGTGACGAGGATATGGACTCGGGCATCGACTCGGAGGAAGAGGAGGACGATCTCGAGAAGCAGGTCGAGTACGTTTCCGACATTGGAGAGAGTGAGGAAGAGCTCGAGGATCTCGAGGACTGGCTCGAGAGCGAGGACGAGGACGAGGACGAAGAAGAGGATGAGGAAGATGAGGATGAGGAGGACAGCGACGACTCGGACGCCGATCGTGCTGACGCCAAGAAGCGGAAGCGAACCAAGGCTGCCAAGAAGAATGTCAAGAGGGCAAAGGTGGATCTCAACAAGTTCAACCAAGGAAACAAGGATGTGGAGGCCCCATTGGCTTGGTAATGGGTTTTTTTTTCGTTTTCTTATATCACGGCGAGGATTTCTGTATGTGTCGGCGGCGTCTTTGGAACCACAATCAAGGGCTTGATAAGTTGCATCATGGGGAGGGAAGACCTGAACTTCAACTGAGCTGGAATTGTAGCCATTAAAATTGTCGGAGTAGATCGAATAATAGGCGGGGGGATATACTCGTTTGTTGGTGCCTTGTGCTGCAATGAGCGGGATTTCGATACGTCTTGCGGCACCTAACAACCTTCTGTAGGCTAGCTAATGATACCATGTTCAAGGTCCATCAATACTTGCTTCAATGGAGTTTGAGTTTCGGACATTTGCCAAGACAGTTTGTACTCAAATGAGGGAACGCTCTGTGGTGTCGATGTTGAGCAAGGGCAGTAATTCTGTTTATATTTCGTACGTCACTGAGTAGTGAGCACCAACCATCGTCAAAAATCCAAGTTCACGCAGGGCAAGTCCTAGCGTATGAGGACGGTGTGTGGTGCACAGTGGAGTACAGTGCCGTCCACACCGTATAGCCTGGCTCTCATTAGATCGTCATAATAATAAAACACACCATTCCAACAAGCGGCCTTGCCTTCTCCAACTTGAAACGGACACTCCTCCCCCTTCAATAGCTCTCCCGATTAGCGAACTTTTACTTCGATTGACGGACGGAAAGCGAACACTTGATTTAGCCCCGACACAGCGTGCAAAAATTCTTCATCCGCCAATCTTGCTTCCTTTTTTTCAACTTGTTCCTCCCTATTCACCGCGCTTTGCATTCCGCCCCCCTTGCTACTAGTCGCTTCGTCCCTTCCACGTGCCCCGCATTCACCCTCCAGCGGCGGTTACGACTTTGTCTACGAAACGATGGCGTCGTGGTACTCGAAGATTCTGACGACCACGACGTCCCAGATCTCGAACCTCCAGAGTCGACTGCTCCAGAGCGAAAACGACGGCGATACGGAAGATGACACACACGTGTGCCGTGTGCTAAGAGCGTATTACACCGAGGAAGGGAAACCGTTCCCCGGCTGGCTACCCCCCGATCCGAAGGCTCCTCCGCCCGTGGCCCCGACCTATTCCCAGCCTCAGGTGGGATCGAGATATGGGAGGTTATCACCGCAGCAGACTGGGGCGTCCACAGGATCTGCGGCAACGGGCCTCAGTTCTCTGTGGGATAGTTCGGGCAGGACGGCAGGAGCGGGGGCGGGCCAGCAACAACCACAGGGCAGGCCAGGCCAATATTCTCGAGGAGGAGGATTTATTGACCGGGGCCGGGACGATTCGCAGTCGAGATTACCGAGCCAACGTGGTGGTTATCAGCAAAACAACCCGTTCTCGCGGGATTCTAATAGCAGCACGCCTCCCGGCTCCGGTGGCTCGGGCGGCGTCTCAGCGCAGGATAAACTAAAGAAGAGGTTATGGGGAGGAGGCGGGGCTAGGACGACAAGCCCATCGTCTGGCACAGGAGGACCATTCCAACCACCACCAGGACGCGGCGGAGGATATTCGTCGGGAAACAGGGGCGGGGACTCTGGAGATTACGAGAGCCGGTTTGCACCGGGTGGCATGTACGATGCCTCATCTAGTCGGGGCAGCGGAGGCGATAATAAGCCTTTCCTGGCGGCGAATTCGCCATGGGCATCAAACGAGGATGAGTTTATGGGAAGTGGGAGATCTAATCGTGCTGGTGGAGGGGGACTACCCAGTGGTCCGCGTAGAGGGGCTGGAGGCTTGCCGAGCGGGCCTAGGATGAGATAATGAGATGATAGCGTTGAGTGTTTAGAAGATTATAATACGGTTTTTTCGTAGCTTTACGAGTCATTTTATTGTCTCAAGCACCCCTTGCCGTCCATGCCTGTTGGACGCCAAGAGCACTTCAGATCGGGTAGCAGATCCGGGCTGCTCGAGGTCTTTTCCCATGGCAGGTCTCGGCAACGCTGAGTAGCCAAGGCCTTTCAAGGGAGGACAAAGCATCATTATGCCAGATACGGAGTGGCGAACAGCTTCTCTGGATCGCCTCTTCCGAGTCTGCGAAGAAATATCGGTGCCTAGCCGGGATAGCGATTCTAAATATTCGATCGGTATATCGCGCCCCTTACCATTCGATTCATCGAGATTAAACCCGATTCAGATAGTTAAACGTGCGTTGATATCGTGCTGCAACTTGCTTCTCCACGACTTAGCCGTGCGGCGAACCATGATCCGACGCATTCGTGGACTCTGCAGGGCGAATACGTGTGGATACGCAAGTGCATGACGTGGAGATCTCAGCGGGTTGAGGTACAAGTTACACGATTACAAATACACATTACGCAGACTTCCAAAGTACAGGTTACATGTTCTGTTGCCCCTCCAAGACAGGCGGTACTGATGGAGGGGCACAAGCTGAACTGACTCCGTCATCCGCCTGCAACGCACTCACATGCGCCGGGCTTGGGATTGCCAATGCCACCCACGAACTTGGCTTCCTCCTGTCATTGACCTCTCCTTTCTTCCACTTGCATTGCCGGCCAAGTGATTCCACCTCGTTAGTCTGGGGGTAGCCGCTTGCCGCGTACGTATATTTGCTAGGCTCCAACATTTCCCTCCCTCCCTTTTCGTCCTATATCTGTTGAGGTGGAGAGCCTCAGAGCCTCACTCCCCCGCTGTCGCCTCTCCACTCTGGCGACATGTCCGCTGGCCTTGCCAAAGACCAGCCTCCTCCCTCTCCATCGGCCAGCTTTTACGCCATGAGCGACGACGAAGAAGGTGAATACAGCACTATTACCCATACCGAGAGTGGTAGAGGGGTCAAGCTGTTATTCTCCAAGAGCAAGGTAGGAATTGAAATCCGGTTTTGCTATTGCGTCATACGTTTTCCACTTTAGGTATTCTAACATATCGTGAAGGTGTACATACACCCAACACCTTCTGCCAAGGACAATATCCCCGGATATGTCGCCCTTCTCCAGCAAAAGCCACCCCGTCCGGGCGAGCGACCGTCCTCGTCCTCCTCGTTAGCCCCAGCGCCGACTTCTTCCGATCTCCTTCTCGCATGGCTCCCGGAGTCTTCGCTTGGTGATGCAGCGAGCATCTACGTCAAGGTCGACCTCTGCGAGGGTGACTCGCCTCCGAAACAATCATATCTCGTCCCTCCTCCGCCGACGGTCACGACCCACAGCGATGTAGTTGGACACTACGCTTTCGCCATACCTGTTAGCGCCATCTTCTCTCTCCTGGTGCGCCCGCCAAGCATCGGCTGGTGGTTCGGCTCCGTTATTATCAACACCCGAGCCGGTGACAGCTTCCCAGCCCTCTTTTTCCACGATAGCGAGTGCGAGAGTACGATACTGCAAAAGAAGAAGCGTGCAAGGCAAAACTTTGATCCCTTTGGCGAAAATGGAGAAATGTTTTGGGGTGGCGATGAAGTCCTGCGGTGGTTGAGGAGATATGTCCGGATTGAGCGTTCGACGGCGGAGCCCAACGTCTACCTGGTTGAACCGTCGAAGGAGGATAGTGAGTCGTTCTCCTTCAAGTCTGTCTCGAGTCCATCCCAAATCGGGAGGCAGGATTCGGCTTCTGGAATTCGCGGGAGGGGACCACCGTTGCCTCCTCCCGGGTCAAGAAGGTCGGTAAACGATGCCCAGATGGATCCATTTATGAAGTTCGTCAAGGAAACCGGTTGGAACATCATGGAGAAGTTTTCTAGAGTTACTACCTTCACTCGAAGGGCCGCGCAGGATGTCTTGGATAACCCGAACGTGCCACCCCAGGTTAAGAGACTGCTCGGGAACCCCGAAGTGCAGACCCTGCAGGATGAATTTGACAGCGCAAGGCTATATCTCGCCCGGTGGGCTATGGGTATTGCCGAGCAGAGCGAACGTGATAGACGCCAGCGGATATGGACCGCCCAGGACGTCATGGAGCTCGAAGATACGGATGTGGGCGAGTTCGAATTGGTAGACGGAGCTAGTATGCTGTCCCTAGAAGAGAGAAGGAAACCGGTGACTCTGAAGGAGTGGAACGGGTTTTTCGATCCCGTCACCGGTCGCCTCTCCGTCACGATCGACGAAGTCAAAGAGAGGATTTTCCATGGCGGCTTAGACCCCGAGGATGGAGTACGAAGGGAAGCTTGGCCGTTTTTACTCGGCCTCCATGAGTGGTACTCAACCGCCGAGGAAAGGAGGGTTCAGATCGCCTCCTTGAGAGATGAATATTATAGACTGAAGAACTCCTGGTGGGAGAGACTCGATGGAATGGGAGGCGATGGCGAATCTGGCGAGTGGTGGAGGGAGCAAAGAGGCAGGATAGGTGAGTTTATATTCGGCTCTCTCGTCCGCCCATTTACGTTTTGCCATTCACCACTAACACAGCATTTCAGAGAAGGATGTCCACAGGACAGACCGAAACGTCCCAATCTTCCAAGGAGAGGATGTACCTCACCCGGATCCCAAATCCCCATTCGCTGAAGTTGGGACGAATGCCCATCTTGAGCAGCTCAAGGAAATGCTCCTGACCTATAACGAGTACAACAAAGATCTAGGCTACGTCCAAGGCATGTCGGATCTCCTCGCGCCAATTTACGCCGTCATCCAAGACGACGCGGTTGCATTCTGGGGCTTTCAGAAATTCATGGAGCGCATGGAGCGAAACTTTCTCCGAGACCAATCCGGCATGCGCGCCCAGCTCCTGGCCCTCGATCAGCTCGTCCACTTCATGGACCCGAAACTCCACGCCCATCTCCAGTCCACCGATAGCACAAACTTCTTCTTTTTCTTCCGGATGCTGTTAGTTTGGTATAAGCGCGAGTTCAAGTGGCTCGATGTCCTCCATCTTTGGGAGGTGCTCTGGACCGACTATCTTACGAGTAGCTTCCACCTCTTCGTTGCGCTGGCTATCTTGGAGAAGCATCGCGATATTATCATGACGCATCTCAAGGCATTTGATGAGGTCCTTAAATATGGTACGTTATGAAAGAGTAATTTCGTTCTTCTTACTTTAATCCACAACGACTAACATTTGATATCAGTGAACGAGCTTTCCAACACCATGGACCTGGAGTCAACACTCATCCGTGCCGAGCAACTCTTCCGCCGCTTCCGCCGCCTCGTCGAGACAATCGACAAGAAGCACAGCCTTCCTCTCCCACCGCCTCGCCCTCAGGGCCATCAAGCATCTTCGTCAGTAAGCTCCACTGCCTCAGGCCAGGTGCTTACGCCGACATCTTCCGTCGGGCCTACTTCTCCACGGAGAGATACGGGGAAAGCGCCGGAGACGGGGCCTGCCGCTACTGAGAGAGTCATCACCCCGGAGCTGCGGAAGCTGCTGAGTCGGAAAGTGGAGGTCGTTCCGAAGAGGAGACCTGGCCCTAAGTGAGTGGACGGGGAGGTAGATTTGCATTCTTCTGGGTTTGAATGAGTTGATTTCGCTGGATAACGTTGGGAAAATTAGCGATAGGTTTTATTTCTTGCATAGGCGCAAACATTGTAGTAATATGAATATATGTATCAACAGTAGTTATCATCTCATAAATGACCTTCGAGGAGACTAAATCTCGCAAATGTCCCAGATGCTCTCGATTCGCCGTCCAATGGCTACTGGTAAGAAACAGGAGAAAACAGACTTCATAACTTCCCTGATCATAAAAATGAGCATACATTATATAGACGCGTTCCGTTACTTCCACCCGGGAAGAAGATGCTATTTCTCATAACCAAATGGACAGAGAATATTTTCCACCAACTTCGCAGCCCCCAGCTCCAAAGGTACCACGCTAACAGTCAACCTCGGCGTCCCCCTCCGATCAGCATCGTGCAAAATCGAAGCAGTGACCTGAGAATCGCCCACATTCGCCGTGGCGGGGTACCGCGCCCAGAGCCTCCTCTCGGCATGACTCGAAAACATGATAAAATGGTCCATAAAAGATATGAGTTTCGACGAGGTGCAATCCACCACGCGGGCGACGACGTCCGTGATGGAGATCTCCTTCGAGCGCGACACGACGGTGTTATATTCGAGGACGACCGCGAAGCGGCGGCGGTCGCGGCTCGAGGCGATCTTGGACCCGGATTCCTCGTAGCGGAGGTAGATGCTCACGGGGCGGTGGACATCCGGGGAGTCGCCAAAGGAGACGAAGCCGCCGGCGGGGGGCGAGAAGCGCGGCGGTGGGAAGATCTCGACGAGGCGGAAGGGGAGGGCGGATGGGCTCGGGGAGAAGAGGACGTCGAGGGAGGTGGGGACCTGGGAGGCATGGAGCCTGATGTTGCCGACGAGATGGCTTTTCAGGTAGACGGGCCGCTTGCTCCGGGATTGGAGGCGGTAGCTCGCGTTTCGGGATATTCGGACGGGTCGCGCGCCGGAGAGGCGGTAGAGCACAATCGTAACCTCGGGGTTGATCGCCTCCGAATAGGTGCCGACAGGCAGGATGATAAAGTCATAGACGCTCTTGTCGTCCATGACCTCGCTTATGATGAGGCAGTGTGTACAGATGAAGACAAGCTTCATGGCCTTTAGGCCCCCTATGTCGGAGCGGAGCTCGATACCCCGCGGGGTGCTGACGAGGGACTCGTTCCCGATTTCGACCTTGGGGTTCCGGCGGAGAGTGCGGCAACCGGCGAATTCGTCTGGGGATATGGCGAAGGTTCGTCTGCCGTCGCCGAGGATGGCGGCTTCGTAGCCCCACATGTAGATTGTGATGTCGGCCGTCTTTTTGACGATTTTCTTCTGTAGACGGATGAAGGCATTTTCGGCGCCCTCTCCGTAGAGGACGGACATGGCGATATCGAAGAGACCCATGAGACAATAGACGGTATCTTCTTTGCGTGTCGTGGTTCGATACGCTGCCCACGACAGCTTCTTTGCGACACACGGGCCAGAGATGTAATCCGTCCCCTCGAGGTAGTTGAAGTCGATCCCCGTGATCTCGGCCAGCAGTAGTGAGTCCGGGAAGATGAAGTCCCACTCCCGATTGAACCAAACCCTCGCCGTCGGCGCAAGCAACTCGATCAACGTCCAGCCCCGCGTGAACCACCAGCTCCGCCTAAACACCGAATCGCGGTCCGCTATCGCATCTTCCGCAGGTACATCGGCGAGGTAAATAAAGCAGACGACGGCCTCCTTGTACAGCCTGTGCGCCGAGATCACGGCCTCGGATACTTCAGCGCTGCTAGACTTGTCGATGCAGCACGTGTCAATCCAAAAGTACCCGATCTGGCTGACCCGGGCGTGTTCGGCGACTTTGAGGATTTTATCGTAGCCGTGCCGCGCGCGGAGCTCCCTTGCCGCCGTTTGCTCCTCGGTGGAGGTTTCTTCGGCTTCTGTGTACTCTGGACAGGCCTCGTCTTGCTGCTCCGGCTGCTGTGATGAAGATCCACCTGGTGTGCTTGGATACTCGACACTGGGGACAACCTCCGGCTCTTTCCCATTCTTCGACTTTTCGTTGATTGAAGGCGGATTAGTATTCGATTCGTAGGCGCGGTGATAGTCCTGGAGCCAGATCATGTCCTTGTAAAGGATTTCATCGCTTCCCCACGTATGGGACAGAATCGCATAGGGAGGATGATTTCCATCCTCGAATTCGTGAAATTCGAGCGTGTAAGAATTGAGCAGCCTCATCTTCTCTCACGATGAACTGCGTCGAGGATGAAGAAGTTGGTTCATACCGTCACAAGTGGGACAGGAGTCAAGGTGACACTGCAACATACAAATATATTACACATTTCGGGTGATACGACTTTGATCTCATCCGGCTGCATCTGTGCGGATTAAGGCTGGCCCGTGTTATTGTCTTCATTTTAATAAGTTGGGGGCCGTTGGCTCTGAAATGAGGCCGATGCGACAGTCTTCTAACGTCGCCTTTTTCTAGCTTGGCGGCTGTAGCATGATCAATCCATGCATTCTGGCATTCTGACGTAGAGACCTCTTACCGAGAATCTCGTATTTACCCTTCAATAACTGCGGTCAAAACATCGGGACCTGTGACTGCGATGAAGGTGGCCCAAAGGTAAGGAAATGGGCGTGTAAGCCAAGCCATATATCCATCCGTGAAGTGGAAAAAGGGGCGCGACAAGGCATCCTTACTCGTCTTACTCAAAAGAACCTTGTGTTACTCGTTACGGGAGGTTATTGGGGTCAATATAGAATATTTGCCATCTCGTCTCTGGGATAAGCCGCAATGTCCCGAAAGGGAGGCGCAGTTGTACTCTGGATTTTTGAGGCCCGGAGCTCTGATACCTGATTGGGACCCAAGTAAGCCGACCGCAAACGTGGGGAGATGAGGGACGTCGAAAATAGATGTCGTTTATAGATGTATGATCAATAAGACCAGCTCATCTCCCCGTACTACTCTGGAGGAACCATCGACGTCGAAACAAACCCTACAGAGGGATAAAGCCGACATCCCGCGTGCCAAGCCCCAGAAAGCGGCAGCGCCGAACGTTGCACAAAGCCATCATGGCCCCATCGCGTAGCGAGAAGGCAGCCGCTAGGCAAGACTTGATTGCCTTTGTCTCCGAGATTCCGGCGGACATCGATACAGACCCAGAAATGAAACCCCTCTTTGAGATGCTCGAGAGGGAGAGTCCGGAAAACCTACTCTTAGTCGGTCAACTATTCGTCGAGCTCAAATTGCGGCTGCAGAGACTCCGGGTCGACGAAGCGCGGGAAAGAAGAGTCATTGCCGACTATCAGCAGAATCAAGCGAAGATTCTCAAAGATCTTGCCATGGCGAGATCCATGGTCAAATCTGCCGGCGGCGTGCCTTGCCCGACATCTGTGCGTTATAAGTGGGAACTTCTGAGAATGAAGCTCTCGCCCGAGTATCGACGGATTGACAAGGTAGTTGCCAGACGTGAGAGAAGTTTGAAGATATGGGCTGTGAAAACGAAGAAGGATATCCTTGACGACTTCCTGAGGAAAAGAAAGAAGATTGTTGAACGAAGAGAGCGATAACTTGAAATCACTTCGCTCGACTTACATGCCATACATGTGAATGCGATACGAGGTCTTGCGAAATATATACGAGAGAAGCCACCCAAAATAGAGGGACTTCATGTCTTTTGCATGTCACAGTAAGGGTATACACATATACGTCTTTTCTCTACACCGCCTGCCAACCTTTCCCGGGTACCTTCTTCTGCTTCACCTTCACCACCGGTAATGGCCAACCCAGACCCGCTACATTCTCAGCCCGCAAATAGGGCACCACCCAACACTCCCTCATGGCCGCTCCATCGGGCGCAGCCGGAAGTTGCGACTCCTTGATCGGCTTGCCGTAGCTGATCAGCGGCGTGCCCTTGGCCAAAGCCGCCAGCTCCCTCCCCGAAATATCCGTCAAGGCATGCATCCTCGTCTTCGGCTTCTTTTCCAACTCGAGGCCTCCGGAGGACGCTCGCTGGAGATAGGCGTAGACGATGAAAGACGGGCACTCCTGCGTGCTTAGGTGAGCCATGGGCGAAGATGGATGAATATAAACGAGGTTATCGGAGGGATCCTTCGAATCTCGATGGATCGGTGTCAACGGCTGATATGGCACGTCGATGGCTCTGCGAGGCTTCCTGTACATTTCCGGTGGGTTCGGCAATAAGTCGGCTCGGATCGCCACCTGGTCGATAAATCCAGCCGCGACCATCTCCTTGAGTGCCACGATCTGCTTTTCCGTTGGTCTGTCCAGTTTGTCCTCGAACCGTAGACTTGCGCAGGAAGCAATGTTGTTCTTGAGCAAGTCTACAATCTGTCGGCGCAGCTGCTGGATTTCCTTGAGAACCTTGAACCGCACAAAGTGAGCCTCGCACCACTGCTCTGTAGGGTCGTGCGCAAACTCTCCCACGACCTGAAGGAGCTTTATTGCATCCGACTTATCATCGAGCGAGCAGAAGTTGTAGTGGACGGCGTTATATTTCTTCCGTATCGCAGCTTGTCGGTCTTCAGCGATGACATCTACAGTCGTTAGGATCTCATCGTCGCTCTTGGAGGCTAGAGACGGCACTGCCTGGTTCTCCGGGATGAAAATTTCAGCGGCCGAGAGCGCAGCAATAAGGGCGATGGTGTAAGGGAGGCAGTTTTGTTGATGGCCAACCAAGAGAATTCGGGAGAATCGCGGTGATAGAGGGAAAAGCGACATTGTCTTGCCCACTTGTGTAACTGCCCCTGATGGAGAAAGTGCGGAGAGGTACTCGAGCAGCTTCTCGCCTTTGGCAAGGCTTTGCCGGTCTGGTGGCGTAGGGAACGGGAAATTTACGACGTGTTGTAGATTCATCGCTTTAAGTTGAAGCACCACTCCCTCGATGGGCATTCTGAGCAATTCCGGGTCCGTGAACTGGGGAAGATCTCGCTCGTAGACGGCCGAGGAATATAATCGGTAACAGTGACCGGGGCCGGTACGTCCCGCACGACCGGATCTTTGATTTGCGCTGGCCTTGCTGATCCATCCAATGTCGTAGCTCTGCACGCCGCTCAGCTTGTCGTACTGCCGCTCCTTGGACCTGCCGCAGTCAAAGACGTATCGAATACCAGGGATTGTCAAACTCGTCTCTGCGACGTTGGTGGCGATAATAACCTGTCTCGTACCCTCTGGGGGTTCTTCAAAGACTCGAAGCTGCTCTCGCGTTGGTAAGAGGGAGTACAGTGGTAGAATTTGCATTTTCAGAGGTGGAGGTTCCGTATCGTCTTCGTCTATTTCGAATTCGTCCTCCTCCTCCTCGCCACTGCCATCATCACTCTCCTCGTCCAATTCTGACAGATAACCGCCGTCATCATTCCGGTCATCCCCTTCACCGAAATCTACATCTTCAACCTCGAGTGGTGCGTCGGTGGCAGAAATCTTCACTTTCGGCATTGTCGAAGTCTGGCCCTTGCAAAATACGGCTTTGAGCATCTTGCTCAGCCTCATAATTTCGTGCTGGCCAGTCAAGAAAATGAGGAATCCGCCTGGAGGCAATTTTCGGTGTCCCTTGCTGACTTTGCGGAACGCTTCTTCCACATAGTCGGCGTGAGTTCGGCGGGCAAAGTGAAGGGTGACGGGATGCTGCCGACCTTCTACCTCCACAACCGGCGGCGGCGTAGCAAATAGAGTCTGGTTCTGGGTCATGTCATCGACGCGAAGGGTGGCGGACATGATGATGAGCTTCAAGGGCCTGACGGTCGGATCTTCGTTGGCCATTTCTCTCCTCAGCTTTATAACACGGCTAAGAATACCAATGAGGATATCTGTGTTGACGCTGCGCTCATGAGCTTCGTCAACGATGATGGCGGAATACTTGCGAAGAGAAATATCCTGAGCAACCTCTCGAAGCAAGACACCATCTGTCATAAATTTGATAGCTGTGTTCGGATCGGCAGTGCCTTCAAACCTGATTTGATAGGCCACTCGCTTGGAGTGATCCCCGAGCTCCTCGGCCACACGTTTCGACATGCTCACCGCGGCAACACGCCTTGGCTGAGTGATTCCAATCATGCCTGAAGTGGGTGAATCTGGAGATCCGTAGCCAGCCTCGTAAAGGAATTGAGGTATTTGCGTAGTTTTTCCCGATCCGGTGGAACCACAGATGACAACGGTGTCATTGTTGTGGATAGCCTCCATGATCCTTTGCTCTTCACCAACAACAGGAAGTTTGAGCCGGGCTTCCTGGATTTCTGGAGAACGCTGTACAGAGACACTAAACGCCTTTCTATCCACATTCTGTGTTGGTAGAAGTTCCTTAGGCAGTGGGTCCTGTTCTGGAGCTCGCGGCGTAAAATTCTTGGGTTTGGGGATTTCGTAGACCGACGTCGTAGCGGTTGCTGGGGTATAGCCAAGAGCCTCGTTACGTTGTTGATGCGCCCATGCTTTGAAGGCAGATGACCTAGCCCTTCTTGATTCTACCTCGCCATCATCATCGTCCATTATGTCGTCTTCTTCGTCGTCATCTTCACTCGAACCATCTTCATCCGAAGTTCCCTCGGATTCTCCACTTACAGAGTCTTCCGAGTTTGCTTGTTCATCATCGCTGGCAGCGGCGTCTTCAGATACACTGTCTTGGTCCCCATCACTGCTGAAACCACTCCATTCTTCATAGTCCGATTCTCCAGCCGGCTGTCGCTCGGGGTGAATCAGGGAAACCTTTGTCACAACCCCACCTCTCTTCTGCCTTTTCTTTAGAACCGGTCGTCCTTCATCATCGACATCCAGCGGGCGTTTGAGGCCGGATCCGATCTGCACGGACGTCGGGGTGGGCTTGCTCGCTTCACTCGTAATTCCCTCGCTTATTTCGGAGATTTGATGTTTCGCTACGGCAGACTTTTCGCCGTCTTCTTCGGAGTCGTCTTCGTCTTCCGCATCGGCTTGTTGAACGGTGGCAAAGTTTCGTTTCTGGAAAAGAAGTTCCTTTCGAGACTCGTCTTCGATTCCAGCCTTCTCCTCGAGAAGCGCACGACGTAACGCCTGCTTCTTCGTCTCTTTACCCTGACCAAGGGCCTTTGTACTAGAAAATAAGGTTGTATCGATCTTGCTCTTCTCGAGTTTCTCCGCAAAGACACGTCCCTCTTCCTTCCTCATCTTCTTTTCGATATACTTTTCCAAACGCTTGGCCTTCTTCGAGCTGACCTTGACCCCCTCCCTCTTTAGCTGCTCCTTCATTTCGGCTTTCCTCTCCAGCAGCTCACGCTGCTGGGCGGGTAGGATTTCCAGCGCATTGGAGTCGGTGACTTCGTGGGTGGCATTTTCCTGGGCTCGCTCACGGGCGAGCACCTTGTGCTTACGCTGCCGTGGTACGAATTTCTTCGCCATTTTGGCCGGGAGAGTCGCGATGTCTCCGGGGAGGGCCGAGGGATGAGTGGGTGGACGAGAGAATTGAAAATCAATTAATCGAAGAGGCCATGATAAAAGTTGGTCGTTGGCAATTGGAAATTTTGGCGGTGCCCTCTTTCCATAACTTTTTCTGCAGGACAAAAGCTTCACCGCCCGCCGCAGAGGATTTTCTTTCCGAGGGCGGTGTACATAGAGGGGCAAAATTCTTCTAGTGGGGCAGAAGGAGCTCTGTCCAAGCAACAGTCCAACACCGAAGCTTGAAACCCCACTACAATATTGATTCGACCCAACGAACAGGGCGGCACAGGGCTCTTTATAGCGCTGTCGAGGGCGGATTGACGGCGACAGATGCGTAGTGATGATCAGGCTGCATTGGAGTTTCCTGTTCACATCGTACCAAATCACACCCCCAAGACTTAAACTCTGAACGGCTCCCGCAAAGCTGCGAACGACAGATCGCAATGGACCAAGTCAAAGAGGAGCCCTTCCCTGCAAAATCCCGACAAGCGGTGGGAACCGTTAGGGGCATCCCTACCGAAGTAGTCTCCATGTCATTCTCAGACAAGTATCTACTCACCGTTTCCCAGGGCGGTCGCTTATCACAATGGGTAGGTTCATCATGATCCCCTGTCTTATCGGAACAGAGAATTTGGATTCAAGCGAGCTTCGTTGACACTTGGCTAGGTACAAGTTCCCCTCCTTAGCTCCCCCGCTGGAGCTGTTGAAATGCACCTGCCATCCTCACGGAGCGGTCTCGTGCCTGGGACGCACCTGACACCCACGACGCTGTTGGGGGCCGGCAGCGGCGATAGAGAAACTGTAGGACACTTGTTCGGTACTCAAATAGCGAGTTTCATCTCCATGAAAAACCCCGAGGACCGCCGTACTCTAGTTCTTGGCCTCGGCCTTGAAAAGCCTGACACCGACCCTGAAGCATTCTTCGACTTTTTAGAGCTCGCCAGACAGGTCCTCTGAGTAATAGGCTCGAGATCTCTCGATGCATACCAAACAAGGACAATATAGGTTATCCGAGTTGTTTAATTCACCTGCCCTGCTTTCTTCCCTCGAAACCGTCCCCTTCCCCGACGCGCTTCCGGCATATTTGCCACAATACCGCGAATTAGATCTTCGGCGTGGGGTATGAGGCTGCCGTTGGTCCTTCCAGTTCTCGGCTTCCGTTCAATGAGATCAGAGAACGCCATGGACTAATAAAATTAGTATAGCTTTCTCATTATCTCTTGCTTGGAGGATCGAGAAGCATAGTGTATGCACATAGCGGGTGGTCTGATGGATGGAGCTGCATGCACCTCCGGGCTCCGGAGGGGTCTTCCGGGAACTCTATAAAATTGGCAGAAATCCATGACAACCCAAAACGAAGCTTCAGCATTATTCTGCAGATACTTCAGCGTTGAATATATGAATTATACCTTCCATCAACCCAAGTCTTCAGTCAATTCCATTTCTTTTTATTTCGAATAAACACTCCCAGTAGAATATGACATTGTTTCCCGGAGTCGCACTCGTCACCGGAGCCGGCTCAGGTACGTCATCATCACCTGAGGCCTCTTAATCCTCAACGACAACTTTGAGATAAACATCCATCACCCTTAAGCAAGGCATGATACATCAATTGACCGCAGTCGAGGCATAGGCATTGGTAGGCAAATAGCAATCTCATTCGCCCGAGAAGGATGCAACAAGGTTGCGATCCTTGACAGGAACAAGGAGGGTCTGGATGAAACGGTCCGGCTCTGCAAGGAAGCAAACCCTGCCGTTGAGATTCACAAAGAAGTGTACGACGCCCGCGACGAGAATCAAGTGAATGCCTCGATTTCCGCGGCTTATAAGGCCTTCGGTAGAATTGACTACGCCGTCAACTCAGCTGGTTCGTAACACCTTGTAAAGCTGCTAAGCTTTGGCGGACGATGTCTATAGGTTCCATGACCTCTAACGCAAAAGACCGCCAGGGATATTCGGGCCCATGGCGCCTTCTCATGAACTCAGCATAGCCGACTTTGACGACATTAATAGAACCAACTACCGCGGGCTTTGGATTGCCCAGCGCGCGGAGATTTCTCACATGCTGAAGCAGGAGCCCCTCCCTACTCATGATGGAAGGCCGGGCAACAGGGGCACCGTCGTCAATGTTGCCAGTAATCTTTCACTTGTGAGCCGGCCGGAGACTCGTATGTGGACCCCTCCCTAACTTATCGTTCAGGTAATGGCATTACACATTGAAGTAGCTGCTAACACTCAGGTATCCGTCTCTCAGCCGCCTATAGCGGCTCCAAGGCTGGTGTGCTCAGCATAACACGAAGTGATGCAATTGATGTGTGTAGTCCGCCGCCCTTCACCCGCATACCAGGAAACTGGATGCCTGTTACTGATTCCATATCGCGTAGTATTCCAAGCACAATATCAGGGTTAACTGTGTGTGCCCTGGCCTTGTCGAGACACCAATGACCAAGGACCTGTCTCCGGATGACCCAGCCTTGTTCGTGGCACCTCTAGGCAGGATGGCTAAACCACAGGAGGTTGCGGATGCAGTCCTGTTTCTGAGCAGTTCAAAGGCAACTTACATACAGGGCGCGGCACTCTCTGTAGACGGAGGGTATACCATCAACTAAAACTGCTGTTGGTGGATGGGCATGATGAAAAATGATGTAAACAAGAAATGGGTATCTTTAGGACTCCGTATCCTCTACCATAACACTCTTTTTTTTTCGATCTCAAACCCCAAAACTCCAGTGTATATGCAACAATCACCTCCCGCGTACCTATGTCCGCCTCCAGAACTCATCACCCCCTTTCACATATCAATGTTAAAAGCAAAACGCTTCGGGCTTTCCCTCAACTAGCAGGGGCGACAGAACCGGTTTTCGTCTTACGCCGTCTCGGTTTTGGCGCATTGGGCGGCCTCGGGCTCTTTTCTGCTTTCTTACCCTCCTTTCCATTCTTCGCTATAGCCGGGCCCTGCAGCCCCAAGCCGCTTATACCGTCCGTTTTCGTTGGCAACGAAGGCAGCTTCGCAGGCTTCTCCTTGCGGCCTGTGGAAGCGACGTGGAAGTTTCCAGGCTGGCCTGTTATAGGTTTCTCGTCAATGTAGTCCCCGCCGTACTTTAGATGTCTGATGAAGGAATCTTCGGCGAGGCGCTCGAGTTCGGTTTCGAGAGTATTGTTTTTGACCTTGGGGGCTTCTCCCTTTGCGGGAGCTGTCTTTTCGACGGCGCCACCTTGAGGCTGGGTGGTAGGGGTGGGTGATGGGCGGTATACGCTGCCGAGGGACGGTGTCCAGGTACGGGCGCTATCGGCGGTTGGAAGGACTTTGCTCATGGCGTCTGTTATCGTATTCTAGCGACAGAGTTAGCACGGCTCGGTCTTTGCGCCAAGGAAATTGGAAGGGAAGCGAAAAAAAAGAAAAGACGTGAAGTGCTTCTGTCTCGAGGAGTAGGGGAAAACAAACAATTCTGGATGTCAGGATATCCGCTAGCGTAGGCGCCTGGTAAATATTCTCTCCAACCACAAAATAAGTCGCGTGTACCATAATCTCATCCTCAATACCAGGCCGCTTCTTCCTAGTCTGCTTGCGAATAACCCACACACCCGTCCCCATGCCAGGTCCCGTCTCCGCCGGCTCCTGCGCGACCATGAATTCCAGCCCCGCCATGGTACGGAGGCGGCCCTCGAACGCTTCGCGGGTCTGAATCAAGTGGTACATGCTCGCGTTATGAAATGCCTGGTTCGTCACAATCGCGTTGTTCGAGGTCTCTTCGAAGAAGGGCGAGCGCGCAAAGTAGTGCAGGATGGTGTTGGAATGGATGCCGCCCATTTCGGCGACGAGCTGCGGTGAGCGCCATTGGATCTCGTCGAGTGGAGGATCTTGGGAGGCCATTGTTGGAATTGTGTTGAGAGACTTCGATCGGAACTGGGCGCTGGTCAAGGTTGGTTGAGGGATCTCTGGCTACGATACTCTTCCTGCCCAAGACTGTTGTTGCTTTGAAGAAGCGACAATTGGTGTAGGCAGCTTTGACCTATCGTCGTAGCTTTAGCACAGGGCAAATCGTCTTGGGAGCATCAGGCCCGCTTAGTAAAATACGCGAGGTAGATGAATGTCTCATCCTATTATTGCATATATTAAGAGGAATGTGTGTCTCATGCGATTGGAAGGTAAAGTCGAGAAAGGAGTTTAGAATTTACAGATCAAGATAGCTCTCTTCCAACTTCCAACCAACCATCCCGATTTCCACGCTAATTTTAGCTAGTCATATCCGGCAATACAATGGCTCCTTCCCTCAATATTTAACAATTTAAACCTCTTATTGTCATTCAGACGTATCGAACACAGAGTTCAAGACAGGTACAAAGGTTCCGTTGGAAAAAGCACTTGATTTCTAGCTATACGGATGAGACTCGTAGGTGTTCGTGGCCCAGTGAAGCCTGCCTCGTCGGCTGATGCATCGGTTCCTTTGCGGATTTCTGTTGCAGCTTGTGATGATGATAGCTTCAACTGAGTATCAGACAAGGGTTAGTTTGTTAGGCTGTAGAGGAAGTCGACCTTGCATTAACGATGGTTTCTTACTTCTTCTGCCAGCCCGACTATCTGTACCTAGTCAGACAAGCCGGCTACAAACCTCCTCGCTACTCTCCGCACTTTAGGGGACAATCTCATCACCACTCTCGCTTACTCCATCTCTACTACCTGCTCCCTCAGTAGAACGTTCTTGTTCCTGGGATAAATGGCTATTCTTAGCCCAGAAGTTTCCCAGCATCTCCTCGGGGGCAACTTCGACATGTGGTTTCGGTCGAAGGCCCTCAGTTCCATGGGAGACGTTGACTGACTCCTCGTCCGGTCTGTTTTCAGATGATATCTTTAATTCATTTTCCTTGTATGAAAGTTTGTCCCATAAGAACGATGTCATGAACGTAAGTGCCGTTAAAGCCACGCTCAGAACGACGAATATCCATAGCTTGCCGAGGGCGTGAAACTGAAGATCATCATTGAGTCCCAGAAATGGCATGCTAAAAATTGCCTTTTCTTTTATTAGTTAAGTCTTCATGAATGGCTTTGTAGAGAACACATACAGCGACTGTGGTTGATGGCAGGTAACACATGGTAAGGAACGCGAGTCTTCTCATGTGCCTGGTATCCTGCCTAGCATGCTCGGCGTACTGTCGCATCTCTTCTGCCTGCTTCTGGCTGCTACTTGCAACGGAGTTCAAGGCAATGACGTTATTTCTCACGTAATCGAGGCTATTGATCTGGACAGTCATCATGCACTTTGATATCATTAGAAGCTATTATGGTCTGGCCAAAGCATACAAACTTACTAGTTGAAGTTCGGCCTCTAGGATACCTTGAAGAGCGACGAACTTCTGGAGATTCTCCCCCAAGCGTTTTCTCGAGTTGTGCGAAATTTCGTAGACTGCCCTCTGCAGCTCAATGCAGGCGGTCTCGAGAGGCAGCTGCTGGACAGCTCTTGCGATGTAACTTGCATGTGCTCTGAGTATGTTCAGGTACTCTATGCTCACTTTTGCCTCGTTTTGACATTCAATCGATTGTGGCATGTTCTCGCATTTAGAAACGTTTGCACGGGCTTTTCGTAAAGCTGCAAGCTATTGAGAATATCAGCAGGGTTTTATTTTTGCAAGTGTTTTCTTTCTTACTTCGCCGCGAGCCCAAGTTATGAAGTTCTCGCACAAGTCATGCCACCCACTAACGGTTGCTGCGAGAAAGAGTGACTGCATCCATAAGGATCTCAGGTCTGCTGGAGCTGCTCCGTGGTTTGCTGAGACGAAGGTCGTAATAACAGCTTCCACTTGCTTCAGCGACTTCCGATCGATAAATGCGAGGACCCGGAGTGGTGCTGTAGGATCGTCGGTCGCAGATCCAATGGCTAGGTAAGATATAGGGTTATCCAAGTAATATGTAGCCATTGGGATCGTCCAGCTCTTCCATAGGACTCCCTGGCAAGTTTTTTGAAGGTGGTTGCCGCCGACGGACTTGAGGAGATGCCGCATGATAGCTCCGGGTACGTTCCATTTTGTGGTAAGTTGCTCGAGGCTGCGCTGACTTTGATAGATATCTTTGTTTTCGAAAGGTATGAGAATAACGTGGTCGTCTTGGCCATCTTCTAGTTGTAGCCAGTCCTCAAGCTTCCTTGGCTCAGGATGACCCGTACAAAATACCCTCGCATCGCCAGCTGGGTGATACGTCAAAAAGCTGAGCCGTTGAAGGACAAGCTCTCCAGACTCTCTAAAGGGTTTCAAATTCCGACATTGTGATGATATTTGCCGTTCTGAAAAAGTAGAGGAAGAATAACTTGTATCATACAGGAGCCAAAAGCGCTTGTCTTGGTTCATAGAGTTTTTTGAGGGTCTTTGCTATAGACATGACTTATTTCTACTTGAACTTAGATGTTGGAGGTACATCGCCGGCTGCCTCCCCTTGACCTGCAAGTCATCCGGGAGAAAAGTGATGACCAGTGTGCCTTGCGTGGCTTCGTCAGTTGACACCAGAGCCACCGGTGTAGCGCATGCGTGTGGTTGAAGACTCCAGCCGATGCCCAGCAGTGGCTTAGACTTATAGAAGGCGCATTTTGTGCCAGGCAGTTGATGCAGATATGCAAGGCGGACTTGGGCATAGTCAAAACAGAGACGGAAAACAGGCTCAGAGCCGCCTGGACTTGGGGTTGCGGTGGAGTACTTGACATTTATTGAAAGATGTGGTAAAAATCAATGGAACTGTGATTGTATTCGGAAAGGTTTTCCTAAATGGGAAATTATTTCTGTTGGAACTAAATATGAGTGGCTGAACTTTGGCCATTTGGCCACAGCTCGGCTGGGCTGCTAACAAAAGACAACTACGAAGTACACCTTGTATTGAAAACGGGATGTGGTGGGGCCGCACAGCCTATGCACGTGACAAATTTTGGAGGAATCGGGAAACGCCATGTTTGACCTCCATCGAAATTCCAGTAGGCATCAATTGGTTGTAGTGAGGTGTATCCCTCGTCTGGAAAATCGTCCTGCCTATCGACTCATTGGCATCTATAGATCTCCTACAAACACTCCGTATCTTTACCTCACCGAGCTCGTAGCAAGAGCTCGCCCCCGGAAACAGTTGCCGGAAGTAGGATCAATGTGATGTGACGTCAACTACAAGTAGACATTCGAACCTGCCCGCCAAACACTTCGGGAAGGTGTTCTTGAACTTGCCGAGCAGTTCGGGAGAGAGGCCATCATAGATGTATCTCGATATCTTCCATCGTCCTCCATCACCTCCGAATCCTCTATTCCTCTCTGCATCACCCTTCATGGGTGAGAAGACTTGGTCTTCGTCTACTCAAGAGGAACTCGCCTCTCAGCACTAAATAGTCCAGCTCACTTATGTCTACATTGGCTTAACAGTAGCCTTGTCCTTCTTTATATAATCTTCCCACGCTCTTTTCTTTTGAACTGTCTGTCCTCGTTGGCGACAGGCGCGACAAATCTTGTAGTCATTTGCAATCTTTCGTTTATCCAGTCCGCTTCTCATCTTCCGTCACTGTAACTCGAAAGCTGTCGTTTCTCGGCCGTCCCAACCCTCGTACCCTGTTCCGTTCTCAATCCCAGGAATGGAGCCGGATACAGCGAGCCAGAATCGCCGGCTCGGACCAAGTCGTCCCCGCGGCAAGGGATCTAGGGTCTAGTCCGACCTTGTTGCCGTCGTAAAGTCCATGGGACGAAGCAATGGTGAGCCAACGCCATCTCGGACATTCGGACTTCTGCTAATCCTAAGTCTGCCCGTAGACTCACTGCCGGCTCTCGAGTTTGCTCCCCCTCATTCTCTTAGGGGCAAGGTCCCTTTAGCGAAAATTAAGACAACGCCTCACCCATATCTACCCCTACCGCCGACACCCGCAGCCCATGAGCCCACGTCCGATTGTAACTCCACGGTCGTCATCTGCAAGCCGCCATCAAAGAATGGCAGCCAGACTGCACTGGGACACGAGACGGTGGTGTCCCCATGGGCCCCGTCCGTAATGTCGTCTTCGTCTCCATCGACGGATTTAAGCGGCACATTTTCCCCGATCCCGGATGACACCACCACCACCACCAAGACCTCTGTCGATTCAAGGATCTTTCCCTCGAGTCCAGAAAGAACTGCATCTTCGGAGAAAGCCAAGTCTATTGCCCGCAAAACGACCGGGGCTTCTACCTCTGAACTGAGCGGTTTAGGCACGATCCAAGAATCACCCGTGAATCGAGTAAGACCCACAATTGAGACAGTAGAGCGGGCATCTGCAGCCAAGGTTTACTTGGAGACATACTTCCACGAGCTTTTGTCCCGCCCTACGCTCCGGGAACTCTGCCGTCAGCACCTAGAGTCAAATCTGGTGCAGTCAGATATGCATCTAGAACAGAAAGAGAACCTACGGAAGGCCTTCAATTCGCAGTGGACTTGGCACCTGCGGGAGCTCAGATCACTCAAGACAAAAAGCGAGAGGTCCGCCGGAGGACAGCTCTCCGGTTCCTGTGTTGACGACTTCGAGACGCTGAAGCTGCTTGGAAAGGGAAGCTTTGGCGTTGTGAAACTCGTGAGTGAGAAGCCAAAACCAGAGAATTCATTCCGCAAGCAGGTATATGCCATGAAGGTCATTCGAAAGTCGGACATGATCAGAAGCTCTCAGGAAGGCCACCTCCGCGCTGAAAGGGATCTACTCGTCATGGCGGAAGGATCCAATTGGTAAGTTTAGTCCGGTATCACTATAGACTAACTGTGAGCAATTAAGGCTTACTCGTTGTATTTTAGGATTGTTCCATTGTTCGCAAGTTTCCAGGACGAAAAGAACCTTTACCTTGTCATGGACTATATGCCTGGAGGAGACTTCTTGTGTCTTTTGATACGGGAGAACGTCCTGCCGGAAAGCGTGACTCGGTTTTACATCGCCGAAATGATATTATGCGTTGAGGAAGCCCACCGCCTTGGATGTATCCACAGAGATGTCAAGCCAGACAACTTCTTGATCTCCTCTTCGGGCCACTTGAAGATATCCGATTTTGGGCTGGCATTTGATGGCCACTGGTCTCATGATACGGGATACTACAGCTTCCAACGGTACTCTCTTCTACGACAGCTGGGCATTGCTATCGACGGCGATGACTCTGACAAGGCCGATAAGTTCGCCTTGCAGAAGCAGCTTAGATTCGCCGGCCGTGGAAAGTATGACAGAGAACGTTATGGTGACTATGAGCCGTTACTCTCCTGGAGAGAGAGGTGCGGAAACCGAGTAGCCGCAAACTCCGTTGTCGGAACGAGGCAATACATGGCACCGGAAGTGCTTCGTGGTACAGGTTATGACGGCCGGTGCGACTAGTGGAGTATCGGTATCATTTTGTACGAATGTCTGTACGGACACACTCCGTTCTATTCCGAGGAGGGCAGAGAGAAGACGAAATCCAACATTCTGGTAAGCACCTATTCCATCATTGACGCTGTTACCCGAATATTGGTGGTTAATTCGTCACGTTCAAACAGAATCATAAGTACCAGTTTCGAATTCCGTCTCGGCCCCTTGTAACGGAGAGATGCAAGGACCTGATACGTAGGCTTATCCAAGAGCCTCAAACGCGGCTCTCATCCTATCGTTACCGCCGCAAAGACGAAAGGATTCCCATCCCTAGGCTAGTGGGCACGCCATACGTTTTTGCTGGTGATGGTGAGGATATCAAAGCCCACAGATGGTTTCGTAACATACCTTGGCACCGTCTTCACCTCGAGACTCCTCCGTTCATCCCCCAAACCCGCACCATTGACGACACGCGATACTTTGAGGATGATGGGCGCATCAGTGACTGGTCATCTACAGTTGCCAGCAGTAATAAGGAACCGCCTATCGGTCTGGCAGAAGTCCAAGCCCTCCTACCAGGTATGCGCGAGCAGGTCCATGCCTTCGCTGCAAAGCTCGTCGGCTCGCCTTACGATCCTCGCACTATCGACAAAAAGATGGATGAGGAGAAGGGCCTATTCTCACGCGAGAGAGAAGTGCTGAAGCAATTTGTGCATGTGTACGGGCGAAAGGACAAGAAAAGACCGCGGGATCCGCTCATGAGGGACCCCAAAACCAAGCATGCGGTACTCGCTCATCGCAGGCAAACTGCATTTCTCGGATATTCGTGGAGGCGAAGGCGAGCTTACGGCTACAACTTTGCATATAAGAGCGACATGGCGACAGCCAGGCGTTTCGCGGGCGGGGGGAGGACAGACGGAGAGCGAGTCTCCGCTCGTGAGCCGATGCAGAACGGTGTGGCAGGATGTCGGTGTGAAGAGAATCCTACACCTCTGACGAGGGATGGCCACGTCGGGGGATGACAGAGCTAACTACCGGGTGCTCATAATCCCATTCATGTGTCCAACTTTTTTTATATCATGGACTAGTGCTACCATGAGGCGGAGTCCGCTTGTTGCCGGTAGAGATACAAGGCATTTCATTGTTCCTGTGAATACCCCTAAACCACGAGCCCGGGTTTTCCTGATTAATTATTAATATTATATAGTAATCCAAACATGCCTTGACAACGGTTGCCTCTCTTCTGTCTCGTGCGCTAAGGCGGGTTACCTCTATCTAGTCTCCAAAACCTCGGAAAAGCAAACGAAGAAAGAGAAAGCGAACGTGATTAACCAAGACACGTAAAACATCTAGATGCGTAGGGTTTAGATCTGTAGGCTCAATCCAAGTAGCAAATAGTGTACTCCAACACCATTTATCACACTGATAATAAAAGAGAGAGAAACACGGCAAAACACGCTCACCGCACCAAATCGACAGCCTTCTCCCCATCACTCCCGGCTGTCCCCGCGCTGCCGCCGAGGGCATCTAGCGTGAAATCCCCCCCACACTTGGCATTCATGACCTCCCACTCGAACTCCTTAAGCGCGCGGATCTCCCACCCCACGAAGAGCAAAGCGATGAGGCCGTCGACGGCACCCGCGAGGAGCGAGAGGCTTCCGACGAGGATGAGTGCGAAGGAGACGCCCGGGTGGGGGGAGAACCAGACGGCGACAAGACAACCTACGAGGATGGCTAGGGAGGCGAAGAAGTGGGCTGAGCGCCAGGTGCGTTGGGAGCGCTCGCGGCGGGTGTAGGAAGATATGAGGGCGAGGAGTTCGTCGTAGGCGGCGGCGGAGAAGGGGGATTCGCCGGTGGCTGGGGAGGGGAGGGCGGCGGAGCGGAGTTGGGCGGTTAGGCGGTCATAGAGATCAGAGTCGGGGCTGGGGGCGGAGCCGGATATGGATGGGGGAGGAGATGCTTGGGTTTGGAGGTAGGTGCCGTTTGTGAGGGCCGTGGTTGCACCGGTGGTGAATTTAGATTTCGAGGTCGGGGTTGGCGAGGGAGGCGAAGACTGTGATGGGACGACGTGGAAGGAGATGGTGGCTTCGACGGAGAAGTGGTCGCTGAGGGTGCAGTGCAAGGTTGGGTGGGGTTCCGTCATGCCGACGCGAATATCCTTGACGACCCAGCCGGCGGCGCCGGCGTCGGAGGTGGGTACGTCGCCGGTTCCGAAGAAGATGTAGTCGAGTCTCTTGCCCTGCTTGTCGATGGAATCGTGGGGCACCAAGGTTGCATTGTCGACGCCCTGTGCTAGCATTCTCTTCTGAGACGGGGCCCAGCGCCATGTGTTGTAGACACTATCGGACGTGGCGCCGTTCTCCTTGACGTTGAAAGCGGCGGTGGGGATGGGCCGACGGCGGTTGCGCTCGGCGGCGAAGTCGGCGGGACCGAGGGAGCTTTCGGGGTGGAGGACGCGCCAGGCGTCGCGAAGGGGGGCGTGGGCGGTGATAATGCGGTGGGGGAGGCTGAGGGGGAGCATGTTGAAGTCGCCGAGGCCGAGGACGAGGTGGCCGCGCTCGGCGGCGCCGCGAAGGAGTTTGGATATGTGCCAGGCCTGGGCGGCGATGTGGCAGGCGTAGGTGTTGGCTTTGTCGTTGGAGTACTGCGCGTGAAGCTACGAATGGCGCAAAAAAGAGAAGTATGAGCTTCAAGGGACCACCGTGGTTATTTGCATGCCGAAGGAATTAGGGCACTTACATGGGTATTGAAGACCTCGACTACGTCCTTCTTCCCAGGTCCGAAGCGTATCTTGGCACAAGCGACACCCTTCCCAACATACCAATCTCCCCTCCAAAACGCCGTCGGTCGCCCGTTCAGAGGATAGCCAACCATAGAGCTCTCCTCGATGGGCCACCTGGACAGGATGACGAGGCCTGCGCCGAAAGCGCCATTGTGGTAGAATTTGCCGTAGGGGAGCACGAAGCGGGTCTCGCGGCGGATGGTCAGGTAGTCCTCCTGGCAGAAGAGCTCCTGCAGAGCGACGATGTGGGGTTGGGGATTCGCGGAGGCGATGCGGCGGCCGATTTCGGATATGCGTTCACGGCGGAGCTTGGAGATGTGTTTGAGGCCCCAGCAGTTGAGGGTGAGGACGTTGATATCGGGAGGAAGGGCGGCCATTGGAAAAAAAAAAATGTGTGGGACGTTACACGAGGGTATCTGTTACTGATAGATATGTCGTACGGGCCCAAGTGGGCAAGAGCAAGAGGGAAGCACGGCTAAGAGAGGCGAATCAAGGACACGAGGAGTCGCACAAGAGGTCGATGGGGACCCTCGAGATTTGAGACGGATCAATGAGGGTATGACAGATCGGATATAACGGATTGGAGTTGAGGAAGAGCTATATATTAACCAAAAATCTTCGGGAGGAGGGTGGGCGAGCGAGCTATGAAATCCTAAGCATTGGAAGTTGGGGTTATACGTAGTCAAAGTCAGATGCAATGAGGAGAAAAGAAGACAAAAGGAAAGAATGTCTGCAAGCAGAGAAGAAACATCAGTCAATAAGATGTCAAATCCAAAGCATGAGACTGCAACATGTGGACTTGACTTCGGCACTGGGGAGCCGGAGGCTCTGGGAGGTACTTCGTAAGCTCAGGTTCTGGGGTACTTCGAAGCTGCGCAGGAATCACAGGGACCGTGCACGTGAGATTCTGATCCATCGCTGTGATTGACTGATTTGACTGATTGGGATCTGCCCTTGCTTCAAAGTTTGTGTTGGATTGATCAATGGGACTCGATCTTACAGGGGGTTAAAGCTAATCCTGGCACAGGCTGACCACTAAACCTGCTGAATTTGCACTTCTAATTTCGCTTCTGGGCTTGGGGCCAGGCCGTTTTTCTGGTTCGGTTGTCGGGGATTATTAGTACTCACCTTGGGGCGGATCCTTGCATTAACATTGTCAAGTTCTCAACTGAACCCGCCAAATGCCAACTGCCAACTGCAAACTGCCAACTGTCAACCACCCCTGCCCAGAATCTCTCGCAGCGCTGCCTGAAGATTTCAAGACCATCCATCATCAAAAACTTGAAGTCGATCAATTCTGATTGATCCAGCTTCTTCAAGCCCCACCATAATTTTTCAGCCTTCTCCAACCCGACGAGGCTACCTCGATCATTCTCAAGGACAGCTCCTCCTCCCGCATACCGCCATTCGCTATGTACCGACCGTCCCAATTACCTTGCTAACAATCCCTCGGCTCCTCCAACCTTCCTCCTTTCTTCTTCGAGCCATCCATCCCTTCTCAGCAGCGTTACAATCGCCGCTATTACTTTCCAGTCCGACCGCCCGGTCTGGCTTCGCCTTCTCGACCCGCCCCTACCTCTCCCTCCTTCTAACCACCCGCATTCCCACCCCAACCTCCACACCTCTTTCTACCATGGCCGACCCAGATAAACTCACCCCCACTCCCGTCACCACGAAGCGCCGACGCATAGTCCAACCCCGCAACCACCTCTCCACCCCGCGCTACAGCTCCCCCGACGAGCTCACCGGCGACATCTACCCCAGCTCCATCCCCCGCCCAAACGCGACCGAGCCCGGTTCCGCACCGAGAAGCACGACACGACGGATATCCCTTCGCAAAGGCAGGCCACGCAGCAGATCGCCTAGTCGGAGTCCGAGCCTGGATGAGCTCAACGATACGTATTACCAGCCAAGTGAGCGGCGGTCGGGCACGAGGTCCATGTCGGCGTCGCAGCTCGTGAACGGGGCTACACCGCAGAGGAGCAGGAGTCCTATGGAGCTGTCTAGGTCACCGCAGCCGCAGCGGTCAGCTTCGCGATCGAGATCGGGGAGCCAGTCGAGCGATGGGTCGTCGAGAAGGCGGAGAACATCTTCGCCTCCAAGGCGGATATTATCGAGGTCGCCGTCGAGATCGAGATCGGAATCAGCATCGAGGTCGAGGTCCAGATCAAGGTCGAGATCACAGTCCGGTACGCCACCGCGCTCGAGAGCATCGCGCTCGGTAGAATCGGAGTTGAGGACACCCTCACAATACGAAACATGCTCCCAAGGAACCAGGAGTCCATCACCCGCGAAACCTTCGCCGTACCAACCCGTGCGCACTTCATTCCGACCCAAGCTCACCCTACGCGGACACACCGGCCCAATCTCGCAGGTCCGTATATCTCCCGACGCGCGGTGGATAGCTAGCGCTTCCGCCGATGGTTCGATCCGCATCTGGGACGCGGCGTCAGGAGCCCACATGGACACCCTCGTCGGGCATCTCGCTGGAGTCAGCTGCGTCGCATGGAGTCCGGACAGCAACACGCTCGCTACGGGCTCAGACGACAAGTCGATCCGCTTCTGGGATAGAGTCACGGGAAGGCCAAAGAAGAGCGCCAAGAGTGTTGCTGGGACGAAGCATGCCCTGGCTCCCATGAAACCGCTCCTGGGCCACCATAACTACATCCACTGCCTTGCCTTTTCTCCCAAGGGCAATATCCTGGCATCTGGATCTTATGATGAGGCTGTGTTCCTCTGGGATGTCCGCGCGGGAAGGTTAATGCGTAGCTTGCCCGCACATAGCGACCCCGTCACCGGCATCGACTTCTCCCTAGATGGCACCTTGGTCGTCAGCTGCTCCACCGATGGCCTAATGTAAGTCAGCTCCCCTTACAAAAAAAAAAAAAAAAAAAAAAAAAAAAAAAAAAGAATCCAGGTTTGTCTGAGCACTCCGCTAACATTTGACCAACCAGTCGAGTCTGGGATACCTCCACAGGTCAGTGCCTCCGCACCCTCGTCCACGAAGACAACCCCGGCGTCGCAAACGTCTGCTTCTCCCCCAATGGCCGCTTCGTCCTCGCCTTTACGCTCGACAACTGCATCCGCCTCTGGGACTACGTCGCCGGCTCCGTGAAGAAAACCTATCAGGGCCACCGCAACGAGAAATTCGCCATTGGAGGCTCCTTCGGCGTCCATCGCCGCGGCGCACCTCACTCTCACTCTCCTCCCCGCTCCTCTTCTTCTTCTCCTTCCCGGTCTGCCTCTACGCCCCAAAGGGGATACGGAGAGGACGCGTTTATTGCTTCGGCGAGCGAAGACGGGTCTATCGTCCTCTGGGACGTCAAGAGCAGGGAGGTCGTCCAGATTGTACGTGGCCACGAGGGTGTGTGTTTCTGGGTGGACGTTGCTCCCGGCCTGATGGTGAGTGCGGGCCAGGACTGCCTTGTTCGAGTATACAGGGACGCCTCAGTGCTCGTGAATGGGTCATTGACGAAAATGACGGCTGCCGTCAAGGCAGAGGAAGATGGCATGGTCGGGAAAGATGAGGGACCAGAGGCGAACGGGGATATGATGGAGGGTGTTGAGATGGAAAATGATGTGAGGATCAAGGAGGAGGATGGAGATGAGGATGTCCACATTGAGGGCACTTAGCATCTTGGCATCAAGGAGAGCGTTTAAGTTATTCTTTGGGTTTCAAAACTACGATGACGAGATTACGAACTTGCGTAAGGGACAAAGGATATGAAAAAGAAGAATACAATACCCACATCGATTACTGAAAGAAGAAGAAGAGGGTGAAATGGTTTCAAATCTTATTGTATCATCAGGATATGATTGCTGCTCATCGAAACGGACTCCTTATTTCCGCTACCTAGACTCTATGAATTGGTTTGAACAGCTGATAAAACAAAGCAAGCCATGTTGAAGCAGAAAGTAAAAAAAACGAACGTTCCCGTGTGCTAATCTCTCCCTCCCATGATCAATAAATGAAGGTTTCCTTCCACCACCCATGCATGATAAAAAGACCGCTACTTCTTCCTCCTCTCTCTTTTTTTCCTCGTTTGGTTTCCCCCTCTCTTCTATCAGATCGTCTCCCAGCCGCCATTGTTGATCTCGCCCTCGAGTTTACGGCTAATAAAGCTGGGCACGCCATGATTAAGATACGCTGCTCGAAGAGTGGTGTCGTACCTCTTCTGATGTAGGAATAGCTGCCTGCTATGTCGGAGACCCATGTCGGTCTCACCATAGCGGTCGATGTAAGGAGCCGTGCTCCAGGAGCCCGACTTGCGGAAGAGATAGAATGTGCAGCATTTTCGGATGTTGAGGAACAATCCCATGTTGCGTTGACACCTAGACGAGCTCTAGATCAGCTTTGATTCAAAATTGATGCTACGAGGCTGGACATTGTCCGCAAAACTCAAGAACTTACTTTCGCATATGCTGCTGTGCACCGCCGATACTCTCTCCATCCCCTGAGAGCCGATCCTGCTTGAGACAGCAGACACTTTGGCTACAGAATATCTCTCCGCAGAGCAAGCACATCATTGGATCCGTCAGGTCTTTGCCTGTCGAGGGACACCGCCTCTTCGTCGACTCCTCAATGAGCGTGTCGTAATTCTTGGGTAGACCGACCAACTCAAAGATGCCCGGGTGAGTCAGTGCGGCTGACTCGGGAGGTAGGTTGGGCGAGCGATCCGAGCCCTTAAGCATCCAGTCGATTTGATGCCGAATCCAGCCAGACACCATCGTCTTTACGACGTTAGGCCAGCCAAAGGAGGCGCTGACGTCGGTGAGCGAGGCGCACATGTCGTCGAACAACGGCAAGCGCAATACCTCCGTGAGACGGTCAAGCTCGTCTGCATCAGGGTTGCTCGAACCCGCACAGTTGACGTCGATACCATGTTTGATGTAGAAGAGGACAACAGCTTTTCGGAGGAAGATGAGAGCATACTTCTTTGCAAACGAGTAGAAGCCCTCGAGCGTCTGCAGGCCAGGCTGGTCGAATACCGCTTCCTTGCCCTTCTTGTCGCCGTAGATGCGATCATAAATGTCGTCCCCCGTGGTTAGATCCATGCACATATCCGTGACGCGAAGCGCAAACTCTGCAAACGTGTTCAATCCGCGATCGGAAGTCTCCCGGTGGACAAATTTGTTGATCCAGTCGTCGATGGGGATGTGTATGCTCATATAGTGAACAACTTTAACGAGCTCAGCGAGATAGCAGAGCTGGAGGAGGTTAGATACATCTATGCGCATGAGGCGTGCAAGATTGGAGGTGGTTTCGTTCATGAACAAGAAGATATCTTGACTTAGAAGAGGAGTGTGCGTTGTCGCTAGCTCAGGGAGGGATAGCGAATGCTGCTCATCCGCATAGTATTGAGCGGCGAAAAGCTGGAAATGCTGCGCCTCGCAATCGGCGCGGAATTCCTTCTCTGAACTGCTTTCACCGCGTGATCGAAGGCCACCAAAGGCAAGATACGACTCGACGGTTTCTGAAAGGATTCGAAGATGTGTGATAATCTGCTCGGGAATCTTGTCAAGCAGAGTCATGCCATACTGCGCCTCGATACCGCGCTGCTGGATCTCCACAGCACAAATAGTCATCCCGACCGCCTTGACTAGGATCTTGCTAGGACTTTGTGTATCGAATATGCTGTCATACTCGGGACTGACCTTCAGGTCGTTGACCCTAAGCGTCTCCCGCAGACGTTGATACACCTTGACCAACTCGCCAATAATACCACCGTGGCTCGCACTTGAGTTCTCTCGGATATTGGACTCACGAATAGGAATCGTCTGGGAACCAGGTCCTGTTCCGATTGTGAGAGTCTGGACAGGGGCCGGATTCTTTCTCCAGGCCTCGCTAACAAGATCCGAAGCTTTGTCTGAGAAACTGCCCATCATCGATGACGCGGCGTAGGACGTGTAGATGGAGTTAACACGTCCTACATCTCTCAAAGCTGCACGGAAACTTTGGGACTCTCCGCCAGTGAACTCTTTCTCGAGGAACTGCAGGAATGGGATGGAAGGCTGGAGAGGGCCCGGGTACGCCTCTTCTTTGCCCTTCCAGATGACCGGCAGGAAGGCATTGCCAAGTGCCTTACACAGCGGACAGACAAACTCATTTCTTTTCAGATTCTCTGGATGGTGCCTCGCTATTTGGGCTTGTTGGCGGCGGTTAGTCGCCTCGTAATACGTCTCAAAGCAGTTGAAGTGCATCATGTGCCCACAACCAACAGACACGGGGCCGGGTATGGACAGGGACGCCGGGAACCCCTTTCCAATCGTCTGGCGCTCCTCCAGTATCTTTTCACCCGTCTGGCTGATCTTCTCAACGATTTTCCTGTTCTCATGGGCGACTCCGAAAGGCCGGATGTCCTCCGCCGACCGGTCGAGATTGCAGGGCGTGTTGTACGCCTCCCTTACGAAATCGGGATCCCGGAAGTCTGTCAGGCGGAGAATGTGACTATCTACAAGGAGGGCAAAAGTTCCGTAGAGACGACGATCATCCGTATCCTCCTGGCAAAGGATGCATGTCCCGGTCGGGTATTTCCAGAAATTCTTGCGGTCTTCAACCGGCTCCGCAATCTCCTCGTCCTCATCGAGATCGGTTCCCCAATCAATATTGCCCTGGTTCTCCATGAAACTCTTTTGCTGCTGCTGGAATTGCGCCATAACCTTGGCCTGGCGGCTCAGGGCGGCCTTCTTCTTTCTCTCTCGCTCCGCCTCCGCAGACTGGACTGCCGGAGACGCCGTGTTGACGCGATCGAGAGGGATACCTAGGGCCGCGTACGCGGCATCGAACGAACCGGGGCACTTGTGCCTCATCTTGTTGAGAATGAGGACGATCTTCCTATGGCACGCCTTGAATTCTTCCTTGCTCGATAGCAGATCGAGCAATGCCACAATGGTCTTGGCATTTGGTGCTTCGGCAATGAAGTTGCTCCGTGCCTGCCTCGAAAGGGCCACCTGAATAAAGGAGTGGAGAGGCTCCTGATTCGCACCATCCCTGGAGACATTGTCTTCGGCGATTGCGATTAAGATGAGGTGTAAGACTACCTGGAGGAAGGTTTCGATTCGGGTTCCGGGAACAGTTGGGGTAAGTTTAGCGGCGAGGAGGGGATACAGGAGGGAGTAGTAAATGATCTGGGCGAACATGCCAGTGCCGGTGAATGCGGCAAGATCCTTGAAGAGACCCGAAGGGATGGGTCGAAGTCGTGGCTCGTACACGATCTCCTCTACGTCCCGACCCGTTTTCTGCGCTAATCTCTTACGATACGTCATCTCGGCCTCTTCACGTTGATTCTTATTGTAGTGGGCGATGTAAGGGTCAACCTCCTCAACGTACTCGGTTCGCAGTTCAAACGTTCCCACGTCCGACACTCCCTCCGGAGCCTTAAAGGTCGTCATCGATTCCAAGACTTGGTGGAAATCCTCTTGCTCTTGATACCTGTCAGGGAGCTTGTTGGTAATCTCATTGAAGGAAAGAGGCTTGAAACAGAGGACGTGAATCAAGTCCCGGCGGATAGAAAGAAGCGTCTGGTTGGGCTCATCCTCGGGGGGTATCAAGGATGTTCGGTCACTGAGGAGCACAATCAAGAGATGAAGCATATCCTCAACAACATCGAGATGCTGGGCGTCGTCTTGGGACTCGGACTTGAGCTCAAAAATACCCTTAACCCAGTTTTCCATACCGAAACGGTCAATGATTGACGCCAAGACGCGACTGGGGTTGCATACAGCCATCGCAGTCTGGAGGAGGAAGATATCTCGATGGTGAGACACGTCTCGTTGGTTGACTCCTCTGTACGTGGCTGCTTGATGTCGAAGACTGATACCGTTGCGAACCCACATGTTTGCCTTGATCTGAGCTAGCCATGCGCAGACGCGTAGTGGATAGTCAAACGCAGCCATCAGGTAGTCTTCGGTGGTATACTCGTACTTTGACTTTGTCTTCTTTCCCATGCAGCGGGGTTTGGCCCAGAGCTCCTGCGTGGAAAAGCTCAAAAGATTCTTCATCTCCTCCGCTGTGAATGACTTGCCACACTCAATCAGCCACGATAGAGTGTAATGCAGGGCATGGTGGAAGCTGATGGGATCTGTCTCGACAACAAATTTGACCACCTTGTACTGCGACGTTGAGGTATCAAACTCCATATCCTGCAGCGTCTTGAACCGGACCTCGTCCTTAATCTCCGAGTGCTTGAAGCGACCACGTTCCGCGCCAATAGAGTTGATAATAACAGTTTTGGCAACGGTACGGATAGCGTGAGATAAACATGGACGCTCCTCGGGGGGACAATTGCGGAAAGCGTCGGAAAGCTGCCTCGACATCCTGTTGATTTCTCTCGTAACCAAAGAGGCAGTGATCCAGCTATCGGTCTCGTATTCGACATGGTCACCGACGGCACGGACATTGGGGCCGATACCCTGATGAAGTTTGACCAAGTCGAGGAACTGCATTAGGTACCTCGCTTCGGCGCGGATACGCTCCTGGACGTGTGGCGAGCAAAAAAGGAACTTAAGGTCCATGTAGAAGTGATACATGCGCCGGTTCGTGACGGAGCCACTCTCAAAGGCAAGTACGGCGTCGGGAGATACGTCCCATGGATGTCCGACCTGGCGTGTCGTGAGGAACGTATATAAAATCGAGAGCAAAGTTGTCAAAAAGTTGCCTCTCTCTACGAGCTCTGCAGTGATGGAGGGGGTTGTAAACATCTGCAAGGACAAGTTGATGATCGAGTGATCCGGTTCCCGATCACCAATGAGATAGAGTTGGGCCAATATGGTGTACAGGCTTGCGAAGCGGAGGCCAAGAATACGCTTGAATTCGGGCACCTGGACAACCGTCGATATGTAGAGGGAACGGAGATCGTTTCTGACCCTCTTCCAAAGCCGCAAGTCGAACAGGATTAGCCAATCCAGTCGGACCCTCTGGAAAACGTCTTCGGCGGGCTCAACGTGATCTCGAGACAAATACCCAGCAGGGGCCTCGAGCCAGTACCGGCCAGGCTTCGAACCAGTCGGCTTCGTCGACTTTCCAGGAGTCTTGGGGATGTCCGCATTCGCCTTGGCGCCATAGATGGCAGGGACCAGCTCCGTGGTGTCAGAGTCAGAGGGCGTCTGCTCGCGCTCTCTGCCTACCGCTCGGCGAGCTGCCTCCCCGGTCGTTGGTTGAGGGGGCGGAGGCGGAGGCGGATAACCCGCCATTGTAGCTTCGTCGTCTTCCAAGGCAGCGAGTTCGTTTTGTCGCCATTCCATGCCAGCCTCGGCAGCATCATCAGCAGCGGCATCCACCATCATGACATCGTCGTCGCCTTCACCATCCTCCTCCTCCTCAACGGATACAGATCCCTCATCGTCGAAATCTAGCAGACCGTCAATGTCATTGTCGCTATCAGCTGCAATGTTCACCTCGGGAACCCAGGGGTTGTCGGGGTCCTGGGTGCGCGTAACCTGGATTCGAGCCGCCTGTTGAGCCGCTAACCGCTGGAAATTGTGTATTACGTGGCGTTGGAAGCGCTGCTCCCTCTCCATTTCAAAGGCGATGAGGGCTTCGTCATCGATGCCATCCCTACCGATGGCGCTATGGGCCGCGGAGCTGCCTTGTCTCCAAGGTGCCAGAAGCTCCTGACAGACGATCTGTCGGAGGAGTCCATGGTCATTACCGACGCTGCAGCCGGCAATATCACTCAACCAATCGATCATAGTAGCACACATCTGCTCACGGAAAGTATCCCGCGCAGCCCTGACCGTGACCGTAACTCTAATCTCCTCCAATTTTTTAGCCATAGCAAGGAGTTTCTCAACATCATGATCGGTTTTCAGGATACTTCGTCCGACGGTGTCAGTTTCGATGGCCATCTTATAGGCGCTCGCCTCGGTAGTCCGGCAAGAACGCGCAACGTGGTTTTGGACGTCTGTGATTGTGTGCTTCTCGTCATTCCATAAGATGAGGCTATAAAGCACCTTGCCGTCATTGGGGGGCGGCTCATCCATGCCATACGATGATCTCGAGAGCCTGGACGCTATCTCATCTTTCGCGATGGATTCTGGGGTTTTTGGTTGGCGGAGCTGCTCCGGGGAGCACGAAGCGACGTCGCAGATGAAGTTGATAACCCTCGCCACAGCCATGGTAATGGATTGTCTAACCTCTTCGGGGACAGAACTCGTCGCCTTTCCCTTGTCCGCCACGCCCTGCGCGCCCTCGAGCTCAGAGTGAATAGTACAGTGCATGGGTACTTTCCAGGCTTCTTGGTCCCCACAATCGCAACAGCCGCTGTTGCCGACGGAAATGTTGATTCTAATCATATGGCCGGTGTGGTCGGTCGCATCGAAGCATCGGCTACAGAGAACGCAAGTGTCGTCGGTACTGCACGTACGGCAGGCATACGACGCCTCGCCGGCCTTGAATATGTGGCCGCATCTCTTCCCCCTTGCGGCTTCAGTGTACTCCGCACCCTCAACAGCACCTTGGGCATCACTGAGCCTCATGGAAGGGTCGGTGCCTGGCGGGAAGAAAAGTCCCATGTAATCGGCATTCCCACGGGCCAGAGTCCAGAAAAGCCCATGTAGAAGTTCTTGGCTGGCGCTGCGCGAGTATTTGTAGTTGTATCGAGACGGAAGTGTTACTAGGAGGTCGCAGAGCTGCTGCTCTTGTGTAGACATCGGTGGATCCATCATCGCGGGGGGTGGTCGGTCAGGTCGGTGAGGATTGCATGGTAAGGTTGCGAGGGACGGGAAGGATAAGATCTATGCTCTCGATCTTCGGAACAAGAAGGGCAAGGCTGTCAGCTTCGCACACTCAGCAGAGACAGAAACATCACATGAAGAAGATATATAGGACTGAAACTGGGTTTCAGGCAGATGGAAAGTTCAGAACAGCCCGGCCAGGAAAGGGAAAGTGTAGGTCGACCTACCAGGTTCGAGAAGCGTCACGGAGCTGAGCTTTGTGGATGTCGGGAGGGGTAGCTTTGAAGAGAATTATTTAGGGTACTGTGAGGATCGGAGGGATGAGAAGAATCCACAAGGAAGTAAGGGACCAAAGATATATCTAAACTAACAAAGAGCAGGTCAAGCTGAGGAGACAGGGGGAAATACACTGATGGGAGTTGAGGAAGTATCTTGAATGGTGATGGCGGGGAGGCTGGGATTGTGCAAATCAGCTGTGACTGTATTGATTGATAGGTGGTGGAATTGGAGGTGGTGGGTGGATCGCACTGTTACAGCACAAGCACCAGTGTTGATGACAGCACAGAGCACAGCCTTGTCCCCCCAACCAACAAGGGAAATCAGGCATAAACTAAATTTCTGACTGGAATTTCTACTAGGCCATAACACTTCCCAGGCACAATCCGTTAGGGAAATGTAATTCCCAGGAGCTACAGAGATGACAGGAGACCACCCAATGAATAATTAACTTCCAGAGCCTGGTGCCCTATCTGGGCCATGTTGCCACTGACATGGCGCCTGAGCCATCAATCAAAAGTGCAAACTCGGAGGAGTTCAAGGCCGAACATAGGCTGCATATGACCAATGATGTTGAAGTCTAGGAGGTTTCGGTCTATTTAACACGTCCAACCGGGACATGCAAGTTCATGTCTACCGTCAAATATGATACAAGGGTTCGTTGCACTCGGCATCAGGGTGGGAACTCGGGCTGCCCAGCTCGAAAGACTCATGAGACAACTAGTGTCGCCATATTTATTCCTCGTCCTCGCCTCCCTCGACGTACTTGTGTCGGATATCCTTCCATTGGCGCTGATGGAGAAGAGTAGGGTTAGTACAAGCCAGGCAGCGATGTAGAGTCGACGGGATGACGTACTCCTTGGTTCCAGCTATCCCAGAGGCGATCCATTCCACGGTTGAAGCCACTTTAAGAAAGGGTCCGATCATTAGCATGACATTCATATCATCTCCGAGTTCTGTTATCAGGGAGTCTCATGTGAGCTATTCCCCAATTCCTCCGCCGAGGAGCTGCACCTACATCTCCCACGCAAAGCCGGCAACGAAGACACTCGCCAACATGGAGTAGTTCTTCCTGAAGATCAGGCTACAAGTCATCCCGGTTAGCATATGTCGTCCACCGCATTCGATCGATCTCGGTCGTGTGTATCGCTCACTTGTAGAGAGTAGAGGAGACGGCCTGTTGGTCGAGAAAATTCGAGGTTAGCACACAGCGAGCGACTTATTCGCCAAGGGCGGACAATGGAGCCACCCGGCGCCGGCGCAAGACAATGCGACTGACCATTGTGACTGCTAAGTGCAACTGCACGTTTTCGCCTAGGTTTAGAATGGTAGACGTTCCGTTCCGGAGACAATTGAGCGAGGACCAGCAGTATGATGCGAGTGGAATGATGGGCAGAGATCAATTGTGTTCCTTTTCCGATCTGGTCCGCCAAAATCTCGAACCAGACGGAACTTGCCGGGGTGTAGATTACCGGCTTCTTCATTGGCTAGAATTGTCGTGTATTAGGTAATCACATGTCTCCCTCGGTAAAGTGAAGGAGTGTGAGGTACGTACCAATTGTCCTTAGGTATGTACCTTGGTACCTTGGTACCCATTTCACAATTGAAAGCTCCCTGCTCCAGCCTAAACTATCAGGCAGGAACTGATGGGTGCTGTCTGTTACCCAACTTTTGGTCTGGTGGCAGCCTGATACTTCGTACAGCCAACCACCTTTGTACAACCTTGGGTCGGAACTCTACTCTCAACAGAACCCTTGCCTCCAAGCCTGGCATCTTCGACGTCATTACAAGTCCGACTCGCCAACCAAAAGCAGAGAGAGGACTTGAACAAAACCAACCCAGAGAACACGTTACAATTTTTCTTGTCTGCACATCATACCTCTTAGCAGCAGTATTAGTGAACTACACCTGGAGCTCACGACCGCGAAGAAACATCAAGTGAGACCGGCCGCCGGCCGAGCCCGCGGGTTCCCGGAACAAATAGCCCCACTCGGGAGTCCGTCCCGCGCCGATACAGTTGCTTTCGACAAACAATTGCAATGTACGAGAGCATACGAAATTTGACAGTCTAAAAGGGAACGGACGAGAACGACAAGGTGTATATTGATCGACAGAACCAAAAACTGGGATAAGCTAGACTAATTAAAACTATCTCCCCCAAGAAAACCGACATCCTCCAAGCATTCCCCTATCCCGGGTCCGTCGATTCACACAGTCCCGCCCGGGTGACCTTGCCCGCTGTTTCCGTTCTTCCCAGTTAAACCTGTAGAGGAAGTAGAGGGAGTAGACCAATCAAGCGACCATATCAAGACCCAACACAGGGCTATAATTGGCAAAATCTGACCAATACCACTTACATCCCTTTCTGAGTTCCCATTGTCCTCCATCCAGCCGGATTCGTAGACCCACCCCCTAAGACACCAGACGATTAAATAACAGGCCACATACGCAACAGTTGAGGCGCCAAGGGCGACAATCCAATACAACGAAACAATCACACCCCACCAGACCGGTCTGTTCGCCTTAGGACGGCTATGACCGCGGCACCATCGTATTCCGTGTGCCAGATGCGAAAGGAGAAAACAGACTAGCATGGCGGAGCCAACAATGACCTCTAGCGTAGCAGCCTTCGTGCCCAGAACGCCGCCGACGCGGTTTAGTTGGGCATCCGTTAATCTCCGGAGAGGATCAAGGTCGGGGTCTAGGAAGCATGACATAGGAAGCAGAATGGAGCTATCGGTGGCCAGGCCGCCGCGCTGCTTCGTCAAAAACGACCACGTGTCCTCGGGTCTGGATGCTCCCATGAATTGGTAGACCAGCATCCAAATCAGGACGACGTAGATGAAAGCAACCACCAAAAACCTCATCGAGGCGGCTAGCTTGGCTCGTCTCCAATAATCTCGGATCATAAGGGTCGAGAGGTTTGTAGATGCAAGGGCCAACAAGACCATGTTGAGGCCGACTTTGTAGTGGTATGCCGACAGGGTGCACTTGCTGGCCAGGGCAAAGTTGATTCCGTACGCCAGTGATATGAATATCTGAGTATCGGCATTTGCGATGAGGAGGTTCGACAAGAAGTTAAACAGCCATTGAATGAATCGGCTTCGCTCGGCCGTGATGTTGAAGTCGCCGAATGCCCTTTTCCAGCGCTTTTGGCGAGTCCCTCTGGATGTGATAGACGTTATTAAAAGCTATACTCATCTGGGTATAGGTTCGGCTCATCCGTCCAAGTGATACAATGAGATAACTAACCTGGGAGATGGATTGGGAAGTGGACGATATCGCTTGCTGAGGATGGGCACCCATTTCCACCTCATTGCCATTTCCCGGACGAGAAAAAAGAGGCTAAGGAGGCACAGGAGAGTTCCGGTAATGAACCCAATCACCACCTGCCAAAACGACGCTTTGTTAGATGAATATTCCGCAAGATTCCTCCCGTCTGGGCTGTGTGAGGGTCTCGACAACACATACCCCGATGCCGGCAATATCTGGATTGCCCTGGAATTTCGCGCGTTTTACCGTGCCGTAGGACTCGACCGTGTCGTTCGGAAAGAAGTTAATACGGCATTCTGCGTTGATGTCGATACCATATTGGCCTTGGCAGATATTTTGAACTTCAAAGGAGTAGCTCCCCGGAATAAAATAGGACAGAAAGAATTCACTGGACATCTCGAATGGAGGCAAAGGGGACTAAAGTGGAATGGGTTTGTTCTCGATGTGAGGCTGCTCTATCTAGCAGGTAAGAGACTTGCCGGGACAAGCTGTCACGCCAGGAACCAGATCGAAGGGTGAATCAAGCTATAAGTAGTCGACCACATTGGAAAAAGAAAGGCACTCAGTTCAAAAATCGATGGGGACGCCCTGAGAAAGGTGACAGGAAGAAAGAAACCAAGAAGGAGGGCAGGAAATCTCGTCAAAGGCCATTTAAGCTGCAGCCGGATCACACGAAACGTGCGAAGGAGGTGGAAGACCCTAGGTAAGGTGGTCGAGCCCGGCAAAGGGGATGCTTTTCTGGCCCAGCCTGGTCTAGATATCCTGCCAGGCTTAGAATACGACAGCCCCGTCGCACAATGTGGTGCAGTGCCATGTTGAGTGGTTGGCTGGTACAAGAATAACCCCCAAGCACAACAGATGCTTAAATTAGAAATGAGTTACTTCAGAGTCTTCGCTTGTAAAGCATAGGATCAGCCAAAGGGGTAGTGTGGGTAAGGTGAAGCCTTAATTCGTCGGCGAGAACGACCCCTTTCGGCGCTTCTCTCTCCAGGAAGTTCATGGGGCGGCGGACCATCTCAATAGGTTCCTTGAGCAGCCCCAGCCTTGCGGTGATAGTACCATTGGTGTTACCCCAGGATGTAGTGAAAACTGCCCCCAAGCTGCAGGTGAGAGCTCAGCCCCCAATATCTAGCGAGGCCCGAATCACCCAGGAATCAATAAATACGCAAGTACAATCCTACGAATAGCCTGGCGTAGAGTGTAAATCAACGCCCCATGCAATGAAAACTATGCTGGTTTATGATATACTTGGTGAGCCAGGGTCTCCATCTAATCGCCAATTTTCCATCTTCTCTTATAACGATTTCACGAATGAAGCTCGGCCGATGGCTCGTGTCTTTGTCAACTCTTGTCTTGGGCCGTCTCGATGAGAAGCCACGATGGTATGGCCGGCACCGCACTGAACTTCATGATGCATGTGAAATGACCGGCTGTCGAGCATTTATTAAATCCAAGTCCTTTACACACGAGCATCTCTTCTCCTTTAAAAGTATTTAGTTCGTTCCTTATTTCGGAACCTAATAGATCTCCCCGAAACTGCACCAGATCCTTCTCAAGGACGAACACACATGTCGCAGACGATCAATGGTTGGACGTAGCCGAATGTTTCGTCGGATTCTTGAGCAACGGCTAACAGCCGATTGGTCATATCAAGCTATCGTATCGCATTCCGCTGTCGTCTTTCGCGGGTGATAGCTGTGAGAGCTGAAGAACCGAGGACTTTCACCAGCCCACTTTCAGCTTGATTAGTAGTATGCTCGAGAAAGGTCGCTGGAGTCTCAAAGAAAGGAGAAGCCGCCTACCTGCCTATCGGACCAAACCAGTAACTTCTACCCGCTCTCAAGAGCAAAATCAGACTGAGACCGAAGGTGTCGAAATGGCTCTACGTTGACGCGGCACTGGATGGAGCCGAGAATCTGGAGCGCGAACCCACATTGGGTAGGGCAGGCTACATGTTGGCGGGAGGAGGATGAGTTGTTTCCCATGGGTTATCTGGGCGTAGGAGTGACCGTACCCTCTTGTGGAGCATGTGGAGGTAGCGGAGAGGAGGGTAAACGAATGCAACCCAGAGCACAGGATGTTCTCCTACTCCTTCACTGGGTTCTTGCAACCCACGAGGAGTACGACAGAAAGGATCCGCTCTTGGACGATGAACAAATCGTTTTGTTCCAGGGAAGGAAAATAATCCTGGAATGAAAACGTGTGCCGAAACAACTGGTGGCTCGGGTGAGGTGAGGAAGTTATGATACCACATCGACGAACCGCTTTAGGAAACGTAGAGAAGAAGGGAAAGGAGAAAGCCATGATAGTATATCGACAAAAGCTGTAGGGCTAGTGGAGAAGAGAGAAGGGCAATTAGGGTTAGGTAAGGCGAGCAGAGAAGAGGAGAGAGCAAAGCTCAGATGCCGTCGGGTTCGAGGACCTCGAGGATGACTTCGGACGGCAAGAGGACTGAGGGCCCGGTGCCTTCCACTAGATCAAGGAGTCAATACTAGTTAACTACCACTTCCTAATGTGGACGGGCTCTGGTTGCGCCTGCTCGAAGCGAGTGATGCTCATGGCAAGGCTCGATCGCATCTGAACAGGCACTCCGTCTCTGCTTTAGCGACAAGACTTAACAAAGTGTGTCGAAGCCACATGCTCGGTGAGGGTAGATTTTCTAAGCTTTTGATTTAGTTCAGGGTTTCCCCTGCAAGCACACGCCCACCTAGCCCATTGGGCTTTACGATACGAGCGATACAGAATGGTACTCATAGACAGCACGCTGGAAGCAATCGCCAATGCCGCCGCCGCGACTACCGCGATCGCTAAGGCGGGATCTGCTCCGGTCGACCCAAAGATCTTAAGCGCCGTGGCCGCCATCGTACCTATCATTACATATCCTTTTCTGCCCTGGGATGGGAAGATGGACGACCATCAGTTAACCTTCTATCTCATATACCTAGGCTTTCTCTGGATTCCCTTCTTCCACCTGCCCAATCTGACCCTTTGGCTCTTCGGGAAGGACTCCGTTTGCCTCCCGGTGTACTTTTGGGTGTTGCCCTTGACGCTGTGCACCACGGTAGTCGGCAATGCGGGACTTACCGCTAAGGGTGAGCACCGGAAGGTCGCCCCAGCCGACTTCGACGACGCAGTTTCCTTCACCTTGATCATGTTTATCTACCAACTTTTCCGGCTGGGGATGTACTTCGCCACGGCGACGGGCTTCCTCTATGCCACAGAAGTCTTCACGTGGCTCGACGTGGTCGGTACGCTGGGCTTGATCCTCCTTGCCGTCTTCGGAGGGGGCTGCATCGCGGCGTTCTTTCTCGAGTCGGTCAAGACGGCGTTTTACAAATTCACCACGCGCCAGGTGAGCTGGTGGACCTGGCTGCAGCCGAAAGATAATAGCAGCAAGAACGAGTTTCTGCTCACGTTGAGCTATATTCTCCCTATCTTTTTATTCATAGCGCCCCCAGTCCTGCTGTTCATGACCGTATACGCAATTGGCAACAATTAGTTAGACAGAATGGGAACACAGAAGGAGACACGCACTTAGTCTATGGATATTGATCTAATTCATTCGATCTCTTTGGTTTGAGCCTTGGTAGTATTGTGGTGTTGCTCCTTCTAGGCATTTGTTGATCCGCATCGAATTTTCATAGGGCGAAGAGACATTTCAAAATGAAACCAAGCTTTTTTATCATTCAACTCGAGGTATCAATGCTGGAACAAGAAGCAATTGTCGTTCCGAAGCTTGAGTCAGACGATTTCCGTAGGCACCTGTGATGTATGACAAGAGATCACTTATCCTAAAGTAACATTCATCTTGCAAGCCGAGAAGCTCGATGCAGGAGCCTGCGGCGTACACATCATCCCTTCTCTTGCGTCGGCGCTCCAAAAATGGAGTGAAGTGATCATTTATAGACTCAATCTATCCGTGTAAATCACCACGAAGCCCCCTCCCTCTACTACTCACCCAGACGCCCTCTACCTCATCGAATGTTGATCGTTCAACGTCCGAGACACCGCACCTGGAAAGCTCAAACAAGCGATCTGGAAACTGATGGTTCCAAATCTGCCAGCATTTTAACCTCATGTTTTTCAGCTGTGGTTCTTCTTTGAGGACGCGCGAATTGAAAACTCCCACACAAAAGAAAAAGGCTCAATCGGACGCCCTGTAAGTACAGATTGTGCACTTGAAAAATTATGTATATGGTACAAAGAAGAATGAATACGTCGAAAAGTTGAATAATGTACATAGGAAAACAGACTTCAAAACCTAAGAAGACGCCAGCTTCCAGAGCGTCGCCTAGTTTGTGCTGTGTACTGCTCTGTAGTAGGCCCTCTTGCTCGCCGCGCGAATCCCACCCCGGCTGCGCTCGCTAATCGGCTCCGTGCCACGTCTACCACGGACAAAGCTGTGCGTCTTGGCTCGAGGAGGGGGACCGAACTCCTCTGAAGACGAGGACAGGGCGTCGGACTTTTCAGGGGGGGCCTCAATATCCTCTGGTCCGCCGGTCTTGGCCTTCTTCTCCTTCGACCAGGGCATCTTGATCTTGATCTTGGGCACCAGGGCCGCGGCCCACGCGTCAGGGAAGAGTCGGATGAGAGCGCCCCATGGAATCGAAATGGCACCAAGGCCGATGGAGAGGCCCCATTCCTTTCCGTTCAGTGGACGAATCTGGAATGCCTGGCCGCCCTTGAAAATAATAATGATTTGTCCGGCGACCATAATGATGTTCATCAAAACAAAGAAGTAGTTGCGATGAATTCCCTCAAAGATGTTGAGCTTATTATCGAGACGGCGGTTACTTGATTCAAAATGTTAGCAAGGATATCTCCAGTTTCCCATCCCGCTCTTCAGCAGAGGAACTTACTTGACTTCGTTGAAAATTTGAAGCCACACAAATGTGTTGAACACCAATGTCTTGTGACTAGTCTTATCGTTGTGATCACTCATATCGTAGCCCAAAAGCGTGCTACCTCCGAAGTGAAGTGTGAAGGCAATGGCAAGCTGGCAGATGGCCTGACCAAGGATCATCTTGCCCATCCGTACGGTAATGAGACGTGCAGATTTCCTTTCCGGTTGACGATCAAGAACGGCTCGAGAAGGCGGATCGGTGGCAAGGGCCAAGGCGGCAAATGTATCCATGATCAGGTTAACCCAGAGAAGTTGGACGGCATTCAAAACCGACTCCTCCTCGGCGCTAGCCACGGCGGTAACGAAAGTCAAGACGACGGCGGTCACGTTCACGGTGAGTTGGAACTAGACAGCATTAGAGCTAGACTGCCCTCGGGTGGAGAGAGAGAAAGGGGTCGTTCCATCTCAAAACATACCTGGAGGAACTTCTTAACGGAATCATTGACAGCACGGCCCCACATCATACCCTTGACAATGGAGCTGTGTAGCTGTTAGTCCAGGTTCAAATTTGCAAGCAGCATACGAGCCTTTCCCCCAACGTACCTAAAGTTGTCGTCCATCAGGATGATGTCTGAAGCCTCCTTCGCCACTTCAGTACCGGCGATACCCATGGAGAAACCAATGTCGGCCATCTTTAGAGCGGGGGCATCGTTGGTGCCGTCACCAGTGACAGCAACCGTCTCGCCTAGTTTCTTAAGAGTCTTGACCAGAATTCGCTTATCCTCAGGGCTGGATCGAGCAAGGACCTGGATGTGTGGGATTTTTTGCTGTCTATCTTCCTCACTCAGACGTCGGAACACGGGCCCTTCCATTGCGATGCCGCCCTTCTCGGGATGGTAGATGCCGCACTCTCGGGCAATTGCAGTACCAGTTAGAATGTTGTCGCCAGTTACCATGCGGACCACGACACCAGCCTTCTGGCAGTCCTTGATTGCGTCAATAACGGTATCCCTGAGAGGATCCTTAATACCGTAAATAGCAACGAGCGTCATATCCTTGTGAATCGCGTTAAAGTCGGCGGCACTATCACCGGTCTTAACGTAATCCGGAGGCGGCCACGAGTCGAAGTCTCGGTAAGACGAGCCAATAGTTCGAAGCGTCTGCGTCGCGTACGAGGTGATAATTTCCTGGAACATTTTCGTGCCGGTCTCAGTCAACTCGGTCGTAGAGAGCTCGTCGCTGCTAGCATCGTCCAGCACCCTGTTGCATCTGCCTAGAACAATCTCGGAAGCACCCTTCACGTAGACCCTAAACTTGCCATTCAGCTTAACGACGGTCGCCATGTACTTGTTCTTGGAGTCGAAGGGGATGACGTCAACAACATTCGCATTGGTGCGCTCCTCCTGGATAGGGCCGGCGCCGAGATAGTCACGACAGAGCGTCAAGAGCGCGACCTCGGTCTTGGATCCAATAAACGTTTTTCCTTCACCTTGATCTCCTTCGAAAGCGGTGGAGTTGACGGCGTTTGACTGAACGAGGAGCTGCTTCACGGAGGTGCTAAGACTCTCGGAGAATTTAGTGGCGTTTGGTACGGTAGGAATAGAGCCGGTAACAACCTCGACAGCCTTTGTCTTCTCATCCTCCGACACATCAGCGAGAGGTTTGCTATCGCCACCGAAGCCGAGAGCCTGGCCAAGCGTGGCTGCAACTACCGTCATCTTATTCTGGGTCAAGGTGCCAGTCTTGTCGGAACAGATGGTTGTGGCATTACCCATGGTCTCACAGGCCTTGAGAATTCGCACCAAGTTGTTGTCTTTCATCATCCGAGTAGTTGCGAAGGCTAGAGCAAGAGTGACTGCGAGCGGGAGACCTTCGGGCACGGCGACGACGACGACGGTAACGGAGACGATAAAGATTTCCATGAAGTCCTGACCCTTCTGTCGAGGCGAGCCGTGATTATTGGGTAGCTGGACAAGGAACTTGATGAAGAGGACGATGAAGAGAAGAAGGGCAGCGCCGCCACCAAATTTGGCAATGCCATCAGCGAGGTTGCTAAGCTTTCTCTGGAGAGGAGTGTCTTCCTGCTCCGTCCTCAGGGACATGGTAGTGCGACCGTAAGAAGAGTGAACACCAACAGCAGTGACGAGGAAAGTACCAGTGCCCTCATTCACCTGAGCACCCGAGATAATGAAGGGATCGAGCTTCTCAATTTCCTTCCGGTCGATCTCTCTATCACCGAGGTCCTTGAGCGCCTGGAATACCTCCTGGGCGGGAACCTTTTTAAGCAGGTCCGACTCGCCGGTAGCGGAAGATTCGTCGCATTTAATACCATGGCCATCAATGAAAATGCCGTCGACGGGAATAACATCGCCGGTTTCTAAGTGGACAACATCTCCAACCATAAGATCGAAGACGGAGACCTCGACGGACGTACCAGAGCGGATGACCTTGACAGTGCGCGCGTTGTTCTTCTGGTTGAGCCTATTGAACTGACGTTCCATCTGCCAGTCATTGATCGTTGAAACCTAAAGGAAACGAAAATAATTTGCTTCTGGTTAGAAGAGATGCCCGATATAACAAATTTCGGAATTTGGGTATGAACAGCCAGTATGGGCAGCGCCCGCGGATACTGTTAGGCTGACTTACAAGAACCACGACACTAGAAGGAATCAGATTACTTTGCCATTTCTCGCGAAAAGTAACACCGACAATGAACTTACATGATAGCGACGAGAATCGCGACACCCTCAACCCATTCCACCTTGGGCTCCTCTTCTTCGGGGGACTCATTTTCATCACGCGGCGCGAATGTTTGGTAGAGTCCGAGGGCGAGAGACACAATAGCTGCGATGGTAAGTAGAATCAAGACCTTGTCGTTATAGGCAATCCAGGCCAATTCGAAGATGGATCTCGGTTTCTTCTCGGGGAGTCTATTATCGCGGTAAATCCTCTTTCGGTCGGCAAATGGATCGGTATCCCTAACGGGTTCAGGCGGGGGGATTGCAGGCGCAGCCTTGTCCTTCTTCTCCTTCTTGCCCTTCTTGGACCCATCATGCTCGGTTTCTTTCTCAACGCGAGGCGGCGTGTCGCCTAATCGACCATACGGCGAGGCACCTTTTGTCGCGACCTCGTTAAAGGTAACATCTCCATCCAATCGAACTTCATCGACACTCAACCCAGACTTCCTGTCAGTGCGCAAACCCTTCTCCAGGCCATCAAGGCCTCCCATCGCGTAAAAAGCATTTAAGCTCTTGGGGTTGAAAAGCTTGGACAATTGACCAGGTGAGAAGGCGAACTTGTTGTTCTCGGAGTGGTACATGTCCTCTGTACCTGGGTCGGGTGAGAGAGCATCGTGAAGCTCCAACTTGAATGTTGGAGACTCTTGGTGGGCTGCATTGCCATTGTTATCTGGCGTTGATTTATTGTCTACCTGTATTTCCCGGAAGACAAAAATGAAATTGCATTCAGATGGTCAGTCTCGATTCGCGCTCCTATGCGACTTATCCAGAGCCTCGTGAAGCTCTTGAAGCCAGCGCCATACAATATACACGCGTGGGGAAGGCAGGCCAGGTAGGTTGTGGGGATAAAGCCCGTCTCTTGGCAACAAACAACAACGTACCATTGTGGAAGTAGCATCACTGTGCTGGTCTGGCATCACGGTCTGTTTCGACACCATAAGAGGTGTCAGATGCACCTGTCGATATCAGATGGACAGGATTGGATTTGACCAGCTAAACAGAGAAAAAGGAGAAGGGAAAAAAAAAAAAACAAATGGAAATTTGCTGGGTGTGGACTATTACCGAAGAGTCAACAGAGGACGGGGACAAGGGAGGGCAGACGGGCGTACATATTAATGGGTTCAATGTTGATTGAACGATTCGCTTGGGAGACGATTAGAGTCAATTGTGGTCAAATTGGGGCGCGCTGGGGAATGGCCCGCGTTCTGGTTGTTTGAACCTTGGAGTACGAAGTACACTACGAAGTACATCAATGGTCACACCTTGATTGGGGCTAGCACGGCGGCCGGTTTCAAGGTACCTGAAATAGCCCGAGATTCCTCGATGTTTTAGGTGCTGACATCTGCGACTTCCCCAAGCCATAGCGTAGTGTACATCGTCCCAAGCTTAAGAAGATACATTAAAACCCGCATTGAAATGAGGCACACAAGAAGTAGAGGATTAAAATCATTTACCATTAAATCAAATTGAACGATGCAACGGCCCGGCGTTTTACTTCTTGTCGCATTTATTATACACAGGTACAGGGTCCCCCCAAATATTTGTTTTGTTTTGTTTCCTTTCACTTCTTAATAGATGAACAGCGCTTACTTCTTCCGAACTACATTGGAATGAGCAAGAATGTGTGCATCTTGTCGATGTATTCCATGCATTTCATGATAATCAAGAAAGAAATACACATTTTTTCTTTTGGAATTTAGCGCGATCCAGACCCAATCCAAGACCTGCAGTGCATATTTTGGACGCGGTATCGCCGTATTCAGGTCGTTTGCTCCCGGAAGTACACCACATGTTACTTCGTACATTTCCATTCATCGTTTAAGCCCAAGGAGGCCTCACCGGAATTAGTTGATGCCACCAAATTTACAGCTATGGAGTACACTACACTATAGAGGCACGCTGGCTCGTGTAAGACTCCTGTGCTGCGGACGGTAGCGTCGTAAGATCGCGGAAACTAATAATTAGGGGGTGGGGGCTCAGTAATTATACTTGACCACTACACTATAATCTTACTTTGCACTTCCTCGATTGATACGTGGCGGTGATGTGGTCCCGGAACGGATCTCAGTGGAGGGATCAAGATTATCGCCATATGTGAGGAGATGTAAGACCGACAGCTGGCACAAGGGTGTGTCCAAGTTGGATTGGATTGCGGCGTGGTGCTACAATACTTTGTACTTTGTAATATTTCGTGGTCTCGCCCTGGACAAGCCACCTTGGCAAAAAAGCTTATTGATTGTGCAGCAATGTTCCCTCCCTACCTTTCCCGTCATAACCAAGTCTACACAGGTAGTTGGAGTGTTTTCTCTTTGATTGGACATTACTTCGTAAGCCGACTGCCGTGGACCTCAAGAGCATAGGACGAAGGATGCGGAGGGCGTCCCAGAACTGAGAAGAGTGACCTTCGTCACACGTGGGAAGGAAAAGACTCCCAGACTACTTCGTAGAGAGGCTCCGTAATGTACCGTTCTCTTTTGAGTGTTTCCGATTCCATCCCTGCACCCTGCATTTTCTTAACGAGCGAAAAAGTAAGGCATCTGGAAAAGGGCTTCCAGTCTTCTTCACCGCGAAGTTCCAAGTCCACCCTCCCTCCTTTGGAACGTGCGACACGTGTTTGATCCGGTTTGGTAGGGCTCCGCAAGAAAAATCTAGAAATCGCGCTACTCGTCGATAGCCGATGCCTCGCTCTTTGCTGTCCCAATAGCTCACCGACCCGGATCCATGCCATCTCCTCGCTTTTGCGTCGGTCGTGAGCCATGCAAGAATGGGAACCGTGGTGGCCTGAACTCGGAAGGTAATGCGCGCAGGTCCTTCAGCGGATGTGCTCAATTGCCCAAAGCTAAGCTAAATGAGACTAACCGAGTTCATTCAGCTGAGAATGCCAGCGTCCATGCCCCAGGAGAGATGTAAACGATCCCTCTTCAGGCACTAGCCTCCGACAATCAAAGATGATCAGTCCTTCAATCCTCATCCGGCTCCACATCGAGTGTGGCGGAGTTTAATTCACTACTAAACTAACATGAACCAGCCCAAGCAAGCCCTCTCCAATTGCAATTTCGAGGACGATGGGGAAAAAGTACGGAGTAAAAGAAAACGGAGCGATCGATTAAGGCAATACCGCGCATACTATGTACGAAGTACCGAGGTACAACAGTCCGTCTTACACAGGCCCTTTTTCCACTTTGCCTTTCTCTCGCTTCAGGATCCGCGAGGTGCACTCCACTGCGCAGGCACGGCAGTCTGCGAAGCAACTCTGCTATGATACATGGCGGGGCCCAGAAGGGCCAGGCCCGTAATAATTGTGTTCTTGATCCAACAAATGATGCCCGCCCATCAGCCGGGTTCTAGCACGGGTGGCACTCCTCTAGTAATGTACCATTCATCCACTGCCGTTCCCTGCTCAATGTCGCAAGCTGCTCATCGAACTTCGGATGGATGGCCAATCCAAGCTGCGACTCGCCTTCGCTCTCCTCGTCTGAATAGGGGATCATGCCATCGTCTCAGCGCGTCTTTACTCCTGCTTCTGTTAGTCGGGCCTAAACAAGTATCTTTGGTGCTTGCCAGGATTGCTCCGCCTCGAGAGATGACGGATTAGAAGGGGATGCGAGCATCTGAAGCGAACAAAGCTGATGGAGATGAGCTGATGCGGCGCGACAACGCAATCAAGTCACAGCGCATGTTCTCTGTGGTTCCCCAAGGACAAGGTGAGGCCATTTTGGTTAGAGCTGGGGCTTTGACGTCGCCTGGATTTTTGATCTCCGCCTCTTCCTCACCAATCTGGCGTTTTCTAGGCGCCCAACACAAACTGCCCAATGCCAACGATCTTGGTTGCGGAGGGCGGGATGTGCAGTTTGTCGTCACAAACATGCGTCACCTGCAGGCGCAGACAAGTTTGCGGAGTAAAACTTCCTTTTGTTACTTATAAGAAGTTCTTGTATTAAACAAACAACGTCACCGCTGAGCCCCAATGTGGTACGAAGCCATGGTTTGGCAAACGAAATGTTGGTTAGGACTTGAGGGAGGGAGATGGACCTCATCTTCTGTGTTCAATCGTATTTCGCAGGTTGAATTGCTCAAAACCACTGGTGAAACATGATTGGTCAAAAAATCAGCGCTACTCAGTCGCTGTCACGAGCAATTTGCTTCGTGCGAAGAATGAGCGAGGCACACAAAGTCGCATTGTTTGGAGCTCCCCTGGTTGAGACCGCGCCTTCCCTTCTGCAAAGTCAGAGTCTATCTCGCCATTCCCGATTCTCATAGGCTCGTGCGACATCCTTCTAGAAGGTTTGCCCTATCCCTGTCCTGTTTCAATTCGAGAGCGCTTCGCTCGCACTGCGTAATAATACAATTTCCCATTCCAAGGCAATGCGACTAGGCTCCTTGTAGCTTCATTTCCCGCCTCAATATCGAAGACTTGTTGCATCCGCATGCACTTTGAATTGCAAAGGGGGAAAAAGGAGAAAAAGGAAAACGGAAAAAGAAACAGGTCAAATTAAATTATCACGCCCCCCCTCCACCTCATCCCAGGAATCCCCGACATGTCCGCAACGACAACCCCTGCGACCCCAGGTCAGCCCACCAACTCGGGCATCGTCACCGACGCCGTCAGCGGCGAGCGCCACATTCCTTCATCAGTCCGCGCTGACGGCAGCACGAGAAAAGCCATCAAGATCCGTCCAGGCTACCGTCCGCCCGAGGACATCGAAGTTTACAAGAACCGCCCCGCCGAGGCATTTCGCGAGAGGGCGAAGCGCATTGGTATTCCCGGCGCAGCCGCTGCGGATGACGACGAGGACGGGGACAAGGCTGCTTCCTCGGCGGCTAGCAATAAGAACGCTAAGCGCCGCGAGGCGAGGAAAAAGGCCAAGGCTGCTGCCGCCGGCGACGAAGGGAATGTGACGACGATAGGGTCGGGGGCGGCCAAGGCTGCGGCCGGGGCTGAGCCTGCGAAAGAGGCCGAGAAGGAGGTCGACCCCGAGGTTGAGAGGCAGAAGAAGGCGCGCAATCTTAAGAAGAAGCTTAAGCAAGCGAAGGATCTCAAGAATAAGAAGGAGGGCGGCGAGACGCTGCTGCCTGAGCAGATCGCCAAGGTCATCAAGATCAACGAGCTGATTCGCGAGCTAGATGCGCTGGGCTTTGACGCCGAGGGGGAACCAAAGAATGGGGGCAGCTCGACTGCCAATAAGGACTCGGAGAAGTGAAACGACGAGCCGCGTGCGAACACCATCGTTTCGGAAATAGCCTATCGTCGTTACTACGTACGATCCTACCCGGGCGTGCGTGCGTGCCTCTGGGATCGAAAGCTTTACGATGCCTCAGCACCCCGTCACACTTCCCCCTGCTAAGAAAGGAATACAGGATGCTTTTGTTCAGCGGAGCCTCCTTTCTAACGATGGAAGTGACGAGGACTAGCTAGCTAGCCCGCCGGTTGTGACCACTCTAAAGAGGGAGCTACCTTTGCCCTGGAGCGATCATGCCCGCCGAGGACTAATCCTGATCTATGTACGGGTTAGGATGTGTGGGAAGGACGGATATTTGCCCATCCATTGCAAGATATCAGGGCTTTTGTTTTTAAGGAAATGTGTTTGAATCGTTCAGCGTTTATGCTTGTCGTGGAGTGAGTCAAATATCAGAAGCTTTGTTCCCATCGTGCATTTTGAAGCCTGATCAATTGGCTTGCTCAGTGAGTTAAGAGTAATGTGGAGAGTGCGCAAACCACCTTGGCCAGAATATGGGATGGGGAAGTCGACAAGCCAACCCTTAATTTTATTTTATAAATATCAATATTATCAAATCTGTCCGAGACTCCAAATCAAGTAGGTGATCAGAGAAGAGAGCAAGCACCGTGAGTAGATTCGACATCGATCCGTACAGGTACAATTCTACCCCTCCACCGAAATATTTTACCCCACCATCCCAATCAGGAGCCGCAATCATCAATCAACCATTCCATCCACAACATCTTAGGCAAGCCCGCCAGCGCACGCACCGGCTTCGTCGATAGGAGCAGAGGGTAAATCCAATTTTACTACAAACCAGAGAATTACCCAAGCTCCTAGACAAGGCACCGAAAATGGGGCACGAAGACCAGGTCGAGGAGAGAGAGGTCCTCGAGTCCATCTTCCCCGAAGAAATCACAGGTATCAAAACCCTCCCCTCGCTGCCCATCGCGCATTTCCCTCCCTCTCTAACCTGGCGAAATAGACATCTCGGAAACCGAATTCCGGATATCCGTAACCCTCGACCTCCCCGAAGAGACCGACGCACCCGAACCCCCCACCATCCTCCTCCAAGTCCGCTACCCAGACGAATACCCCGACAAGCCACCGCACCTCGACCTCCTCTCTCCCCCAAACGCCCCCTCCCACCCAAATTTCTCCCTCTCCGAAGACCGCGACGCCCTCCTCAATGTTCTCAATAGCGCCGCCGAGGAGAACCTCGGCATGGCCATGGTGTTCACGCTCGTGTCGACGCTAAAGGAAGCTGGTGAGCAGCTCATCGCCGACCGCGTGGCGGCGGCTGAGAAGATCCGCGAGGAGGCCCTCCTGGCGGCCGAGAGGGAGGAGAATAAGAAATTCCACGGGACGCCCGTGACGCCGGAGACGTTTACGAAGTGGCGCGAGGGGTTTATGAAGGAGATGGAGGAGCTGAGGAAGAAGGAGGAGGAGGAGAGATTGGCGGAGTTGAAGAAGGCGAGGGTCAAGGAGCCCGTTAGGATGACGGGTAGGCAGCTTTGGGAGGCTGGGTTGGTTGGGAAGGTGGATGAGGATGAGGATGATGTGCCTGTGGAGGTGGTGGAGAAGTTGAAGGTGGAGGCTTCTTGAGAGAGTCACTCGGAATCTACTGGGAGATACTCTGTTGCTACCATCAATCATCAATAAAAGCCGTTCAGAGATTCAAAGCGTCTCATTCATTACGCGTAATTGATAGATTTGCGTCGTATTTTAGTTCCTTAGAAAGCAAGGCTATTTCATTTCGACGACTGAACCCATCATTCGTATATACCATTGATGCCACAGTGATAGTTTCTCTCTTTTAAGATTCCAAACTCCATAAAGCACCAAGCAATCCAACAAAAAACCCATTCAGCTCATCTCCTCATCTTCGTCACCATCACTGCTCCCATCTCCGTCCTCATCCTCCCACGCTTCGTCATCGTCATCCTCCTCGCCTTCGGGCAGCGGGCCAAGTACCTTGTCAATCGCCGCAATTAGCTCCTTGGCGTGCTCGCCTAACCTGTCGTCCTCGTAATCTTGCACCTTAAAGAGCTTGAGGCACTGTCTTAACCACCGCCTTGATGAAGTCCACGCCTCCTTGCGCAACGTTTCGGCGTCAGCTCCCTTTTTCTTGTGCTCCTTCTCCCCTTGGATGTACTGACACCACCCGCCGAGGTACCATGTCTCGACACTCTCGTCATCCTCGCCCACAAGCCTCTCCAGCACTTCCATCGCCACAGCTTCTACCTCAACCTCCATGAGCAACCGGGCCAAACTAATCCGCGTCGCAAACTCGGGCACTTTAAGGTCACCCACAGGCAAGTCTTGCCAAAGCTCCATACTCCTCTTCAACGCCGTCTTCGCCTCGTCGACCCTTTGTTGTGATATCCGCACATTCGCGACCGTCTGCCACGTCTCGGGCGACTCAGGGCACACCATCGTCGCCTCCGTCACTAGCGCCTCGCACCTCTGCTCGGCATCCTCCTCCCACGACAGATCCGTCATGTACACCTCCGCCACGGCGCACAGCACGCCCGCGAGCCCTTGCCTCTTCTCCTCCAACGCCGCGTCGTCCACCTCCGTACGCTTCTGCTTCTCCGACAGACTCTGGATCTGCCGCCTCAGCACCGCCGCGCCTTTCTCGTACCAATTTACGCTGTCGCGACCGCCTTCCTCGCTGATCTGCGCCAGCCAGAGAAACTTTTCCGCGCCGCCGCCAACGCTCTCATCCATCGATCCATCCGCGTCGATCTCGACGGCCCGGAGAAGCTTCGGTCGGGCTAGGTCGACGTCGCCCATCTCGATGTAGGCTAGTCCGAGGAGGTTCAGCGCCGCGAGCTCGAAGTCGCCATCTTTGCCGGTCGTTTCGAGAACGCGCTCGGCTAGCTTCGTCGCGGATTCGTGGTCGCCGGCTTGGACTTTGGCCGTCGCTTCGCGGAGGAGGAGGCCGAGGGGGAGGCTCTTGGTTTTGTTTTTGGCCTTTTTGCCTTTGGGCCTGGTGGGCGCCATGGCTGTGGGTTGTTGGGAGGAAGAGGGAAGTGGGGTTTTTGATATTAGTTCGTACTCAAAGGTATATCGTCGAGGTCGAGGCGTAATATGAAGGCGTTTCCCTAGTTGTCCGCGAGATAATTTGGAAACTTTTAAAATATGGAAAAACCAAAGGTGAAGAATGGCAAAATCCCGTGCTAATCCTCCCGGCCTGAAAAGCGGGTTTCGCAGGATGAGTTGGAGTTGGGGGAAAAAAATTGTGTGTGGTTATCTTATCGTGGCTTATCGATAAAAGATTATCGATTGCCCCGCCTTGGAGAAATTTGTATCAAAGTAACTCGGTGGTACCAGGCGGCATCTTTATTTCACCGTTTTCTCTCTCTGAATGCGGTCTCTTGTATCTCCCAATTAGTACGAGAATAGGTGAAGGCACAGATTTTTATTTTCATCGCCGTCTATGCACTTACTCGTCGCCTCACGATGCCACGAGACCTTGATCTAAACCGAGCCGGCAATGTTCAAGCCGAACTTCGGGTTCAGACTCATTCCATCCTCGATGGCATTGATCCCGTTGTCTTGGTAGCTTAGCGTCTCATACTGTTTAACTCTCTGGCTCTATTTAGCGGCCTTTTACAGCTCCTGCCATGCTCTTATCTGACACACTGGAGTCTTTCATGATGCATGCCAATTTTCGGTCGTTACGATGCGAGCCCGGCGATTGGATTTCGATTGCACTCTGTCCGGGGGAGATGGTAAAACTCCCGGTTCTCAGTTGGAGAATGCGCTTGAATTGATATTTCATCTCTAAAGTTAGCTAAGTCGTGGCTCGGTAAATTCGAAGTAAGCAATTGCAAATTCGGAGCATGATCTAAATTTACCCCGCGCCGTTCTGTTCGGGGTTAAGAACCGGAAGCTTCACCATTCTCCTCCAGTCATACTTAATTCTGAAGCTGAGCTCCTCTGGACCTTCAATTTTACCAATTGCTGTAATATCAATTCTAATTGACAAACGCAACAAACATCAAAATGTTTACGGGTCTTGTGGAGGAAATAGGCGGTACGTGACGCGCTGGAGCTTCCTTCATTGATCCCCCCTCCAAGTCTGACAAATATTAATCCATACAATACAGTGGTCTCCGCCATTGAAGGCAATGACGAGACGGGCAAGACCATGACCGTCATCATCCCCCAGGCCTCCGTTCTCCTCAGCGACGCCCAACTCGGCGACTCTATCTCCACAAATGGCGTCTGCCTAACCATAACCTCCCTCCTGCCCTCCCCGCCCGGCTTCACCGTCGGCGTCGCCCCCGAGACCCTCCGCGTATCGAACCTAGGGACGCTAACGCCGGGAAGCCGCGTCAATCTCGAAAGGGCCGTGCGCGCCGACACCCGAATGGGAGGACACTTCGTGCAGGGACACGTCGATTTCGTGGCGCAGATTGTAGATGTTAGGGCCGACGGTAATGCGCGGACGATGCGCTTCAAGCCGCAGGATAAGGAGTGGTTAAAGTACATCGTGCACAAGGGGTTCATCGCCCTTGATGGGACGAGCTTGACGATTACCCAGGTCAATGATGACGAGGGTTGGTGGGAGATCATGCTCATCGAGTACACGCAGGAGCGAGTGATTCTGGCTGAGAAGGGAGTCGGTGAATCCGTCAACGTGGAGGTAGACATGATGGCTAAATACGCCGAGAAGGCTATGGCAGGCTACCTTGCGAAGGAGAGTGAGGGTACCGCAGCCGTTCCTCTGTTGGAAAAGCTCGTAAAGAGGATTGTTGACGAAAGATTGCAGGGCAAGGCGTGATTCTGGCCTGGGTTTTCTATCTGGCTCATCATGTATATTTCGAAGCACACACGGAAAGGTGTCCTAATTGAGTGAATTAAGCAGATCAGGCGTCCCCCCAGACCTCTGCGATCCGTTCGCTTAGCTGTTTCCCAATCTTTTTCCGTGGCGCAACGATAAAGTCTAGCTCTTTCGCAACCAGCTCCCGCTTGCGCTTCTTTCCAACCTCTCCGTGCCCGCAATCCTCGAACGCTTTGACGAAGTTATACGGCGTCTTCCAGCGTTTCTGTATCTCGATGGCTTTCTCCCCGGTCACGCCTCTGGTAGTCATTAGCATCTTGAGGAAGACGTCTCGGAGTGTTAGCATGTCGGATTTGGACGCTAACGACGAGAATGCGGGATAGCTGACGTAGTATCCTCCCCGGGGGTCAGCCCCGCGGAAATGCTCGAGAAGAGGCAAGTAGTTCTGTGCCGTGAGGACATGTGTCGGGACAACCTTGAGGACTTGCCCCTCATATCGTGACCTCAGTAGCTTCGTCATTCTAGCGAGGTAACGAATTGTCTGATCCACGGCCTGTGTCCTTTTCAAGAAGTAGCCATTAACCACCTGGATCTGGGCTATGGCCGATGTCACGGCATCCTCCACCCTCTGGTAAACTGATGAATCCATCGAGATCTCCTCAACAATGTATATGACATTCTTGACTCCTGATTTCCTCAGGCGAAACTTTTGCTCATGGAACCGTCCGTCTTTGATGCTGGCGACGAGATCGTCGAGGCGCTTCCGCTCGACAATCCAGTCGAGGACAACTTCCTCTCCTTCCGCGCCAAGTCTCGTTAATAGAGAAGGGTCGTTACATTTTGCGACCCATTGAGCGTCGCCAACTTCCAAACTCCTCATGATTGGCCTGACACCTAGTTTAATCAACTCTTCTTGTAAGTAATCACGGTCCTTGGTTGAACGAATCTCGCGGACATCCAGCAAAAGCTCGACTGTAAAGGATCCTGGAGTAAGCTGGATGGGTGAAAATGTCGGAAGGCGCCCATCGGTCCCTATCGTCGGGGCGTCGGCAATAAGGTCACGATATGGCGCGTTGCGGCTAGGTATCGGGTTAGAGGCAGCCGTTGCGGCTTGGATTCTAGAATGTGGTTGCTTGTTGGTTCGTGTTGGAGGCGCATCGTCAAGCACGATGATATCATCATCTTCATCGTCTAACTCCTGATGTTGCTCCTCCTCCTCCTCCTCCGCCTCCTCTTCAACTCGACGTCCACGATTCGCCGCACCTTGGTTCAACTGATTCGGATCGCCAACCGCCCGTAATCGATGAGCCACCTCCCAGCCGTCTTCTGTCAACGTATATTTCCTCATAGGCCGGCCCTTTTCATAAACAAGGTCTTTGTCAATAAGGGTGCGCATCGAGTTCCACGCAGTGTAGAACTTAGTAGGGTCGCTAGGCGCAGTGAAAGACGAGTCGCACATGGGCTGCGCCAACTCGATGAGTTGGGTTTTCGTGAGTCCATGCGTCCCGGGTGTGTCCTCATCGAGGGTCGCCAAAGCCATGATAATAGCGTAGGATCCAGACCTGTAAGCGGGCACATACGGCTTCCTTTTTCTCGGTTTCTTGAGCGGTGGCGCGGGTTCCTCTGCTTCCAGCCCTCCTGGCACAACTTGCCGCCGAGTCGCTCGCGGCATTGGCAATCCATTTTCTTCGCAGTGGGCCTTTAACTTGTCCGTAAGTCTCTGGCAAAGCTTGGGTCCGAAACCCTTGAGCTGCTGGAGTTGGGAGGGGTGCTGGAAAGTGATGGGACAAGACTTGAGGGAGTTGTACGCGTGTCTATAGGTGAGGACGCCCCTCGTGTTCCTCTCGAGGGCCAAGTCGAGCCATTCTTTCACCCAGCCGAGGAGCAGAGGGTTGGCGCAGCGTTCCGGCTCCTCCATGGCCGGCCAAGATAGTCCTTGTCTATCTTGATCTGGTGTACAAATGTTGGTTGAAATGGTAGCGCGTTACAATTGTACATTGTTTGGGACGAGAAGAACGCGAGGTCATGTGACTTTATATTTCTGAGGTTCACCCCCCAAAATAGAGACCCAGCATGGAAGGACGCAAGGTCCAGGCCCTGCCCAGGGTCCTGGGAAGCTGCATTTCAACATGAAGTCCGTCACACTAGCAATCCGGTAGAAATTATATCAAGTTGATCAATTGATTACGACAGACGGCTTTTTATCCTCTAAGACTTTGTTAGTTCACAGAGAATGATCCCAAACTATTTCGGTAGCTGTCAATAGCAACAATGCGTGTGGCAGTGGTTGGCCCTTAATCAATCTAGCGCAGCTCAAGGACCCCGCTCTGTTTGGAAGGAGGGGTAATGTCGAAGGTTGGCGAAAGCAGGGCGAAACAGCTGATGAGGCGTGCTCTTGGAGCAGGTTGCTGCGGTCTCGCGTGTGCTTCCCAGGTACAGAGTACATCAAGAATCGTACTTCCAGAAAGGAGCACAGGTCTCGTTATCGGAACTGGGAATAGCATTATGGGCTTAGGTTCGGGACGAAGAAGGGCATATAAGGACTCATGTCGCGCTACAAGCGATATCAAACTCGGCCCCTCAGACGGTCTCGAATGTTGAATCTGGCGAAGACATGAAGATACTGCAGGTCTCGGGCCAGCTTTCCCAGAGACCGCCCGCCATGTGGCATAGCAATGTCACCCTGCACTCACATTGGCCCAGCATGACGAAACCCCCGCCTTAGATGCCCAGTTTCGTGTATGGAGAACCAGGTTGACCCAAAGCCAAAAGCCAAACGCCTCCCTTCCCCCTCCATGTACGAAGTACAGTGCAAGTGAAATGCGCGGCCGGTTCCTGTTCCACACCTCGTGCTCCTTTTGATGCTTGGCGAAGGGGGCCGAACAACCCTGGATGTGCCTGTCGTCAGACTACTTCTTACTTCGGACTATAATTCGCAATGTATGGGCGACAGCACAGCACAGCGCAGGAGCAGCTAGACGGTGGGTGGGGATGTGGGGGCCGTTTCCTCCTGGCGGGGTTCGCATTTTGATCAATTGATTGATCAAATCCGTATTGATTCCAAGGACGGAGGCAACGAGGGCGGGCGCTGGGCAGGCAGGACTTGATTGATGGAGGGGTGGAACCGTGGAGGGGTAGAGGGGTCCTGCTTCCTTCCTAGGAATCCATTATCTACACCACAAGGTCCAGTCCACAACTACCTTCTCCATCACGACTCCGCCTCACCTCATCTCACCATTTTAATCCAGCTGAATATACCTCAGGACCACCAGCCCAGCTGCTGAATTCATCTCCATTGTGTAGCCTGCTCACCCAGTCATTGTTTTGTTACTTTACCTTGATTTTTTCAAAGCTGTCGCAAGTCTGCTAGCACAAAACTTTGCAAGGCGCCTGGAAGATCACAAGGCTGTGCCCCCTGTGTGTGTTTGCCTGTGTATGTATCTGTGTTGCATGTTCTCAAACCCTCTTTCCTCTTGACTTCATCTGCCCTTCCTCCCACTTTTCTCCTGTCAAGTGAACTCGAGCTTCCGAGCTCCTGAGCTTCCACCCTCTCTTTGTTGCTATCCTGACATTTATTAGCTAGATACCCTGCCAGTTAAAACTCTCCAACTTCATAAACACAATCCACTTCCCTTTACCCTCTTCTTTTCTTCTTTCCAAGGTAAAGGTGCCCTGTCTGTCCCACCTACATCCTCAAAATGGATGAAAAGATTATTGCCGCCTCCAAAAGGCACCCCATCGTCCCCCTCCCCGAGGGCCGACTCTACAAATATGGCACTGCCGGTTTCCGTATGAAGGCCGATCTCCTCGACGGCATCTCCTTCCGCGTCGGTCTCCTTTCCGCGCTTCGCAGCCGAAAGCTCAGCAGCAAGGCCATCGGTGTCATGATCACCGCCAGCCACAATCCCGCCCCCGACAATGGAGTCAAGATCGTCGACCCCATGGGTGAGATGCTTGAGCAGGATTGGGAAGCCTATGCCACTCAGCTCGTCAATGCCCCCTCTGACGAGGCACTTGTTGCCGAGTACAAGAGGCTCGCGGAACTTCTCAAGATCAACTTGGACGCGCCCGGCAAGGTCGTTTTCGGACGGGATACTCGTCCTTCGGGCCACAGCCTCGTCACCGCTCTCACTGATGCTCTCGACGCTACCAATACCGCGTACACTGACTACAAGATCCTTACTACCCCTCAGCTCCACTACCTCACGCGCTGTGTCAACACAGAAGGCACCGTCAACAGCTACGGAAAGACCAGCGAGACTGGATATTATGAGAAGCTCGGCGAAGCCTTTGTTCGAGCCTTGAGCGGAAGGAGAGCCTCTGGCCAACTCATTGTGGATTGCGCCAACGGTGTCGGTGGACCCAAGTTGACCGAGTTCCTGAAGCATGTTCCCAAGGAGACGACGGGTCTTGATGTCAGGGTTGTAAACGACGATGTCCTCCACCCAGAGGCCCTCAATCTTGACGTGAGCCTGCCTCCGTCAAACAAATTGGACTGATGAAACGTGTGAGTGTAGGCATACTAACAGTTAACTTTGCGCAGTGCGGTGCGGATTTTGTCAAGACCCGCCAAAAGCCTCCCGCGTCGCCTCGCCCTACGCCAGGTGTCCGAAGCTGCTCCTTCGACGGAGACGCCGACCGCCTCATATACTACTGGGTCGATCCCGAGAAAGGCTTTTTCATGCTCGACGGTGACCGCATCTCCTCTCTCGCCGCGTCTTTCATTGGCGACCTCGTCCGTTCGGCTGGACTCGAGGAAGAGCTCCGCATCGGCGTCGTCCAAACCGCCTACGCCAACGGGGCTAGCACCACCTACATCGAGAAGCACCTCCATCTCCCCGTTACGTGCACTCCCACTGGCGTGAAGCATCTCCATCATGAGGCCCTCAAGTTCGACGTTGGCGTCTACTTCGAGGCCAACGGCCACGGAACGGTCCTCTTCTCGCCCCATGCCCTCCGCTCCTTCCGCGAGACCCAGCCCCAGTCTCCCGCGCAAAAGGACGCCCTGGATACCCTCGCCGCCGTCGGCGACCTCATCAACCAGACCGTCGGCGACGCCCTCTCCGACATGCTGCTCGTAGAAGTCATCCTCGCCCACAAGAACTGGTCCCTCCGCGACTGGGCCATTACTTACTCCGACCTCCCCAACCGTCTCGTCCGCGTCGAGGTCCCCGACAAGGACGCCTTCCGCACCACGGACGCCGAGCGCCGTCTCACGCACCCCTCAGGCCTGCAGGACGCCATCGATCAGGTCGTTCTCAAGTATGCCAAGGGACGAAGCTTTGCCCGCGCTAGCGGCACGGAGAACGCGTGTCGCGTGTATGCTGAGGCGGCGACGAGGTTGGAGGCTGATGAGCTTGCGAACAAGGTCGCGCAGCTGGTGAAGCAGTTTGGTTAGTTTTGAACAGGTTCCCAGCGGAAAGCGAAAGAAGGCAAGCAAGCAAAAAAGAAGGTGAGAAGAGAAGAAATTGTTGTATAGGCGGTATATTGTCATCGAAAAACAAAAATGTTAGGTAGCACACAGATATCCCTCCTGTTCTGTTCTCACGTGTGAGCTATGACTGGGGAGAAAAACGTCAGGGATGGGATCAAAATGTCGCCGAGCCCGAGCGTAACGTCTTAGCAAGTCTAAAAATACAGACCATTACTTCAAATTCGCCTCAATGGTAGTTGCGGGATGATAATACGCAGTGATCGACAACCCTTGCCAGTAAAAAGCTGAAGTGCATCAACAATAATAGAAGGTCACAGCTTGCGCCTGTAAATCTTGCAAGTTCAGATCGAGCCACGTTTTTTTTTTTCCAGATGCTATGTTATGTGTCGTTAGCTGGGAACACACGTAAGTCTCCCAAAAAAAAACACAAAATGTTGAAATCTATAGTCACAGCTCCAAACTCTCTCCCGCAAGATCTTTCCAGACTCTCCCACCTCCCCGCCCCCTTTTCGATACCATCGCCAAAAGAAAAGATGGGGGCCCTGCATAGTCGGATCGGTTTTCGTCCCGGAGCTCTTGCTGCCGAGTTCCATGTTCGCCTCTGAACCTGAGCTTTTTAAGGGTGTTACTTCTTAGGCTCAGGGTCCGGACGACATTCTCTACGGGCGCTAGCTAAACAGGACGCAGTGTATATATCATAACCATGCAGGCATGGCTCCCTTTTTATACCCCTTTTTATTATTTCTCTCCTCCCTCCGCTGTGGCCTATATGCTTCACTCTCCGTCACCGACGAAGGGCGATAAAGTTTTGCGTGAAGGACGGCTGTAGATTAGCGGAAAATAAAAAAAAAGGAGGAGCTTAGCACATCCTGTACTCGCAGTGGCCTTCAGCTTGCCGAGTAGGATCGTCGGTCTCAAGCTTATAGTCGATAGCAATGTCGAGATCGCGCCTATTCTTCAAGTTGGGTTTCACGGAAATCGTCGACGATATCCTCTCGCCGGCCGATACGGTGAGCACGTCCTTGAGGTAGAAGACGGTCTGCTTCCAGTGGGTGTACTTGGTGTGGGGGCCGGTGGAGAACCGGATGGGCTTGTGGCATTCGGAGAACTCGATGTCGAACCAGGCGACGAGGGCGTGGATGAAATCGTCGCGGCGGCAGCTGAGTTCGAAGGGGACCTTGAAGTCGAGATCGGCTGTGGTGCACGTGTAGAGATCGAGGACGAGGACGGAGGAGGGTTCAGTCACGACGGCCTTGAGCTCGACGGTGTCGACGAGGGGCTCGGAGAGGGCGGTCTCCTTGAGAGGAGTGTAGTCGAATCCGTAGACGTTATCCCAGACTTTGGGCGGGTTATGTTAGAAATTTGGAGACTTCGGCAGGCTAGACTCCGGGCATTAAGGAATTGCGGCAGCAGTGGCGGTTACTCACATCCGATCTTCTCGTCCTTGTATTCGCCGTCCTCGATGCCGGCGGCGTAAATGGTAGCTTTGTCAGGGAAGATCTTGCCGCCGGGCACGAGATACTTGTCCCTGGCGTAGAGCACGGTATCGAGCATGCTTTCGTAGAGGAGGAAGTAGCCCATCCACTCGGAGATGATGATATCGACCTTGGGGAAGGGAAGTTCTACATCCTCCATCTTGCCCTGGATCAAAGTAATCTTGTCGGCGAGGCCGTTGACCTTGACAATCTCGCGAGCCTTGAAGATGATGGTGGACATGTCGACACCGATGACGTGCTTGGCGCCAGCCCTCGCAGCGAACCTAGAGTCACCAAGCATTAGAGACTAGAGATTCGATCTTTTTTTTCTTCTCCTTTTTGTTCACTGCTCTTTGGAAGCGCGCAGGGTCGGCAAGATTCGAAAGAGAATTCGAGGGAGGAGAGCCGGTTCGACATACATGGACAGAATCGCCGTACCACAGCCAACATCAAGAACAACCTTGTCCTTGAAAAGGTGCTTGTTGTTGACAATGGCGCTCATATACGACTTTGTGCGGACCTCATCTTTCTGTTGATAGTGGGCATCTCTGTTAGCCTACGGTGCGACCATTTCCGAGAGAACCGAATGCGAAGCAATGGGGAGAGAAGGCGGGGGGAAAGAGACGGGGGAGAGGGAGAGATCTTAAAAGACCAAAACACACCAACATCTCCTCATGGATGCCTTGTATACATGGAGCACGAGGAATTAGCAATCACTGCGGGGCGCATCTAGGAAAACACGTTTTGCGCATTGCGCGCAAAACGTTGTACACGGACTGGAGGTGTCGAGGCATACCGTGATGGTCGTAACTAGCGGTAGAAAGAGTTCCATGTTAGCCTCCTCTGATATGTAACGGCGGTGCGCTTGAGACAATGCCGCCGCTTTGCCCCAGACGATTCCCTGCAAAAAAGCATGACAAGGCGACTAGATAAGAACCATACCTCTTGAAGTAGTGCTGCTCAGAGTGCTCCATAGCCTTGAGCTTCTCCTCCGCAATATCCACCTCCATCCGTTCGTTGGCCATCGCGACTGGAGACTCGGTTCTCGAACTGGGCTGAAATTGAAAGGGTATGCAGGGATCCGAAGCAGAGTCTCGATCGGGAGAGGAAGAGGAGGGGGATTAGAAAAGGAAGGGGAAAGAGAAGGGATAGGGTATCAATCCGGGTGGAGGGGCACTTTGGGCGCGAAGGAGAAGTTCTTTTAAACCCTTTCTTTTTTTTTTCTTCTTTTGTTTTGCCTTCCTCTACTTTTTTTTTTTTTTTTTTTCGCCCTTCCAGATATGTTCAAAGTTTGGCGGCGGTAAGGCAGCGGGGGAGGAAATTTCGCTGGGAAGGTCCAAGTGGGGTGTGGGGACCCTCTTTCTTCTTCTTTTTTTTTTTTTTTTTTTTTTTTTTTTTTCTGGTTTTCAATCCTTTTTTTGTCAGTGCTCGGGATTCCTGCGCTGAGACTAGACTGAGTAAGTATAGTTAGTGTACCGGTGTACCGAGTACCAATATAGTCGTACTTGAAAGCACTCAAAATTTAGTACTAGATACCTACGTCCTAATCTTCCTCTGCGAGGAAAGAGCCCTGAGCTACCTTTGTTGTCGTAGAGGCTTGACGCCGGGCTCGGCTTGCAAGGAATGAATGCGGAATCCAGTGGTCGAGCGCCGCACATATGTCTGGCTTCGTATCGAGAATCGAGGTTGGCTCATGAGAAAGTACGAGGCTCATTCACCTTGATGAAGCAGTCCCTGACACGCAATCGTGGCGCATCATTCCATCTACGCTCCAACATTCCAACAGCTACGACACGGCGATGGCGATGGCGATGGACTGTACGAATGCAATCGCAAAATGCCAGACTTCATTCTCTGATAGTATGTATGGTAGCCTGTACTAATTCCGAATCCCAATATAAAAACAAAAGAGATCAATAGACCAGCGCGGAATACTGCGACATTCCTTCAAAAATCAACCCGTTGCAATGCAGCCTCCCAACTCGTTGATTCTCCCCGTTTGTTTTCGACTTTTCGGCTTTTTTTGGTGTTTTTCAAAAAGGTTTCCATGGCTCCCCCTTAACTATTTCCCGACCTTCCAATTTCAGAAACTGAGAGTAAACAATCAATGGTCCGGAAAATGAACACTGGAAGAAGAAAAAGAAGAGAAAGGGGAATAGAAGACAAGAGGAAAGAAAAGGAAAAGGAGACTAGTGAGTTAAAAAGGCTTGACCAGAAGGGAAGAGAAAGAAAGACACAATTTGCCAGACACAATGAGAACCCCGAACCCCTCGGCCAATGCTGGTCCCGGCCAGACCCTTGCCCTTTCTATTGTTCTTCGCCTTCGCTCAAGTCCCCGTCTGCTCTATGTTCCATAGACGCCGGGCGCTCGCATGAACATGCACAAACAATGCATCTCTTGAGCCGTTAAAACCCCCGATTCTAAAACGAACCAGTGACTCGACGAAAAAAGCACTAGCAAGGGCAGATGGCGGCCCTGAAGGCAATCCAGATATAAGTGGAGAGTGTGCCAGCTGCGTCGTACCGTAGCTGCCAAATTTCAAGGCCAAACTGAAGAGCCCTCAAAGGGATGCTGAAAGCAGACCCCAAGAACCCAAGAAAGGAGAGAGGGAAAAGGAAACAAATATAGGACAGGGGAATGACAGTGAGACTGAAAACAAAAGGAAACAGGTGTGGAAACCGAAGATGACATCTTCAAGATGACTGTATGACAATATAACAAACAAAAACCCACGCGTTGATCCCGAAATGTTGACGTCCTGCTCAAGTCTTTTCGGCAGGCCATTCGGACTGAGCGTGGATTGTGAAAACCCAGGACGGGCAGTAGAAAATAACAAAGAAAAAGGAAATTCGATGCGCCAGATGCAGTCTGAGTAAGTTTGTTCTCGCCCTCGTTTCAACGCCACGCTCATGGAATGCAAACGAAATGGGAAAAACGGCAAGTGCAAGAAACGGGCAACCGTGTAAATTGGTCGCCAAGAACGAGAAAAAAAAAAAAAAGAATATGGAGTAAGTGGTTGAAGAATAGGTTGATAATTCTCCTGATGTTATCAACCAGTCTTGACAGTGGGCCGGGGAGTAGGCTCTTCATCTTCAACATTCTGCTTAGCCGATGGATTTGGTCGAGGCGTCTCTTCGACCGAAATCCCGAGCCCACTCCCCTCGCGACCGATTCCCAAGTCAGGCGGTGTCTGGGCTTCCTTAGGCTCCCTCGGCGAGAGCGGAGGCACATCGAGCTCGTTGGACGGGGTTACAACTTGCGTGACTGGTTCGATGGTGCTCTCGGAGCACATCGCAACGCTATCGTGACTATCCGCGCGCATCATCTCGATACCCAGTTTAGAGCTCGGGAGGTTGGATTTGCGGAACGGTTTGTCGCGTACGAGCCCGAGCTCCTCATCCTCATCGTCGGCCGACTCGGTGCTGCCTTCCGAGTATCGCTTCTCACCCGGCTGTCGCCTCGATTTGAACTTCTCTATTGCACCACGCGACACTTCAAGCTTGCCAGGAGCCGATTGCTGCGTCACTAGATGAGGAATTGGCCTCGCCCCTTCTGGCACCAAAATTCTGTCCTCTCGGATGCCAAGGCCGCCGCCGCTTTCTTCCCACTCGCCGGTCGGCTTGCGACTAACGACGGCGGGAATATCGTCCGTGGATATCGACTCCGAATCCCCATACAGGCTTGAGCTTATTGACTGTTCGCGGCTCGAAGATACGAGACTTCCACTAAGACGCCCGGCAAATATCGAGGAGCCGCTCGTTGGACTATCTTCAAGGCGGAGGCTCGCCTGTCGCAGCGCAGTGGGGGTTGGGTGGGGATGCGCAATCGGAAGAGATATGCTCTGGCTCGGCGACGGTGGCTTCCACTGGCAGAGGCTGCGCAGAACTTCGGTGAGTTTTGAAGAGCTTATCGGCTTTTCGACAAGCGAGTCGAAATAGTGGGGCGCTTGCAGTTCCTTGAGGTAGGCCGTGATGGCGACTATGGGTGTGTGGGAATTGGCATTCTTCGTCTCGCGGATCATGCGGGCAACGTCGGCACCGTTGATGTGGGGCAGCTTATACTCCAGGAAAATAATGTCGAACTTGATCTCACTTGTTGAATATCGCACAGCCTCGGAGCCGTTCGGTACCGAGATCGTACGGCACCGAAGCTTCTCTAGTAGCTTTTCCATCACCATGCGGGAAACAGGATGATCCTCACAGATCAAAACATCAAGCGGGCGAAAGACTAGAGTGCCTTCCAGTGCGATCTGGGAGAGACGGCGGGAACTCTGCCGGCGCCGCTGAACGCGCAGGAGCGCGTTGTGCTTCTCGCCCTCATTGTCCGAAGAGGACGGTGACATGTCAAATACCTGGCTGCGGCGATTGTGGCGCTGGACAAGGGTTTCCGAGGCAATGGGGCTGCCTTCTTGAGACTGAGACCCTACGGTCAGAGATCGGGATCGCGTGCCGGATGATCCACTGCCCTGGCGAGGAGTGGAGACACCACCCTTCTGCGGAGACAATGCAAGAGGCGGAGGCGCAGTGCCGCGAGGCTTGATTGGGGAAGAAGCCGCCGCAACAGTAGTCGCGGCTTTTTGGAGGGTCGGCGGTACTCTCGCGGCCTCAAATGGAGGGAGAGAGAGACCTGATTGCTGCGAGAGGCTGGAAGACGTGCTCGACACCTTTCTCCTACCATCAGATCCCTGATTTGCAACGAAAGACACCAGTAGAGGCGATGAGGGTTGTGACATGCGGCTCGGAGATGAGTTTGCGTGGCTAATGCCAGAAGGGGACTGGGGTCGTGCCGAAGCCTTTGCGTTGGAAAGGGTCCGCTGGATGGGGTTCGACATGACCGGGCTACCCTCGAGTGACGGACCTCCTGGAGACGTAGCACTGATGGCACCAGCTTGGCTGCCGGATCCCTGCTTGTTCTGAGAGGCAAGTGCCTCCGCTCTCAACTTTTGTATCACATCCTTGTTGGCCTTCTCGAGCACGGGCAGATTTTTGAATGAGAAGTTGCCGAAATCATCAGCCGGAACCGGCTCACTAAGTCGTCTGCTCTTGTGATCACGGACATGGGGAGGAATGTGCAAAGGCATAAGCCCTCGCTTGATCGAGTTGACCTGGGTCCGGACGCGCGAAAGGGCATCATGAGGGCGTTCCGGATAGTCCGAGCCAGCCGCGGAAGAAGGGGGTGAGCTCTGATCTTCCATCTCCTCTGCAAAAGACTGGAGAGTCGCACCTCTGGAGTCGAAGTATTCGGTATCCTCAGGGTTCTCCGTCTGGGGAACGAACTGGGCTTCGTCTTCAAGCAGCGTAGCCCAGTTAACATCGCTAAACCAAGGGTGGTTCCTAATCTCTTCGCCGCCTGACGCGAATTTACCCTCCCGGTTCGCGCCGAGTCTCTCGCTGGGATCCATGCAGAGTAGCTTGTTAATCAAGTCCTTAGCCTCTTCCGAAACAGGCTCGCATTCCGTTTCATCCGGCCATCTGATCTTGCGGGCAAGGATGTTCTCAAACACAAGCTCGGCCTCGGTATCATGGAACGGTGGGATACCGTACAGGAACTCGAACATAATACATCCGACGGACCACCAATCACTTGTCTCATTTTGCTTCTCGCCCTTGACCGTCTCCGGCGCCAGGTAGTCGGGCGTGCCAACGAATCTCCTATTCGTGTCTTCAGGGTCGAAGAGGGCCATGGGAGGCGGCATCATACTGGACTGAGGCGGGGTGTTTTTTCCGTAGATATCCCCTCCTTGTTGCGAGAAATTCTGCAGGGTGGATAAATCAGGGGAGCCTTGACTTGCCGCCTCGCTCAGTTCGTCGGCGTGAGACTTTGCGCTGTGGGGTTGCGAGCCGGCCTCGGAGTCATTCAAAGAAAAGGTGCCCATCATTTGTACTAAATTCTCACTACCGCCACTGTCGCTACGCTGACCAGCTAGTCTGCGCGAGTCCGGCTGTGCAGGCCCAAGAGTGAAATAGGATGGTTGTGAAAGAGGGTCACCGCTACCCGGAGTAGCAAGAGGGGCCAGGCTAGGCGAGTGGCTTCCATGCAGATCGAGAGAAGTCGACCGAGACGAGGTGATGGACGCAGATCGGGCAAACGGGCCTTGCTTGAGGAGATCAGGTACCGACTCGTTGTCACTCTTAAGCGCTCGCTGCTGTCGGCCCACCAATCCCATCCGCGAGAGACCAAAATCGGTAAGCTTAAGATGGCCACGCTGATCAATAAGGAGGTTATCTGGCTTCAAGTCCCGATGGATGATGTCTCGGCTATGGAGGTGCTCCACACCGAGGATAACCTCACCAAGGTATTTTTTTGCCCAATCCTCAGGCAGACCACCGAGTACTTTGATGAGAGAAGCACAGTCGCCTCCGTTGAGATACTCCATGACAAGGTACAGATACTCCTTGCTCGAGAATGTCCAGTACAGCTTAGCCACAAAATCACTCTGCCCTTGCCACATCATAATAGCACGTTCCGCCTTGACGTTACCGACCTGATTCTTTGCAACCATGTCGGCCTTCTTCAGCACTTTGATCGCAAAATATTCTCCAGTGGATTTCTTCTTAGAGAGATAGACACTACCGAAGGCACCTTTGGAAATTGGTTTGATGATCTCGAAATCTTTGATGGAAGGCTGTGTGGGCCGAGCCTGAGGCGGGGCGTTGTGGGCGCCGAGGCGCGGAGAGGGCGGGGCTTTCATGATGAACTCGGAGAGAGCGGCCGACGACTGCCTTCGATGGTGGTGCAAGGAGGGCGGCGGTATCGGGGCAGGCGAACTGAACTCGGTGCCGGGAAGCATAGGCGATGCTTCGGGCGAGGCAAACCCTTCATTTGGGAACGGGAATGAGCGCGGCTTATGGATGCGCAGGGGAGAGGAGGGCGGCTGAATGCCCCGTGACGGTGACTCCTGGCGACGTGGCGAGGCCGTTCCAGGGAGGATAAGGCTTCTCCGGTGATGTCGTCTTGCGCTAGCAGCCCGGCGAAGGTCACCGCCGAACTCGCTAATGGGAGAGTCGGTCCGTTGGGGGGGACGCGATGCAACTGACGAGGATCTTATGCTCCCATCGCTTTCCCCCGCCTCGCTCCCCAAGATGAGCGACTCTCTTTGAGAGGTTCGGAGAGAGTCGCGTCGCGAGTCACGCATGGGAAGGACTGTATTAAAGCCACCCATATTCGACGTGGGGGTGGGGCATTCTTGAGGGCTGTAAGACTGGACTGATTCGATGAAGGATGTTGGTCTCGTTCGCGAAATGTTATCATTGTTAAGATCAACATTTTGCAAGGCCTCAGCCAGTGCCGCCGGGTCGTTGAACGAGTTATCGAAAAACGAATCGTCCTGACCTGGAGGCATGTCCTCTTCTTCCTCTTCGGCCGAGTCGCTCAAGCGGCCCGCAGCAATACGAGCAGCCTTTCTCAGGGCTTCGTCAATACAATCCTGGACGAGAAGAGCAAATTCAACACGAATGCGCTCAGCGTACTCAATGATTCTTCTTTGTCGGACGACAGCCTCAACTTTGGCTTTTGCTACGCGCTCCGTGTCTGCGCAAAGGAGAGCGAGCCCTTGCTCTTGTTCGAGCGTGTTCGTACTTGGGGATTGCCACTGCATAACTTGGGAGATACGAGACTCGGACTGAGGAGACTGCGTCCGAAGCTCGCCTGGTATTTGCGATGGGGATTCCTTGATGGCTGGAGGGCTGATTTCCAATGCGGTATCGCATAGGTCAACTAGAAGCTCGACTATTCTAGCCTGCGGTCTGCGAACTGCAAATGATCGTCCTCGAGCGTGGCCAAAGCCAGTCCTTTCACGAGAAGTGGCCGATGACGTCGATGGCGATGATTGATTGGACGGGGATGGGCCGATCGGGAGGCCCTTATACTCGGCGGCAGGAAGGAGGAGTGAAGCGAGATCACCAGTGAGAGTGCGGCTCCGGCGGACCTCGAGGGCATCCAAGACTTTAACAATGGAATGCCGATGTTCGGTCAGGCCCTCCTGGGCCATTTGGACATCCATCTCAGCTCTGTGTTCCTGGAGACAGAGATCGGTGTGCTTTTCGAACCACCAGGGTGGTATCTGCCGCTCGCAGATTCGGCAGAGAACGGGCGGCGGCGGTGGATGGAGTTCTGGATCGTCTATTCCCGATTCTGCCAATTGAGTGAGATAACTTGCAAGAACCTGGGCTCCTGAACCAAGTGAATCGACAATCACGGCAGGCATCTCGATCTGAATTTCCCGAGGGGCAGTCCAGGGGCGAATCATCCACATGGTCTAGAAGACGTCATTAGTTAGTAACGCAAAGGGCCATATACTAAGGAGGGATATCAAAACTTACGTGGCTCTCGCCTCCCGAAGCGCCGTCATAGACCATGATGCCCTGGGCCTCCAGATCAATGACCTGAGGGGAAGTTGTCTCGACGCCATCCTTCAGGTCATCAAGGGACAGTAGCTTAGACAGGGGGCCGAGAGCGACGGCAAACCGAACTCTGTGGCTCCTCGAATCATCCTTTTTCATCGATTCGACCACATCGGAAAAGACGGTTCTATTATCGCTGACAATAATGTCGCATAACGGCTGACCTTGAACGGCGTCTGGCTGAGTTCCGATCACGTCGGCCCAGGACGGGCTGACCCACTTGATGGTCCCGTCAAGATTCAGGTCCACAATCACGTTGAGAGTCTGTTCTGCAGCCTCTCGAAGATCCTCCCTCTCTTCCCGTATATTATCGCTCATGGACCGCTCCATCGGGTAGGCCGACTCGACTCGTAGATGGGACACGGCGAGGGGTGCCGCCTTGGCCGAGTCGGTGGGCTCTTGCGGTGGCGATGTTTCCGCCATGGTTGGAATTGAAACACCGACACTCGCTCGGGTCGTGTACTCGAGAAGCTCGGGTACGAGTGCGCAGCGGGAGACCGGAACACGCGCCTATGACCCAAGTTTCGGTTCACGATGGTGGGAATGGGCTCGTCAATGCGGGGCCAGAAAGATGGCAGGGCGCAGGCGCCTGTACTACAAAGAGGCGGCAGCCTGATACATGACGATAGTGCGTCGTGTTGGGGGTTGTTGTTGCTCTTGCTCACACGGAGACCCGAACTATCGTGAGAACAACCGCAGTGCTTGTCCACCCAGGTTGCACACCACGAGGTGGTGGGCAGCAAGCCCCTGTTAACAAACGGGATCTCGGCACTATTCTGCGGAGTCTGGATTGCCCGGCAAACGCTATAGTATCGGGGGATCGACGTGAGCCGTGAGTATTCGCGTAGAGGGATGTCGAAAACGCGAGGCTTCCTTGGAGGCGAAGGAGACACGGGGTGGTGAACAGTGAACAGGAACGAAGGTCGGAAGGTTTGGCATACAACGTTGTGGCTCGTGACTGGACAGGAGTAGCTCGGGCCAAGTCGAAATTGTCCTCCGTAAGCATCAATCGCTATTATTTGCGGCAGGAAGGAAGAAAAAAAAAAAAAATTGAGGAAATCCGCCGAAACCCTACAGTGTAACCATGAGGTGGCAGTCGAATATGATCAGAATGGAGAGAAGATCCCTGCCTCTAGACGGACGAGATGAATTCTCGAGAAGCTGAATTAGAGGAGATCTCTTTCCTCTTAATGAAGCAACGCCGGAGAGTCGGAACCACAGAATCGCAAAGTCGGATGCTGCAGGGCAGGAATGAGCACGTTCAAGGGATTCTGCAGTGGTTGTGAGGTACGAAGTACTGCATAGTGTGATATTTTGAGCGACATCAAACGGTAAGCACGAGTTGGGTACTTCTTTTAACCGGGATTAAACATATTTATGTTGTTAATATTAAATGTGTTATGTGTATATACTAACAGTCCCAAGGTACTCTGCCGTTCCTAGCAAAGTACCGAACGTGTCAGCAACCGATGATAAATCCAAACACAGAGGATTCGACCAGTGAAACGGTGACTACCTCTGGTCTTTCCAAATCCTCTCACGTACGAAGTACTCCGTAGTTCGTACTGTGAGGGAGGGTCAAGTGGGCATGGAAAGCGGGGCCGCGGCCATAATCAAACCAATCAGAGAATGGTAACCATGATGCAGGGAGGACTTGCCTGTCTTGCCTTTAGAAGGTTCTACGCCTGTCCAGACTCTGGCGACGACACAGAACCGAACCATTGATCAGTGTAGATTTGTTTGCTTGTCGAAAGCTACCAGATACAATTGTTAAATTACTTCGTGCGAAGTACTCGCAACGACACGACAATTCCACATCGTACGCTACACTCCTGCAAAGTAATATAATGATACGAAGTACAGCTCAATTGCTATCAAATTATGATTGTACCTTTATCCTTGTACTTGGACAGGACATCACTCCCTCATCCATTGTCCCGAACAATGATACCGATCCTCTGGACAAAACTCTATAACATCTTCGTCCAAGTACGTTGGCTGGCGCAGGCGTTATCTCTCTCCGCGTCCAATCGTCAAGAAAAGCCAATCGATCTACAACAATGATCCGTGAGCATCGTGAGTGATGCCAAAACTCGACCCATGCGCGCTTGTTCCAGAGTAGCACAGTGTCAGGCCAAGCAAGCATGCGGCCATTCGAGACATCAGGGACTTTGTGTGTTTTTCATCGTTCCTTCTCGGGGATCACGTCGATCCGTCTAGACTCTAGTCTCCAGTAGTGCAGACTCTAGAGTCGACGACATTGGCGCCCGCTGCACCGTGCTAGCCCCGAATCCCATCGCACCCAGTTCCTATGCAATGCTGGATCCGGTTCCGGGTCGGCACCATTCCCCTCCACAATTGCCCCCACGTATCGTCATATCTCGTTCCCTACTTGGTTCGCTAACATACGACCTAAAGCCGTGCTCTGCCGTCCTCGGTGCGGTTATCCAAGCGATGAGCGCTCACGAGCACTCACGAGCAAAGATCAATTGATGTAACCCAGACCGCCGGTGCCATGCAGAGACGATTCTTCCCCCTTCTACCTTACTTCCAGCGTGACCCAAGTTGCTTTTGCCAATATGCATGGTATGACTCCATAGATGCCCACGTACGATGTGTCCCCTCTGTCGCCCCATTTCGCAGCGATATAGTACTTCCATACCCTTTCTTTCGCAGCTCTCTAGAGTCTCGGCTCGTCCCTTCTCAATGCCATCGCAATCTGTACTTCGTACCTCAGTATACTAAACTAATCTAGTTTGAACTAGCGTTATGGGTGGCAGTACCTCCAGGATCGATCGCGGGGACCCCACACGAAGTGGGCATGACCAGAACCGCTCAACTTGAAATTTCCCGAACCACATCCGCTCCTCCTTACAAAGCGATAGAGTTATATGGAGTCTTTAAAGTAGATCGATAAGACCTTGTCGAGATGCTATTCATTTAGGAATTGGAGAGAAGAATCGACAGTGTACACAGCTTGCGGGAGAAGATAGGCGAAGATTTGAAGTGATACGACACCGCATGGTATAATTCCCCATCTTTCTCCTCTTGGGAGATGGAGGGGGCGACGCTCTTGATGGAGGGAAGCCCCCAGTCAACCATAGTCTACTCGGTAGAAAGCATCTAACCCTCCAATGTCATTGAAAGTGTCTGTCTAGGATCCTGCGGAAACAATCTAGCGCCTCATCCTCACAAGAAACTCTCATCAGGAATACCACAAAGTGGTCCTGGCGGCCATGGAGTGTACATGAGAGGGTTTGCTCTCGCGTGCTCGCAATCCTACTAACTTCATGCTAGGCGTTGGCGCCACTGCGAGTCCTCGCATCGCTGAATCCTTCGGTTGATGTAGGTGCAGGCCAGAATCATCACTGGCGTTCTCTCACTCGACAATCCTATGACACCAACCCCGGTATCAATCTCTCCTATGCCTATTACGGTCCCTATTACAGACATTCCTTTTCATCTAGACACCCATCCACCTAGTATGGGTAGCATTGCATCCGCTACAACACCAAAGATGGATGCATGCTATCGTTGATAATATATACAAGTAGTCTAGCGTCCTCTACAACAACAGAAGTCAGGCATTGACTTCGTGTTCTCATGGCAAGCATCCCTAAATCAAAACTCGGAAGTCCGTTCTCAAATACTACTTCCATAGAGTAATCGGCTAACTAGGACTGCCGGATGAGAGCTGAGATAGAGGAGGGCGAACCGCAGCTCAAAGGAGCGACTCGCAGGAACACTACGTCCCTCGCTATATAAGCTCAATTCTCACTTTCGCCTACCCCGCCTAGCTTACAAGCGGAAGTATTTCAGCTTGCTGTCTCACTAATCACCTCGAGACTTAACGCCTGCCCACTCCCCTGGTGTTGCCTCAATCTCTAACCAGAACCTTTTCTTTCCTACCCAGATAACCTAACCCCTTTCACGAACTCTTGGAGTTCAAAGTTAGCCGAGACTGCAAGCCAGGTCCTTCATCCGTTGGCCCGCGGGCTACCGGCTGCTCTGTTGACTGTGTTCTTCCGGGCCCGCTTCGGCGATCGCCGTGCTACTTACTGCCAGCCACCAGCCACGTGCGCTGGTTAATCGACATTGAACCAGAATCTATGTAGACTGCAAAGTATATTGATTGTGGATGCCCTAACGCCGAGCTGGGTTGCTTTGCCAGTGATGGGGAGGAGACAGAGTTTACTAGATCTCGCGGGGACACAAACCCACCTTTTGTAGTGAAGAATAGATGACCTCATCCGGCAAAAGAGAGATGGAGAGAGAGAGAGAGGGTGTGGGGGAGCTATCGGACCTCAGGTTTGCTGCATCCAGAACCTTCACAGCCAACTTAGCATGGAAACTTTTCAAACCGATGACCCTCGTTTTTATTGAAAACTGTTGTCATCCTCCCTGTGTCTCCGATTTTCTGCGCAAAGATTGTGTAAGTACGAAGGCCTTCTACACGCAGCTTTCCTGCCTCCCTCTGCGGGAGTGATGGTAGAGGGTCTTGGCTGAGTGTATTTAATGTCGTGAAGATGCCATGGATAAGATTCCACCTTGTTACAAGTGAATTCTAGGAGAGAGAGAGAAAGCGTGAGAAAGCGTGATGGAGCATTGTCCCGGCCTCCCCTCCGCTCCTGCCATGGCATACCGATCGAATTCCTTCACGTCGCGGACTTGATACCCAAGGAGTTAGGTACATAGACATTGATTTCAACAGGATTTGCGAAGCAAACGGTTATAATGCGTAAGAGCTGTTGTTTGGATTATGCCTTGTAAAAAATGTGCCTGCTATACTGTGCAAGTTATCTGATAGTCGTTATTGCTCATTGCTCATGCCTGCTTCACTCCACGGGACTTCTCCCACTCAGCTTTCTTCTTGTCAAGAAATTCGCCCTTCTCCACCCATACCTTCTCCAGCCACTTTGCTAACTCCTCGTCCGTTGTTGGGAGGTCTTCGATCGGGAATCGGCGGGCATGTACATGAAACTTGTAACCATGTGTGCGAGTCAGCCCGGGCAAACGAAGGGTATCCCACATGCTCGGGGCATCGAGGAATTTGCCGTTGTGTTCATATGCAATTGTGAAGTCGTAGACCGCTTTCACCTGGGGGGCCTGCCGAAGATGTTGTACGGTGGTAATAAATCCTTTGGTCCTCGGGTAGAGAGCATGCTTGGGCTGTGGTTTGTTGTTTTCTTTGCACCAGATCTTTGATTGCTCATATTTTTCTTTAGTGAAGCGCGTTGCCTCGCTGAAGCTTATTAACCCTAGAGATCAGGTCAGTTACACGCCAAAATATAGGGTGCGCCTAGAGAGCATGGCTATGAGGACTCTGCATTGTTACTTACAAGTGGGCCATCGCCTCTTAACGATGCCCGTAAAGATTCGGTCCAGCTCGCGCTTATCCTTGAGCCAGTTCCTCGTCACCATCGGCATGTCCAAAGCCCACAGGCCCCATCCCAGGAAAGGAACATAACGCAGTTGGATCTTGGCGAAGTAGCGAGCGCGACTGAGCATTCCCGCCTTAACAGCCAGGGCTTGAATCATGTAGAAATCGCACCAACCCACGTGGTTTGCCACCACCACCGCCGACTCGCCTCGGGGTAGAGCATCGCCTGAGAAGGTGATTTTCGCGCCGTTGAAGACTTCGAATGTCATCTGGATCCATCTCCAGATGGTCCATGCGATGGACGAGGAGAAGTCATAGGTAAGGTTCGGCGCTAGAGGCTTGAAAGGCAGAAGCAGCGAGAGGGCAGTGTCCGCCAGGAACAAACTAATAACCCAGGGGACGAGTAAGGTGAAGCCACGAACGTGAGTTACAGGAGAAGGTGACATATTCGGGCGTCTTAGCCGGTGGAGAACGTGGGAAACACTTCTTTGGTGTAATAATGAGATGCTGAGGTGCTCACGAGGATGAGGGGATCGGGGGACTTCGCGAACTGCCTTTCACGCGTGCGTCTGTTGAGAGGGGAACGAATTACATGCTTGATCCCTTCATGCGTTCTTTCTCCCCTCCTTGAGATCTTATGAGCAGGAGCACTTGAGAGCAAACGTGTGAGCAAAGAAGAGGTAGAGTTGATGGCCAGAATACTCTTTCCTAAAGCTTAGATGAGACCAGCAGCGCCGGGCGCACCTCACACATGCGCAAAGCACAAGCGAGTGGTGGCTCATATATTGGCTGCTGTTCATTTGTCGTTACAGGTAGGTCTTACTCCCCCACTCGTCATCATGGGTACAACTCCTGAGGTGAGACATCGGGGCACAGACAGCCCTGACCTCCTTCAGGCAACTTCGATGGTACTGATTTTGTGGAGCTTCGGCATCTACCAAGGGTCCAAGACGCAATTCGATGCTCAGGAAAGTATCGAAACCCAGCGAAAGAATGTGGGGAAAGAAGTAATTTGATGACGACAATGAGACAACAAAATGGGAAGTGGAAAGGCTACCACGGATGTGGAGCTGAAAACATGTGGAGGGAAGGTATCCTCTATTCCCAGACACAGGAGAACATTACTTCGTAGATTGTACAAGTATCAATTCATTTGGTGGTTCTCAGTCTCTCGTACAAAGGTATGAAGTAGCCGATTCGGCGATTGAGCACAATGCAATGCAGGATTAGCATCACAATTGATCAATTGCGCAACTTGGGCATTGTCTCTTGCCGTTATCTATTGTGAGAATACAGTTCAATGTCGAGTTTGAGGCTTGGACGACGGAATTGGCCAGCCAAATACTTCGTACATCGATGGACATGTTCTTGAATGTCGTATTGCTTCGTACTTCGTAAATGGATCAATTGATGTCTTTTTGCTGAATGTTGTCGAGTCGCAGTCGCTTGCGATTACCACCGATTGGTATCTAAAGATTTGGTACAAATACAAGTACACAGGTACATGAACAATCAATCCAGAAATCCCGCTCTGGCAGCAAGACAAAACATGGAAGCTGAGCGAAGAAGAGAAGCTTGATCCAGAAGCCCTTGCGCCGATAAGCATAACCGCGGACGCATGGGGGGCATCGGCAACTGGACTTGGCGACCTGCGAAGTACTCCATAGTTTTAGGGACCTCGCTGATCTCCCTGTCCTGTCCTTGCTCCTGGCTTTGGTTTTCCCGTTGGAAACGGGCAGAGTAGGGAACCAATCATCGATCTTGGACGACGTACTCCGTATGACATTTGATCACATCAGCTTCGTTCATTGTCCAGCTGAACATGAACAGAGCAGTTTCTTCCGCAGTCACTCTCAGTGTGCTTTCTCTTCTTCAGACGGACTCAAAACGTTTGCCCCCCCGCTCGCGTAGCCTCAACCGCAATTACGTCCATCCAATCAGCCCTACAAGTCTACAACGTAATATTACTACGTGCAGGAGGCGTAAAAGCTACGAGAACTTGCACTGCCTTCTCTGTCCCGGTCGAATCAATTCAAATACAAAACGGGGGTCGTACGTACTTCAATTGACACGGATGCCTGTTTCAACCCCTTGATCTCTACTCTGCTTCCACCTCATCAAGCCAATTATCTCCGTCGCATGACGGCTTCTCGTTTTGCCGGACGAAAATCATCAATCTGCACCAGGCATTGAGCCACCTGCTGGATATCGCAATCAAACACTTTCGCTCCTTCGAGTGTGATAGAATTCCAGTTTCCTCTCCATCGCCTCCGCCTCCGCCTCCGTGACATCGTCCATCCATTCCTCAAATAGCCCTCCGCCCGTTGTGCTATCGTGACGGGGCTCGCGTTTCTATCAACACTTGTAAGGTTGAAGCTTCTTTCTGCACCTTCTCGCCGCATCGCGCGTCCTTGCTAAAGAATGCCGTGGCCGGCTTCTTCTTAACTTCACTTCGTACATTGTCGTATCTGACATCTGAGATCATGTCTGACCCAGGCGCAGCGTATCCATCCCCGCCGACCACTGCGGAGCCCTTCAAGCTCCGCAACGCTCCTGCGGGGTCAAATCGCAAGAACCATCCACCTGCAACACTCTCCATGTCATCCGAGTTGTACACAGGCAGGGACCCGGTTCAAGGCTCCTCGCAAGGCAGCGCCATGGATCAGGGCGATGATAAGGGCTCATCGTCACTAAACCTTGGCTTTTTGAAGACACTTACCGAGAGACGGAAGAATCGAGGCATGTCTGCGAAACTACAATCTATCATTGTCCCCCAACTGCATTTTTAGTTCATTGAATACTGACATCCTCTGTCTTTTGCAGATGGAAACGTTCCGAAACGACGAGGGCCGAAACCAGACAGCAAACCTGCCTTGACACGGAGGCAAGAGCTAAACCGACAGGCTCAGCGGTATGAACATCCACCTATCCACCCCCGCTTGCCCCATCCTCCCCATCAAGCGCGCTGGGACCACGGCCACAATACAGTTTCCCGGGCTGACATTATGTTTCTCGCATAGAACCCATCGGGAGAGGAAAGAATTATATATCAAGGCGCTTGAGGATGAGGTATTAAGACTAAAGGAGATATTTAGCAATGTTTCCAATGACAAGCAAAAGCTCTCCGAAGAGAATAAGCAGCTCAAAACCGTTCTCGCCCAGAACGGCATCAATGTCGGCAGCTCCGATGACGCACCACCACGGAGTGCCAGCGTCGGCTACACTTCAAGTCCCAGCGCTTCAGGCCATAGCTACGCACACGGCTCCCATAGCGCCTTCACACCACCGCTCACCTCGCAGTCTTCTGCACCCTCAATATCACCGTCGACTCAGGTGCCGCCCCATTCCCACCGAAATCCGAGCCCAAACCCGATTATGGCCGGGAATCAACTACGAAACTTGACGGCCCAGCAATTGCAAGCCAATCGAGGCGTAGATTATGAACAGGCAGGCATTGACTTCGTCTTAACGTACGAGAACCACCCCTCGAAGGCCTACCTATCACCTCCCCCGCACGAGAACAATTGAAGGACCAGACATGTCACCCAACCAATCCTTGCCACATCATCTCGTGTCACTCACTACCTACCACGCGCTTAGCCTTTCCCACAAGGGCAATGGTGAAGAAAAAACCAGAACCCCTTGCCAATGGAAACAGGATAAAAAAAAAAAAAGAGAAAAGAACTGCGTGGGTTTGCTAACAATATCGATCCCTTTATTGCTTGTATAGTCTCGAGAAACCATGCATGCACCATCTTCCGTGGCTGCTAGAGAGATCAGCGGACGCAGGCGGTGAGCCTTGCGGTCACGCTCTCATGGCATCCTGCCCACCGGAGCCATTTCCGGAGTTAACGCCAGACATTCCTTTCGGATATACCCATGTCAACGGAGATTTGAGTTCGGGCCAACGCACATGGGAGCTTAGCAAGGGAGATCTCGCGACTCTCCTAGACCTCAGCAAGAGGTTAAACTTAGACGGGGAGATTACACCCGTCATGGCCTGGGGAATGGTCCTGGGCCACCCAAGATTGAATGAGCTGAAACCCGACGACTTTGTGAAGTTGGCAGAGGAGCTCAAGACGAAAGTTCGGTGTTACGGGTAAGTTACTGCGGTCTTCCTAGAATGCGGCCAAAGAACAACTCTAATGCCGGGTCCTGTAGGTTCGGCGCCGTCATGGAGGAATTTGAAGTGAGGGATGCTCTGGAATGTGTCTTTTCCACCAAGCCTGAAATCATGTCTTTTTGACTTTAGTCACTCGTTGGGTTTCTGGGCGTTTACGGACGGAGAATGCTTTCAGTTTTCAAGGGCTGGTAAGGATGAATTAAGGGATATACGGAAGAAAAAACCATCTTGCACATGTGTATAATGTCCAGACTATTGGGAAAACCGCTTGTTTTTCTTTACCTGATCCCGTTCTTGACATGGTTCAATTATTGTAATTACGTTCGTGTAATGTGGAGTCTTGCCTTGGATCTGTCTCCCTCGTTTTACAGTCCTCACATCGGCGCTGACAGTCAGATGCTTAGCCACTTGTGGCTGCGTTTGCCAGATGGATACAAGTGCCTATTTAACACTGTGCTCTGGTACCTATTTCTGGGCTCAAGTTGCCCCACACAAACTTTGACCTCACCCCGCCATCCACACGAATTTTCAAATAATTGCGTTTCAGCGGACAGGAAACGCCTTTCTAGACACCAGCGGCAGTATCCAACCCACCCATCATCCCACCCTTGTCTCTTCCTCATTTCGTCGCCAGAACAGTATCTTAGACCTCGGTGATATTATCCTTTGTATACAAAAAAGCCACCAGAAATATGACCGCCAAGAATCTCGTCGACCTTGTCGACAGCTGCCCACCCGACGATGGTTGGGGCTGCAGCGTCACCTCCGACATCACTCTAAATGGCGTTCCCTACGCCCCCTTCTCCAAGGGCGACAAGCTGAGCCGTGTCGCCGACTGGTCATCAGATTCCAAGGATCGTGATGGTAGGGGAAGGGGCCAATACGGCAGGAACTATCGAGGTATGTTATGCTGTCCAACCCTCGGTGGCATCATCTGATCGCGTTCGATGCCCATCTTTTCTTCCTCTGTTTTATTTCTTTTGCGCGACTACTAACCATTCTGCCCTAGACCAACAAGTTTACGGCGCGAACCACGCTGTCATTTTCAACGCTCCTCCCACCGAAGACGAGGGAAGCTTCTCAGTCGTTAGCAACACCAGGGACACTGGCAAGACGAGGTATGGCCGAGGAGCCGTCTTCACGAGAGGCCGAGGCCAGCGCGGTGGCAGGGGTGACAGGACATCGGGACGACAGACACTTCAGCGCTCCGGCCGTGGAGGCCAGCAAGGCTACGGCTACCAGGGTAGACAGAGCGCCGGTGGCAGGGGCCGTCGGTTTGGCTGGAGGGATTACGACAAGCCTGCCCGCAACCGCGACGCGAGTATTAACGTCAAGGCCGAGTGGCAACTTCTCGAGGAGATCGACTTCAACCGACTTTCGAAGCTTAACCTCGAGGCTGATGAGGGCGAGGATGTAGAGAGCTATGGTTTCCTCTACTACTACGACCGATCTTACGACAAGCCCCCTGTCAAGGGCACCGAGAAGCGACTTACTGCTCTGGACCGTGCTGCGTACAACGTCACTACCTCGTCTGATCCTGTGATCCAAGAACTGGCCGAGAAGGATGAGGCGACCATTTTTGCCACCGATAGCGTCCTCTCCATGCTCATGTGTGCGCCCCGATCGGTATACCCCTGGGATATCGTCATTGTCAGACAAGGAAACAAGATCTTCCTTGACAAGAGAGATAATGCCGCTCTTGATATGGTCACCGTTAACGAGAATGCTGCGGATGCGCCCATGGATGCCGCGGACGGAAACAAGGACACCATCAACCAGCCCGGCGCCCTCGCTGAGGAGGCCACCTACATTAACCACAATTTCGCCAACCAGGTTGTGCTCGAGAACGAGAGCAACAAGGTCAAGATGCCTAACCCCAACCCCTTCTATAACGCCTCCGAGGATACCGACCCCCCAGCCAGCAAGGTCTACAAGTACAGGAAGTTCGACCTCTCCACCAATGAGGATAACCCCGTCTACTTGATCGTCCGAACCGAGCTCGACGCGGTGCAGAAGAACGCCATTAGTGGTGAAGATCAGTTCCTCGCCGTGAAGGCGCTGAACGAATTCGATAGCAAGGCTCCTGGCAGCGGTGGCGCTCTCGACTGGAGGGCCAAGCTTGTTAGCCAGAGGGGTGCTGTCGTGGCTACTGAGATGAAGAACAACAGCTGCAAGCTTGCCAGGTGGACCGTCCAGAGCATCCTTGCCAAGGCTGACCAAATGAAGCTTGGGTAAGTAGAGATGATATTCATACTTTCTTCTCCTGTCATGGAATAATAGCTAACGAATTTTATAGATTCGTTTCCCGAGCCAACCCCCGTGCCAACGATAAGCACGTTATCCTTGGTGTAATCGGCTGGAAGCCTCGGGATTTCGCCACGCAGATGAACCTGTCGCTCTCCAACGGTTGGGGTATCGTCAGGACCATCGCCGACATGTGCTTGAACCACGGCGGCAACAAGTTCATTCTCGTCAAGGATCCTAACAAGCCCATTGTCCGCCTGTACGAGATACCCGCGGGCTCCTTCGATGAGGATGATGAGGATGGACACGAGGAGGCTGAGGCTGAGGAGTAGAAAGGGAAAGATTGCATAATCAGGAATAGAAGGATAAAAAAGAAGTGAAAAGGGAAAGAAAAGCAGGGGAGGTCTATGGTTATTTTGTTTTCCTTTTTCCCTTGTTTATCAGTTGGGGGGATAGGGGCATGCTAAAGGGATCTTTATTGTAATGATAGGATCGGGAGCTGGTTGGCTCTCTTTAAGTTAGACGTCATGGAACGGAAACAAAGCGTTGATATGCCCTTTCTATCCCCGACAGAAGGGCTCTCGATACAGCACGATTAGTTTGGCAAACCACACGAAGCGTCGACGAAGTGAATAGAGAGCCAGGAAATAAATATAGGTCTCGACTCTAGCGTAAGCTTTGTCCTTGTTGGTATTCTCTAACCAGTCTCGGAATATAAAGTAATGCCCATCCACCCGAAATTCCCCAAAACGCCATGCCTAACAAAATATGCAACTTTTTTTTTGTTCGTGTGAAAATCGTATTTCATAAGATTCCCGTAGGCCTCTTGAGGAAGTCATCATCATTCACGGCAACGTTTTCCCCCCTCCCCTGATGTGGGTGAAGGGATTAGAACCTCTCCTTCATCCTCGCGGCCACGGCCCTGAGGGAGTTGTACACCTTGCCGGGCTGCTTGCCGAGAATGAGGTTGCAGACGGAGGCACGGGCGATTTGGACGTTCTTGTATCCACCGAGGATGTGGATCTAGAGAGTATATGTTAGAGGGAAAAGATTTCAAGAGTTGGAGAAAAGAGTGGCAAAGCCTGCGCGCCGAGAGGCTCATCGTACCTTGGTATCTGCTAGTACAATACGGGTCCTCGTGGCGTTCTCGATCGCGAACTTCGTCTTACCATCCTTGCCGGCGATACGGCCGATAGCGCGGGCAAGGTGATCTCCCTCTGAAAAGTATGTTAGCGGAACAAAAGTCAAAACAAGATGGGCACTGGGAGGATCATACGCAAAGTCTTCACATCCTTGACCTCAAAGGTTTCTGTCAGAAACATGTTAGCAGCCTTACTTCCCAGAGAAAAATAGGGCCCTAGGTCCGTACCAATATAGAGGTCGTCCAGCCTCAGAAGCGCAATAGCATCGTCGACATCAAACCCACACACAAACGCCGTGAGGAAATCCACGCCCCTCTGAATAGCCTCGGGATCGGTGGTATGCTTGCTAGTTCTCAGCTCGACGGCCTTGCGCTTCACGTTCATGCGGACCTGGAGCTTGAGGTGTTCGACTAAGGGAGGGTAGATGCGAGGCCACTGGGACTTGAGGGGAGTCATTCGATGAGGCGGTATCCGGACCTGGCGGTTCTGAACGCGGGCGGCCATGGACTAAGGGCGCTGGAGTCAGCGAAAATACTCAAGCAGGGGCAACTCTATTCCCCAAAGCCGCTGCAACGCAAGACAAAAAGAACCGTCTTCGGGCAGAACCTACAAGATCCTTCGCCGGGGCAAACTTGGGTCGGCCTTCTTCGTCAACAGCATCTTCCGCCACAGAAGCATCGGCGTCTACAGCCATGAGATCTAGGGCAGGCAAGGTATCGTTGGTCTGGAGGATGAGGTCTTCGTCGAAATCGGCTTCGGGGAGCGGGATGTCGGCGGCGGCAGGTGGGGCATCCTGCGCCTTCTTGAGGGCGGTGGGAGCGGGCATGTTCGTTTTCTCCGTGATGGTTCTTTCTGTACAAGCGGCGTGGTAGCGATCAGATTGAGCGTGTTGCGGCTGTCGGGGACTGGTGGAAGCGCCGTGGTGGTATGTTGACTAGGCGGTGGGATTCTGCAATTGGGATGTATCACCGGCTTCTCTTATCAAGACCCAACGTGAAAAAAAAAAAAAAATTCGGTCAATTTAATCGGTGGGCGACAAAAGCTGCCAATTTCGGTGGGGAAATTTTTAAGTGGGTCAAGAAGCCTTGACAATTGTACATAGTGTGAGTAGTGGATTTAGACACAGTGGCTTATTTCAGCCACAAGCCACAAGCCACCAGCATTGGAGCTTCCTACATAAAACACATGAAATATTGACAGGGTCAAAGCCAACGCTGCCAGCTATTGACAGCTGGTGGACTGCAGCCCAGCCAAAGTACCAGCTTCATGGGAGTCCGGTAGTGACGTGACTTAGTTTACCTTACTTTCATGCACCTCAATCATGATTGCCTGTGATAAGCTAAACTTCTTACAAAATTTCTTGCGTCGCCTTCACATCATCACCACCACGGAAGCCACTGCTGTGAACAAGCTTCGTTTCTTGTTCTATTTACCCTGCCAATCTATTCGAATCAGGTCTGCAATTTCTCAGTCTCTGGATATCTGCGACCTCAGGGCACAATGATGCTCCACCATGCCTAGGGGTATTCTCCCAGTCTTTGGCCCCCTCCGAGTCCAGCGAGCTCCCTCGAGTCTATCCCCGTCGCTCTCCCTCGGCCTGCTCCCTCGCCGCTCTCCCCAACCCAGACCATGTCTCTTTCGACATATACGACACATTAGGCCGTTGATCTCTAGCTCCTCACTTACCGCCCGCTCCTTTCTCGACTCGACACGGACTGCGGGGGGGCAGGGGGAACTTCAGGCGCCTCTTCTTGGTGCCGGTCTTCTCCTACCCGTCGCATCTAGGATAGAACCTCGTCTTGGACTCACACCTCCACTGACCGCATCGATACTATCAAACGCTGGAAGAATACCTCTGCGTATACGACCTCTAACATGGCGGAGCATTCGTACCGTTTCCCGGCCTGGCCGGGTTGGCATCAGGGGAGTCCACCAAAGCTCAAGGCCTCCTCGGCCTCCTCCCCCACAACGAAAACCGAATGAACCACTCCCAGAAAATCGTAGCACAGATCCCGCAAATCCTTCCGCCCCCGAGCACGAATCTATCGCCTCTTCCATTTCGAACTACTTACACCTTCCCCATCGACCGACAAAGGAGGAGCTACTCGCCGCAGCCAATGGATTCTGGGAACGCTTCAAAGTCCGCTTCAAATGGCTTTCTATACGGAGCATGCGTCCTTGGAACGCCGATGAGTGGGGGGCTTTTGTATCGTGGTTCATCCTAAGCCACCTCGTCTGGATCCTTGTTGGGACAACCACTTTTGTTTCCATCCTTATCTTTTCTATTAATACTGTCTTTGCGCAAGGTTCGTCCTTTTCCGTGTTATTCTTGTTTTCACCACAGGTATACAAGCGGCATGCTAATTAGGGCATAGAAACATTGGCGAGATGGATCGGCGACTACCTGACGAAATCGGCCGGCATAACGGTGGTATTCGAGTCCGCCATTGTACCAAAGTGGAAAGATGGTGTGATATCCCTTAGAAAGGTTTATGTTTCGCGCCGACCAGGGCAGGTCCAATCTTCCGTCAGCAAGGGATCCTCTCCCGATACCGGCGCTGCCGCCGCCTCCCAGCACGGCTCCGATGACGAGCACCACGAAGTGGTCGAGGATGATGGGAACTATACACAGTTTGATCTCACTATCGACACCGTTAATGTGACGCTTTCTTTTCTCAAATGGTGGAACGGAAAGGGACTCCTCAAGGATGTGGAGATCAAGGGAATTAGGGGAGAAGTTGACAGGAGGTCTGTTATTTGGTCGGACGATGACCTGGATCCTTTCTCCTATCGACATGAACATCAACCCGGCGATTTTGAACTTGACTACTTTAAACTCGACGACCTCCGTGTTACGGTTCATCAGCCTGAGGGCTTCAGACCTTTTGAGGTCTGCATCTATTCCTGTGAGCTTCCCCAGCTCCGCAAGCGATGGTTGTTCTACGATCTGTTATCAGCAAACAATGTCTCGGGATCGTACGACGGCTCTCTCTTCACCATTCATACACCTCTCGTGGACACCCTCGGGAGGGAAGAGAACACCTTTGGAAACCCAGCAGCCTGGAAAAAATCCACACGATTGAGGATCGATAACCTGAGAATCGACCATCTCAACCGGGGCGTATCCGGACCATTCGGTTGGATCTACGAGGGCAGGGTTGACATAATGGCCGACGTTATGTTGCCTAGCGACGAGAATACAGGGCTAGGGAAGGTCGTGTCCGACTTTTATGACCAGTTGGACGACCTGGTGACTTCAAACAGAATCCGCCTGCTCCGAAAAGCTGGGATTGAAGATGAATTTGACCTAGGAATCACTTTGCCACCGAATGAGCCATTCGAAAGACCGGGAGCTCATATCCCGCAGGAGCTTATCCCCGAAAAGGACCTGTCAGAACCGGACGCGACCGAAGAGCGGCAGTACCTTGTCTTTGACATCCGAATCCGACTCAACGATGTCAAGGCTGCTGTACCACTTCTCACGAACGACATATCTTACGTAAACCAGGCTCTCGTACGCCCCATCGTCGCGTACATCAACTCGCGACGCACTTACATTCCTATCACCTGTCGATTCGCCAAGCGGCGCTCGGACTTTGACGGAAGTTGGACGACCTTTGACTCCGGCCTCATGGACGATCTCTCAGCCGAGACGTATACCGCTTTTGCACGAAATGTCGAGAATCAGCAGAATCGAATACGACGACTGAAGAAGGTCGGTGGCTGGACCCTGTCTTTGCTAATCCATGCTATATGTGGCGGCATGGCAGGAACTGTCGTCTAAACGCCCATCACGCCCATCTCTACTCCATCATGTAATTTTCCACTTTCATCTCCTTCGGCTAGCGCACTGCCTATGCCTTTGCTGGAGGGTTCCTTGTGTTATAAGGGGGCTATATTTCTCTTGACAAGTTGTCATTCCCCTTTATTTTACTTCAGCTATTTGCACGGCGTGTAGCCTTTCGTTTTCCTCCCCCGATATGCAGGCAGTCGCTCTGGCAAACATCGCTCGGCTTCCGAACAAATGAATGCAGCGCCGAATGCCGCCACGAAACTTGTGTGTGTTTACGGCGGGAAAGGGAAAGATCCAAAACAAATCAAAAGAGGGAAAAGGCTTCATGAACCTAGCATATGTTTTTTAAACTTGGCTTCTGGATAGGCGTTCGGGTCAGAAAAAATGGAGGGCACAAACAAAGGGGGACTTTACTCTCGGAATACATCTTCCGCACTTAGACCTGTAATATTAACATCGATCGATACCCGCCAGCTTCTTTTTATAACAAGTTGTTGTCTCCGTTTACACTTTTTTTTTTTCCTTCTTTTCTTTCTTTCGTTCGTTCTGAGTCGGGCACGCGAACCCTGAGCTGAAATCGAGGCGGAGCTTTCGGCACATCTTGGAGAAGGATGGGCTGCTCGCCTCACTTTTTGCAAAACACCCACACATCTGCGCGCAGGTCACCGCCAATGGTTGTCCTCGAAGACAAGCTTGAGCATAGCTAGTGCCATATCGCATCGGTCCTCCTTTGGCCCACATCCGCACCCGATTCCTCTTTCCGAGCCTCTGCCAGCCCAACCTTCGCTTCCCCAGACTTGTGTTTCGTCTAACTTAGCTCGCATATGCTTGGGCAGACTAACATCCTCCCGCATTGCAGGGCGACGAGAAACAGAACCCTTCCTGCATTGCATCTGTCATTTGCCCGCTCTCGAGTCTCCACGTCGAGGAATACCCCGCATTTCTTTCCCATCTGGGGTCTATGATGACAGTTTTACAGATCCGACTCCGAGTTGTCGATGAGGCTGACAACCCGCATCTTACAAAAGCGATCTGGACTTTGGTCGGGCAGCCCTCTTGAATCTTGTGGGGGCTGTGCAATGCATAAGAATTAGAGTGTGGGTGAGCGATGTTGTCGTCATCGTCCGGAGCGTGGGTGTTGTCCCCGCTGCTCTCTTGGAAAGGTAAGATCTCACATGTCGAGGCAGCGGTATATCCGTCTTCTCAGAGGGTTGGGGGACGAATATAAAGCAGACCGGCACGGCGATTTTGCTCCATTTTCCAACATTTCCAACACTTTGCTTTCTTCTCTTTATATCTTCTCTTCAACTTCGTGAAATGTATCACTCTCCTGAAAGTGGAATTTACATCTTCCATAAGGAAGCAGCTCTCCCAAGCCTACCAACCGCTAGTTCTCTCAATATAGCCTCGTTCCATAACACAATCGAGTGACCTAATACAGAACCAAACCCTCGGGTCCCGTGGCCGCATACCCTTGAAGCTGAAAGACGCCCGGACTCCTGAAACGTTGCGCCACCACGATGTCTACTTTAGTCGTTCCCGCGAAGCAGCTTAGTGTTTTTGGCGCTCCGCTAAGTGAGAGTCCCAAATTAGCTCCTCTGAGGCTACCCGCATCTGCAATCGGACCGCCGCGCGGCTGGTCCCTTGGGGGTGAATCAAGTCAGGTTGCAAGTCTTTTCCCGTCTCCCACAGGCGTTGTACTCTCCGTGGTGCTTCAAAATCCTAACACGCTTCGTGGTTTAGCCGATTTTGGTGCCAGAGTATCTTCTTGATTTGACCTTTGTCCTCGACTGGATCCACGGGTGCTCGTCAACTCACTCGTATTGCCGTGAGAAGGCCATCCCACTACACGACAGGCCAGTCGATGACATCTTCCTCATAGATTTGGAGGATGGCTACAGAATCGTCAAAGGCCCTCCGAAAGCTTCCTACATTACCTTGAGCTACGTTTGGGCCGAGGAACCCTCTCCCACTGAGCCACCCGTGCAAGTGGGAGAACAAATCCCCGCCGAGAGCATGAACCAACTCTTCTTGGACGTATCACTCGTGTCCCAGAGGTTAGGATTCAGATATCTCTGGATCGACAGATACTGCGTCGCCCAGCACGACAACAAGCTCAAGCATCGGCAGATCCAACAAATGAGGATCGTATACCGCAATGCGGAGCTGTGCATCGTCCCTTTGGATGAGGACGCCGAGCATAAAGGACTGCCGGGCATCTCGAGACCACGGGTGGCATGCTGCCTCAAGAAGAAGCCCACGTCCGTGAGGCGAAGGTCCTCCTCGACTGCGGAACCGGACACGTATCTCTGGCGTCTGCGCTCCGCGAGCCAAGGCGTAATCACTCCCATGTGTGCTTCGACGGCAAGCGTGCAGGCCCTCATCAAAACGTCTAAGTGGTGGCGGCGTGCGTGGACATACCAGGAGCACTGCCTTTCGAGACGATGTCTCGTCTTCACCGACGAGCAGCTCTATTTCGAATGCGACATGGGCATATGCAGGTGCGAGGCTGATACAAGAACTGGGACAGAAGTCCCAGGCATCTTTCAAATCATGAGACCCTCCCCGTATTCTACCATCCGCATCGACAACGTATTCCGCGCCTATCGAGAGCACCTTGAGGAATATTCCATGAAGGAACTCCGCCACGAGAACCAAGCCCTCAACGCCCTCGTCGGCATCGTGAAGCACTACCAAAGCCTCCATCCGTTCCTCCACCAGGTATCCGGAATCCCCTTCTTCGCGTCAAAAAGCCCATCGGACAAGCCCAAGTCCTCCTCCGAGGTGGTGGGAGGCTGGTGGAGCGAAGCAGATGAAGCCCGCATGTCCCACGCTGTCCTCCCTTACTCCCTGGCCTGGGCCCACCGCTGCATGGGCTGGTGCGAAAGCGACCTCTGCCCCCGCCCGCGAGACATGTTTCCCAAGTGGTCGCCACTGGGCTGGGCCGGGGAGGTCACGTACGAGTGGGAGGGCGGCGTAAAGTTTCACGACTTCCAGCCTTTTGCGCGGGACTTTGCCTTCAAGGTCAACGGTTGCATGGTGCCCTATCAGGGGCTTTACTCGAGCGCCGAGTACGCCCGGCTGAGCCAGTTTGAGAAGGACACCTTTAGTCCCCGGATGCTGTCCATGAAGACGATTTCTCTTCCGACGGATGCCATCGCTAAGCTTACGTATAACAACAGTTCGTTCTTCTGGACTATTTACGACTTCCCGGCCGAAGTGTCCTTCAGCAACAGAGTTGAATCGCCTAAGCGCGTGAACAAAATGCTGAGGACGGGGGAACTGCTGGCGTTGCTTCTCGGAGACAACAGCGTCTGTATGAACGGATCGCAACCGAGGACTTTGCTGCTGATTGTCGGGCGGCCAGAGTACGATAGTGAGGAGGCAGCATACATCTGCACTCGCCTGGGCGTGTTGAGTGTAGAGTGCCATCTGAGGGAGATAGGGGAGTATTTTGCCAAGGGTAAGAGAGACTTTTCTAAGTGGGATAAGTTTATCCTTCAGTGATGGCCGAGTCTAGAAGGTAGGTAGAGACGGATCTCACAGTTATGGTTCGCTCCTTTTAGGATTGCCAAGGCCGAGCGTCGGTCTTTCGGGTCTGTCAGTTTTGCTAGAGTATTAGTGGGATCAGCAGTTATAAGCCCGGATTTCTCAATTGAGAATGCTGTTCGAGTCTTGAAATGACCTACTCCAACTAAGTGATGTCTAGGGAGGAACCGTTCTCTAGACAGACAAAAGCAGGCCACGAAGATGAACCAAATATACATCAGGGATGGAAATGAGATGAAATCTAGCGTCTGGCATCACCAAGTTCTGAGGATCAAAAATAACAAATAAAAATATAAAACGAAAGAATGGTAAGAGGGAAAGGAGGGGAAAAAAAGATCCTTGCGCCTACCGGGACTTGCACCCGGGTCTATTAAATTCGTTAGTTCAACTGTAGCTTCACGGTTTCGAACAGAGTACACTTACCTCCTCCTTGGGAGGGAGGTGAATTAACTTCTATTCGACAGACGCTTTGTCTTGTTTCTGTTGCTGAAGGAAGATTTAATCCTGGCCTATATATCTTCATCCCTGCTTTACGGCTTGGGACATCTCGAGCGGAAGGAGGCACTGGGCGAGGCCGAGGGTTGCTGCTTCGTTAGAGAATCATCTCGTATCGATTCGGGGCGGTCTGCAAACGGAGCCCTGCGAATCATGTATGTGGCCAGCCAGTTAGGACTCACCCTTCAAGCCCCAGCCTTCAACTACCCGCGGGCCCAACCAGGACTTAATCCAGCACTCTCATGCCAGTATCCGCTCAAGTCTTGATTCAAGAGAGGTTAAGAGAGGATGCGGTTCGAAGCAGACTTCGCGTACAACTCGCAACTCGCAGAGGGCGAACCGGAAAGAAGGAACAAAAAACAGCCAACGCCGCAGCTTCTCGCCATTGGGGTATCCAGTGTCTACAAATTCGACACACGTATATATATATATATATATATATATATAAACAGAAATTGGCCTAGGCCAAGCCAACAATGCCATCATCTTAGCCGCCCATAGTGTGTGTGTACACAAACAAGCTTCTGAACTCAGCAAAGCCCTCGCTCCTTGGACTGAGCAGACATGAAACACTTCCCTCAGAGAGAGAATCCAAACATTGCGCCCGAGAAACAACCAACCCGCCCAGTCATATATGTGTTTGTATGCGTGATATGTATGTAGTGTATCAACAAATCGCTTGATGCCCCAGAGAGACAGAATTACATGCAGAAGATACTCAAGTACGCCCGCGAATGCGAAGATATGAACAGGTTGAAGAGAAGGGTATGGTAACAATCCCGCGTCGAAGAAATGGACGCAGGCGAGAAACTCAAATAAATGTAGATAAACGGGGGGGAAAGATCAAATGATACATCAAAAACCACGAACCAGCAGCTAATTCAAAAAGCCAACGCATAAAAACAGTTCATACAAAAATAAGTCCGCGCAAAAAAGCAATGCCCAAGCTCCAAAACCATAGGGTATCCAACAATCAAGAACCTGTAAGTTTCCTCCACCAACTGCTCCTTGGAGTGGTATCCATGAAGAGCGAGTTGCGGTTGCTGTGCCTCCGCTCATCGCTACCGTCTGAACCACCACGCCTCTCCCTCTCGCGCTCCTCATGACGATGCCTACGGCGGCGCTGCTCATCAGCGTCTCCACGATGGTATCGGCGACGAGAGTCGTCGTCTTCCGTTTGATGGGAGCCTTCCATCTGCCCATCCTCCGGTGGTGGAGGCGCGTCCGAGTGCTCCTTCACCCACGACGAGGTACCCGAATGGGGCCAAGAGGATTGCGGGCTGCTCTTGGACAGCTTTCTACTGCTTTGGCGGTAGACGCCCTCGTCTCCGGATGCCTCGGTCCGGCGATGGCTTCGTCGATGGTGCTCGTCGCCTTCCCGAGCAGCCCGCCTTGCCTCCCTCCTTCGCCGCCTATCCGCATCTTCTTCTGAGGTCTCCAAGGTATGAGACCGATGGCGACGTCTCCTATCCCCATCGCCACCTGAGGCGGCATCACGCTCCCGACGGAGTCGTCGGCGCTCTGCGCGCCTCGCCTCATCTTCCTCTGCGGCACGGCGTTCGGCTTCCTCACGCTGGCGCGCAGCACGTCGCTCAGCACGCCGAGCTTCCTTCTCCTCCTGTCGCTGAGCCTCAGCTTCCTCCTCCTGTTTGCGTCTCCTCTCGCGTCTTGCCGCGTCCTTGGCCCGGCGTGCTTCCTCTGCAGCACGTTCAGCTGCCTCTCTCTCTCGCTCGGCCCGTCGCGCCGCTCGTCGTGCGCGTCGGGCTTGGGCTTCAGCTTCCGCATCAGTCATCTCGCCATCGTCGACAGCCTTGCCATTGCGATCGCCGCGACCTTCATCGTCGGTCGCGGCATAGACACTACGGCGTCGATCCGACTTTCCGGTCGCAGGAGTAGAGCGAAGGCTAGTAAACAAACCCGAAAACGCGGATTTCTTCGCGCTTGACGAGGATCGCTTCATCGGGGTTCTTTCCACGAACTCGGCATCAGTCATAACCACATCATCATCGGGTTTGGCCTGCGAAACAATGGCTGTTAGTCCATGCGATTACAAATTAAGATAACAATGTAGTAGCGGGGATGATGCGTTACCCTTGATCGATGACGGCTGGATTTCTCGGGGTTCGATTGATCAACACCGAGGATCTTCGCCGCCTTGCTAGACATGGCAGGCTCGGGAGGAGGCGACATGAGGCCGCTAGAGACATCGACCGAATGGCGCCGAGACGATTTTGTCGAGGAGCGCTTCTTGTCGCGCGTCGATGTCGACCGCGTGATAGGGGGCGTGCTGAACATTCCTGTGCTTCGCGACTTGGGGGCCGGAGTCTTGGGGACGCGTTCTGCTTTGTCGGATGACGATCCCTTCGATGACTTCTCCTCTTTCTCGGGCGCAGATCGCTTCGACTTGTCGGATTTAGATTTTGACGATCTCTTTTCCTCCCTTCGCGGCGTCCCTGCGGTCCACATGTTCCAAGATGATGATCCGTCGCGGTTTATCTTGGGGCGCTCTCTTCGGGATTTAGATTCGGAGGAAGGAAGCACCGGTGCGTCGGGAACGGCCGGAGGGACTGGTGGTTCTTCTGGTGCAGGAGGAGGTGGTGGTGGTGGTGCGGAGGCCGCAGATTTCGACTTCTTCGACTTCTTGGGCTTCTCGGGCGAGTCGACCACTTCAACAAACTCGTCCTCGTTAACGTCAGTTGGGAAGCTTCCAGGCAGCTCCTTTGACTTTTTCGACTTGCGCTTCGATTCAGATGGAGGCGCGGGGGGTGGAGGCGGAGGAGGAACGTCGATGAATTCTTCTTCGTCATCTACAACCTCAAAGGCTTTGAGCTTGTCAGCAATTTTGCCCCCTACGGCTTTCCGAGACTTTGCGCCTCGAGATGTTGATTGCCCATCCATGTCTTGAGCTGTAGCACCTTCCAGAATCAGCATGAGTCAGCAAAGCAATTTCGGAAGTTACCGAGCGCCCCCTTTTCACTTTGCATGCCAAGGCACCAGCTTGCAGTAAAGTCTGGGGATTTTGCGGGGCGGTAGCAGGGAAAGGATGGTTAAGGTTGCAAACATACCCTTTTTGGATTTCTTGGCGCCCCAGATGTCGAAGGCATCGTCCTTGGCGGCGGCGGCAGCGGCGGCGGGCTCATCAGCGAGAAGTTCTTCAATTTGCTCGGGAGTGAGTTCAACATCATCGAGATCGGCGTCGGGCTCCTTGTCTGCGCTCTTGCTCTTCTTGTCCTTTGATTTGGATTTGGCGCTCTTCTTGGACTTCTTGCTCAATTCGGCTGCCTCCTTCTCCCGCGCCGCCTCTTCCTCGGCTTCCTTGGCAGCGGCAGCAGCAGCTTCGGCTTCAGCAGCTTCGGCGGCGGCGGCGGCGGCGGCGGCCTCAGCCTCCTCAGCCTCCTTTGCAGCAGCCTCTTCAGCGCGTTTGTTAGCCTTCTCGGTTAAACGGTCGAATTTCTCTTGGTCGCGGCGAGTCAACTTCTTGCGGCCCTTCTTCGTCGTGAGGGTAGCAAGTTCCGCCTCCTCCGCGGCGATCTCTGCCTTGGCGCGCTCCTCTTCAGCTTCTCGCGCCGCTTGCTCTTCAGCCTCCCGTGCAGCTTGTTCTTCAGCCTCCCTCGCGGCTTGCTCCTCCGCTTCCTTGGCTTCCCTGGCCGCCTGCTCCTCAGCAAGACGCGCTTCCTCGCGCGCCTTCTCCTTCTCAGCCTTCTTCCTCTCCTTTTCCTTCTCCTTCTCTAGCTTCTCTTGCTCCTTCTTGCTGAGTTTCGGCTCCTTAACCTTAGACTTAGACTTGTCCTTATCTTTAGACTTAGACTTAGAAGAATCTTCAGGTTCATCTGGCTCCAAAGTAGGTGGCGTAGGCACAGGTGGGATCTCGGCGTCTTTCTTGGACTTGGACTTTTTAGACTTCTTTGAGCTTGTAAAAGCCCACTCGTCGTCTTCTGCCTTGTCGTCCTTGTCCTTGGTCTCTTCCATGGCGTCGGGCTGTACAGAATCCAGGTCGTCTCCGTCCGCAACTTCAACAGGCGCATCCTTAGACTTCTTCTTCTTCTTCTTCTTGTCCTTAGATTCGTCTGCAGGTTCTTCGATTACGTCCGGTTGACAAGGGGTGTCCGCAACTACATTGGCGTCCGCCGGAGGATCTTCGTCAAGGGATATGAGGTCTTGCTTCTTCTTCTTGTCTTTCTTAGGAGCTTTCCATATGTCCCACGGATCATCCGCCTTAGTCTCTTCAACTTTTGGCGGCTCCTCCGTTGTAGTCTTGCCCTTCTTCTTCTTGTCATTCTTAGATGCGCCCCAAAAATCAAAGGGATCCGTTGATGCCTTGACTGCGGCAACATCATCTTCGAAGAGATCTTTCTTGTCGTCCTTCTTAGAAGTGCCGAGAGTGTTCCAGAAGTCGTCATCGCCGGTCTTGTCTAGGCCCTTCTTTTTCTTGGTTTTGGTGCTCGTGGCCCAGATATCGACATCAGCTGTCTTTGTTGGCTCCGGCTCCGGCGTCGGCTCAGGATCATCCCAAATAGAAGCCTTCTTCTTCTTCTTCTCCTTCTTCGTCGAACCGAAAGACCATGGATCATCCTCCTCCTTCTTCTCTTCCTTGGCCTCGATCTCGGCGATGGGATCGGCTTCGGGTTCTGGTTCGGGAGTGTCCCATATCGACGTTTTCTTCTTTTTCTTGTCCTTCTTGGAGCTAGAGGTAGCCCAGATGTCGTCCGCCTTCGGTTCTTCCTCCTTCTCTTCCACCTTCAGAGGTTCTGATTCTGGTTCTGGATCGTCCCAAATGGAGGCTTTCTTCTTCTTCTTGCTTTCCTTCTTCGAGCCCGTAGCCGCCCAAAGGTTGTCAGCCTCCTTGGTCTCTTCCTTCTTTTCCTCCTTTTCGGGTTCCGGATCGTCCCATATTGAGCCCTTCTTTTTCTTCTTGTCCTTTTTGGAGCTGGCCGTGTCCCAGATATCGTCCGTCGGCTCTTCGGTCTTTTTCTCCTCTTCTTTCGGCGGCTCGGGCTCCGGATCGTCCCAAATGGAGGTCTTCTTCTTCTTCTTCTTGTCCTTCGTAGAAGCAGAAGTGGACCAGATATCCTCCTCAACCTTCTTAGGCTCCTCATCCTTCGGCGGTTCTGGCTCGGGCTCGTCCCAAAGAGAGCCCTTCTTCTTCTTGGTTTTCTTGGAGGCGGAAGTGGCCCAGATATCGTCCTTAGGTTCACTTTCCTTCTTCTCTTCCTCGTTCTTGACAGGGTCCGCTTCCGTGGTATCCCAAATAGAGGTCTTCTTCTTTTTCTCCTTCTTCGAAGTGGAAACTCCCCAGATATCATCAGCCTTGTCCTCGACCTTGGGCTTCTCTTCCACAGCGGGTTCTGGTTCCGGGTCGTCCCATATGGAGTTCTTCTTCTTTTTCTTGTCCTTCTTGGAAGTAGTCCCCCAGATGTCGGCCTTCTCCTTCTCTTTTACCTCTTCCTTAGGAGGTTCAGGTTCGGGTTCAGGTTCGGGTTCAGGTTCAGGTTCAGGTTCAGGATCGTCCCATAAAGAGTTCTTCTTCTTGTTCTTCTTGTCCTTTTTAGAATTAGTTCCCCAGATGTCGACCTTCTCCTCTTCCTTCTCCTTGACCTCCTCCTTTGGAGGATCGGGTACAGGATCATCCCATATGGAGTTCTTCTTCTTCTTCTTCTTAGAAGAAGTTCCCCAGATGTCAACCTTCTCCTCCTTTGGAGGCTCGGGTTCAGGTGCACGCTCCGGCTCCGGCTCCGGCTCGGGTTCAGGCTCAGGCGCCGGGTCGTCCCATATGGAGTTCTTCTTCTTGTTCTTCTTGTCCTTTTTAGAAGTAGTCCCCCAGATGTCGGCCTTCTCCTCTCCCTTCTCCTTCACCTCTTCCTTAGGGGGATCCGGCACAGGTTCAGGGTCGTCCCAGATAGAAGCCTTCTTCTTCTTCTTATCCTTTTTCGAAGTCGTGGTTCCCCAGATGTCGGTCTTCTCTTCCTCCTTTGGTAGCTCTTCTGGAGCAGGCTCAGGCTCAGGCTCAGGCTCAGGTTCAGGTTCAGGCTCAGGAGTATCCCAGATCGAGGCCTTCTTCTTCTTACTACTCTTCTTAGTAGAGGTCGCCCAGATATCATCCTTCTCTTCTTCCTTCTTTTCTTGTTTAGGCTCAGGTTCAGGTTCAGGATCATCCCAAATTGACGCCTTTTTCTTTTTCTTGTCCTTCTTAGAAGTAGAAGTGCCCCAGGTGTCATCTTTCGCCTCCTCCTCCTTTGGCGGTTCTTCCTCAATCTTGGTTTCCTCCTTGACAGGTTCCGGCTCGGGTTCATCCCAGATCGACGCCTTCTTCTTCTTCTTCTTCGAGGAAGTCGTCGCGCCCCAGGCATCATCCTTCTCTTCCTTTTTTGTCTCCGGCTCCTTTGGCGGATCGGGCTCCGGGGCGTCCCAGATAGACGTCTTTTTCTTCTTTTTGTCCTTCTTAGACGTCATGGCGCCCCAAGCGTCATTGTCCTCTTCCTTCTTTTTCTTTTCAGCCTCCTCCTCCTCTAATCTCTTACGCTCTGCTTCCTCCTCCTCTTCCTTCTTCTTCCTCTCCTCCTCCTCCTCCTTTTTCTTTTTCTCCTCATCCTCTTTACTAGTATCGGGTTCATCCCAGATCGAAGCTTTCTTCTTCTTCTTCTTTTTTGACACCGTGGCACCCCACGGACTAGCTTCTTCTTCCTCTTTCTTCTTCTTCTCCTCTTCCTCCTTCTTCTTTTCTTCCTCTTCCTCCAGTCTCTTCTTCTCAGCTTCCTCTTCCTCTTTCTTCTTCCTCTCTTCTTCCTCCTTCTTTCTCTTCTCCTCTTCCTCCTTACTATTATCAGGCTCATCCCAGATAGAAGCCTTCTTCTTCTTCTTCTTATCCTTCTTAGACATAGGGGTGGCTAAAATATTAGCTTCTTTCTTCTTCTCTTCCTCTTCCTCCTGTCTCTTCTTCTCAGCCTCCTCTTCCTCAATCCGCTTACGCTCTGCTTCCTCCTCTTCCTCTTTCCTCTTCTTCTCTTCTTCTTCCTTCTTTTTCTTCTCTTCTTCCTCCTTACTATTATCAAGCTCATCCCAAATAGAAGCCTTCTTTTTCTTCTTCTTATCCTTCTTAGACGTAGGGGCGGCCCAGGCATTAGCTTCTTCTTCTTTCTTCTTCTTCTCCTCCTCCTCCTTCTTCTGTTCCTCTTCCTCTAGTCGCTTCTTCTCAGCTTCCTCTTCCTCGACCCTCCTGCGTTCCGCCTCCTCCTCTTCCTCCTTCTTCTTCTTCTCTTCTTCTGCCTTCGAAGTGTCCAGGTCATCCCAGATTGAAGCCTTCTTTTTCTTCTTACCCTTCTTTGAAGTGGCAGTGGAACCCCAGATGCTGGACTCTTCTTTCTTTTTCTCCTGCTCCTCTTTCTTCTTCCTTTCTTCCTCTTCTAATCTCTTCTTCTCAGCCTCCTCTTCCTCGACCCTCTTGCGTTCCGCCTCTTCCTCTTCCTCCTTCCTCTTACGTTCTGCCTCCTCTTCCTCCTTCTTTTTCTTCTCTTCTTCCGCCTTTGAAGTTTCCATGTCGTCCCAGATTGAAGCCTTCTTCTTCTTCTTGCTCTTTTTTGAAGTAGCTGCGCCCCATATGCTGGAATCCTCCTCTTTCTTCTTCTTCTCTTCCTCCTCCTTTCGTTTCGCTTCCTCTTCTTCTTCCAGCCTCTTCCTCTCAGCTTCTTCTTCCTCTTCCTCCTTCCTCTTACGTTCTGCCTCCTCTTCCTCCTTCTTCTTCTCTTCTTCCGCCTTCGAAGTTTCCAGGTCGTCCCAGATTGAAGGCTTCTTCTTCTTTTTACTCTTTTTTGAAGTAGCTGCGCCCCATATGCTGGAATCCTCCTCTTTCTTCTTCTTCTCTTCCTCCTTTCGTTTCGCTTCCTCCTCCTCTTCCCGTCTCAGCCGCTCCTGCTCCTCTTCTTCTTCCTTCTTCTTCTGCTCAGCCTCGGCGTCCACATCCGGCGTTGGCTCAGGGTCGTCCCAAATCGAGGCTTTCTTCTTTTTCTTTTTTTTGTCTTTTTGGGACGGGGAAGGAGTGGACCAATCATCCGCCACCGCCTCCTCTTCCTTTGGCGGCTCAGGGGCAGGGTCCGGAACTGGGTCATCCCAAATAGACGACTTCTTCTTTTTCTTATCCTTCTTCGAGGCGGGCGCTGACCAGGGACTGGCCTCTTCGGGCTTTTCCGACTCTGGTTCGACGACTGGTTCGAATTCAGGTTCGGGTTCGGGCTCGAGATCTAGAATCTTATTTTTCTTACTCTTCTTGTTGCTGGTGGCCCACAAGTCGTTCATCTTCTCATCGATCTTTTCGGGCTCGTTCGTAACTGCGGGCGCAGGATCATCCCAGATGGACGCCTTCTTCTTCTTCTTCTTGCTGGACGTCCCGAGGGACCACTGGTCGTCGTCTTTCGTCGAAGTCTTATCGGGCTCGGGCTCGGGTTCGGCAATCGGCTCTGCATCTACGTCAGCACCCTTACCGTTCTTCTTCTTCTTGGTGGTAGTGGTGCCCCAACCACCCCAAGAGTCTTCCACTTTAGCTGGTTCCGGTTCCGGCTCCGGCTCGGGGGCAGGGGGGGGGTCTGGGACTCCAAAGTCGTCTAAGAAGTCATTCTTCTTCTTCTTCTTTTTGCTGTCTTTAGCGGGTGTAAACCAGTTATCGTCTGCCGCGGGTTCCGTCGCGGCCTGGACATCGGGTTCCGGGTCAGCTTCAAAAGAGAACGTCGTTTTCTTTCCCTTCTTCTTGGTACTGGAAGTACCCCAGGCCCAGCCATCGTCGTTTTTCGAGGTGTCTAGATCCTGGATCGTATCTTCGGCAGGCTTCTCCGGCTCTGGATCGTCATCCCAAGGGCTTGACTTCTTTTTCTTCTTCTTGTCCTTCGTAGCAGCCGTTCCAAAGTCGTCCCAAGCACTGCCGTTGTCCTTTGACCCATCGGCGTCTGCATTTTCCTCCTCAATGCCACCGAAGGCACCGAACGAGACGCTGCTCTTCTGCGACTTGGAGCGCCCAGCACCCCATGGATTAGAGTTGTCTTCTTCTTTCTTTTCGTCTTCCTTGCCAGTGGCGAAGCCCCAGATGCTTTTAGAAATCCCTGTCTTCCAGCTAGAACCCCATGCGCCAAAGGATGATTTCGTCTCGGTAGAGGTCCCAAAATCAAGGTCGAGTTTCCCATTCACATCGTCGCCAAGTTTTATCTCCTGGAAAGAATCCGTGCCGAAGTCGGAGGTGGGTATGTCGGGAAGAAAAGAGGATGTAGTCTCGGTGTCTGCGACCGCCGCACCCTTCTTGCCCTTTTTCGTTTTCTTGGAAGTAACTGGCGTGGACCAGGCATCATCCACGGTTGGCGCATCGCCGCCGTCCTTGTCTTCGTCTTTGTCTTTGTCTTTGTCTTTGTCTTTGTCGTTATCGTCATTCCCATCGCCGCTAGCACCTGCTCCGGAACCATTTCCGGCGTCACCGCCGGTTTGGCCACCCCCGCTGCCGGTATCGCCAGCGCCAGCATCCTCGCCGTTTCCGGCGTTGTCCTTCTTGTCGCCACTATCATTATTCCGCTTGGCCGCGGCATTCTTCTTCTTTTTCTTCGGCGCGACCTCGCGCAGGCCGTCGCGAGTATCCCAGTCAACGAGAAAGCTCATGGAGGGATCACCAAAGATGGAAGAGGTCTGTCGGCGGTTCCGTGTGCTAGATGGTTTTGGCGGTGTGGGGAAGGAGGAGCTGGTTAGCCACGAGGGTAAGTCATGGTTCGCAAAGGCACCGGTGTTGGTAGGGTCCATGACCTGGTCGAGGTCGCTCGAGGGTTCTTCTTCAGGGGCGAACGGGTACGGGAAGCTCCGAGACCATCTCGGGGAGGGGTCTGGGGCTGCGAGGGGAGTCGGTATAGGTCGGGGGTGCGTGTTCGACGGAGATTGGTTGTAGTAGGTCTAAAGAGGAGGCCAATGTCAATCAGTCGGTCAGCAAGCAGCTTCGTCTACGTGAGAGGTTGCAGGCAGGGGTGGATCAAGCGGCGCGGCGCGGCGCGGCGGCTGGCTTCCCCAAGCAGTGCCCATCAAAAGGCCCAACGACACACGACACAGGCGCACCACAAGCCACACAAAGGGAGGACGGGGCGCCCTCAAAATTAGCAGCACGGGCTATAATAGCACCCCTCTTCAGGCGTTAAAGAACTGCCGTTGGCTAGTTTTAGGGTGACCAGCAATGCAAGCGGCACTGTAACCCAGGGACAATGTTGCCCTTCCAGTGGCAGACACCCGCCATTAGCCTGGGGAGACAATGTCGAACTGGGGCTCCCAAATGCACACGCCCAATATTTGCGAGGGGCCATGCACATACGCACGCACAACCATAAATGACCTTGCATAAATGAGGCCAGAATCCGAAGGAAGAAAAAAGGAAAAAAACGGTTTGGAAAATCACGGGAAGGGGGAAAATTAAGAAGGGAAAAAAAAAAAAAAAATTGTGAGGAAAGGCAGGCTGATAAGAGTAGCAGTTAAGAAATCGAGAGGATAGGAAAACGAGGAGATGGAAGCACCAATGCCAGGCGGCCTGCACTGCACTCACCGCAGCATTCACTGCATGGCAGAAGGAGATTAAAACACATCGAAAGGTCTGAAGAAGCGGAGCGGAGGCGCGCTTGCGGATATCGTTCCTTATCCACGCAGCCGGCTTATCGTGGAATGAGTGAGAGAAATTAAGTCCCATACCTTCAGACATGTTTGCACCTGGACCCAAGTTCGAGCAATAGCGCTCAGTCGGATTTGAAGGTCATATCCTTCATCCCACCCAGTCGTCGAGGGCCGGATCGTTTGCCAGCCATATGCATTTCCTATCCAGCATCCTGTGGACGCCAATACCTCGGCCGCGGCCATTCTGGAAAGTTGAGCTCGTGTGCTGCTGAGGGATTGGTGTCAAAATCATGGGGGAGGGTTGGGGGACGGAAAAGCGAGCGTAGCGGGTTCGGAAATCGAGAGGGTTTCGCGATAAAAGGCCAGCGGTGGAAGGAAGCGCAGAAAGTCCGAGTGCGGTCTTTCGTCTTTCTTCTCTAGTCCCGGTCCGCGATAGTTTAGTGCCTCTGTGCCTTTTTTCTTCCTCTCCGAAGGGAGACCAGTCCCGCGATGCGTAAAATATCACGGGCGAAGAAAAAAGAATCAATGCAATACTCAAATTCCTCGGCCTTGTCGCAAGCCAAGGAGATATCACAGGCCCCTAGTAATACAGACTATTAAGGAGAGACCGATGACAGATTGATTTCTAAACCCCCGCGAATAACAGGAGAAGAAAATTCTTCAAAGATCTTCACTAATAGTAAAGATTCTCAAGGGTGTCGTTGTTTTTGCGTTCTCGTTTGGTGTAAGTGTGAAGTGGAAAGAGAGAGGAAGAAAAGTTCAATTCATGTTCCACTGTACGGAAGTACTGTACGAACCAGAAGTATCAATCATGGCCTGGTCCGTCTGTGCTGCCCGTCTGCCCAGACATGTCGGGACGGATGAAGTAATGGTAATTACACCAATGCAGCCAGAAAAGTACGTACCCCATCTGAGGTGGGCGGATGGGGCTAGAATACAAGTACGAAGTACACAGCAACACACCATGAGGCCTCGTTACTTCGTTCCTTCCTTCGTTTTAGCGTGTGAGGGGCGTGGGTGACCAAATGTGGCAGAGAAGGTACACTACAATTGTAACAGAAAAGGGCAGCTGTTTGTGGAGCAAGGGAAGGAGCATGAGGGTGGTGGGCTGGTGGACCACTATGAACATTGAATGAGAAGGTTGGACAGACACCTTCACAAGAGACCCTTTTCTTATCCAGACACCTGGGCGTACTTTCGGAGATTTGGGAGGGGAGGGTCTGAATATGACCGTCACCGCCTGCGGTCAAAATACTACAGAGTAGACAGTTCTGGACGGACATATGTTCACCATTCTCTCAGTTCCAATGTAATTACTTGAATATCGTCGAAGTGTCGAAGTGTCGACATGCCTGGCATCGCCAGCAATTTACCCATCAAGAGCTAGGCAAGTTGCGGCTTTTCCTGTATTGATACTTCGTTACTGTCAGTTTCAAGTTGCAAGTCGCAACTCTCAGGCACACCCTCTCGTTTTATCGCCTCCCAAATAAAATCGGCTGTCACATCGTCAGAGGGGGGGAACAGGCCCCCATCACCAGCGAGAACTCTTGACCCCCTTTTTTTCGCCGCTTCAGGGCCCCTCGTGCTCACTCCAGTCTTAGATCCAGCCTTCAGATGGCGAAAAGAAAAGAAAAAAAAAAGTTCTTTCCTCGTTGACAAACCAAGACACAAGTCTGGGTCCTCAGACATGGTTGATGTCGATGCTCGGCCTAGGCTCTACCATCTTTGTCCTCGGATAGGATAAACAAGAAACAACCATGGGAAAAGAAGCAAGGGTGGAAACCCGAAAGGGGATGATCAGGATGAGTGACGACGAATAGATGAACCAGAACCAATCGGTTTTGATCAGTGGGACAGCCTGGCCTCCCACACGAGACCACTCTTGTCACTGGTCTTGTCGTCTGGCAGTTGCTCCTAATATGAGGAGTAAACTACGAGGAATTGCGTAAAGAATATTTGCGGTTGATAAACACACTAGAGATTATGGTCACCCCAAATCCTCTACGGAAGGAGTAGTGTCTGCAAGGACAGAAGTTGTGGAGGAATGGTATTGAGTATAAGTCGGGATTGGCTGATATCAACTTCAACAAAAAGTACCATACGACAACCATTCTGCGCACTCCGTATACTCCAAACAAGCTTAAGTTTTAACGAAAAAGGAAACTGGCCGAGAACTGTTAATTCCATCAATGTGGATCCAACCGCAATTATCGATTCTCCCCATTATTCCCCAATATCGATGTTGTCCTAATTATGCAGTACGAAAGTAATTGATGTTGATGTTAACTTCATATCCCGTTGTATGTCCAGCCCCGACTAATACCGGTCCGTGGACAGCCAAGCAATGAACTCGACCAACCAAGAGCGTGTGAGGCCTGCTCAAGGGTATTGATTTCCTCCAGGACGCGCACACGCGAGGAATGGTCTTCCGTCCATCTGATGTTCCCTCTTCCGGCTATTATTCTCTGCTGTTTCACGAGTCGGGACCATCTACATATCTGTACAAGTATATCCAAATGCGGCCTGGCCAACGGCTTCGTGAAATGGAAGGCTGTCCTTGTAAATTGAAGATGTCAATGAAGGCTCCACCTCAATGCCAATACGCCGACCGGCAAATTTTGGTAGTCGTCGTTCTCGAGTATCAATTTGATAAAGGGGACACCCATTCCCGATGGATGTGCCCCAGTCCCAGTCAAGCGTCGGTATTGGCTGGGCTTCCCGGGTCCTACATTACTCCGTACTTCCTACAAGCATGAATCGGAATCCTCTGAACATGGAATAGAATGGATGGGCACATCCATGGGTCTTTACGGAGTAATCTACTTGTAGGGTGCCCTTCCACGCCGCCGGGAGATGGGCAGACATCCGAGATAAAGATCAAGGCGATAATATCCAGAAGAACTGTTGGTCGCCCTCCACACCGCACCACTGCACCATTGCTGCACCACAGGGAGCCTGAACTTGAGCTCGTGCAAAGCATCACACCCATCCCTAAGAATAGCACCAGACCCTTCTTTCCCCCTTTTGTGTCAGGTGTCTCTGGATCCATGCTTCAACGGGTAACACTCCCGCATCGTCCGCCACCACTACGCTCATGTGTGACCATTCCCACACAAGGCCGAGAACTTGTTTCGAACCCTTCTCTACCCTCTTGGTATGAGACATTGATGACCTTTTTTTTCTTGTGCTCGAATACCGAGTAGATACCCCGCCTCTCCTACTAAATAATTGCGTAAAAAATCTGTGTATCGTTTACCCTTGCAGTGCGCCCCCTTCTTGCCCTTATCTAATAAACCAGGTCACGAGCAAGCATGGGTCTCATCCGAGTCACGGGTGACCTCCAGGGGGCTGCAACTAAAGTTTCCCAGGGCTCCACGTTCGCGGTGAGGTTGGGAATTGACGATATTTGGACGTCTCGTGCTCCATGCTCTTTTTTTTCACCTCTAGTAGATTAAATGGGGGAGGCAAATAAGATGCGGGCCAAGGGAGGTGGTTGGAGCAAGTAAACTAAATTTGATCCACGCGAAATGCCGCGTCGTGAGTGGTGGGGAATGGTAAAGATCCTCCTAGTACCAATATGTAGCCTTGTTAGTTTACTACTCCATAGCTGTGCTGTGACAGGATTGGGCTCCTTAACACTTCTACTTCACACTGCACAATGAATTTTACCTCGAGCTGACACGACGAGCCTGGTTTGGGGTTGGTCCAGCTAGATTAGTCCTTTGTTGCTGTGGATCCGCCCTGCTTGCATTGTTGTATTGCAAAGTGCAGAGATGAGGTATCGATACATCTCACCAGGCATCGATGCGCCTCACTTAACGTCCTGGGCAGCTGAAGCGAAGGCCGTGGTTCTTCCACGTCAGTGGGTTTCTCCGTCAACATAGGGCTACTTGAAATACCCACATGCATGTCATTGGCCTGGGCCTCTCTCTCGCTCACATTCTGATCTGACGATCGCATAGGGGGGGACCCGTTTGCCTGTCCGTAATAGAGTAGAGCAGGCCAAAAGCAAGATTGTTGGCATCGGCACAACACACTCCTCTTGTCTAGCCATGTTGGTGTGCAGCAGCGCATGAGGACCGGAAAGACTGGTGGGCACTAATTGCTGCAAAAACCAACCTCCTCCAAAAAAAAAGACCCGCAAAGAGAGTTTGACGGATGATGACGGGAACTAGCACCATTCCGGTTGCTCTGCTGAGCCTATCCCCGTCCAGATCTTGCCCAAAGAGGAATCGCTCAACGCTCACCGCCAAATCCAGCGTCCGGGACAAACCTGCAAGACCTGTGCCACAACAGAAACCCTGTTTGACCAACAAGGAGGAGACCGTTCCGAAATGTATTGGCTATTGTCGATTGTTTCCTGCTTCGTCGTTCAGTTTGCATGGAAGTCGTATACTAATATCACACACAGCAGCAATACAACATCGCCCAGAAGGAAAAGGCGCCGTGTACGGAGTATGGAATATGTAATACATATGCTTAATAGTAATGAGGCGAGGGGCGTGGAAACGAAGGTTTTGTTGAAGAAGCGCGGCATTGACGCCCAAACCCCCAAAGAAAACGCACGATTCACGATGTCCAAGTGGAGAGGATCCGATCATGGGAAGTCGAACCCATGATCAGCCCGCGTTGTTCCCGAGTCCACTTGCTGCTGCATAATTGAAGTGCACCACGGGTAGGCTAGTGAGTAACATCAAGCACATTTTTTTCTCTTGCCGAGAAATTATTGGTACCCGAGGGAAGCGAAGAGAATGCGACGGATTAGAATGCAAGCCTAGGTGGACGGCCTTTCCTAGCGAAGAGGGTTGTCTGTTCTCCGCATCTTCGTGAGGACCCCTCTTTTGGTGACTCTTTTCAGACTCCAGAGCAGCATGAACTAGATGGAGAAGCGGGGAAAGTCTACCGGTGGGAGTTGCACTCGGGAAGCAGTTGAGGACAGTTTGAGAGTTTGATCAGATGTTGCCGTTTCCAGGAAGGAGAGACCTTCACTTTGTTCGCGCTGGGCAATGGCAAGGACAATGAATGGACAGGTCGATCCTGAATGCCACCCATCCAGTTGAGGGCAACGCCTTGTTTAGCAGAGACGCAGCAGGTCCCAGCGTTCAGACACGGGAGCCATTGTCAACCAGCCCGGCGGGATCTTCCACCCCTCGTAGATACAACTCCTAAACTAAAGCCTGCCAGACCGAACGAGGGGTTTCCTGGATTTCATTGCCTTCGAAAAACCTTCTCGAACAAGCACGCCTCATCTGCTTGATGATCTGATGTGCTATACTCGTACGAAGTACACGAGTGCACCAAAGTCCAAACTCGACATACCACACGTGACTCCATTTCACAATTAACAAAAGGCTGGGAGGAAAGGTGTCCCTTCTTGAAGGGTCCGTCGTTTGGCCTTGTTTTTTTTTCAGACTGATCGACCTGCAGTCATGTCCTCCGGGAGCAGGCTGTGCCACCCCAATCGGCATCGGATTGCCCGACTGGGTCATGCTAGGTTTCACAGCAGCAGCAGATCTCCTATAAATCGGTGATAGGAGAACCAGATAAACAGAAAAGGGGGCAACCACACCTCTCCCTTGCTGCTACCAGGTGAAGGCTCCAGCTAATACACATTTCGCCCGATGAGATGCGCAGATCAGCGTGAAAGCGTGTGGCCGCAGGAGAAGAGGAAAGCGAATACTGCGTGCACATTGACGCGTCTGGGAAATAATGAGGCGAAATGTGCAAACGGAGGAAATAAAAAGAATAAAAATAAATTAATTAAATCTGTTTGTGTGAGCCTGCATCTACAACAGCCTCATCTCTAAGCTCAACATCAATTTCCCCAACTCATGTTGTTTTGTAGTCTCGAAGTCACCCAAGCCGAAACTGCGGCTGCAACCATGTGGACTCTTACGCGAAGAAACGGTATGCAAAGCAGATGGTGCTCTTGTGTCGCGTGCCTAACTACATTTATACACTCTAATCGAAACGAGATTAGCAGGAGGCTTTCTAGTTCGACCAAAGTTATGCATGCCTCAGACAGTCCATTACGTATCAAATATCAATGTATTGATTGATGTCTTGCGATCTGGACATTAGCTCCATCTCTACTTCGTAGCGCTCAGAGACTCAAGGAGTGAGATCCTACGAAGTATGTGTACCACATCACAACTCAAGGACAAGTATCGGAGAATTCTGATCACAAGATGCTCACTTCTATCTTTTCCTGCGTAACTTCATGTATTGATATACACTACTTCGTATACTCCTCTCACCTCACATCATCAACCTCACAAGGTGTAAACCAATTTCTCAGCACTCACCTTCCCCTCTGCTGACTCCTTCAAACCCGCTAGCACGCCCTCCAACCCACTCCCACCCTTGTTAACAACAACCTTAATAGGCTTCACCTTCCCCTCTCTCAAGAGACCCTCGCTAATCTCCCACCACTTCTTCGCAAACTCATGATCCTCCTTCGAAGCAGGGAACTTCGCGCCCAACCACACGTCCTCTCCAAAGATGGTATAAGCAAGCGACCCGCTCGTCTTCACATGGGGGTTAATCCCCTTGACGACCTCATCTACGCCGGACAAGATAGCGGCGTACTGCGCGCCCTCCCTGTTTAACGCTAGCGCGCAGACCTTGGCACTGTCCTCGAGCGAGTGGCAGTCCCACGCGAAGCGAAGGTCGTTGCCGGCAGCGGCGCGGATCTCCTCGGCGATTGCTGGTGAGTGGTAGTCGAAGACGTGGTCGGCGCCGAGGGACTGGAGGTATTCGTGGTTCTTGGGCGAGCCTGTCGTGATCACCGTGTAGCCTGAGGCCTTGGCGAACTGGATGGCGTAGATGCCCGTGGCTGTTGAGCCGCCGTAGATGAGGATCGGGGTCTTGTCTGTGATGGGAGACGTGGGCAGTTGTAGACCCAGTTTCTGGTATAGTCCTTGGCCCTGGATTTCGGTGTCAGGGAGATGCTCTGTTTTGATCATGATCGTGGGGTAAACTGGAAAGAATGGCAAGGGCACTTACAACCGTGCTTACGGAGATACCTAGAGTGGCCGCCTGCTCGTCGGTAATGTTGCTGGGAACTTTGATCTGGACGGGTGCCTTGGCTGTAATGTACGTAGCGTACGCGCCGTCCTCTTTTCTGAATTTGTTACTAGCTAGCAATGTTAGCTTCGCTTCTCATGGCTCTAGGAGCAGCTGGGCCGGAAATGAAACAAGAAGAAAACCCAGGAAAGGAAAATAAGAAAAACAAGAGGGAGAAAACACTCACCAGCCATTGGCAAAACCGCAAACTCTGTCACCTTTCTTAAACTTGGTCACAGCGGGACCGACCTCCTCAACCACACCAGCGTAATCACACCCAACATGCGTACCTTCACAGTCGATGCTATCCGCGAAATTGACATGCTTCCAATCGGTAGGGTTGATAGCCACGGCTGTAGGCTTGACAATTATGTAGTCGTCACCTGGGAGGGTGGGGTAAGGGACGTCGAGGATCTGGGCATCGCCGGCCTTGACAACCACGATAGCTTTGTTCTGGGGAGCCATTGCGATTGACTTCTGCTGGAAAGGTGCGAGCTGAGAGCTTGTTTGAGATCAATTGAAGTAAGGAAACGTAAAAAAGGTACTGGAAGTCGGTCTGAAAGAGTTGGCCGAGGGATGGGATCAAGTCAGTTTGCCGTGAAGAGGGGGGGGAAGGTCGTCCGATTATAAGGTTCTTGGAGCTATAATAGAGGCATTGGAAACGGATCATTGATGAGCTCTCAAGCTTGATTTCTCAGCGACGCGGCTCCTATAACGGACACCAGGCATCGTATTTATTGGTAATCCAGACTCGACATTAACTATGTGCCGAGCCAGCTAAACCCTCCGAAGTTGGGACGACGTCATCGTGGATGCATCAATGCTATAGTGTGTTCCCAATTATCCCACCTCTGAGTTTACTGGAACTCCCACTCTAGTTAGTGATTTATAAGAGGAACACACCGAAGGAGCGCACTAATGCCAATGCCACCCGAGGTCAACCACCGGTTGTTTCAAATTGTTCGGGAAAGAGTGGAGAGCTTAGCTCTCATAGTTAAGTCCTCAACTCGATCTTCTCTTGCTGTGTCTGGGAGGCACAGCAGACGGATCAAGGTCAATCTGACAATTGTAACCTTGGAACTGCTGATAAATCAAACCTAAGTAAATCGGCCGAATTCTGTACCTTGAAGTTCGATATTTCACGGTATTAGAACCACCTGAAATATCATTGATATATCGCAAGGCTTGAGCCAACTGTTATTGGGGTGGCAAGAGACATTATGCAATCTGCTTGAGCGTTAACTCATATAAGTCATTCGGACCCGGGCTTTGGTAGACGACTCTGCCTCTGAAGACATCGCCAGCTGGTTTGCACCGAACTCGGTATAATTACGTCGTAATCGCTTTGATCCTTTTGGATATGACCGCGTTGAAGTAATATAAGCTGATTTGGCAGAAGTATTGTTGCTGGTATCTATACAAAGGGAAAAGAGGGAAAGGATAGACGGAGCAAATTGAGAAACAAGTTGTGGAAGAACAGAACAAAACATGTCTATAACAAATCATCGTTATCCATCCCTACTAAAGAAACCAAGCGACTTGGTCGATAGTCAATAATAGAAGAAAGAGAGAAAGTAAGATAAAAAGAAAGAGTGCGAGACAGCGAGTAAAGAACACCAATCCCGAGGAACCACCCAGTACCAAGAGTTTCCCGTCATCAACATCCCAGTCTAGGATATCCTTAAACTCCAAATTGTCATGTTAGGTAGCCCCAATATACGACATCATTATAAATCCCGAAGAACCAGTATTACCTATTGTGGGCAATAGCAATGATAACGGCCATTAACGGAAGAAGAAAAAGAAGCATGATCGGGCATGAGAAGCCAAAAAAAGAGAAGGAAAGAAAAGGTCAAGCCGACGAACCGCTTGCGCTTGCGTGCCACACCCCAACCAACATCGATAAACAAAAAGAAAAGAAAAAGAAGAGAAGAGAAGAGAAGAGAAGAGAAGAGACGAGGAAGGAGAATGAGCGAAAATAGAAAATGATTTCAAGGGTTGATTACCGAGCGCCTTGACTATAGTCGCTGGCATATCCCATCTCATGATAGCCCTGGGCGGGGATACTGCCCTCACCGCCAAAACCTCCACTATGGCTGCTGATGTAGCCAGTGTCCTCGCCGTCATCATACTCACTAGCATCGAATGACGATCGTCCTCCCATGTCTTCCTCGACATTGGAGCTGTTGCCCATATCTCCGGGCGCCCAGCTTACTTGCGCCAAGGCGGGGTACTGCGCTAAGATGGCAGCCGGGAGCTCGTAGGCGGCGTTGGGATCCATAGGGTAACCGCCCATCGGGTCCGTCATCATCTGGCTCTGCGCGGCCATGTTCTGAGCCATGTTCTGCTGCATGCGTTGCTCTTGCCACTGGCGCTGCCGCTCAAGGGTCTCCTCGTCGAGGAGTGCTTTGATGCAGATGCGACCAGCCTCGGACCTGAAGTGACGCCCAAGAGCGTCGGCCCGCGCAAATCTGCGGCCACAACCCCACTGGCTGCCCGATTTCAAGTCACCTTTGCAGACGAACTTCTTCTCACCCGAGTGGAGGCTCTCGTGTCGTTTGCGGTCATGCTGACGGGCAAAGGCCTTGCCACACACAGTGCATACGAAAGGGCGTTCGTCGGTATGAGTCCTCAGGTGAGATCGAAGGTTGTAAGCTCGAGTGAATCGCTTGGGACACAGCGTGCACTGGAAGGTGGCCGGGTGCTTCTGTACCCTCTTGGGACCACCGCTATCCTGAGCGCTCTGGTACTCGGGATCAGCAAGCCTCAGCGCCATAACATTATTTGGCACGGCGGAGGTAGACTGGCGTCTCCTGCTAGCCGCTGTGGTCTGTCGGTCAAGAGGCGAAAGGGAGCGCGAAGTATCCGACCTCGAGTCGGGCATGAGATTGGGGGAGAGTGTGCCAGGACTGAGCGAGCTACGGTTCATTATGCCACCAGCGGCGCTGTACGGGTCTGTAACAGCTCGCTTTCGGGCACGCCCTGCAAGGAGATCATCGCTGTCAGTAAAGGAAAGGATACGTGGGGGTGAGATTGCCTGATCGGAGGAGCTAGAGCGGCGGGAACGTGGGACACACCTCTCGTATCAGGGGGCGTTAGCGAATCGGCATCCATTGTGGTTCTCGGAGGATCGAACCCAGCGCGCGAGGAAGCAGGCGGCGCGAGGTCAATGTTAATGGCGGGCGGCGCAAGCTGGGGAAGGTCACTAGGGTGCTGGAAAGACGGGAAGGCCTCGCCGCCACCGTGGAGACTGGGCATGGCGGGAGTGTGAAAGCCCTGGGGCGGCGCTAGGCCAAAGCTCCCCGACGGGTGACCCAGCTCGGGTCCTTGGGAGGGGAGGATGCGCGGCGAGATAGCCGGGCTGTGGGACGGGCTGCGTCCTTGGAGGTTAGGGCTGTGTTGGGGGTCGGAAAGGGAGAAGGCGCCGATCTGGAGCACTTCTTGATAGAGGCCGGCATCCTGCGGTCGCTGCATGGGGGAGTGCCCGCCATCGACAGGGTCGAATGTGTCGTGGCTTACAAGGCTAGGAGAGGGGGCGACGCTAGAGACGTCCGAATACTCAGAAGGGGATCGCCTATGAGTCTGAAACTGAGGCTGGCTGGTCCACTCGTTCAATTGATTTGGTAGCAGCGCGGCTTCGGGACCTAGAGAAGCGTTCCTAGAGTGGTTCGAGGGAGGCGAGGAGAAGTGCTGGTGATGGCTGAAGGAGGGGGAGCCCTGTGGCTCGGGCTTGAGGAGATGAGGAGGGGTCGGAGAGTGGTTGATTTGTGGAGAGCTCATATTGTTGATGTCGGAGGGGTTCAAAGTCGACGGCTCGAAGAGAGGTTGGTCGAACTGGTCGGCTTGTTGGTTTGATGCCGGGAAGAGCGAAAAATCGGCCGCTTCGCTGAAGTTTGAAGGGGCCAGGTAGGGCGATCCTTGTGCCTGGCCAGTGAAGGCCAAGTTTCCGTCGGTGGTTGGAGGGGCAAAGGTCTGGGTAGGGTTGAAGGAGGTTTGCTGATGGCCTGGAGTGAGGAAGCCGGAGTTGGTAGTGTAAGAATAGTCGGCAGATGAAGTCGCTTGGTGCTGGAGCTGAAGCTGCGGCTGCGGAGGAAAGTTGGACTGATCCAAGTCGAGGCCGAGTCCAATGGGTGCGTCGTTAATCGGAGGGTAGACGGTCGGAGCTAGCGACGGCGATTGATTTATAGGAAGCTGATGGCCGGCCGATGGAGACCGGCCGCGCTGGCGTTGTTGATCCATGGCTTTGGGAAAGTTGCGTGTTTCTGTTCTTAGAAGTCGAGGCGTACTGGCACTCTGCCTTCCGATGCTTGGGAGATGGGCGCACGAAGGTTTGAAGCGTGGCTATGTTTTTGGATTCTGGGGGTGGAAGGTGAGAAGGAGGGGGGGCTGTGCAAGATACTTGTATGCGTTGCAACAAACCCACCACGGGCGGTAATATTCAGGCACTTTGGCCCTACAAGGTAAGGTAATAATAAATCGACGGGCGGACCTAGAGGTAGATCTACCTTGACTCCAGAGCCCAGTGTCTGGTGCAACTGCACAAGCAGCCAGCAAGCAGTTGACTACCACACAACACCGAGGCGACTGAACCTTTTTCTCGGTCCGGAACTTTTTTTTCTCTTTTTCTTTTTGAGACGCGCGATAACCACGCGACGCTAAGAGGAAGAGTAATCAAATTCGCGGGGGCACGCAAAGACCAAAGGGATATTTCCTTCGGTTCGAGGGTTTGCGAAATGCGATGATGGTATTGATGCTCGAATTAGACTCGACGTGGTCGCCAAAGACACGACATCGTACGAAGTAGTGGTCAAAGAGGGGAGCAAGAGAGCAAGAGAGTGAGAGGAGTGAGTGGGAGATTAGGAGAAGCTGGGGCGGAAACAGCTGAGATGTTGGGGTGAGGATTGGATGGTGTGAAAGGGTGCGAAAGGGGGATTCTGACTGTTGGAGGAAGCACTTCAAACAAATTCAACCAGCGCGGAACAGAACCTACAAAGTCCTACGCATTCTCGCTCCATGGAGCGTTAATCCCCTTTGGCTTTGGGTGGGAGCTTGGGATTGGATAGGACACAAGCACACTCACACTTTCGGACGGATCATGTCCCTTTTCCATCATCTCACACAGAGAGAGGACATTAATGACTGAAAGTCCTGGTACTGGTACTTGGAAGCCACCAAGACATCAAATCGATCAATTCAAACCTACACTAGTGACAAACAACCCTCACCGTTCCATTGTACCCAGCACGAAGTACAAATACAACTCCTGGGAGGATTCTGAGGGTCTCGACCAATCCAAAGTCCCTGCTGGATCGCCGGTGGGCTGTGCAGCCCGATCGCTGGCCTTATCAGGGTAGAGGGGTAATAAGTGTACTTCGTACCTTCGTACAACGGTCCTTGGTGTTCCTGTTAATAGAATCCTTCTATTAATTCTTCTCCACCTGGTGCTTTCGACCCTAGCTAATGAGGGTCTCGCAATGTCGCCTAGTAGAAGGCCAGACTTGGCTGCAAGAGAGACGAACATGCATGACGAAATGCTCTCAAATTCATTCACGTTTTCTGGGGAGATGTGGTCCAAAAATAAACATCCACGGCCGACATCGCGACAACCGACATGAAGATACGATGGGATGTCGCTTGCTTGCCATGCAGAGAGGGATCAAGATGCGTTTCTGGATCCTTGAGGATAGGATAGTTCGGACGCGGGTTTTAGCCCTTGAGGTTCGAGAGATGCCGAGCTGGACTGATCTTAACAAAGGACCAGACCACTCTGAGGCTCCGACTCCTCTCTGCAACGTTGGACTTCGAGGGAACTGTTTGTCTCATTCCTGTGTACCTTAGTATTGCTTGCCCATCCCATGCATTGTTACGTAACCCTGTGGTCTCGGAAACCATCCAGTGACAATGGCGAGTGTGATCGATCTGATCCGTGGTATTCATGTGTAGCCTGAGCCGTTAAGCGCCGGGACCAGTTCGCTAACTCTTTCGTGGCACGCACATGATTTGGAAGTGCCCAAAGTGGAAAAAGGGATGACGGGATGAAATCTGATACCGAGAAGGGGTGTTGCCCAGGATCGGGTCTGACACAGTCCTCGCTTAGAACATCCCTCCTCTCCCTCGACCGCTCAACCGATCGGTAATAATTGCTTTGTGGTGGGAAAGGTTGAACGATTAATATGTTGTGCCAGAATAGGCAGCTACGATGCCTGAACACATTTCTGGTACTCCAAACCGCTTCAGCTGCTACCAATACTGAGACAATCATCGATGGGCCCTAATTTTGATCTCATCGCATCATGTTGCCGCATGAAGAGGGACCATCTCCTGGACAAGATGCGGGAAAGTAAGTGTTCCCGAGATCCACTTCCTTGCTAAAATTTCAAATACCAATCGCGGATTATACCTGAAGATCTAAAGATGGAGGACGGGAGCTTAAATTTCCATTGAGGTGCTGTGTTCCAGGCTAGGCCTTGAAAGCCGTAGACCGAGTTAGAGTTCCCCTTCACACTTAGAAGATCCATGGATTTGAGTCCCTTGCAGAGAGCCTTGAGTGTTGCCCTAAGCATGGGACTCTTTCAGGAACCTCTCTGACGACTCCCGAATCATGTACTTTGTAAAGTGTGTTGCTCGATTATGACTTCTGATGCTCCTGAAATTTAACCACTTGGTGAACCTTGCACCCCTCCTAACCTGCCATCCCATCCATTGATGATTCCTGACCACCCTCCTTCCTGTGGCACTTCGCGCTTGGGATCCCCACTCATCGATGATTGCCTGGAAGTCCTTTCTGCAGCACCCGGAAAAAGGCACTGGACAACTTCTAGACTGAGACAAGACTATTCTAGAGATGGCGAGCTAGCCGCCGCCGACAAAGATTATGATCTTTATTGGGATAATCGCCTTGCCATTCCCAAAGCTGACGGGCTCCTGCATGTCAAACTATCTTTAGACTTTGAAGAAAGACCGGAAATACGATGCTCTCAAGACTCAACTTGGAGTCGATTAGCTAGCATGCGTGCTAGAACTTGAGTCGGATCTTGAAGAAGTTAATCGGGTTCCCCTGGCTTTGGGAGAAGAGGGTCGAATCAAATCACACTTTATCTCGCGAGGCCTTTCCTCACATTTTGGAAAAAGTAAGAAAAGAAGAGGGAAAAGAAAAAAAATATATTAGGACAAAAATATTGTGAACCCAGAGCGACTTGAACGCTCAACCTTCTGGAAACTCCCCAGGAGTATGACACTCCAATTGGTGCTGGAATCAGACGCGCTACCGTTGCGCCATGGGTCCGTTTCTGGTTGAAAGCGGAGGCCAATAGTGCACCTTAGTAATAAAAATGGACACTGAAGCGTTGCCAAACACTAGCATTTGATCAATCGAACTTTGAACTTTGGGCTAACAAGTCGCTCTCATCCAGCTGCAGCAAACCCGGTGCCTTGGTCCAGACCTTTCCTTCGTAATTCACTTGCTCCTTACAAAGTAAACGATTCTCCCATAAAGGCTTACACATTGATGCATCAACGATGCATCTGCAGTATTTCGGTATTCCCTGTCCTCAGAGTAGTTTATAAAGCCACGAATATCGAGGCTGTGCATCCCGGCAACTGTTCCAAGTCGAACCATTGGTACAAGGCACGGGTCACTCAGTTAAACTCGGCACCAGCCCTATCGTCCACTATGCCTGAATAGGTTACCCAACTGGATTGACTGAGAGACTCATCAAGCACATAATCGTGTCCCAAGGGAACGACAAAGATCTTTCCAAATTCCGGTAGAACACAAGCGGCACAGCCACCTTTCTGCGCGGGAACACAGATGGAAAAGTCGGCCAAGAATTCCATCCACGTCATGTTGTTTGTCTCGAATGTTTCCGTGGGGCTTTGTACCTGTATCGTGTACACTATTAAACCAACAAGCAAGTACATTACTTCGTGCGACGTACAAGTACCGGAGTACCTGAGGATGCTATCATTCCTGATTCTGCACTTTCTAAATTTAGACTCGCTGCTAGACTTGCATGTTTCATCTTGCCTTCACAGCCTCCTTCACCTTACGACGAACCCTATTATACCCCGCCAGTCCACGACCACGTAGCACCCGGGAGCGGCCCCTTAACAGGGCTGGGGAATCCGCAAAAGTGCACTAGGAAAAAGAAGCAGACAATGACGAAGCATCATCGAAGTATTCGTACTTCGGAGGTAAGCCACGCCACCGAGCAAAGCCACATCTTCCCCAGATGCAGCTGTCATCCCGATGCCACTTCGGGTATTTCACCCGCCGGCCTCTACTGAACTTTAGCACGTAGGAGGCGAATAAGCTCTGCTGTGCTGCTTATCAGCTTTCTTACAAACCAAGTCTATTCATAGGCGTCAGGAACGATTCATTCCTCTGGGTGGTCACGATAGAAGATCGTATTCCACGACTGCACCCACTCTCGCTAAATAAAGTGTCGGATCTTCCATTGCCGAGCGCTTCGCGGCTCTTCGGATTCTCTCGTATACAACGAGTCAATGACAGTGATTCTTTGTGCTAATTCGTGTGATTTTTATATCGAATGTAGTGTTCGGGAAATATTGGCTCCGATGACGACAGACGACACCGCCTCGGTCGGCATCTCGCGCCGTTTGTTCTATTTTCTATTGTACATGTCCATGTTGAACGGATCGTCTAAACTTTTGAAGAATATCTATGGAGTGGAATAGAGAGACCAACCTCGTAAGAGGGGAGAGTGAGTGTATGTGAGACAAGAAAGATGAAAATGCGACAAGTCCGAGAAAAACAAACACCACGCCATGCACCGTCCATCCATCCCAACAGATATATGAACCTCTGATCTAATTTTTCAGACCATTTTTCTGTATCTCTATTTTCTCGGGGCAAAACGAAAAGAAAGCAAATGGTATAATGACTTCGTTATAACGCCGATGTGAGCAATTGAAGAGGGAAAATGAAGAAATAATGCCGCTCTGGTTCTCGATCATCGAGACGGGCGGGCCAAACTGGGCAATGAGTTTTGATGGGAAAAGAAGGGAAAAAAACAAAGAAAATCCGCAAAAACTTTTTTCTTTAAAATCGAATTGGCGGCCTGTGTTGAATTCGTTCTTCGCAGATCAGTGGGCCGCGGCGTCCTTTTCTCCCTTGTGGGGTGTGTGGAGATCCTCGATGACTTCAGACCTCTCGAATCCCTTAACCCTTAGCACGGCGTTCGGGATTGTGGGATTTGGGTCATTTTCATCGGGCTCGAATGGGTTCGGGTCGGTCTGCTGATCAAGGTTGGCAAGAGTATGGTTCACGCCACGATGTCCGGCCTCTACAAACAAGGAGAATTATGAATTAGTATCATTCCTCACGATGGGGCGCAAACAGGGAACCAAGAGCAGGAAGGTTAAGTTATCTTACCGTCAGCACGAATGTATCGTGTCAACCAAAGCATCGTTCGCCTGTCTTGGGGAATGTTCCAGTACTCGACAGCAATGTCAGGAATAGGAAACTTGGGATCAGACCAGCCCTCGATCTGGCCGTTGGCAATCTCGCGCTCCAGTCTCGAATAAGTGTGGATGGCCTCCTCTTCGACGTAACCAACGAAACGATGGAAGAAGCTAGGGGAGATCCAACGGGCGACGAAGCAAATGTTGAAGAAGACGCCCTGGGCACCGATAAAGATCAGCCTCAGCAACCAACCGGGCTCGGCCAGGTTCATCCATGTGAGGAGATGCATTCTTTCGTTGGTGGCTTCCTCAAGAAGTGTCTTGATCCAGCCTTGGTCACGGGCTCCTCGTCGGAGGGAGCGTAGATGTCGGTGGACGGCTGCAACCATTCCGGGGACAGCTGCTATACTTTCGAGGAAAAGAATACGCGTGTTCTGCTCGCGGCAAATCCCGAATTAGCTCTTGGGCTGATAATACTGAAACATTTCCTGATCATGGGTGAATATACGTACGTATTGCGCCGTCGTTAGCGGCTTCTTGTCCGTCACACCCGTGGAGAAGTCAACCAGTTTCCTCGCTCCCCTTACGAGCCTCCATGCTAGGGAATCTGCAAGAGTCTCTGGCTCTCGGTGTCCCACCTCGACTCCGAGAAGCTCTTTGTCCGTATAAACTGGACCAGGGAAAATGGGCTTCGTGTGACGAGTGGACGCTAGATCTTTCTTGGGGACCTTGTCCTTGACAATGGAGAACAGGGCAAAATTCCTCGCCTGGCTGGGGAAATCATGGTGGGCTCCGAGAAGTGGTCGGCTGGCTAGAAGGAGGGGAGCCGGGCTCATGGAAACGGACTTGGCGATTTGGCCGATTTGCCTTGCAGAGCAGAGGCGAGCATTAGCTCTTGTGGCCAACATGGTGAAAGAATGTTGAGGTATCGTTGATGGATATCAGGGACGGTTGATTTAAGAAAAGAGTTGTGGGAGTGGCCACGGCTGGCTGGAAGTTGGCGGATGGGGTGGCCTTTAAGTGATTCTTGAAAGCTGAAATGGATGTAAGTGAGACTTGTGATGGTGATAGTGTCACGTATAGAAATGTAAGAATGTAAGACGGGGCTGAGTCCCTGTCAAGATGTTGGTGTAAGTAGTTTATGATACTGGTCAGTATCCGTCTTGATATACGAATATCGATATTACACAGGCTACGAGGTCCGACTCCTTGCAAGTTCTGTCTCATTTATATATTATGCGGAAGTATCCAGGGATTAGGAGTCGGCGACCATGAGCCCCCGTAAATTTGGGCATCGGCGTTTACATTTCCACCAAAGGCATGGATACTTCCAAGGTTCGTTGCTCGTATCGCTCAAAGTGTAAATCTTGATTGAGGCTCTAAGGCTGAGTGGAGCCTGATGATTGTGCTGGGCCTTCACATTGGCCCTGTTCGGGAAGTTTCGGAAGGAGGATTTACTCGAAGCAGAATCAATCTCCTCAGCTCACTGAGTCTTCACGGATTCACCTTTTGCCTCACAATGCTGGAAAAAAAACGTGCTCAGTGTTAATCGCTGGAAATCGCCTATCATCCGACTTGATTTCATTCGCATTAGTCATTTTACGGGGCTTGACCGACGGAGAGTTGTATTTTTGTTTTTGCTCGCCAATATTTTTGCTTCTTGAAAGCATCAAGTGGAGATTTTTTTCATTCATGGGTCCCTGGTTCCCGCTTCGCAATCCTCGCATCCCCTATTTGGATAAAATTGTATCTCCGTGGACAGCTTGATAACCACAGAGCCCCATTATTTTGGAAGCATAGGGACGCAACTTTTTTTGTTTCCTTTTTTACGGGGAAGAAAAAAGAAGAGAGTTGAGATCGCCACCTCGCAACAAGATGGATCAAAATATTTTCGGTAACGCCCGAGTCCCTTGATGGCTTGTAGATTAGATTACTTCGCCTTAGAAACGGCGGAGGGCACCTGACGTCACTGATTGATTTTTCTCTGGTTCTTCTCGGGGGGGCGTTGGACCCACTTCTCCGGGTCCGCACGTTTTTGTTCCGTGACTCACTAACTGGAGGAAGGATCGACAGGAAGAAAAAGCCAAACTATCTCAAAATCCCCTCGGAGCCTATCAATATCTTCTTAGAAACCTCCGGCGGAGCGGTCTTGTCCGGCAGTCGGCGAGGTCGGCCAAACTCATGTGTCCATGGACATAACCTGACTTCGACAAACGCTGGTTACCCCCACTGTTCAGGTCTGTATGGCCGCTCTGCCGGCCAGGACAGCTAAGCGAGATGTTCATCTGTCCTCGGGAAAACCTTGAAGGGCTAGCTCCTGGTCTGATTTGATGAGATCCACAATCCGAGATGCCGTCCCTTAACTTTATCTAGACTAGGTTCGACGCCGGAAGGCTTCGTGTCCAAGCTCGAGGGGGCGAGCCGTTAGGAGTAGAGGAATGCATGCCATTCCCGTGCAAACAGACGGTCAGTTTCTTCGAATAGCGTTCCGGCCAAGAATTTTCCATCGTTCCCCTCGTGGTCTGCAGTTACTACGAAATAGATGGTTGCAATCCGTATTTTTCATGGCGGTAAGAAAAGGGGGGGGGGGGGGGGGGTTGAGATGTCAATGCATCGAGCCTAACCGGAGCATATACCTCATTTTCCATGCCCACGACTGCAGTTAGTGGGCAGTGGCTTGCACGTCAAAATCTATGAAGCATGGAAATCGGGATATTATCATGTATGGCCATATGGCTTTTGCGCGTGGCCGTGGTAGAAACCTTGAAAGCATTCACTCATTCCTCTTTGGGAACGGTGTACCTCGTACGTACAATTGGTACACTAGGTACTCCGTATTCTGTGGCGTTGGATCGGACTCTCGCCCGAGAGCCGCAGCTCCGGACCAGAACGGAGAATGGAGAATGGAGAATGGAGAATAGAGACTGGAATTTTCGCCTGGCCCACTACAGCACGGGGCATCGGGGTGAGGTCAGTGCTCTGGGCTAGGACTAGCCTGGCGAGCTCCACTATCATGATTGTGTATCGATCAATATTCCGATAATCTGGCTCGTCTTGCCTGTCACCACTGAAGCATCACAGCTCGAGCCTTAACATGGGCCTTATTGTCAGATCTGATTCATTCCATAATTTCGGCCTTTTTTCGACAGGGAACCCTCGGTGTGTCAAGACTACTAACACTGATACCCCGATGCGCCAATCAATATGCGCAGGGATCGGCCCTGCTTTGATAGAGATTATATGTGATGTAGGGACGGGTCGGGAAGTCCTCCCGGCTGGCGGCAAAGCAACTGAACCAACATTTATTTCCAACCGAAGCCCCTTTTTGTCTTTTCAGATCTGGCATTTGCCACTTGCCGTGTTATGGAACTTTTACGTGAACCTCTGTCCATGGTTTTGTGAAACTCCTGCATGCAGAAAGTCGAGCCATTCTTTGGTCGCTGTGTAACGACAGACCCAAAATTCTCGAGGGCTTCCATCCGGAAATCGAACGAGAATCGAGCTGTCTAGCCAGGCACAACTGCTCTATTTGGCCCTACTTGAAGGCTTAAATACCTCGTACCTCGAATCATGTCGAGCGTGGCTTGCTGAGAGGCGCCTCTTCAGGCAAGAGCTGAATCGCCCCTCCAGCCATCGAAAGTAGGAGTATTATTCAGTTGCGGCCATTCGTCCCTCCCTCCCCCCAGCTTCCAGCCTCGGAGAGAATAAACCATTGGATCGCTCGATCCAGGATTCCAGAGAGGAGTGGAGGAAATTGTGTTATTTTTCCCGTCTAGCCTCGCGGATGTATTTGACACCATCCGCCTACGATCAGCCGCTCCGTCCGTGCCCTCATCTATCGCGAACCAACAGGAAGACTACCGACGCAAGGCCTGTGTGGCCCTGTGCATGATTGCCATGTCTACGATGCTGTCCGAGCGAGAAATTGCGGGGGCGGAGTCCACCAATAATTGAATAATGGTAACGGGCTGTAGGAGGGAGAAAAGAAACGCGCGTAAGTGTACGCTTGCTTTTATTAATGGCTTGTCTGGCCTGGAGGAGCGAGATCTGGGGGGGAGGGGGCGTTCGACGCCTTTAAGGCCTGCATGTCCTCCACATCCCGAGTGTGCGATCGATCGGCTTGCTTTCCACCTCCTTCAGTTCTTACTCCGTATGTGGCCTCGGACGAACTCGCCTCTTCCTGATATTCCGCTGCCGAACCGCAGACCTGGATAAACCTGGTTACTGTCTCTATTGGATCGCGACATGGCAGGCGAAACGAATGGCCCGACACTACTGGCAGCTAGTTGGGTTCTCGCCATCCTAGCGTTTATTCTATTAGCCCTTCGGTTCTACTGTAAACTCAGTCGCGGACGGCCCCTTTGGTGGGACGACTACACGTTGTCGGTTTCTTGGGTATGCACCTTTTATCAATGCATCGTCCCTAACCTTCTTCTCCAAATTATAAATAAACGCGCACTCATCTCGTTCGAGCACGTGCTTACTGACATGTCGGGCTCGCAGATATGCCTCTTCGGCACGGCCATCGCGGCGACTCTTTCGGTCCACTACGGCCTCGGCAGACGTACCACAAAACTAATCCAAACCGGACCCGAAAACCTCACGAAAATCAGCCAACTCAGCATCCCCGGGGGTCTACTCGTTGTCCTCGCCACGGTATGGAGCAAGACCTCGTTCGCCATCACCGTGATGAGAATCTGCGATGGATGGAAGCGGGCGTTCCTCTGGTTCGCCATTATATCCATGAATCTACTCATGATTACGACCGGGATCTTGCTCGTCGCTGTGTGCCCTCCCCTGGAAATGCTGGTTATGGCTGCTGGTGGGCCGCAAAGGAAGTGCTTGCCGCCGAAGGTTAATATCGTCTTTGGAACGACAGCGTCTGGTGAGCTTGGATTTCTTTTTACTAGTTCGGATCGTTGCAGCCGTGATGATATTGAAGTGTGCACTGAACTTACACCATCGACATAGCATACTCCGGCGTAATGGATGTTCTCCTGGCAATCCTTCCGTGGTATCTCGTATGGAACTTGCAAATGAAAATCGGCGAGAAGATTGGGGTGGCTCTCGCGATGAGTATGGGCGTCTTGTAAGTGGTGGTCGGATCGCAATTTGTTGAAATGAGTCTGGCCGCAAGAACGCTACTAACCCTCAACTAGCGCTGGTGTTACGGCATTCATCAAGTGCACTTACATTCGGAAATTGGGTAGCGGTGACATTTCCTGTATGGATCCCTTTATTACTTCCTATTGGCGATTCTAGCAGAGCTAGTACCTGCGTCATGCTAACGCGATACTCTTCCAGTCGACATTTCCTACCTTATGATCTGGGGAGCCGCGGAGGCTGCCGTGACCATAGTCGCGGCTTCGATTCCCATTCTTCGAGTGCTCATCCGTGATGCGACAACTCAATACTACTACGGGTCGAGAACACATACTCAGAGAGGCACACGCCCCGAGGACGAAAGCGGAATCCTTGGCTCGGACCAGCGAGGGAAGCAATCCATCGCCATTCATTCGTCCTCCTCGGCGCACCCATCGGCTCGTCGCGAAATGGAGAACGACAGCATTGCATCCTCCGATGATGATAAGACCCGGCCGAACATTAATGGAGGTGGCATCATACGGACGACCCACGTAACGGTTGAGACTAAGAGGATAGGGTCCGAGGGGACCTCTGATTATGAGCTCGACAATTTACGCGGATGAAAACTGTAAGATAGTGTTTATGAAGTTTAGCGTAGATGCTTTTGAAAATGGTATGCTATTATGTCTAGTTCTGCTCGACTTCGGTTGAGGGCATTTTGTGCATCAAAACATTTAGACCCAACTCGCGCTGCTGTCTCATTAGGGGTTGCCTCTTCCCCTTCGGGCCTTGGCTCTTGTCTGTATGTGAAATTGAGACTCACTGATTGGGTACCCGGGAAGCTCACTGAAACCAAAAGGTATTCACATTCTATGTCGGAAAACGGTTCAGGCCTGTTCATCGATTGTGAATTTCGGCGACTGAATAATGAAGGTGCCGATGCCCCCTTCTCATATATCAGTGCGGAAATTCTAAGTTCTTCGACGAAATTGGGTGTACCCAAGACGACACTACTTCGTACACCTTCTACTACACTCCTTCGTAGTGATTCGTAGTGAGTGATTCTATCTTGTGGACCGCTGCCCGCAGGTAATTTGACTTGTGCCTGCATTCAAAAGCGAGCGATGAGGAGGTATCGTTACTCTCGGGTATGACTTGCATGACCCGTGACAAGGTCTTTCCGAGTCTAGTGTACTTCGTAAGCTAAGGCTAGTGGGGCCGCCTTCTCCCACAAATCTGATCCATGTTCAGGCTCGCGAGGAGTTACTCTATTGTATGGACGAAGTGTTTGTTGCGCCGTCATCAACATTGGGGTTCTTACATTATATACATCAATTCTTGCAATGTCCTTGCCTACTTTGGCCGCGGCACATGTGGTCTTGGTCGCCAGGAGTGATCTCTCCTTCCAATCGCGTCCAAGAGACACTCTTAAGTACCTGAGATTGTTGGAAGGCTTAGCCGGCAGCCGTCGTTCAAATTTGGAAGCTCTTTGGAACACTCACGCATGACTAAGACACGGAAAGGACCCTCCGCCTTCCAGTGAAATGGATAAGATTGAAAGAGCAACGCTCGGCAGAGTCCGTGGGGCGCCGTTGTCAGCTGCAATAAGAATCCTGCCCAACGAGGTGTCAGATTGGGCGTGAATGAGACCATTGAGACCACTGAGGGACACGTTTTCACGGATTCATACATCCATTGATTCCATCATTCCAGGTCAAGCATGGGGCGACGAGCACGAAGTTCAAGTCTTTATGCAAGGCGGGTTCCTACACTACTTCGCAGGCTCTGTAGTCCACGGGACATGGCCAAGTACAAACGAATGGATAAGAAGCGAAGGATGAGGTATTCCATGCATGGCTGTAGGCAGGCAGGGCTTTGGCTTGGCTGTGAGGACTAGAATACTTGGATTGATGGGAAGCGAATCAAGAAGTAGAAGTCGTCCTCAGGAGGTAGGGCTAAAACTATAGAACCCGGGATAACGGAATAATTCTTTGTACATCTCCTGCGGGTGCCACAAGTTGGTATGAAAATGCGGCAAGAATTCTTTTCCTTTTTTTGTTATGGTTGATCTTGTCTACCCGGAAAATCGCGAAACGTGGGTAATTCAGCAACGGCTGTTGGGTTCAAACAGGATCAATGAGTTTCTGGTGTTTCGAGCAAATGTGCGCCAAGTGATAAAGCCGAGCGACATTATGGAGCAGAATTGCATCGTACAATAAATTGGGACTAAGAAGTAGAAACGACGTATTAAACAGTGCCTCTTTCCATAGTTGTACAGCCTGGCTATACTTATTCATTGCTCATTGTTACAGCCGGAAGCCACGACTGCGCTCCAGTGTCCAACGTCTTTGAACCTTTGGGCCGATCTGGAGTGAGTCGATCGACGATTGATGCCTGTGCCCCCCCTCAAGCCCAGCCCGCCCAAGTCCGTCTTGCTTTTTGCCTTCGCACGCCACACAAGCTACGCGACTATTTTAATAATTTTTTTCCCCCTCGCCCCAAAAACTCCCTAGCGTTTAGTCCCCACTGGTGCGATCGAATTTTCTCCCTGTACTTCGTATATTTCCATCCTCCCCACTCTCACATCCACTCTCGACTTTAAATCACTCTCTCATCGCTTCTCCAGACTGGATCGCAAAGGCTTCCTACGCTTCTCTCGACGCCTAAAACTCCTCCTGTCTTCGTCCTGCCCCGCGTCTGCATCTACCTTGCAGGGATCCAACCCTAACGCCTTTCTCAGAAAAACGCAACCACCCATCTTCTGACAAGATGCCTCCCAGGAAGCAGTGGGGTATGTGTCCCTCCCTGTGTGCAACATCGCTTCACCTTCTTTGGTCGTTGGAGAACGATGTGACTCCCTTGACCTCCGCTCCCATTCTCTGCTCTTCGTTTCGATTTCCTTGTCTTATCTAGACTATTTCCGCTAACCTCAACTTTGTGTGTGCAGACGACGAGGAGTCGGACTCTAGCAGTGCCCCCTCCACCCCACCTCTCCCCGCCACCCGCCGCGCGAATAAATTCGACGACGAGGAGGCCGAAGACAGCGATGTAGGTTGTACCCTTATTCTCTTTGCGTTGTTGTAGCGGTTGTATGGCGCGGTGTCACCAAGACACTGGCTGACTTTTTATGTGCTTAGGTCCTTGACGACTGGGATGCCGCCGAAGACTCCGAAGTCGAGCGTGAGAAGGAAAAGAAGGCTGCCGAAGCAAAGGCCAAGGCCGAGGCCGAGGCTGCTGCCAACAAAAAGTCCAAGGCCCAGCGAATCGCCGAACTCAAGGCTCAGCGTGCCGCCGCTCTCGCCCAGGCTGACGAGTTCGACGACGAGACCGAGGCCGAGCGCCGAGCGCGTCTTCGACGTACCGAGAAAGAATCTGATTTGAAGCACGCCGAGGATCTGTTCGGCGATATCGGTGTTCCCGCTGGCCGTACCGCGACCAACGCTGGCGCTGCTGTCGTCATCGACAGCAAGGACCCTAACAACACCGTCAACCTGAACACCCTGCCTCTCTTCAACCCCACCACCAAAGCCCAGTTCGAGACTCTACGCAACACTCTCGTTCCTCTGATCGGTCATCACGCCAAGAAGCCTCACTACACCATGTTCCTCCAGGAGTTTGCCAAGCAGCTCGCCAAGGAACTCCCCAGCGACCAGGTGAAGAAGATTGCCAGCACCCTTACTGCTCTCAGCAACGAGAAGCTCAGGGAGGAGAAGGCGGCTGAGAAGGGCGGAAAGAAGAGCAAGGCCCAGAAGACCAAGACTTCTCTTGTGGCCAACCGCCCGAACGAAGTCTTTGCGACTTACGATGATGATTTCGGAGAGTAAGACAAGCCATCCTAGCCCATAGCCCGTACCATATTTTGTTGGTGATCTGGAATTTTGTACTAACGAACCCTACTTTTAGTGATGATTTCATGTGAAGAGAGTCTTTATATGTGCATGGTTGATGGAAGTTATGATAGAGAAAGCGGTTGCGCGATGCCTAGAAGCTCGTCAAGTGCCTGAGCGGCACAACCACGCCGCCAGATTCTTCTCTCCAACGGTTTATCGCCGAGTCGCTCTGATCGACAGAGATCGACGGTGGTCATATCACGAAGTGGTGTCGGGGTGTGGTGGAAGGGCCAAGACGCCTCTCCACTGCCCCCCAGGCGCCGAGATCGCCACTGCCGGTGTGCTGAATCGGTCAGTAGAGGATCGAGGCGGGGCCCGTCCCCCTGGATGGGGATGATACATTCTTGGGAGAGGAGAGGGAAAAAGTCAAGTCGTGGGAAGCATTAATAAATCAGTGATCGGCGTTAGTGCGCTAGATCCTAGGTCTTCTTACAGGCTATTCGGCAAAGTTGTCGCTGCTGTTGTTAGTGTTGGTTGTTATGGTGGATTTATCTTCTTTTTTCTTCTCCCTCTTCGTCTTCATCGAGATTCAAGAATCCTTCTTAGATTGCTTCTTTTTACAGTATTAAAATCGGGTTATACATCATGGGAAATGTCTGCGCAGCCCAAGTGAAAATAATATGTACGTATGCCTATCGCTGACGTCCCAGTCTCCCTTCTCTTCATTAGTCGAGCTCCTCGAGTGGACAGGGAATGGTTGGCAGGTCTTCGTCGATGCTTATGTCCTCTCCTCGACTCATCTTGGTGAAGTGCTTCCGGATGAGCTTGATCCTGCTATTGGTTAATTCCGAGTTCGTGGGGTCGCCATACTTCATGGTAAACCCGTCGTCATGCTCAACCCAGTCCTAATACCGGAATCCCCCAACTAGTTAGCTGGGATTTCAAAATCAAATACACCCAAGGGAGAAAAAAAGCTAACTAAAAGATGGAAAGAAGAAGAACTCACATTGCAATCGGGGAAATTCCGCCCAAACAAGCTCCAAAAGGTGTCCCCAATAACACTATCACTCTCCTCAATGACCTTAAAGAACTCCGGAAGCGGATCACCACCAGCACCGGGATCATTCCCGCCCACCCATCCATACTCGCCCACAAACAATGGGCGATCCGCAGCCTCAAGCTTCGCAATATCACCCTTCAACTTCCCCACATCGACGGGGTAAAAGTGGTCCGAAAAGATGTCAACCTCATCGACCTCAAAGTGCGTAACGTTAACGCCATAGGTACCGTCGACAAACAGCTTCTCGGGGGCCAAGTCCTTAACGTGGCGAGCGATTTCGCGGACCCAGTGGGCGGGGCAGTTCATGTCTCCCCACTCGGGCCCAAGGAGCTCGTTGCCGGACTCGATGGCGAAGATGGTGGGATCCTCGGCGAGGGTGAGGTTCGTGAGGGGGTTGAGGTGGGTGAGGAGGGTGGTGACGTAGGATTTGAAGGAGGCGACGATGGTCGGGTCGTCGTAGAAGGCCATCATGGCGGGGTTGCGGGAGTCTTTGGCTTGGGAGAGGTCGTGGCCTGCCCAGCGGAGGAAGTCGAATTTTCCGCCATGGTAGTAGTCCTGCGGGAAAGGGGGAGGGGGGGACGAAAAATCTTGTTAGTCTTTGATATCTATCTGATGCCCCTTTTTCCTTCTTGTTGATATCGGGTAAGTTTATACGTACGTAGTTGTCTACGAGCGGAACCATGAGCCTGATACCATGTTCTCTCGCCTGATAAATAGCCCAATCAATAGACTCCCAAGCCTCATCATTAATCACGCCAGCTTCAGGCATGAGGCTCAGCGGCGACCCCGTGTTAGACCCCAATGTGTGCGCGCGGATCATGGTCCCTCCTAGGGCCTTGACGATGCGCATCACCTCGGTCACGCGGTCTGGTTGTGGGTAGCTGATCTTTTTCGGCGCGTAGAACGGCTCGCCCTCGGGAGGCACGACGTTCTCGTCGAGGGCGATCCAGTAGACGTTGGGACCGACGGCTTTCCATTCTGTGCCGTTGAGGTAGAGGTGCGTGGATGTGCGGGTGATGGGAAGGTCGCGGAGATCGTCGCTGGCTGCCAGAGCTAGGCTTGCGAGGGTGAGGCTGACGGCTAGTTTCATTTTCGCGCTTGGGGCTCTCTCTCTCTCTCGTTTTCTTTTCCCTTCTTCTTTTTATTGTGGGAAAGGACCCGAGGACATGGTGATGTTGAGCGCGTTGGGGGCGGAGGGCTTTAAAACAGGCTCGATTGCATATATAGACGGTGATGCCAAGTTCGTTTATATGCGTTCCGTCAACAGGGAACAATCATACCCCCCCCGGTCATTTACAAGATGCTAAAATCTCCCGAGAGAATTTGAAAGGACTAGGAGTGGTATAAGCCGAATTACCGCGTCCGCTCTGAGAGGTAGGCCGGGCGGCCGGACTCCGCGGTACCGCATAGAGTGGCAGCTTGGACGCGGAGCAGGGCTCTCCGAGGAGCTCCATTGAGAAATTATCACGATAGAGGGAAAAATAAAACATATAATTCCATCGGGTTCATTTAACTTATGTCAAATGGATAAGGCTAACCCTCGCATTTAATGACGATCCAGCGTCAAAGATGGGAGAAGAAGGGGATTGAATGAGGGACCGGAGTCCTCAGCTAGCTCAGCTCAGCTCCGCTGCGGATCAGGCGAGGCGACGCTAGGTCGACGGTTGACGGTTGTTCGGCTGCCATGCCAGCAGCGGTGGTGTTGTCAACAGAGCAAGGAAATTGAAGGGGCAAGACTCGATCAGCAGAATCGTGCTATTTATTGCTTTAATGGCTGGGGAACCTTGATGTCCGCGATCATGTTGGATTTGGACAAATGGAGAAGCAAGCAATTTTGAAGTACTTTGTGCTTGAACCGAGGTACTTCGTACAAGATTACTTATTAATTTACATAGAACTGGGGTAAACCTATTATTAGCGCCAATGTACCAAGGTACCAACAGGCTCATCCAGCTATTTTTTTGGTCGGAATTACTTCATAGCTTCACTGCTCCTTCATCCACCGATCTCTCCCATTCACCTCCGCCGACACCCGCCGCCTTCCCACGACCCGGACCCGGCCTTGTTCGCTTCATTACTTCCGGAATAAATGTTATAATGGCGTCGCAAAAGGGCTGGGCTCGGCGCCCCTGGTTCCTCTTCGCCCTTGCTCTTGTCCTTGTCCTCCTAGCCTCCGGCGCCGAGGCTTCCGTCGGAGACAGGCTGCCAGCCTTTCGCGAGTGTGTGAGGGTACGATGCTCCCGTTCACGAATCCATACCAATTTCTTTTTTCTCTCTTACGCCCTCCGGGGAACGTCAACCTAGCTTGTTGGCGAAGCTTGCCCCCGGCTTGTAATGCGCAAAGAACAGTAGAGCGACTAACCTAACCGCGCTGGAGTACAGCAATGCAAGGAGACCAAGTGTGTCGCCGGAAAGGATGCCATGCAAATTCGTACGAAGCTTCCCCCTCATTCTCCCCTGCCCTCGGCATCTTATTCTGACATCCTGCCTCTGCTTCTGCAGCTCTCTACCGACGCCTCCTCCTGTGGGATTGTCCCGCCGAATGCGATTACGCCTGCCAACACGACATAACCGCCCGCCGCATCATCTCCGACCAACCCGTCGTCCAATTCCACGGAAAATGGCCCTTCTTCCGCATCCTCGGCATGCAGGAACCCCTCAGCGTATTCTTTTCCCTCGGCAACCTCTGGGCCCACGCCTCGGGCCTCCGTCGCCTGCGCGCCTCCGTCCCTCCTTCTTACCGCCTCCTCCCCTTCTACAAGCTCTTCGCATACTTCGGCATCACCTCATGGGTGTTCAGCTCCATCTTCCACACGCGCGACTTTAAGTTCACTGAGGAGATGGATTACTTCGCCGCCGGCGCCAGCGTCCTTTATGGCCTGTACTATACCGCCGTGCGTGTCTTTAGGCTCGACAGGCCGACGCGCAAGATCAAGTCCATCCTGAAGTCTTGGACGGTCCTCTGCTGCTGTCTCTACCTCGCCCATGTCGCCTATCTCAAGGGCGTGAGGTGGGATTACACTTACAACATGGCGGCCAACGTCGTCGTCGGCCTGCTGCATAATGTCCTCTGGTTCTGGTTTAGTTTTCGGAGATATAGGCTATCCGGCGAGCCGTGGACGCTCTTGCCCGTCGTGGCGGTGACGTGGATTTCGTTGGCCATGAGCCTCGAGCTCTTTGACTTTGCACCCTTGTGGGGGAGTCTGGATGCGCATGCGCTCTGGCACTTTGGGACGATCGCCCCGTGTGTGTTGTGGTATAGGTGAGTTTGCTCCCTTCTTCGTACCCTGGTTGAGCCATGAGCTGACTGGTTTTGTCTTCCAGATATTTGGTTATGGATGCCCTAGATGATCTCGGTGGCACAAAAAAGTTCATCTCTTGATAGAGAAATGAGAACCCAAGCTCTATACAGGTAGTAATGAATATGACTGTATGCGTCGTGTGGTAATGTATACCATTTGAATGGATTCAAATCAATCGGGAAATTTAAAACGGTGGAAGGGATCACGATCTCAAATTCTGCTCCCCAATCAACTTGTATAACAGTTTCCAGTTTCTCATACTTCTTTCCCAATTTTATACTCCCGCAAACACCGTGTTCCTCCCAAAAAATCTCATAAATACAAGAAATCGTAATATTACATTGAGAGCTGTCAAGCATATCCACGAGAGAGCCCTATACTGCGAATCGGCCCTCCCTCACCAAGACGCACACCTCTCTACTTCCCCGTCCATTTCAGACCCAATCAGACCATGGAACCGTCCAGGACAGCCCAAACCTCGGCACCGTAAACTCAGGTATCAAAGCCACCAAATGCGGCGCCAGTACCCCCAAGAAGAAACCCCCGGTGACCAGCAGAACCATGACAGCTGCAGTAAGAGAAGGGGATATCTCGCGCTGGAGCCAGTGCTGCCGGAGTTGAATCGTGCCGATGTGGGCGTGGAACAGCTCGTGCTCAACGTTGCCGTCGGCGTCGGGGTTGAACGGGGGCGAGGGACGTGGAGACTGCTTGCTTTCGGCTCTTTAATCGCTGGACAAAGTAGATCCCGAGTTGTTAGCTTTGTGCTCTTCTCACTCGTGAAAAGGAGTCCTTCCATCCCGCTCCTTCTCTCTCTCCTCTTGGATTTTCAATGAAAAGGGCGTGGAGAAAAAAAAAGGAGCGGTAAATCTTACAGCAACGTTAGGCACACATCCCCCTGCAACTTCGCCTTAAGCTCCAGCTCAACATCAAGATTCAACCCAATATGCAGCCTCGCCGATCTCGACTTCGCATTCCCCAGGTTCGGCACGGGCGCCGGTGTGGCGAGGGACTTGGCAAGCTGGGCTCCGTTCCCCGGTTTGCCGCCGTTCTCACCGCCGGTGGAGGCGGCCTTCCTCTTTCTCCGTCTCCGGCGACGGCCGCCGCCGCTGCTGGCGCTGTTGGTGGTCGGGGCGGTGCTCGCTTGGGAATCTGTGGTGGTTGAGAAGGCTGTTTCGGAGGCGGAGTCGTCTACATCGCCGATGTCGAGGTAGATGTCGCGCTTGAGTTGGGGTGGTTGACCGCGACGGTCGTCGGCGTAGATGGGCTTTATGGTGCCTAGGGGGATCGTGGTGGGCATTGTGGGCAGTCGGGATTGATGTGTTAGAGGAGAGGGATATGGCGGGGTTGGTAAAGAGATCAAGTTCTAGCGACTCGTGGGAGTCGTAGAAGAGAGACGGCTCACAATTCTAAAGACCAATGTGATGCCTCAAAAGACAGACGTAACAGAAAGGCAAAAGAGGGAGGCAAGGAGCACGAGGAGAGTCAGTTGAGCGATGATATTGAGGATCACTAAGAGAGCCGTCGATCATATTAATAGGATTTATTCAGGTCACAGACGTCTGGTGTCCAGTTTCCAATATGTACCAAGCCCGTTTGTTTCAACAAATCGGCTTCTGGAAGTTTAACCAGGAGTGGTCCCAGGGGAAGTTTCCTAGGATTGCCAGCATCCCATATTGGGGTGTTGCTGAGTCGTGTTGGCGGGAAATAATCCCTAAAGGGCGGTTGAGCTCTCTCCGCGATGTGTTCTTTGTGGAGAGTTGCTGCAGCCCGGATCACGTCCGAAACAAGCCCCAAGCGCAACTCGTACGATGACACAAGGCCTGAAACGCCGACTGCGAACCCTTGTCTCCCGCCACTCGGGCGAGAGAGGGTTTAAGGCTAACGAATAATATTGAAGATCGGACAGGCATCCATCAAGTATCACGGTGGCAAGCTCTCCTGTAAACACATTGATCGATATTGACTGAATTTGCGGAGGAAAATGGTTTGGAAGACGCCATGATGCCACCTCCACCCCCTTCACAAAGTTAACTTCAGCGGCGCACCTCCCGCCCAATGATACAATGGATGAAGTTGGGATGATGTCGATGCTTGCTCGGCCATGACAGAACAAATTGCAACCCTCTGGCTGCATTTTTATTCCATTGATGCTATTCTTTTTCCCGCCACCAATTTTGAATGCGAGACAACTTTCAAAAAAGAAAAGAAAAAAAAAAAAAAAGTACAGTGATAATCCCAGCCTGCAAATCGAAATGACCATACTCGTAAACTCCAAATCGCCAAACATCCCAATCAGTAATAATTAAGCCCCTGCCACAGATGAAATATGGCCACATTGAAAAGAATCATTATGAAGAAACCAGCTGCCGAATTGGGCTCTCGTTCCTCGATGGCCAGGCTCTGGCGTGTTTGGGTCCTGTTACCCCACTTGACCTTGGTTTGTGCCTGGTTCCTTGCTGGGTCTTCCGTGAGCCGTGATTCGAGCACCGGCTCTGTATTAAGCTTGTTCCCTGTTTGGCTTCGGTATCCATAACTGGCCCCCAATCAAAGAGAAAAACTTCACCTCCGCGCCTTGCCGTGCCGTGACTACCCTTTGGCTGCCCCGCATATAACTACGGAGTAGACTTGACAAGGCGGGCTAGCCTAGTCCCGAGCACGTCTTGGCGTGTCGTTCTGATCATTCATGAAAAACATCTCCTCACCGAGCCTTGCCCGTTAGGTGATGGCTGCGGCTCCTACCCATCCGTACCCTTAAATGGCAACACCGGATAGTGGAGTGTCATCGTAACTTTCGAATGCTTGAAAACATTAATATCTCTTCCTCCTCCACTGCTCATTCCTCAGGTACTGAGCAAATCGCGAACCGACATTCCTCGGCCGGCCCCACCCTGAGGCTGAGGCTTAGGTCCGCTTTCACCTTGGCTCACAGACAAATGCCTCTGGCCAAAGTATCCCCTCCGATCAGTGTTGAGCATTAGTAAGGCCGCCGTCGCTTCATGGTCAGCATCGCCTTGGGGACCGAGCGCTGGGCTTGTTAGAGCCGAGCTGAGTGACGGGAGCGTCCCGGGCGCTCCATAACCGAATGCCGTTTGCGGCCCAAACGCAGGGGATGTCGTCGCGGACGTCGCATAGCTGAAGCGCCGATGATGCTCGGCAGACACTGAGGAGGAGTACGACTCTCTTCGAGGAGAGCCATCCCGAGCTTGAAGCGCAGGCGATATTGAAGCTCGGTGAGAGCTTGGAGCATTGCTATACGTTGGGGACGGGACAGTCGATCCCGTCATCTCGACGTCGGCAGGTTCGTCTTCGACACGATTGCTATGCCCCGGGTGATACACGTGTTGCTGCGATTGTGGGTGGTGGGGGTTGTGGTGGTGATGATGGTGGTGGTGACGAGTGTCCGAGGCATAAGTCTCTTGTATGGTAGGTGTGTCGACAGCGGAATGTTCCGACGATTCGCTGGGCTCCCGCTCCTCACGCTCCGCTTTCAGCTTGGATACACAATCCTCCAAATAACGCACATATTCTATCGAGGCCTAAGTAGAGTCTCTTGTTAGCTCGGAAAGCACCTGTACCAGGCACAGGCAGGACAGGAGAGAGGTAGGGGGATTCACGCATCCGCCCTTTTCATTTTGATATTATTTAGGGATTTTGAGGAACGTACCTGCAAAATAGCAAGCTTGTGCATCTCTCCAGTGCAGGCAGGAATCATACTTTTCAGAACGGCAAACTCCTCGTTCATCTTCGACCTTCGCCGCCTCTCGATAAGGCTGTGGGCAGTCTTTCGGGCGATTTTCCTTCCCGCCGCGCTCGTGGCCGATGGCTGCTTCTTCTTGCTGCCACCGGCCGCACCAGTAGCATTCGAAGCGGCGGTAGCGGTAGAAGCCGACGAAGAAGAAGAAGCGGAGGAGGCTGCAGTCGATTTGCTCCCGGCTCCCGTTGCCTTGGCTGTCGTTCCAGTTTTCTCGCTAACATCTTCCTTCTCCTCTTGCTTCTTCGGCTTCATTTGGATAATCTTCCTCGACCTCGTTGGTGGCGGCGGGAGTTCAAAGGGAACTTTGGCTTCCTTATTCGCGGCGGACGATCTTCGCCTCGATTTGACAGTCTCGCTAGGCTGTACCGGGTATTCAGTCCTCGAAGACTGGCCCCTCGATTCCCTCGCCGGGGAGGCAGATGCCATGGCTGGAGGAGGAAGTTCGAAGGCCATTTGGAGACTGGTAATGTCTTTTGTGCCATCCTTGCCTTTGATGTCGGTCGAGGAGGCAGGTGTGGGAGGGAGTGTCGGTTGAGGCATGGCGGGCGTAATAACCAGGTCTCAACCGATTGGCCTCGTGTTAGAGAAGAATCGAATGGGAAGCCGAGGGAAAGGGGTGGGGGAAGAAGTGCTTGGAAGCTAGAGCACGCGATATGTATCCTCAATCATCCAAGCAAGGGTCCTGAAATGTGTGTTTTTGTTGTGTGTGTGTGTGTGTGTGTGTGTGTGCGTGTGTGTGCTGAAATGAAGCAAGGCAAAAAATAATAAACGGTGAGGTCCTTCTTAGCGGAGAAGGTGGAGGAGGCTCGACGAAGATGACAAACGAAAGAAGAGATAACGGGGACGCTTTATCTCAGTCTTTACATCCATATCCGGGTCAGAAACAGGTCAACCCTCATCGGCAAGTCGGGAAAGGAAAGTTGAGCAGGGGAGCAGCAAAGTGGGCATCTAAATCCTGGAGAGGGAGGGAGCGTGGAAGGGGGTACACGGGGCAGGCCATGCCACGCCCGCCTCTAATAACGACGATGGAAAACAGACCTAAATCTCTAGGACGGACGGAGGGCAAGCCAAGCGATGTCAGACAAAAAGGTTGGTCTCCACTATCATACTTGTACAAGCGGCGAGAGGCGAAAAGAGGGAACTTGAGTTCGAGAAAGGAAAAATGGTCTTGGAGAGAATGTGTTTCGGGGGCCCAATCAAGCTTCGAGACCAGCGCCATGCGACATCAATCGCTCATCCAGGGGTCTCGAGAGAAACGAACAAAGTTTAAGAGAACATTGAACGCCTCAATGATAGCAACGGGGGGCACGGTCAACTTCTGGTTTCCGTTCCTCCTTCCACGCCCAGACAAGGTAAGAAGAGGTACATTGCCGTGCCGTGTGAGCAAAAGTAGATGCTACTTTGCACATCGCACATTTCTCGACTCTCTGCCCCAGCTTCGAGACGTTTTTTTTTTTTTGCCTCCCCGGCCAAAGCAAGAGGCGGCGAAGGGGGGCACGCGACTTCCTCCCCATTTTCTCAACTCTCGTGTGCTTGGCGAATTGTCAGACACGTGCGTTAACTGCACCCGGTCCATCAAAGGAGCAATGAGATAGGAGATCATGTACTGATCAAGTTCTGCGAGCCAATCGCTCAGCTGCGTGGGGATGTTTAGAGGTCCGGTCGTGTCGAGGTTGTTCGGTGGATGTTCGACGAATCAGAAGCTCCGGCTTAAGCACATGGGGTGAACCTCCGCCCCGGACGGGTCCAAGATCCCGTCTAGGAAAGAGGGTCCCTCAACCTCAGCTTACACTAGTATACTTCGTACTTTGCCTTGTCAAGGGCAAGTGCGATGCGATGGACATTGGACACTGGACATTGGACATTGGACTGATTGTGTGATGCTAGTACTTGCGTGCTTGCGTACTTCGTACACTACATTGTACATTGTACGCCTTGATCAAACCTAGTACAATTGTGCAAGTGCGCCCAGTGCGTCGTGTGCACCAGGCTTGTTCGAAGCATGAATTGAGGAAGTTGCGCACGAAGCTGTTGCTTCAATCGTCAGCAACTGCAGGGAGCAAAGAACTTAACCCCAACTCCAAACTCGATCGAACTGGGCCCGAGCAACAGTTTCTGAATGTTCAATTAGCTGCGATATATTGAGTCGGCATTGAGTCTAATGTTGGCTTGCAGTGTCGTATCATCCACAATACTCACGGGGAAGCAGTCAGTATAGAGACTTTTATCCATTTTCAAATGCTGGCCATTCCATTCCAAGCACGAGCTAGTCAAATCCTCCTCTGATCCTTCTCGGGCCACACGTGCCCTCACTCTTCCCCCGGACTTCTTCTCAAGGACCCTCCCCCACTGCCAAGGGGTTGCTCTCTATCCCAGAGCACCTACCAGCGTTGGAAGGTCTGCATGTGCTCTCCGCGTTACCACGTCCCATGTGTCCCCCACGGCTGGCTTTGATTGGAACTTCCCCGTCGATCTCTCTCTTCTCTTGCACTAGTACTCGCAACTCCGATATTGTGGCGTGGGCCATGCTAATATAGGCCATCCAACTTCTTCTTCACTGCCGTCGTGCGGAGGCGGTGTTTCTTTTTAACGGGCATTCCGCTCACCGAGAAGGCTGCACGAACATGTCGCGGTAAAGGGGCACACGATAGGAGATCTCGGATCGGGAAATCTAGGACACTTTTCTTTTTTTCTTGCTTTCTTTTTCCTCCTTCGGCTAGAGTTTGATAACAGGCGGCAATAGCTTCCAGTAAGCTCGTGCTCTCCTGTTCATGTAGCGATTATCGCCTCTCTCTAGCTTGTAGCCTGCGTCCTCACGTTCTATGATGCGACAAGTGGTTGGTATCAAACGAGACATGCCTTCAAAAACCCGCACTCTCTAAGTGGCGGAGGTAGCCCGAGAGGAGCACGTGGGCTGTTTTCGTGTGCCTGGATCGATCCATGCCCTGTATACTATGTCTCGCTTGGGGTTCGTCTGGGTTACAAGAGGAGCCGGGGTGCAGACCTAAAAATCCATAGGAGGCAAATTATATCCAGATCTTGCCCACCGAGAGAGACACCATCTGCAGCTTAAATTTAGAATATGCATTCAATATTAAGAGATCATGATAGCCATGACGATAGCGACCATCTTAGTAGTGTTTGACTCGGCTTTGTAGTGCTAAAACAATTCCGATACTAGCCTTCCTTGAATCCCACATAAATACCTATTTACATCATTTTTGGTCTCAAGACAGAGATCTCGACAAGTATCCCAACTCGCCCATACAATCATCCACATCCATATAAACACACACTCTCTCTACCAAACCCTCGCCTCGAACTCTTCAACTTACACCTCATTGCTGGGATACGTGACCTTGGTCGTCGCGTTAAATTCCTCCTTGATGCTCCTCACGCTCACAAACCTGCCCAGCAAGTTCTGGCTTCCTGCCTTATCATTCGTCCCGCTAGCCCTGCTACCTCCGAACGGCTGCTGCCCAACCACGGCGCCCGTGCTCTTACAATTGATGTAGAAATTGCCCGCCGCGTCACGCAGCTTGTCCTCGGCGGCTCGCACGGCTTGGCGGTCGGTGGCAAAAACAGATCCCGTCAGTCCATACTCCGAGGTTGAGTTGACGAGGTCGCAGGCGTCGAGGAAGGCTTGCGTCGAGTCGCCCGACTGGTTGTCGTAGACGTATACTGTGAGCACCGGGCCGAAGAGTTCGGTCGACAGGAGCCTGTGGGCGGGGTTCTTGGTCAGGTAGACCGTAGGGTGGATGAAGTAGCCCGTAGAGCCGTCGTACTTGCCGCCCGCGAGCAGCTCTAGCTCCTCGTCGGACTTGGCCTGCTCAATGACGCCCATCAATTTCTTAAACGACCCCTCGTGGATGACGGGGCCGATGAAGTTTCCGTGCTCCCAAGGGTTGCCGATCTTGAGAGCGTTGGTCTCCTCGACCAAGCGCTCCTTGAACTCCGGCCATATCGACGAAGGCACGTACACCCTCGACGTGGCGCTGCACTTCTGGCCCTGATACTCGAAAGCACCACGAACGGTGTTAATGACCGCATTCTCAACGTCTGCGGACTCGTGAATGAGGTGGAAGTTCTTGCCGCCGGTCTCTCCCACAACTCGCGGGTACGACTGGAATCTGCCTTCGGCGATTCCGGCACCGATAGCTCCGTAGAGCTTGCGGAAGACCGCCGTGCTTCCGGTGAAGTGCAAAGCCGCAAACTTCCTATGAGCCAGCACGGTCCTCGTGACCTCCTCCGCGTCGCCGGGCACAAACTGGATCACATTCTTGGGGAGGCCGGCTTCCAACAGAATCTGATACAGCAGCCAGTTCGAAGCAATGGCCGAATCCGAGGGCTTCCACACAACCACGTTACCGAGGAGCGCCGGCGCTGCGGGCAAGTTCCCAGCGATAGCCGTAAAGTTGAACGGCGTCACGGCGTACACGAACCCTTCCAGCGGCCGGTACTCCACCCGGTTCCACACTCCAGGCGTGTTATGCTCGGGCTGCTGAGCATACATCTCCTGAGCGTAATGGACGTTGAACCTCAAAAAGTCGACAAGCTCGGCGGCCGAGTCAATCTCCGCCTGCCAGGCATTTTTGCCCTGGCCGAGCATCGTCGCCGCCATGAGATCATATCGGTATTTTCCCGAGATGAGATCGGCCGCCTTGAGGAAGATGGCGGCGCGGTCGGCGAAGGGGAGGGATGCCCACTCGGCCTGGGCGGAGAGGGCCGAGTCGATGGCTTTGGAGACGTCGGCGGGGCTGGCGGTCGAGTACCTTGCTACGACGGAGGCGTGATGGGCCGGGTTGTGTTGCGAGCGGATGGCGGAGGTCTTGATCTGCGAGAAAGCGAAAGGTATTGTGAGAACTGCTAGTCTGGGCGCGTCGGGGGGGTTCTTGGGTCTTACTTGTTTACCGTTAACAACTACGGGAACGTCGAATGGGGCCTTGCTCTGCAGACGCTCAATTGCAGCCGTTAACCCCTCGCGCTGGGCTGAGCCTTTCGCATAATGATGCTACGCCTCCTCGTTAGCTTTTCCCATGTGATCTCTGCAAAGAAATTCTCTCGGAGTAGCACTCACGTTGGGCTCATTGGCCACCTTGGGTATCTTGAACGTTCCGATTGTCGACATCCTAGCTGTCTGAGCATTGCATAAAGATGCAGATCGAGGGAGGCTCTTCCTCAAGCCGGAAGCGGCTACTTGCCGAAGGGAAAGGGACATTGTCATATATCACGCCGGATGGGAACACAAGACTACGCAAGAGGAAACACCGCACGCGGGAATCAACTGATAATAATTAAAGGATAAGGAGAGACGGGTGAGGTACTACCACACACCAAAGGAAGACTCAAGAGGAGGAAACCCTCGGCGTTGCAATGGGTCATGGATTCGCTTTAAGGTTCCTAGACTCGGGCGTTTTGGAAGCTTCAACATGCGGGAGAGCTTCGGATTGGACAGTCTTGTTCATTCTTATCTGGTCCATTGGCCACTTGAAATGCTCAGGATGACTTCAATTGTGATACATTGGTTTCTCCTCGCTTTACGGCGGGTTAAGGCGGGGCGGCTGTCAATGACGTCGGCTTTGGTTGGAGCGTTCTGCCGATGCAGCCCACAAGACCCGCAGTGGGAATGCACGTGATAGGCTGCTTCACAAGCCTTCTGTGGGGTCGCGCTAGAACTCTCCTTCAACAGCCGAGACTACACTCCACTGCCATGATATGAGCCTTGATGAGGCAGGTCAAGAGTTGTTAGTTTGAGGCTTGGGATGTCGAGTCGGTGAGGGATTTAAGGATTTATTCAGGAATTATTTGCGTCTGGGGATGTTGGAGAGCGATATCGGTTGACTGATGCGATGCATCTTGTTCGATTCACTATGATATATATATGCATATATAGCTGAACTCCGCAAGCGGCATCCCCTCCGACTTATTACCCGATATGCCCCGCAGTATCGTAACAAAGGAACAGAAGGGCAATGAAAAAGAAACAGAAGTAATATAGGAAACCTAGCCTTGGAATGCAAAATTACATCCACATCTACCCTTGGTGCTCAGACTGCCCCGACTGGCTGGACGAAGATGATGCGGATGAGCTTGCTGGTCGGGCGACGTATCGCAACACTGGCACTGTCAAACCGTAACCCTGCGTCTTTCCCTGGGCGTCATGCTGGTCGATTTCGACCCGGATGCAAATGTCAAGACTGCCGTCGGTACCCTTGCCGTGTTGCGAAGACGCAGCCTTGTGTCGAGTTCCCGCATTCTCCTCTCCATCGTGGAGGGCGAAGCGGCCGTCCGACTTGCTCGAGTGATGGCTCTTCGGCCTTGTCTCCTCGACTGGCGGTTGGTTAGGATCCTGCTGCTGCGCCGGTTCCGTCACTATTCCGTCCCCCGCTAGCTCCGGGTCGTTCGTGGGTGAATTTTCCGTAATCATCGCATAATTCCGGCTCGGCATCGTCACAAAGTTGTTCTTTCCGGCCTTCTTCTTTCCGCCGGGCTGCTTATCGAAGAAAGACAGGAGTGTCTCGTCAGTCTTATGACCCATGTGGTGAATCTTGTTCCGGTGCGCGAGCAGGTTGGCGACCGGCGCAGGGGGTGGCTTGTTCACGATGGCCGATGAGATAATGTTGGCCATGTAGCGCTGATCGGCGAGGGGATCGACGCCCCGCTTGACGTCGGAGTAGAATCGGCCCACCGCTGCGAGGTGAACGTCACCGCTGAGGATGGTGATTCGGAGGTTATGCGTGGCAGAGATGTTTTGGAGGGAGTTGATGAGGTACTTGCGCTCGGCTTTGTGGGTGCGGGCCGTCCAGTGGTCGTCGAGATCGTCGAGTAAATCGACACTGCCGTCAAACTTGTTGAAGAAGGAGCCGCCTTTTGAGCTAGTTAGCTGCCAGAATGCCTCTCGTAGATATAAGATGGTTGATTGCAGTAACGTACCGAAACCAAACCTTCGGTTCAGGAACTTCATTGGTCCCATGATTGGGCTGGAGAAGATGTTCTCGAGCCATGTGAGTCGCTAGACGTAGGATGTTAGCCATCTCGTCCATATTCCAAGTCACGGGATAGTAGATTAAATCCTTACAGGATACGCAATGGGTACGCCCAGGAGAATCAGCAAGTGGGAAATGGGCTGTCCCGACTCCTTAGCGGCGACCAGTTCGGCCGACAGCTTGTCAAAGAGCAGCTCATATGTCTCAGGATAGTTGATTTGATGCCGCGTTCGCTGGGTAAACCAGCGTTAGCCAACCATACGCTCGCGGGGGGGGGGGGGGGGGGGGGGGGGGGGGGGGTAGATTGCAGCTATTCGGTCATACCTCTGTGCGGGCGTCAATACCTAGGAACGCAAGCCGTGCACCCAGGCGAGCGTAAAGGTTGAGAGAGTGCTCGGCGACGTATGGCTATGGACCAAGTTAGTAAAGCGATTTTTGTCTTTTCGCCGTATAGATTCACTAGGATGGGTTCGATCTTACACCGGGCTTTGGTCCAACAATATAGCCAATTTCTTGGGTTGTCCTCTGGGGTGCAACGAAGGCATTCTCTACTTGTTTCGGATCAAACCCTTGCCTCGCGTCACCGCCGAGGGTTGTTTCCACGACATCTGACTTGTCAGTAAATGGCACATGGGTTGTAAGACTCGGCTAGGCGAAATCGCCGCATTCGAATTCTCACCTGTTGTGTAAGTTAAGGGAGGAGGGGGCAGGTGGTGCTGGAAGAGAAGGTAGTACTTGTGCGCGGTACCACCGATGCCCCTGAAGACGTCGCACTTCATGAAATGATCCGTATAAGAACCGAACCCATCAATAATCTAGCCGAGTCGTAAAAGTCAGCCGTGTTCACATCCTTCGGAGAGAAACGCCGCTCCGGGCAAGATGTTGCTGCCCTACATCATGGTCATCCCAGATATTTAGCTGGGGAATCTGCCCATTGGCGGAAGCGAATGGCTCTCTGTTATACCTGTACACATTCGGAGGTAAGCGTCGATTCCCATAAGTGTCCCATTGACAAATGTGGAAATGAAGGATAACAAACGTACCATGAAATGTAGTTTTCGAGATAATAGTTGTCGCATTCCTGCCGCAGGTTATCGGGGAAGGGGAACTTCCCTCGCTTCCGCGGGTTTCCAATATCGGTCCAGACCCTGAGGGGTCCGTCAACACGGATCCCATCGTTGTAGATCTGGTCTCCCCCTCCAATCCTAAGAAGAAGAAAAAACCTGTTAGCTTCCGTTCACATTTCCCCTCCCTACCACACGCCTCCGGCCGAAAAATGGACTCGCTTACATGACATGGAAAGGGGCTTCATTATGTCGTCTGATCACATCATTCCAAAGCGCAAGATGACTCCAAGCCGCCTCGTCAGTTCCAACGCTGAAACCATTACACGAGAAGAACATGGACCTCATCGACTCTGTAATGGCGGGTACGAAAAAGCTATTTTGACGCGGTTTCGTGTCGCTGGAGTAGCGCACGTCGGGAACGGTGTACTCCCACTTCACTTCGGCATCCTCAATACCAACGACGATATCATATTGGAAAAAGGTGCACCGGGGGTCCGAGTTTAGGCACGAGCCCTGAATCACGGTAGGTGGGGACTCGGAGTGGGCTACGATGGTATTTGCCGTTATGGCGCCAGATATCTGGGGAGGACTCTCTACCTCTGGCGTCGCGTCGGGGCCAGACATGGCGACGAACGAGTGTGGAGAGACTGCACTGACACGACGGAGGAGTAACGCTGGCGCGGCAGGTGGGACCTTGCCGCCACCCTTGACGACGATGAGTGCGCTGCCGCGCCAGATCCTATTGTCGACCATACCGCGGTAGTTGAGGAGCGGGCCGCAGACGACTTCCAGTCCGTCGGCCTGCGCCTCGAGCTTCTGCGTCGCGTCGCCATTCTCTTGGGCGGGAACGACGATTGGCACGTGAGCGGCACCGCCGTTGCCGTTGCCAGCGGTCTCGATGCGATTCGCGTTGAAAAAGTCGGCGAGTGCGCCGGTGCTGCCAGAGCTCACTCCATCTCGCGGGGCGCCGAGGGGGCTATGCGAATGGGGGTGGGCGCCAGCATATCGCGCGAAGGCGCTCGACTCTTGGTGGCGCCATTGGCTCGAGGAGGCGTAGGGGTTGTTCTCGTTAACGTTGCTGTCTGGAGTCTCTCCAGGTAGGTGCGAGGGTGGGGTGGCCATGGCAAAGGGCTAGGATGATGGCGCGTGGGTCGCTTTCGAGCGGGATCGTGCCGAAATGGCGGGAAAGAGTAGTCTCGAGCTCGAGATCGTCGGGAAGAGTGTGTGGCTCGGGGACGGGAGTAAGTTTGGTTCCGTCGAGGTTGGGGTCGCGTTCGCTGGATTGGATCGATGACGTCGTGGGCACTCAAAGCATGTTTTTTTTGGTTTCCTGACAAGCTCAAGGTCAAGCTCCTGTGACGAGAAGAGAAAATTAATACCGATGCGTCATGAATCAAATCTCTTGGCAACAAAAACTGGAAGTTGAATGTCAATATTTTTGTTGTTAAAAAAAATAATAATATAAAATATCAAAAGGAGATTGGACAGCAAAAGCAAGGTGAAAAAAGAGTGGGAAGCAACCTTTGGAGTTCAAGAGTCAAATACTTCGTACAACGCGACCAGATCGAGATTCGACGTCGAGCGCGATGTTTGAGGAGACGCGACCAAGAAGAAAAAAGAGGATGGCCGGGGTGCAATATCTCACGGTCGAGAGGGATGGTCCCCTGGAACAAATGGTCACCTCCAACTTTCCAACAGCACGGGGATTGATTCACAATGGAAGGTTCACCAACACTGCGCAAACTGGAATGTACTTGCGACTTCCAAGGTTATATTTCAAGGATCAATCCCACTTGTCTCAGTGGGAGTGGGACGAGATGGCAATTTGAAGGCGGCCTCCGAAGGGATGGTGGTGGCTCTGGCTGGGCCAACATGGTGCAATCAGCTCATGTTTCGTCTTGGCGCATTGGCGGTTGCTTTCTTCTGGCCAGAATAAGCAACTTCACGTTCTGTCTCCGAGCAACTTGTGCTTCCGCTTGGTGAGTGAGCACTCCATCCATATGGGATTCGTCATATCGGGGTATAAGCGCGGGAACGAAATGGGTTCGGGGTTATATCGTTCTTCGCCTCATGTTCGCAGATCGGCGACATCATTGATCAATCAAGACCAAGTTTGGGAACTAGAGAAACACCTTGGATCACTTGAGGCTAGTAGGGCCTGACAGGTTGCGCAGCTCAGTGATAATATGACCACTCTGAGTGGACGAGCACTCCGCCCAGGAGCCAGCCAGCCAGGAACGTGGGCCAGGATCTGCAGCTAACCCTCCTAGGGAAACCTGTGTTTGATTGGATTGTCTGAGAGCAAAGTTGGAGCGAGCTGGAGGCTTGGCTGCCGACTCGACCGTCCAAGACTCTTTGTACTTTGTACTTCATCCTTCCATCCTTCGTGGATGGATCATTGATGATGGGTATTGATGGGTATTGATTCTGCCTCAGTCATCCAGTGTCATCGGAACAAAACGAAGAGAGAATTGTACCTCCCCACAAAGTAATCCTCGACATGAACATTTCACAAACAGCTGCATCCTCGATTGATGGTCGAAGGACACGGGGAGATATACAGAAGAACTCAATTCCAACCGAGAAACTCCATCATGTTCTATTTTTAACGTGTTATATACTATCTTTATTTCTCCCCCTTCTCCCAAACTCACAGTCTCATTGCATATATTATTATGCTTGGTGGCAGGGCACAAAGTGATTCCCTTTGTGTCGTAGTATTATGCGGAACGAAAAGTTGTGCAACCTAGCTATTATTCCCGATTCCCAAGCACTCTTACAAAGTAATCACAATAGTAGATGTTGGTGTATTCATGCACCTTGATCAAGTACATGCCCGAACCGGAACTGTCCCGGCCTTTTTCCTGGTGTACACGGAGAACTGCCGGCCCACCCATCCGGGATCCCGACCCGAATGGAGGTCGGCAACGGCCATACCCTCCCCTCTTTTCGGTGAACCCCTCACCAAACCGGGACCATGGCTCGGCCCGGCTGCCGGGTCCGATTTGGCTGCACGTTCACTTTCATATCTCGACTCTTGTTGCATGCAACTACCCTTCAACTCGTTACTGAAAGATAAACTGCCGAAGCAAAGTTTACATCGAGGATACTAGCCAATCCTATCTCCTTCCCTTATTTGCACCCTTTCCCTTTCCCTTTCCTTTCCCTTTGCCGTCAACTACCATCTCACCCTCCTCGGGTTTCCTAGCTGCGGGCTTTAGGAACCAGCACGAACTCCACGCCTAGTTGTCGAAAACTTGGGGCACTTGCCTGGCTTGCCAAACCCATTTTTAGGCAGAACCGCGCCCAAGCTCCAGACTCGGACGTCTGGACAATCCGTCGCCCTTGGTTAGGCATTGCATTTCATTGCTTAAAGACCTCAGGAAGCAAGTCCTTCGTAGATTACACCGCCATGGATTTCTTCATTTCCTGGCACTTGCTGGGCTCAAGGCTTGACCGGCCGAATCGGAGCCGGCAAGAGGCACTAAGGGTACTGCTGCCTGGAAATAGCATCTTCAGGTCCACTAGCTGAAGGTGGTAGATCATCCGATGAAACGATGCCTCGGAGACAAGCAGACATCTACAGGGTTTTCTTCCTCATTTCAAACTTCATCTTGAGTGTTAGTCCACATGACCTCCTCCCGCTTCTCCAAGCAAGGGCTCGCCAAGACGCTCCCTGATTGGATCGCTGCCTAGTTTTCCTCTCACCTCCGAAATGTCCTTGTCCTTGTCAGTCACTGGATCTCGCGCCACCCTCAGCGTTCCACCCGAGCTTCAACTCCCACGTCGCGCATCATTACCCTTGCAGGACGCGTTTTTCCAGCTCTCTGCAGCTAAAATTAGTCGACCCCATTTTGCTGTTTCGCCCAAGACCCTGAGCCTTTGCAACAGGGATTGGAACATTTCCGTAGTCGTGCTCAGCCACAACGTGTGGTGTGCACTATACTTCAAGCAGTAAGCATCGAGGTACTTTGTGGAACGGCGCTAAATTACTCCGCTAGATTCTGGGGTTTTGCCTCTCAGGTACGGTAATACGAGGGGGAAACCCAACATTGAACTTTCTCACTGTTGCCAGGCTGCATTGATGGTTTTTTGTATTCGCAGGGGACCTAATATACCCAGATTCTGGCGATTTTAGTGAAGCTACTATCCCTAGCTACACCCACATCGCGGGGGCTTAAGGCCACTGGCGCCCTACGTAGTGTACACCTCGCTCGTACCTGGGGATGGTGTGTCGCACATCGAAAGTGTACCTCTGCTTCGGATGCCAGTGAGCTCGATACCTCGATACCCCAAGATCAGATTACTTCAATACTTCAATTGATACTTCACACCTCCTTGCTTCACTGCTTGGTCACAGCGGCACTCGAGGTCTGCCCACTTCACACCGCACCTTCTGGCTGCAGGAAGCCGTGGGCTGGATCCAATCCCCTGTCCTCAATCTGATTTAGCCCCTGCCTACCTAAATTCCATCTTTGCTGTGCTGGCTCTGCTTGGTCCCTACAATGCAATTGAACTCTCAATCCTCATGCAGTTCCCCGCTGCCCTGTTGCCTGCCTAAACCAAGGAGAGGCAAGCTCTCACACTTGCCTCAACGTTCGTTTCTTCTCCCAGCTCGAACATGGGCTATTTAAGCTCTGGCTTCCTCCAGCTCTCATCACGGACTCAATTGAAGTTTGTTGTGCCATGCCTTCACTTCAGTATCCTGCCTCACTTGTTTCATCGTCATCGTCGTAGCCCGACTCAGTCAATTGACTCTGCCCGTGCTTATACTTCCCTTTCTCGCCCTCTGCGAGCTTGCCCCTCGTTGCCCCTCACCTCTCGCGTGCTCGTATCACCAGCATCATCTTCTTCGCCCTGCGCGTCCTCTTTACCAATTCAATCTAGGAGATTGATTCATGATAATCCTGCCGGCATAACTCCAAGTTCTTTCTTCTCCTATCCCGTCACCATGGCTATCGAGCTCGATCAGACCCCAGCTCCCCACACGGAGCTGGTCAATTACATCGCCGACCATCCTGAAAAGCCAATGGTCGAGATCATGGCCCCCTACCGCAAGTACGAGTCTCAGCTTCGTACCATTTTCGCCCAGGACCGTCAGGACCCGCGCCTGAACGACCCGTATATCAACGTCCTTCCGCTCTTCACGGAGAACACTAAGCGCATCACCACCCGTGCTAGAGATCTCGCCTCCGAGTCCCAGGAGGAGAAGGACAAGTACATCATGGCCCTTCCCGAGGACAAGCGCCGAGCCCACGGCTCTCCCGCTACCGTTTCCTCATTGAAGGAGTTCCAAAAGAACTTTGGTATCTTCTCGGAAAACTCCCTCGCCGACTTAGATTGGAGCAACGTCGTTGCCGCGGGCTCTTCCGTCGTCAATTGTCTCCTCCCCGTGCCTGCTGAGTTCAACACGAGCAAGAGAAAGCTCCGTGAATATTACCACGAGAAGTTTTGCCCTGCGTCCGATGTCGATCTCTTCTTGTATGGCCTCAATGAGGAGCAGGCGATCGAGAAGATCAAGCAGATTGAACAGGCCGTCCGTGATGCCATTCTCACCGAAGTCACCGTTGTTCGTACCAAATACGCCATTACAATTGCGTCTCAATACCCAACTCGCCATGTTCAGGTACAGTCTAGGCCGTCCTGTAGAACCTCGGATGCCATGAGACGCGAACTAACTTTATGCCCTAGGTTGTCTTGCGTTCATACAAATCGATCAGTGAAATCTTGACTGGTTTCGATATTGATGCTGCGGGCGGTGCTTATGATGGAAACCAAGTCTATGTTACACCCCGAGCACTTGGAAGTTTCATTACCCAAATCAATCAGATCGATCTGTCCCGACGAAGCCCTTCTTACGAGAATCGTCTGTCCAAGTACTCCCACCGCAACTTCGAGGTGTACTGGCCTGATCTCGATCGCTCCAAAATTGACCCTACCATCTTTGAGCGAAGCTTCCAGCGGACTTTGGGTTTGGCTCGCCTCTTGGTTCTCGAGCGCCTACCTACCTCGAGTGCTCGCGAGACCTATTTGAACAAGCGCCGCCGAGAACGCGGTCGACCCACCGTGTACTTCTCGCGTGCTCGTCTTCGAGGCAATATCAAGGACAATTATGAAGATGAGGTCGCCGATTGGGTTGATGAATCCGAAGTTTCCAACTATCACACATTTACCGTCCCTTACGGAGAGAAGTGCGTCATCCGAGTACTTGATACTTCGACGAGAAACGTCCTGCATTGCCACTAACACGTTTGCATTTTTTTTAGGTTCCATGCCAAGAAGATCGAGAAGCTGTGTTATACTCGCGATCTACGTAGGTGGACCCCCAAATCGGAGGCCTGCTCCTTTGGGTAGCTAACACTTTACGACCAGTTCTGAACGCCGAATGGAATCAGCATAAGAAGCGCGAGGTGTATCTTCACCGTCATCCCGCCTTCTTTGGCCGAGTCGAGGATGTTATTGAAGATTGCTGCGGCACGTGCCCGAAGCCTGTCACCCCTGAAGAGATCGAGGTTGCCAAGAAGGAAGCCGAGATATACATTTCCGGCAAGGTCAAGCTTTTGATCGATGACCCTGGCCGCCAGCAAATCGGCTCCTTTAACCCCTTGACTGCGGATGACTGGACTGACATGGCCTATGTCGGAAACACCGCACGTCTTTGCCAATCGATCGTGGACTCTGACGTCGACGAGGTGTTGGCTTGGCTCTCCCAGCCTGGTGCTGATGTTAACCGCCGCGATTACACCGGAAGGACTCCTCTTCATCTCGCCGTCGTAAGCTCGACTCCAGATGTGGTCAAGTGTCTTATTGACCACGGCGCGAGACTCACCGCTCGCCTGGCTGACGGGAAGACTGCCCTTCATCTTGCCGCAGAACGGGGCATTCCTGAAATGATTAAGTTGCTGATGGAGAAGAGCATCGAGAATGAGGAGGCCGAAGAGGAAAAGCAAGATGCCAAGCGTCAGGCCTTACGTGAGAGCCAGGAAGAAAAGAAACCTGCGAAGGCTGCATCCAAGTCGGAGGAAAGCGAGGAGTCGGAGTCTGAGGAAGATGAGGATGAGGATATGGACATGCTTGAGGACGCAGCCTCTGACGACGATGGTGCACACTCATTCGCTACAGGCTCATTTGTGAAGGTCAAGAGCGATGCCGAAGTGGACCGCATCAAGCAACTGGAGGAAAACAACAACGACGAGCCCGACTTCTATAAGATTGATGTCCTGGCATGGGATTCGCCATGTTCGCCTCTTCACCTCGCTATTGCGAGTGGCCATGAGGAAGTGGTCAAGACTCTTTGCGACGTGAGCCACACTCGTTTCCCATACATTCTCTCTCTGTCTTTTTCTCTCTTTCTTTCTCTCTCTCTTTTTTTTTTTTTTTTTTTTTTTTTTTTCGTCTCTTTTCCTGTTTGCATCAAGTATCCCCTGAAATAACTAACATAACTTCTCTAGTATGGTGGTGACGCACTACTTCCGATCAAATTCCTCAACTCTGAGAGGGAGCCTGTCGCTGCGATTCTCACGTTGACTCTTGCCCTATCTCTTCCCTTGGAGAAGGCCAAATCTATGGCCAGGCTCCTTCTCAGCCTCGGGGCAACGTCTTCCCAGGCCGATCTTAATGGATGCACTGCTTTCCATCGATATGTGGAATCGGGCAAGAAGGGGATGATCGACACGCTCTGGGAGGAAGATAGGACCGGTGTCAAGACCGCCATCAACCATCTAGTCGTTGGGTCCAGTTACTGGAATCCAAGCGCCATTAGCCCCCTTCATCTTGCCATCGTCAATGGGGATTCCACCTTCGTTCTGAAGCTCCTCGAGGCAGGAGCGAACCCACAGGTTGACTTCGAGACTTGGCTCAAGGCGGCGAAATTCTCTCCCAACCTAGAAAAGCGACTGGGCAACTTCGAGAACAACATGGGCATGTTCGAACAGGGCACCACACAACCTCTCATTGCGGCTCTCCAAAACTGCACAGATCCGGAGACTGCAATTCACCTGCTGGAGAAAGGCGCCGACCCTAATGCCGTTCCTACTTCTACCCGTAATATTATCAAGAATGAGTGGAATCGCCGCTACACTAAGGGCGAGTCGGCTCTCGATATCGTCCAGGGCTATATCAAGTCTCTCCGCGAATACAAGCCCCCCAGTCTCAACCACAAGGAGCCCACTCCGATCCCCGGCATCGACGAGTATCTTGACAACTTCATGGATGGCTCTTATCAGCATTGGGTGGTCTCCCGTGCTATTCGCAGTGCCAAGAAGACTCAGAAGGGGGCACTTGAGTGGTACCAAAAGGACACGTGCAAACTGAATACGGCAAAGCTAGAACTTATCGAGAAGCAGACAGAAGTGGTCAAGGAGGCGCTAGCAGGATATGAAAGACTTGAAAAGGTTCTCCTTGAGAAGGGTGCCAAGTCTTTCAAGGACTTGTATCCCGATATTGTTGCGCAACACCCTGGCCTCTATGTCCCCCCTGAACAACCGGCGGTGACGGCCGAAAAGCAGGAAGCCAAACCTTTCAAATATGAATTCAAGTTCACCAATGTCACTGACGTCACTGAGGCTAGGAAGGCGGCTTATATTCAATTGTAAGTTTCTCCTTTCAAAGAGAATCAGGTACTAACCTTACGTCTTCTCCGCTCTAGGTTCGAGGCCGCTTGGAGTGGCAATCTGGAAAAGATCAAGTCACTTACACTGCAATCCTGGGATGAGGAGCAGACCGAGCCTCCGCTGAAGATTTCTGTCAACGATGCTGATATGAATTCTCCCTTCTCCCTTGCCTTCATGCTCGGCCATTATGATGTGGCCTGGGGTATTGCCGAAGTTGCCCATGCACAATACTCTCCTCCCGAAGAAGAGGCGCGTTTGTATGAGATGAAGCGTGATGATGAGGATGACGAATGCTACAGCGACGACGACTCGGATGCCTACAGCGACCAGAGCAACGACGAACCCAAGATTGTCTCCAAGACTGTGGACAAGAAGTTCACCATTGAAAACATTGGCCAAATTTCCATGAAAGTCAAATCTCGGACTAAAGCCTCGGAGATGATCAATTGGTCTGTAAATACTTTCACACTCAAGGACGGTGAGCCAGATCCGGAGTCGTTCAATCGCCAGCCTATTTGGGACTTCCTCATGGAGAAGCAGGTGGAGGATGGTGTTTTCAAGCGTTTCCTCGACCTTTGCATTCATTTCGGAAGAAAGAAGTTCGATAACAAGTTGGGAAGTGACGAGCCCAGCTTTACTTTCCCTGAGGACACCTTCCGCAAGCTTGTTGAGAAGGGTAGGGTCAAGGTTCTTGCTGAGGTCATTAAGCGGACTGGAGCAGGAATCCCCCTGGACCACCTGGTCAAGAAGACTGGTGTGGAAGTGAAGGAAAAGCCTAGGTTTTACCAAGGACTGACCGTCTATGGCAAGAAGAGGTTCGTAACCCCCGCCCTCCTTCCCCCTTTCTTTCCTCCCTTTTTTCTTAGTTTCCCGCCCTTCGCCCCTCATAAGCTCCTCACCTATCAGCCAGCTCCCTATTCAAAATCATTATTTTGAGTTTGTATCACTAAGACAAGATCTCCCGATATAGGAAGGATTGGGCCAATGCTGGACGGAACATGTATGTCAAGTCTAGTGGGCTGAGGACGCCACCGCTTCTCCACGCCGCCCTTGGCGGAAATTTGGAGTCTGTAGAGTGGTTCTTAACGGACACGCCCCTACGCCTGTACACCGAATTCAGCCAGTCCAAGGCCGCCCAGGAAGATGGGCGTTTCAAACATCTCACGACGACGACCGGCGGCTTTGAGAACCTAGTGTCGAAGTGGCTTGGAAACGAGAGTAAGGATCGCCTCATTTCCCGCACATCCTCAGGGCAGGGCATTCAGATACTAATCAGGCGTTCAGATGACCTTGTTCTCCATTGCGCTATGCTATCTACCGAGACGGAGGACGCGTTGAAGATGGTGAAGTATCTCATCAAGGGCTGCCCGTCAGCCTTAGAGGCAAGAGATGCCTACAGGAACACCCCGTTGCTCACCGCAGCGCTCTTCGGTCGCGTCAAGTACTGCAAGCTGTTGATCGAAGGCGGCGCGGACCAGTCGGTGAGGAACAAGTTCGGCCAGAACGTAATCCACTGTGCCCTCAGGAGGGGCCCCAAGGCAGACCAACTCAAGCCGTTCTTGGAATTGCTTGATCAGGAGCTCGCCGCGCATCTGTTGAAGCAACGCTGTCTCTTGGAGTCTGGTGGGCTTACCCCACTTCACGGGTATATTGATGAGCTCACCCAAGAAGGTTACCGATGGGACAGTAGCCCGTCCCCCAGGAATCACAAGGCAAAAGAAGCAGCCGATGTGATTCAGCTTCTCCTCAAGTATAGCAAGGGTGTGGAACTCGAGTTGTTGAACGCTGCCGGCGATTCGTGCCTCCACACGGCTGTCATGAGATCTTATTCGTGGCTCACCAAACTACTCCTCGATGCTCGACCGAAACTACTGTACAGGGAGAATGCAGTTGGGCGAACCCCGGCTGAGGTGGCGCGCGACAAAATCATGGCCCAGAGATTCGCCCAGCCCGACGCGTTGTCGATCCCGACCAGCAATCGCAATGACAAGTGGGTGATCAACACGATCACAACAAAGGTCTCGGCCGAGAAGAGAGGAAAAGGAAAGAATCAGGAGCCTAATAAAGACAAGGTCTGGGAGATCTGTTCAGCTGTCGCCAAGAGATACCCCGACAAGCGCAGGCTCGTGAGCCTTAACGAGGCAAGCGATGTTGCCAAGCGCCTCGGGGAGGAGCACACCTCGTCGAGGTACTTTACTGTTCAGCCCAAGGCTGATGACTCGGACGACGAAGGCGCAGCGGAGAAGAAGAAGGATGATGATACAGACTTTGTGATCAACGAGGGCAAGGGCCGTGCCAGCTCATCGTGGACACCTCCGGAGGGCTTCAAGTCGGCCCTAGACAAGAGGAAGGAGAACAATGAGCCGGTCTGCAAGGGTTGCGGGCAGTATCACGAGCTGATTGACGCCTCTGACTCGAGCAGCTCAAGTGAGGAGGACGGTGATTCAGATGAGTACACGGATTACTGATAATTCTGAGTTCAGACAGGGAGATTCTCTTTTTGTTGAGGTAGGCCGGAGGAAACACTCGAAATATGGCTTTGACACAAATTTTATTCAAGCTTTTGGTTTCGTTCATTCTGTACTTCGTATATGGCCCTAGGCTTGTTTTTATGTGGGCTTCAATCTACCTACGCCGAGAATAGTCTTCCAAATTCTACGTAATTTTTTGCATCTTCTTGGTCCATTTATATCCAGTCCCTCATCACCTTCATCGAGCTCATATACCACCTCCAGAGAAAGAATCCGTCACGTACGGCCATACCCCCTTGAAAGCGTCCGATCCCGTCCGCTCTCGGGTATAAGCTTGGGAGGGCCGAACCAGTAGTTGGGTCGGTGACGACCAGCGAATCCTCGGTGCTGTATGTTTCTTTTTTCTTTTTCTTTCTTTTTCCGTTCTCCTTTCCCTTTGCTCTTTTGATGTAGGAGAACCGTTCAAGGAGCCTGGGCAATTCCTCAGTGCTTCAGGTTCAAGTTTGTCTTTACGACCTGAGGCTGATGATTCGCTGTGCCTGTGTGTCCCTGGGGAGGAGGAGGCGTTCCTTCGGTATTAAAAAGTGACGTATTAGAGAAGAGCACTCGTTGCTGTCTACGATGGCCCAATGAACGGAGCCAATTCTGCGGGGATAATTCGATTACTCATAAGAACTGGTGATTGTCCCGCTCTCATTGGGCACGGGAGCTAATTTCCCCGTTTTGCCTCTTGCCCAATCCGGTTTCTTGGTGCCACTGTACCACCGTACACTTCCTCTCCATGTACCAACTGGATTGATCAATCAATTGAACATTTCCCCAACCGGGTTTTCAGGTCCGACAGGCACCGACGAACTCAGCTCGACAGTGGAGGAAATTGATCAAAGTAAAGACCGACGACCCTAGCGTCAGCCCCCCTTAGCCTCCTCTCCAGACTTTCCTCCTGCATATTCAAATCAGACGACCCCCAAACTCAATCCCAACATTTCAATTCTCCCAAGTCAAGCAGCAACTACTTGTACGCCTTCATTCTTTCTCTCTTTCGCCATGAAGTTTATCGCCGTCACCCTCGCTCTCGCCGCTGCGGCGCTCGCCCAGGACACCCCGTCCACCAGGATCCCGGAATGCGCTGTAAGCAAACCCCCCACGCGTGTCGCGCGCCATCAACCTCGGAAACCTTCCTCAAAGCTTCTCAATACACCGCCAGCAGCGGCGGCAGGTAAAATCAGAACTAACATAGAAGTAAAACCATCTTCTAGAACTCGTGCGTTACCCAAGCTACCAGCGGCAACAAGATCGCCGGCTGCAACCAAGGCGACATCAAGTGCGTCTGCTCCAACGACTCCTTCCTCGACTCCATCGCCTGCTGCCTCGTCGACGTCTGCGACGAAGCCGGCCAAAAGGCCGCCGTCTCTTTCGCCCTCGCCCTCTGCAGCGGCGCCGGCGTCTCCGTCCCCAGCGAGGTCGTCTGCAAGACGGCCGGCGGTAATAGCGACAGCGCTTCCAGCGGCGCTCCTGCCAGCGGATCTGCTACCGAGTCCGGGTCGGCTGCTACTGGCACCACTAGCGGCGCGGCGGGTTCTACCCCTTCGAGCACCGAGTCTTCGGCTCCGACGTCTTCCGGCGCTGCTGGTGTTGTTGGTGCGCCGGTGGGTGGGCTTCTTGGAGGTGTCCTTGCTGCCCTCGCCCTTCTGTAAACGATGCAGCGCGATCTACGCACCTCTATCTAGTCGGTCAGGGTCCAATTTGGCTGTCTTGTGCGGAGGGTGTCTCGATACAGTGCTTCGGCCGACCCCCCGATATCAGAGATCGCAAACCGGGAAATGTCATTATGGTGCTAGGAGACCGCTCCCGTCGGCAAAGGCTGGTCCGATTATACCTGGCGTGACATCTAACGATGTCGGATGTTGGATACATATACGGCCCTCGGCCCCCCTTATTCATAATTTCTCAATCACGTTGTAATTAGGCAGACGCATTAATACTTTTACGACCCCGCAAAACAATCTGCATCCCGTTTCCCGCACTTCGTCTACGTTTTCCTCCGTCTTCCGTTTCCAGGTTCCTTTCAGCACTGCGCAATTCGCGTCGCAAGACTACGCTCGCCGTCCCTCTCGGTGTGTCTGGGCGGCTGCGTTGCTAACGTTTTTTTACCCGCTTTTTTTTTCTTCCTTGTTCTCTCAAGATTTCGTGTAAGCTCAAGGTAGCACGCGTTCGGCTGTCTCGGACGCTCGCTGTGTCGCATAAACCCCGCGCCGCGCACCGATCTTACGTCGGCATGTTGGTTCCACATAGATTTGAGAGTCTTTTTTTTTCCTTTTTTTTTTTTTTTTTTTTTTTTTTTTTTTTTTAGACAAGGAGTGAAGAGAACGCCAGTCCGAGGCTTTTGCGTGAGTGCACCAGTTCCCGCAGGTGGGTGCAAAGGGGTTACACGGCACACTTCACTGGCAATGCCGTTCATCTGTCCCGCCCCCATCCAGAGAAGCACAGCCGATCTTCCGAGGGAGGATTGCGTAAACCGGGCAAATCAATATGCCATTCTCCCACCAGGTTCGCGCTCATTAAGATTATTATTCCTTCATGTATGTCGGCCGATCAAAGGCTTTTCGTAGGGCACATCCTTGGGACATTCTCTCCTTGTTGCCCAGGTCAGGGGGCTCGGGGAGCAGCGGGCTGCGCATCATTATTTGTACGACACGGATCAGCAGGACCTCGTTTTCCGGCATGAAAACATAATCCCCGTCTGTTCCATGATACCGGTTGTGCGAGCCGTGGCTGGGCTAAGAGGTCCAAATACTAGACTGGCGAGGGTAGGCTCGACTGATGGCATCTGATGTGCAAAACTGGAAAAGGTCCACCTGGTGTGCTTACATAGGTTCAGTATATCGGGCAAAGCTGCTCCCGGGTCGCTTTACCTTTTCGTTATTTATACATATATTTTAATTTTTTTCTCCCTTTGGGAAGTTCATAGAAGACATTATTAGTATTATTGGGAAGTTCTTAGAAGATATTATTAGTATTATTATGAAGAAAAAAAAGGTAAATATTTTTTTGAAAAATAAATAGATAGATAGATAGATAGATAAATGAATAAATAAATAGGCCTGCCCAAACACCGAAGGTTATCGAGTTGTAAATGTGCAGTTGAGTCTGTCCATGCGGCTCCGGGCTGATGACGTTGGGAGCCTGATAATCCTCCTGCACGCGCACGACTTCGTTGCCCAGGCCGGAGCGTTCATGCCGAAACAGTCCCACAAAGCTCGAGTCCGCGGTATTCTCGCACCCATGTTCCGATGGAGTTACTGACATGCTCCTGCTCGACGTATCACCATGGTATTTAGAAGTGTTCTCGGGTCTTCACCGCCAATCCTTGTACTTCACAGGGAAATGAGAACAAAAAAGAGGGCGTCCCCGAGATTACCGCGTTAACCACAATGGACGGGTGTGCCCAGAGGAAAGAGGCAACTCCGAAGTAGGTGTAAGGTTTTTTTTTTTTTTTTTTTTTTTTTTTTTTTTTCGCTCCAAAACCCTTCAGTGATGTCTATAAGTACGGAGGGTAATGTTTGATGAGACCCTTAAGATCGACTTGGCCCGAGTGTTCACAATGATGCACAGCCCGACGTATTCCCCGAGAGAACAATCCTAGGGGCAGGGTAACATCAAGTATCAAAAGTGGCTCGATAAACCTGCAACAATAGCTCGATAATGGGCCAGGGACTTTCGCACAGGCGGTGGAAAGCGCACATGGGAAACCCAGGATGCCTGCCAAATGCCCACACGAGCGAATATTTCTAAACTAAAAAAAGAGGGTCCCTTTTGTAGGAGAATCTACGCCATGAACGGCAAAATTATCCGGACAGCGAGGGGACTTCGTCGTCGTGTAGGGTCGATGGTGATGACGCCAATTAGTCGGTGAGGTTAATTCAGTGTAGTGTGGGCTCCTAGTGGAGAGTTGTGTGTGGAGTTCTGAGGGTTATGGTCTGTCTCAGACGTTGACGATTCCCATCTTGTCGGTGCCAAGCCTAGAGCTTCATCATACCTCCCAAGGTCCTGTACGAAGTACGTAACGAAGGGCGTACATCAAACCTTCCGTTGAAGATGGTGATGGAAGTTTTCATGTTCCGCATTCTTCAACCCCAAATAGACGTGGGGGGTTAGCCTGCCCTCAAAGCTCAACTCTGAATGGCTGGGCGATGGAGGACGTTGGCCCGCCTGTGGCAAACGTTCACCAAAGTTCGACGTTGCAACGAACTGAAGGGGTCCTGGTCAAGTCCACTGCTACTACTTCGTAGAGCAGCAAGGTTTGGACATTGAGGGGCGAGAAGTACCCACAAACCAAGCTTCGGATCGTACGAAGTCCTTGATCCATGATGCCTGTTTCAATGTTGGTAGTGTGGTGTAGTGGCTTCAACAGGCAGTCTGGGAAACCAGCCAAGTGGAGATACCTAGCAGCGTGATACCTGTTGTGCTCTAGCTCGGTTCATTATTAGCCTACTGGTTAGCTGCATGCAACTGCAGAGCACCCCAGTCTTCGAGAACATTTCCACTCCCAAGGCTGCATCTGAAGAACGCAGCTCCAGTTTATGTGGCGCCAGAAAGGAGGACGGGATTGCTTCACATGCCAACGTCAATCTCCGTAGGCCCCGTTTGCGACATCGGGGCTCATGACGGGCAATGCATTATCAGTGCCCAGCAACATCAACGGATATTACCCCTCGGAGTATTATTGAGCACCGACGAACATACATCTGATGCTGTCCTGGAATCGATGTACTAAGGTCAAAGCTCAGGCAAGAGGATTCAAGTGCCTGAGCTGGTGATGATGCTGACTCAGCTAGGCTATGTCTGAACAATATAGCCCTTTGTGGAGTCGAGCACAATTGCATCCTCCAAACCGGTAAGTGTAGAATCAGCACGAAGAAAGTTCCGCACCGAGAGCATCACTGGTCACTTTGGGCATAACATATAATGTGCAAAGGATGAATGGCCCAAGATGTCAAAGTACAGGGCTAGGTATCCAGCAGTCCGGTCACCATGTGTTCTGCGACCGTTTCCCCCTCACGACAAATTGGCTCCAACGGCGCTCGGGCAATTTTCAATTGGTGTACCCTTCTCTGGAGCCCCTTCCGACATTCGCGGAGCAACGTCCTGCATCAAGGTATGAATGGGGAACGGTTCTAGCCTCGCCCACCTCCCAGTTCCAAGCAAGGGGGTTGCGAGACTCGGGGCTGGTGGAATTGCTTAATCTCAGGACAGAAAGAACCCTGCTAGGCTGTCCAAAAGGATGCGCTACTAGTGTAGTCTTGGACTGCATCACATCTTGTTTGGTGTAGCATCCTTGGTGATGGGCGGTATCTCTCAATTTGAGTGTTGTATTCGGCTAACTTGCCGAGTGCCGTTTGAACATTCTCTTATGAGCCTCATAACCAGGCGAGGCGGGGGAGCTCCTGGTCATCCACGATATCTCGCGATGTGAGGGTGATATTAATATCGCTCTCTTTACTCACAATAAGAAGATAGGTTCGGCGAAACCACTCGGTTCGTCGACCCAGATTTTTCCGAATCTCCTTTGATAAGAGAGGAGATGCCACTGCTCGGTCCTGCCTTGCCCGTGTCTTTCTCCTACTTCATACAACCTGGTTCGAGTATCAGAATAGAAAAAGTGGTCTCGAGTGCTTGTGGGGATGGTAGGGTGGACATGGGTCGTCCCGATGCTGCGAGACCTACTTCGTACCTCTGAATATCTACTGAGTATAAGTAAGCATCTTGATCGCGAAACATATTGTACAGCAGGGGAAATTCATAACCAGCACTCGCCATCAATCCCATTCCCATCAACCCACACTTATCCGCTAGTGCACATGTAGCGTAGCGTAGACGTAAACCGGGATCCTTCGCCGCGTGGCATTGTCCCATTACCCCCAAAAGGATTCCTCGTAGAGTCGCGCTAGAACAACCCAGGAGCTCCAGTCGAATTTTACTCTGGCACCACACGACGAAGTAGTGTACTCATAGTCTACACCAAATGACTAGTGCGCCCAAAAACGAATTCTGACATGTTTGGCCCAAGCTAGAGGCGGCAAAAAAAGGCGGCGTGCAGGAAGCAAATCGACTGAGGTGGGAACTTTCGAAGCGCCCAGATCGCGCATTATCATTGTCTCACACCCCTCCCACTCATCTGAAGACCGGTTCAATCTTCAGATTTGATGCTTGGTGTGGTGTCGAGACACCACGAAGTAACTCCATCTTTTGCACACAGACCTAAAAGGAAAACAGAAAACGTTCGTACTTCGTAATACCCTCCATCGAAGCGGTATCTTGGGAAATCAAGCTCCACTTGGTAGATTTGAGCAATCCAACGGCGATCTGTCATCATTCATAACTCCACTTCTTCTTGATTCGAATCAGCTGGTGTTTTCGATTTTCCCGTTAGGTTTAGTGATCGTCAGGGATGGACCCCTCGAGAATATATTCATACGAAGGAGTCCTTGGTCATGCTGTGCGAACAGGGCTGCGAACAAGCTCACAGTAGTTTTTGTGACAAGGTCATGGATTCGAGCTCATTCAAGACATATGGAGGTATATTATTGCGAAATATTCGTCGGGCTCAAGTGGATTCGTTTTCCCCAGACTCGGACTCCATAATGGAATTGCGCTTTCGGTGAACTGCACAACCAATGCTTGTTTGCAATACAGC